GCCGGCCCCGTGACAATTAAGGCTGTGATTTCCTCAAGGCTCAATTCATAAGCCCACAGGATACCTACCTATGCAGTGCTCTCGTTCGCCCTGTGGTGGGGGCGCTGGCCGTTGATACGTCCACTTTGTTTCGTTGCTTTCCTTTCGATTTCTTACCAAACTTTTTAATCAATATTCGGCCATGTCTTGAGCTGATTCTCCGTTCAATAACTCGTGATGCATCGTCATTCCTAGGTAGCTAATCTTGGGTAGGACAGCACAGGTACTATTTAATCGTCTATTTGCGAGTTCAAGTTGACGAGTGGGTATATTATCCATCGTGCCTCATTAGTACACTGCGTCACAGGCGGGTCATTGACATCGGGGGGATTTCCCACGACGAAAGCATGACAAGGTCATCGTAATGCATGTAAGGTAACCCGGCGTTTTCGTAGCGTCCTTTCGACGGGCAAGCGGGCTTGCAACTAATCGCAACAGTCGTAAAGATTGCCTTGGCTGATTAGATGGATTAGACGAATTGGACGGATCAGGCGGATTAGGCGGATTAGGCCATATGAGAGAACAGGATATGAATCGGGTTCACTTGATAAGCCCTGTTTTATTTGGAGTGGAGGACAAGACCAGTAGTGCCGAAATATGAAATAATCCGCAAGATTGCATGTTATCATAGAAGGGATTCCCCCCTTTAGGCAGCTAGGTTAGACGGGTTGCTTGCTTGTCATTGATGACCTCCAGCTAAACTCTGCAGTCGTTTTTGGGGTTCTTGAGAAGATACCTAGCCGATGGGGGCATGATTTGGACCATTCAGTACTTGATATTTCGTGGGGTAGCCTTGTACCTAGTAAGTGCGTGATCTGCGCATTTACATACCATAGTAGTACTTAACTATGTACTATGTAGGTAATGTAGGGTTCATAACGGAACCTCGTCCAGTACTCCATAAAATTGCTCATGGCACCGAGATAGACAGCGTGGACTGTCCAAGTTGTTCGTTGTCGATTGTGACGAACACTTACTATTCAGTGCTGTTTGGATCACTGAAGCTCCTGAGACTGTAGGTGGTAGCTCGGGCTGGAGACCGGCAACAAGATCTATACGTACCTAGGCAGGTAAATAGGTAGGTATATAAGGTAGGCATTGAACGCATCTGTCTGCGCACGGATAGGGTTGTAAGGGTTGTACATAGTATGAGGTGATGGGTCATGGTGAGAAATAGTTGAGACAGTCTGGATGATAGTGGCCATGGGAGACAGGGTCCTTTTACAGGTTGCAATGGAACGATTCATCATAAATCCGGATAGGGTGACCCCGTAAGTAGTAGTATTAGATCCTGTTCACAAGACCTCCTCCACAGCCGGTTGATACAGTTACAGGCTACTTTAAGCTGGTGCTGCATCCCTTGGTTGGTTGTTGGAAGTGAAAAAGGCGTACTAGCTTGCAGCGAGGCGCTTGTCTGTGGACTGTCTTTCGCTTTCATTCCCTTGTATATATATAGGTAGTAGTAATAAGCCAGCTAGGGTTAGGGAGGGGTTAGAAAGGAGAGGGGTATGTAAGTATGCATTGCACTATGTATGTAAGAGGATTATTGAAGGGGAATATTGAAGAGGAATGGGAAGAAGGAAGAGGGGCACGGGTTTATGACAACGACCTACCTTCATAGTACATACCTAGTACATCCATACCTAGCACTATGTAGTATATGTGAAAGACATATGGAATTGATTAATGGTAAATGAAGTAGACCAGTCTGTCTGTTAAGACTGTGATTCTGTCATGTGGTTGGAAAACGAGTCAGAAGTTGTACATTTTTTGTCTTTTAAATTAGAATCAGTGCTGTCACTGCTGTGTTCGTTGCTTCTAAACGGTCTATGTCCTGGGTAATGTTGAAAGTTTAATACGGTGCTCCGAAGGGTCACCCTGATGGTATGCAATTACTTTAGGCAGGTATGCATTGACGAAAATGGGAATAAAGCTTAATATTGACGATGATGGATAATGATGAGGATGATGATGAGAAGGATGATCAATAAATCCATATGCTACATATGTAATTACGGTACGACCAGCGACTAGTACATCGAATGTCCTTCTTATTACGATATCCTTATCATGATATCAAATGTTAAATATTAAATATTAAATGAAACAGAGAGACGGATACGCACGTAAAAGAAATGATTTGAAGCTATTAACCTTAAGTGTACTATGTAACTAGTAGGTATCGATAAGGAATTGACATCAGAATTAGACCAGCACCTACCTGCCCGTAGTACCTGCCAGGCAGATAAAGTACTTAACCTTAGTAAGTTAGTAGCAAATTAAATTGTGAAACCAAGTTTGAAATAGAGCAGCAATCATTCTTTCATCCCAGTCCCAGTCCCAGTCCCAGTCCCAGTCCCAGTTCTAGTCCTCACAAGTCTTCTTCGACACATGGTTTTCCGAGTCGCCCGAATCAATCCTGCAAGGAGCACAGTTACACAATACCTACATATATGGGTACGACACACACGTTGCCTTTAAAAGTTGCTTCAAAATCCTTAACGCCAAACAATCATGCTCAAGCGTTCGTTTTGTGTCCGGCCTTGGTACGCAGGCCCCAGTTGGCCATGTTTTTACACCTGCTGAAAGGAAGAGAAAACAATGAAGGGAATCATGAATGAAAACCGAAAAAAAAAGAAAAAAATGAGAGAGAGAAAAAGGAAAGAATGGTCAAGCCAAGCCAGCCAGCCAGAATGGTTCAAAGTCTGTCTGTCTAGACTCTAGACCACCTCTTCCCTCCTAGCTCGGACGAGGTTTATCTGGCTCGGGTCAAGACTTGATAGAAACCAAAAGTTCCGAGGTCCCCAGCAAAGGAAGATTTCAAAAATCAAACTCCGGCAAGTGTTCGTTCCTTTGCCTCTTTTTTTTTCTTCCTTTTTTTTTCTTTTTTTTCTTCTATATGTTATTTGCCTGCTTGTCGGTTGGTACATACGGTATCACTGAGTAAGAAGATTGAAATATTCCTTGCAAGTTGCAAGTGGCATCAATGCTAGGTATAAATGGAGTGTGCACAGTACTGTCAATATTTCAATATAGCACCGTATGGTACATACGACATAGCTTGGAAAGAGAGCCAAGGGTGCATGGTTCTTTTTGATTCGTAAAGAACCATCTGACCAGTCAGTGCATCACGCGCTTACTTAATAACTAGTTATACCTACCTACATACCTACATACCTACATCCATATCCATACATACACACACCCATACATTCATACATCCATGATGTTGCATGTAAGTGTACCTACATATACTGGACAGTGGAATAATCCCTTGAATAGCACAAACTACCTAAAACTTGCACTCACACATGTTAGCGCATGCTAGTAGCTAAGCAACGTAGCCAGGGCATGGCTGGGCTGTAGGTCATGGATCATTGATGTAGGTGGATAAGTTCCAGGTCGTCCAGGTCGTCCAGGTCGTCCAGGCTGTCCAGGTTGTCCAGGCCGTTCAGGTCGTCTAGGTCGTCTCTCTCTACATAGGTCGACCAGTCCTGCCTACTCCTGCCTTTCCTGCCATGCCAGTCCTGTAAGTGCCTACCCACCTTCCACCTTCCATCTTATTACTATTGGGTGCATGTAGCTACTTCCTCATCGTATCATACATAGTACTATCATATGTATACTACTATGTACGAATAGGTATGTAAGTACAGTGCAAGTGCAATCAATATGGGCAAGAGCGGGCATATCTTGCTGCATCGCACTTTACTATCTCTTTTTTCGCATACCCAGCATACCCAGCATACCCAGCATACCCAGCATACCCATCATACCTAGTAGCACCGTACCTTGATGACAGAACACCTGCACAGTCAGTCAACTATCTGCCATCTGCCATCTGCCAGCCTTCTTTCATCTTCCTTCTTACCTCTCTTACCTTCCCTTCCTACTTATTCCTTTCTACCTTTTACATCCTTTTCACTCCGACCTGTGATCGTTCACTTGGTTTATACCTTCCCCCGGAGATAGACCAGAAACAGATCCAGGTAGGTCCGAAACACTTCGGACATCGATTTTCAACAACCTTACCTCTTTTTACACCTTCTCCCATCTTTTTCACTTGCATCGTATCAGCGGGTGTTCTCCAACACTTCGTTACTACTTACAAGTTACCTAACCGCACCGCCTTCCTACGATATCACCGCACACAACTTGAACCTCAAGAAACTTCTCGGTTATTTTATACGAAATATCCAACTATTCAAGTATCGTCAGAGCCAGGCGTTCGTTACCCCCCATACCCAAATATTCAACTACCCCCAGCGATCGACTAGCGTTTCGGTGGAGCGCCGGTTCTCGCAAACATAAACGATAAAGGAATTACGTAGCCCGGGATACTCGTTTAACTTCCTTCCTATCACGTTGCCGATAATCTCCTTGGTCGACCAACGCATCATCCGAAAAAAAAATATTGTCCCCAAACCGATACTTCAGTCCCTTCACTTCCTTTCCTCGTCGCATACGTCATCGTCGTCTCATGCTCATTACGGACAGCCTCAGGTGGACAAACTATTCTGGTAGGCGCTTCGGTAGTAACAGCTCCGGAGTGGTCCGGAAAACGGGTTTAGTTCTAGTAGCAGTCACAAATGCGACAAGTCCAAAATTACTCGTGATCAACGTATCCGCAGTTTGCCGGTCCGATAGCCAGCCCTCTGACTGACTTAACTGACTGATTGACTAACTCACTGGTTTGACCGATCGAGTGGTGGCCCCTCTCCTCAAATACATATCTACTTTCCCGATCCCCTCTTCCAAGAACTCTCCAAAGGAGTAACTTTCACCACGGACGTCTTGAGTAATTACGTCCTAAATATCTACTGGGATTTTAGAGTGAGGGTGACGGTCTGCTGACGACCAAGGCCGCCACTCTCCGGAAGGGGAGAAAGAGAATGGATCCCTCAATGGACTTTTTTATGCACTCCGCGGAAAATATTAACCCGCCTCCGTCTTCGTCGAACATGGACCATGCAGCTCGTTCTGCTTGTCCTGCCTTGCGAGCCGCCGCCGCTGAGCAGAATCAACATCCGCCCATGTTTCAGTCTCGCCCAGGCCATTATTTCGACCCGGTGCACGGCAACGCTCAACTTTGGCAAGGTCTCCCCCCACCTTACCTTCGATGGACCCTGGATCCGCCTTATCAGTCTTCCCCAGTTATCATGCCCCCTCATGCGGGCCATATGAACCAGCAATCATATTTGTCCAACGGACCTAACGCGTTCAGCAATCACCAACATCCTCCCTTCAATTACAGAACGCATATGCCTGGTTTGCAGAGAATTGGGGGAACAGCACCTATCCAACATACCCAGGGGAACCTCTCAAATTCTAGCCAGGCTCAACCTCAGGCTGCAATCAACAGTGGAGTTGGATCAGGAACCGGAGCGCATAATTCAAGGGTAAACAACACCTTGCCCTCCTTAAACTCTATGCCTCACCCGACTGCCGGCCAAAATCCACAAGCACCTTCATTTGTGCAAACTTCGCACACTACCCAGCAGCCTGGTCGGCATAGCCCTCTACATAGTCGACATAATAGCGTTCCATCAACATCACAAGCCATGGCTGAGACCAACACATCTTCGTCGGGCATGAGAAGTGAGGCAGGATCTTCTCAATCAGGTATGTTTCTCCCCATATCACGCTTGATATCCAAATTTAAGTTAATCATGTCCCCCTTCTAATCCTTTGGCAGATTCGCCATCACCGGCTCGTCGAACATCGACCACCCAACCTCCTGTTCCACCTAGCCACGCTACTGGTATTAGAGCTTCAGACTACGCGAACGAAGCGTCTCTTACGGAGCAGCGGCGGGCTATTGCGGCTCGAAACAGACGAACGCTTACGCGTTTACAATCTTCAGAATCCGGTTGGTCTAGTGACGATGATTCGGATACTGATGCAGTGGCAATGCAACTATTAGAGGCCGCTGTCGGAGGTCATGCCGGGGACGAGCGTATGAGAACGCACCAAGTGATGAGAGGCGCGTTGTCAGGCAAAAGAGTTGCTTCTAAGAAGGCACTTACATCTCTTGAAAGTGTGATAATCTCGGATTTACCGGACAATGAACGAAGTGAGTAAAGCCTCGAAATCGACATGTTCCTTTCTAACCCTGTATAGCTTGCGTTATATGTTATAACGATTACGGTGTCGAGACCCCCGAGGGCATTAGCGAGAGCCCATTACGGTTGCCGAAGTGCAAGCACGTTTTCGGTGATCATTGCATTAAGAAATGGTTCGAGGAGTCGGATAGTTGCCCCTATTGTAGGGATAAAGTCCCTTCGGAGCCTCAATACCGGCAGGCAGTGAATGCACACAACGTCTACCGTTTCTTGCGCCAGCACCACCAGATCCATTTACAACATATGCAAATGCGAAGCGGTCGGGAGCAGGAACGAGGTGATACTGACCTCAGCCGGCCCGCTGATACTACCTTCAATGGCCTCTCAACGGCCATTTCTGCGAAGTACTAGCCCCCTCTTCTTTCTCGTTAATATTGTAGATATGTGCTGACCTCTTAAAATAGCCCATATACAGACCTTGAGTTCGGTACGTTAGGAAGCCCTGGAGCCAGAAGAACGGATTCCATGGCTGCTGTGTACGCTGCCCGTAGCCCGTGGCATACTAACCCTGGAGATCGCCATTCTCCCCTCCCCTTTGGAGAGGTCAGCGAAAATCGTCGCAGAGTGCGCCCTCGGCACGGTAGTTTGCGAGGACTGCCTAGTGCGCGACACAACTTTGGAGCGGTACCACCTAATGGAAATTCGCAAATTCAGGTTCGTCCCACCAACCACCTTTTTCTTTTTTTTTTTTCTTTTTTTTTCTTGCGTCACTCAGTGGCCTCTATCATGAATTCGTATTTTCTAACTTACTAGTATAGCAATATCCATGGCTTAGTAGACCGAGTCTACACAATCGACCGCCTCCTGTAGCCTCGCCTAGTGCAGCTCCCCGCCCACCATTCGATTCCAATGGCTCGTATCCATTTCAAACGCAACTCGGTGGGCCATCAGAGCCATATCTGAATCCGTTGAATACCGCAAACGCTGCTGGTACTAGCGGCGAATATCCTTCACTATCACAAATGCGTTCGCAACCGCCACTGTCCCCGACATACCCAGGCCCAGACGTCTATATGACGAACGCAGATGACTACAGATAAACGCACATAGAAATTTGGCATTGTTCTGTTTTTGCTTTTGCTTTTTCTTCTTTTTTTTTACGCATGGCATCGATGGTTTGGCAATAGCAAAGGCTGATACGAGGGTTTTACGATGGTGTTTTACTTGGGAACTTTTCTCAACTCCATAACATCTTTGCTTGCTGGGCGTTTAGGGAGTTTTAGGCTAGGCGTGGTGGTCATTTTACGTCACGATACGCACCAAGTTTTCTATGATCTTCTTCCGCACAGGTCGGTTCGATTCGACCACCATCTCATTTGATGACGCATGATTCGGTAGGAGACAGTTACTAGACTGGGAACTCTCCTCCCTTAGATATTCCTCTACGGATTTTCGGCCCCAAGGCAATGGCCCTCATGAATGCATATAGTTCGTTACATGAAAATCCCCATCTTCCCCCTTTCCCCCCGAAAAAAAAAAGGAAAAACGTGCCCAATTTGCGATGAGACGGACTACACTGGCTACCTAATTTAAATAGGCAAATAGGCACTAATCAAGCGCCGTATTGAATTTAAAAGGCTCTTTTGCTGTCTAGTCTATCTGTCTTGTCACCACGTCACGATGAACTATTGACTATTTAGAGCTTAGGAAACTACGCAGTCTCCTTTGCTGGGTGAGCTTCGTGATGTGAAGGGGTTGAATACCCAGATAATGATCCATGGATGGCTTTTGATAATACCTGCTTGTAATTACGCTGGCTATGCTAAATATGTTGGGAGGGAGGCGTGTAATAGGGGCTCGAGTTTTTTGTAACGCATGTAACCCTGAGTAGGTACTCACTCATCAATGTACGTACGTGTTATTTCCATGAATAGGGGCATTAATGTAAGTACTAGGTAGGTAAGTATGGCAATACATGTCATGTACATACCTACCTAGTACCTAGGTAGACATTTTCATGTGGTGAGAAACCGTTCGGTGTGCTCAGGCACTAGTTAATAACTTTCCTGCCTGCCTTCCTGCCTGCCTACTCGTAGATAGATAGATGCTGTAGTGTGTACAAGTAGTAGGTAGGTAGGTAGGTGTCCAACGCCTTGTTAGCCCGATGGCCTCCTATTGGAGTAGGTGACTACCTAAGGTGCTCTAGGTTAGGTAGGTACTAGGTACTAGGTAGGCAGGCATGTACATAGGTATGAAGGTTGGTTATTTATTTGAATGCTGTATCGTGAAATACAGTAGCTCGCTAGTGTCCCGATGAAGTGGTTAGTTACATAGGTACATGTAGATATCTCCTAGGCACTTATACAGTTATACTACCTAGTAATTAAGGGGACGAGTATAGTTGGTTGGTTGGTTGGTTGGTTGGTTTGTTAGTCAGTTGGTTCGTTATTAACTACCTAAGGTTAGGTAACAACCTACTACTACTAGTACTTATGTAGCTTATATACTTATACCTATACCAGTAGACCTACCTACCTAGGTACCCAGCTAACCAAAGATCATGTGAACAAGCCAACATTTGAAGCTAAAACCACACCCCCTCCCCCCCTTTTTATCCCCCACGCCCATCCATTACCGCCTTATCACCATCACCATCACCATCACCACCCATCCTCACAACTTCGCCTTACTCCTCCCCCCCCTCCTCCCCATTTCCCTCCCCACAAGCTCCCACGCAAACTCGCCCAGGGGGCGCATGGCCGCAGCATGGCGCCTCGCGTCCGCGCTGCTAGCCTGGCGCGTCGCGACGCGGGCCGCGATGCCCTGGCAGATGGCGGAGAGGCGAAACACGCTGAAGGCGGAGGCCCAGGCGACCTCCTCGGGGGACGGGTCCCAGCCGGCGGCGGCGGAGTACCAGGAGAGGATGGTGGCGGGGGAGGGGAGGCCGGGGGTGGCGCCGGGGAGGAAGGAGGGGTGCGAGACGACGGCTATGGCTTCGGCTTGGAGGAGGTTGATGGTTGATGGGGGGGTTGAGGAGGATGAGGAGGATTGGGAGGAGGATGAGGACATGGAGGCGCTGTAGAAGGGGTGGAGGAGGTTGGCGAGGTCGCTGAGGGGGTGCCCGATGGTGCTCATCTCCCAGTCGAGGATGCCGGCGACGTTGGGGGTGGCGGTGTCGAAGACGACGTTGTCGATCTTGTAGTCGCCGTGGACGAGGGTGGCGCGGTCGCGGGGGCGCAGGGAGGCGTCGGCGAAGAAGGCCATCAGCTCGTCCATGTGCGGGATCTCGCCGACGGGCTCCCCTGTGTCGACGTCGCGCGTCCGCGCCTGCGCGTCGCAGATCTGCCGCCACGTCGCCAGCTGCCGGTCGTAGAACCCGCTGCGCTTGCCGAAGGTACCCAGCCCCACGCTGTCCGGGTCCACGCGGTGCAAGGAAGCCAGGGCCTCGACGGCGGCGCGCCAGAGATCGGCGCGCTCCTGGGGGTCCGCGGCCGAGGGCATGGCGGCGTCTTCGAAGATCCGCCCGCCGACGAAGGACATGATGTAGAAGGGCGTGCCGATGACGGACACGTCCTCGCAGAGGCAGTAGGTTCGGGGCACGGGGACGTTGGAGTCCTGGAGGGCGGAGATGATGCGGTGTTCGCGCTCGACCTTGTGGGCGGCTTGGGAGACGAGCTTGCCCGCTGGCTTCTTGCGCAGGACGTATCGCGTCCCGTCCGCCGCGGTGAGTTGGTATGTCGGATTCGATTGGCCGAAGCCGAACTGGGAGGGATGTGTTAGTCTGCCATAAGAGAGCGCTGCTTTGGCTAATTGGTTATATGTAGATTATAGAATTCCTTATTCTTCTTTGCTATACTAAACTCATTACCCAAGCCAAGGGCGGTCTGCATAAGTAGATGGTATATATGGGTCCCTAAGTGTTCACGATCACAAAAGTAATATCGAATAAGATAAATGGGAAGATATATATAGGACCTCTCATCAACTAACCTGCTTCACATCCAATGGCGTCTGAATTACCGGCACATTCTTGGAGATATAGCGTTCCAACGCCTTGGTATCTATCGCATGTCGCACGCGACCCGCCATCGCTCTCGAGAGGTAATCGATCGATCGATCGGCTAAACAAACAAGATGGAGAAGGAATTAAACAAAAGGGGAAGATAAATAAAGTCAATCAAATCAGCTAATCAAGTAATTGGCATAATTCAATGTTGTGCTGTGAATGAGGGAAGGAAAGAGGACGAATTGACCGCTCTCCATCTCGCTCGAAGCAGCCAAGGTCCGAAAAGAATTAACAAAAACAAAAAAAGCAAATTGACGGTTCGTCGTCATGAAGGATGCCGAGGTAAGCTACGAACCCGGCAGGCGGTAACCCTCTGCTCCACTTTATTAGCTGCTCCCATGGCCGAACCTTGCGGGGGAGGGGTAGTTACTACTAGTAGTACTAACCTAGCTCGGTCAGGTTAGTCTAAACGGCTAAGACCTTGGTCTTTTCAATTAATTGATTTTTGGACTACCTCTAATAGTACCTAGTACCTAGTAGTACATTACGTACCTAGGTACCTAAGGTACATAGAGTATGAAGCTCTGAGAATTTACTCTTAGAAATAACATTGATATATAATCTGCTTGCTTTTTTCTATTTACCATCGAAACACCTATCCCAGGTACATCAATATGCAGTTAAATGACCTTAAGCCTATAAAAGTACATCAAATAGGTATAGTTAACTATTTAAGCAACGTGCACAAAGGCTCGTTTCTTAACCTTCTGGGCATCTGTACCATCATCCCAATTCTCATCCACATATTCCTTGATTCCCTTATCCTGAATCTGCATCCCTGCTATCTTGAGCGCCGCTATGTTGTATCCCATCTCGTCTTTCTGCCTCTGCAGAGATTTCCGCAAGTTTGATCTGATTCCGTCCAACATAACCCGCATCGTTCTGCTACCCACTATCTGCCGATGGTGAGTCTTGAGCATGAAGAACAAGACTCTGCAAGTCAGGGGGATGTTCATTGATCGCATCGCAAACAAGTTGAGGAACGTGAAGAGCATAGGGACCGAAGCGAATGGCAGAACGAGTAATGCATCATTCAGTGCTGACGCTGCCGGTTTTTGGAGCACCTTCATAACGTATTCCTCGGCGCTAATACCGCCATGGGCCATGAACATCAAGTTCCGCTGAGGCGGTGCCACGTTCGGGTTGGCTGCCTTGGCCTCTTCCCATTCCTGCATTACGTGCAAGTCGGCCATGCCGAGTTCCAGCGCCTCTGCTATCCGTTCACCGTGATTTAACGTTTCTGACGTTTGTTTCGTTGCCGTCCCTACTTCTCCCTTTTCGTCTTCCCCGTCGAGATCTTGCTCGAGGGAGTGCGTCAATGTGCTCTCGTATAACTCCTCGATCTCTTTTTCCCTTTCTTCCTCCAAAAAGATCTGCTCATCTGTCTCATTCCAGGTTCGGATGCTCTTGTCGTGGCTAGCGCTGACAATAAACGGGGGCTCGGTGCTTTGGCTGATTGCCAGTGCCCATATCTCCCCGTGGTGACCATCGAGTCGTTGTATTTGCTCGAACTTGTCACCATCCCAGTATTTGATTGTTCGATCTTTGCTTGCGCTGAAGAAGTGATGGCCGTTTCCTTCACGATTATTCGGGACGAATTTGACTTGTAAAATACTGTCCTGATGCGCCAGCAGCGCTTTATGGCAATCACCAAAGTCCAACCCCCATATCCTGATGTTCTTGTCCGCTGAGCAGGTAACGATCAACTTGCTGTCGTACGAGATGTCCATGTCCAATACTGGTAGTTTATGGCCGTAGAGATTCAGATACAACTTTAAGGAATCCACGAAGAACACCTTCACTGTACTATCCAGCAAGGCAACGGCAATGAGTTTGGCGTCGGGAGAAAACTTGAGACTCAAAATATCATCCGAGACCTTCAAGGTTCGTGAATGTGACAGCTTTAAGCGCGAAGCGGTTCGGGTAGTCCCAAGAACCTCTTCTTGAATAACCTGGACTTTCCAGAATTTGGCCGACTTGTCGGCACTTCCAGACACAATGGATCTACCATCCGGGTGTATCTGCAAAGACCAAATCGCCCCCTCATGAGCCGTAACACTATCCAACAGAGTCCCTGTTGCCACCTCGAATAACTCAATCTCGCCGGTTTTGGTACCAATAACGACGAGCTTGTCTCCGGGTAAGAATGCACAACACAAGGCATACCCACACTCCAATGTTTTGCCACACTTCTGTGTCAACATAGACCAGATCTTGAGGCTTCCGTTAGATGCTGAAGCAAGCCACCTGTCGTCGGAGCTCAGGGAGAGCGATCGGATATCCGCTCGGTGGCCAGGCATTTCGATCGACAGTGCTCTCTCGTAGTCGGGAACGTCTTGTTGCTTTGACTTCCCGCTCTTCTCTTTCAGGGGCATGTTGTATAGCTCCAGCTGGTTATTTGTCGTGCCGACCAATAGTTGAATCTTCTTCTTGCCGTGGGTCTCAGCCCAGTCGACTGACCTTACCTTTCCACCAGTTCGAATAATCACGTGCTGGGCGAAAGCATCAGTTATATCGGCTTTGCTAATGTCTTCCTCTTGATCTTCCTCTCCATCAACCTGCATGTCACTACTCTCCTTCTTCTGGGCAAGCTTCTCCCGTCTCCTCTTCCTCTTTCTCGCCAAGCTCTTCTTGATCTCAGCTTCATTACGTATCCTCCATATCTCGACAGACTTTTCCGATCCGTGTACGGCGAAATAGTCTCGACGACCGTGGAAGACAACTTCGGTAGCTTTGTCCTTTCCGTGTCGGAATAGGGTCCCTCGGTCTCGTAAATACTGTATGTTGGCAGACATATCGACCTGTTGTCTCGACGCGGCTAGCGCAGCAGCATCAAGAGCCCAGACCTTGAGCTCGCCAGCATTTCCTGCTGTTATGCACCCACTATAATCTGGAGAGAGCCCTAATGCCCAACATTCGCCATTTGTCTGTGCTATATGGGTTTCGATGCAGTGCCTCGACCCCAGATCCCAGAGTTTAATCAGTGCATCCTTTCCAGTGGTGAGTAGGAAGCCTTCGGAAGAAGAGTCGCCGGTATTTTCGAGAACCATAGCTTCAGAATCATCCCCTTCAACGACCTCTTCTTGCGGCTCCACGAATTGTAGGCCGGTAATTTGATCTTTATGGCCGCGAAGTTTGAATTGGCCGACTTCTGCGACAAGATCCCATACAATCACATTAGTATCTCTCGAACCACTCGCAAGTCGGACACCAGATCGGTCGAAGGTCAGGGTGGTGATTGCCGAGCGATGCCCATTGAAAGTGATGAAGGGACTCGGGTCCTTGCTCCGCCATAATCGAATGCTACCATCTTCGTAACCAGCAGCGAACAGATCCTCGTTGATTTTGCTCTGGGCGATGGCAGTCACCTGTGCAGAAGATTTCTCATCTCTCCACCGTTCAACTATATCTCCGGTCTTGATATCCCAACATAGAAGCTCTTCATTCGCTGCGACAATGGCTTGGCCGGCACCGGTACTCGAGAGATTCTGCTGGGTCCAAAGGATATTTGAGGTACTGGATGTAACGAGACCAAACGATTTTGAGTACTCGTACTTTCTTTAATACAATGGCGATTAGCATATAATATTTGCGACAACATGTTAAGTAGTTGGAACTCACAAGTAGGACTTGACCATGGTTGCGACCGGTTTGAACCATTAAAGATTTCAGTTTTATTTTATTTTATTTCTTGAACTTTTTTTTTCCTTTGACAATGAAGGCGATAATAATAATATGTTATCGATAAGCAGTTATCAGTGTATCTACTATCTAGTAGCTGCGACTGCTGCGTCAGCCAGCATCAAGCCAGCATCAAGCCAGCATCAAGCCAGCCAAACATCCCTGTCTTGAGCCCCACCAAACCTGAGCCAGCCACATGCAGCATCCAAGGTTGATCGAAACCTCTCTGCTGCACTACAATCATTTCATTACTCTGATCCCCATTCAAGCTTGCTCACCTTACAACCCTCATAAAGCCTCGAAGCTAGCACATCAGCCAATTCTCTAGCTCACCGTCACCATGCTGCTTCTAGACTACCAAAATGTATTAATAGAGTCTATACTCAAGGAGAGGTTCTTTGGGTAAGAGTAGCCCGATTTATTGACCTCGAACCCTTAACTAACATCTCACCCCCTTAGGGCCCCTCCCGCCTCCATCGATCAGACCGTCTCCGACTTCGACGGAGTTATCTTCCATATATCTACACCCGAAGCGAAAACTAGGATTCTGGTATCCATTCAGATCCGATGCTATAACGATCTCGTCAAGTATGGAGCCGAGCAAGTCCTCCAGCGCGAGTACGGTCAATATGTTGTAGCACCAGAAATCGGTTATAACTTCTCGGTCCAGGTCGACCTAGATAACCTACCAGAGGAGAAAGGTATATTCAAGATGCATATCCGTAATCTTGATTTTGATAGTCGCAGTGTTTAACAGAGATTATAGAGGCACGAGAGGAGCTGGTCCAGAAAATCTCCCTGCTGAAGCGCAACGCCATGGCTGCACCCTTTGAGCACGCTTACACCGAATACTACAAATTGAAGGAAGCTGCTTCCAAATATACCTCCGAAGAGGCGCCCCAGGGTGTTAGTGAAGGCGGTGAAATTATGGCCATCCACTATCGTGATGAGGAGGCCATTTACGTCAAGGCGAGCCACGATCGTGTGACCATCATCTTCAGTACCATCTTCCGAGAAGAAACAGACAGGGTATTCGGAAAGATCTTCATCCAAGAGTTCGTTGATGCCCGAAGGAGAGCAATTCAGAATGCCCCCCAGGTTCTGTTCCGAAACGACCCCCCCTTGGAACTACTGGGAGTTCCTGGAGTGCAGGCCACCGACAACGGCGAGGTTGGATATGTCACATTTGGTAGGTTCTACCTTGAAATTTCTCGGTGAATCATAAAATGCTAACCCTAGAAGTTCTTTTCCCGCGGCACCTAACACCTCAGCGAATGCCCGATTGTATCTCTCACATTCAGACCTTCCGAGATTACTTCCACTACCACATTAAGGCGTCCAAGGTACGAGGGAAAAAACCGCTCATCAACAACCCCGTATTTATATTAATGATATTAATAGGCGTATATTCACTCCCGTATGAGAAGGCGAACAGCAGACTTCCTTCAAGGTATGGCCTCTATTATAATCATGTTACGTTGCCATACTAATAAGTGCCACAGTACTCCGAAGAGCCAGGCCAGAGAACGAGGAGAAGGAGAGGAAGACAGCAAGCGGAAGAACATTCAAGGTTCAATCTTAGGAAAAGTGAGATACATATAGTAGCGATGCGTGAGCTCATACATACCCCTGTGCACGCAACAACTAACGAAGAATGCGACAACGAATTGACAAAAATGAAAATGTCACCAAAACTTTGTTCTTTCCTTGTCTGTTGGCATAAAGTACCAAGCTACCTTGCCTACCTAGGTACTACATATGTAGATTTACAAGCCTGCAGTTTTGAAATGGGACAATGCCAGTATAGAGCCCTGTAGCGTGATTGATGATGCTTCGCATTTGCAGTAGAGAGTTCAATGTTATATCCAGCGACCTAGCTATACACACACTCAGAGAGAGAGAGAGAGAGCCATGTTAACAAGTCTATTTTGGAAAAGGGATGAGCATAGAATTATATCTGTACATGCACACCTAAGCTGCATGCTACGATTATCTCTATACCTAAGACGATAACTCCGCCAGGCTCAGCTAACCAGAGTTTGATAGCCAACACGTCCCTACCAGATACTAAGTTGAGTAGGTAACGCGAAGATGTCTGTCTGTCTTACCTTACCTTACTCCCCCCCCCTTTCACTTCTTCACCTCTTCTCTCTCGTAAATCCTGGACACCTATTCAAGAGTATACCTAGGTACGGAGCGTGGGTTCTTGCAAGAGTTATAAGAGCTGTACACCTAAGCTATGTAAAGGTAGGTAGGTAGGTAGGTAGGTAGGTAGGTAGGTAGGTAGGCATGTGGATAATTGTGGATTGTTTACCTATTATTCTTACCACTTCTACCTACCTAGTAGCTATTGAGGTCTACATAGTACATTTGAGATACACTGGGTACCTACCTACTTTCCCACATCTGAGCTTACTAGCCAGCCAGCCAGCCAGCCAGCCAGCCAGCCTCCCTTTCCTGCTAGACTTAGGTTGGTATTCACCTATGTCAGTCAGCCACCCCTTTTGTGTCCCCATCCGGATTTATCTTATCATACAGTAGGTACACAACACTTGACCCGATCCATACACACTTCCACACAAGCCAAGTAGAGGGAGAGGCGCAAAGTGGGAGATGATGAACATCAATCATCCTCAATATCGTCATCACTCAGCACAAGTTTCTGCACCGATGGCAAGTCCGCCGTCGCCGTCGCGTCCTCGTTCCTCTTCTGCCGTATACTACCGCCGAGACGGGGCTTCTTCCGCGGCGAGGCTCCTCCCCCTTCCTCCGTCGGCTTATCCGTAGCCCAGGCCTCGCCCTCCTGCTCGTCGTCTCCGCCATCTAGCGCCTCCTCGTCTGCAGCGACATCCCCACCGATCCCGGAGAACGAGACAACCTTTTCGATATCCCGCAGCCGGGCGGCGCCGACGGCGCTTCTTCGACCGCGTGCTATTTGTGCCATGTATGGCAGCCGCTCCAGTAGCAGTTCTCTGCGAGCTGAGTTTCCGAGAAAGAGTAGCGGTGGCGGTGGTGCTGCTTCTTGATCCTGTTCGGTCCGTTTAGGTAGAGTACCGCCGTACCGAGATCTCTGTTGGTTGCTTGGTCCTTCGCCAGCATCAGCTACCATGGGCTTAGGCCGCATGAATGCGGAAGCGCCCTGCGTGATATCATGTCCACCTTCGTCTCCTCTTAGCAGCTTTGATGCCCAACTGTCAAGGACGCCTTCTAGCTCTTCCTTTTCCCGCCATAGCTTGAGGCTTGTGGGATAGTACATCTTGAAAGCATCGCCACCACTCCGTGCGGATGTTTTCGTCATTCGTTTGACTGGATTTGGGAGGGAGAATAAAAGCCCCCTCGTGGATACCTGGAAAGTAATTTCCTCCTGTCTCAGCACGTGGCTAGCGGAGTCTCGTCCAGCAAATGTCGACGACGACCCGAACCCCTGACCACGGAAAAATATATCCGATGACGGTGCCATTAGATCACTTTCGGAAAGGTGTTCGATGCAATCGTTAATATAGTCAAGTGGGCTATTTGGATCGGCGGGCCCTGTTGACTGGCAAGAAAGGACATAATTTTCATAAAGGGATGAGATGAAGGTATGTGTGTCAGTGCCAGTTTCGTCCATGAGGCTATCCACGGATACCTCAGACCGTTTGGGCCTGGCACGATGAGCCAAATAATCAGGCAGTATTTCAGCTTGACCTTCAGGTGTATCCCGACTCATCGGCTGCTCATCCCTCCGGTTGTATACCACCTTTCCAACGGCATGAAATATACCCAAAGTTGCCTCTCGTCGAGAAACAAGTTCTAGGCTCTCGACTTCACCTGGAGTTAGCGAAACCGCATTTTTAGCCCCGCGCTTAGGTTTTGTGAAGGTAACCTTAGATCCCCAGTCTGCGTCCGTATCCCCTTTAAGACAAAGGAACTCGAGTGACGAGATTGCACTTCTGATGTCCCCTATTTCGCCTAATCTCTTTAGTACAAGTGGCCCTGGAGTTCGCCGCCGACCAGATTTACGGGCTTCTTTTTGTACTATTAGATCGAGCGCACTCGCAAGTAAAGTAGGCGCAACAGCATTGAATTCAATGATACAACTGCCAGGATGCCGAGTGATCTCAGGTCCTAGTAACCGATAGGCAGTAAAGCTATCAGCAGATGCTGAGGTAGTGGTCAAAAGGGTTTCCGATATGATCATAACGATAGGTGTTATAGGGGCTGTAGAGACCTGACGACCAAACGTAGCGAGAGAAGGAGTATTCGTGGCTAAATATTGTAGTATGGTGTTTCGAAAAGCAGTTAAAGCCGTCGATGAACGAGTAAAGGTATTAGGAAATTCCTCAATGACGATGATCTTCTTCGTTTTGTCACTACTATCACCTTTGCCAAGACTTGGAGGAGCTGAATCAAGATCAGTGTCTAGTTGACCAAATTTCCCACCTTTTCCCATAAATTCTTCAAATTGTGCTGAAGCTGACTGGAACCCCTGATTTGAGCCCAGCATACCAGCAGGATTCCTCCACTCGAGAAGCTCGTAGCCCATATCCCGAGCGAGGAGTCGAACCGTGGTAGTCTTCCCCGTTCCAGCTGCACCTTTCAGTATAAGTAATCGCTGGCGCATACGTCCAGCCATAACCTCTTCCAGCCAACGGCGAACATCTGCTACCTTTTTTTTGTGCACGACGAGTTCTTCCAAGTTTACAGGCCCAAAGCGTTCGGACCACGGCCGTTGACCTACCTCAGGAATTGGATCTTGCCGGGGACGAGGTGGTTTAAGAAATTTCTGGCTGGACATGACGGGTAGACCACTGGAGGACTGAGAATTATCTCGTTGGCGCTTACGAGCATTCTGGCCAACTCGACTGGTTACTGCGGCCCTATATTCTCCTACATCATCATCGTCGGATATATCATCGGATATTAGGTCATGTATGATTTCATTTCTTTTTGACGGCGACGCGGTTGATGCCCGTTGCGCTTGTCTCGAGAACATAGACACGAGATCAGCCGTCTTCTCCTTTTCAGCCCTTTTCCCCTTCGTGTACGATCGGGTTTTAGGTTTCTCAGGGCTTGTACTAGCGCTCTTGAGTCCATTGTTGATCGTTTGTAGAGGTTGCGATACCGGCTTTGAAGGTTGGGAAACTAGCAATCGAGAGGTCCTTTTTACAGGACTCGGCGACGGGGGTGCCGCTCGAGATGCATCGGTAGTGGTAGTAGACTGATTTTCAGGAGATGAGTAAAGGTACCGAGACAGAACATTTGTCTTTGTCTTTGGTGTTGACTCTTGTTCATCGTCGGAAGAACCATGGACGATGTTTCGTTTCCGACGCTTCGTTGGTGGCGTCGCCATAACGATCAGTTGGGTGTGGGAGGCACGGCATCTGCTAGCAAGTGATTGAATTCAGTGATGCAATAGCAAGCTAAGAATCCTGTTAAAGTCAATTTAATTAAAGGGTAAAGCTTATTGTTGGAAGTTTTGAGTTATTCACTTCCTAATCGTCATTAAACAAAATGGACAGAGCAAGTTGAGGGACCTTCCGTCATTTCCATCCCCATGGAGCCGGTAAGTGCGCTCGTATGTACCTACAGTAGGTGACAAGGTAGCGCGTTTTCTAGCCGCTTACCCTCTGTAACTTTGATGCGAAATCATGTGATCAATTAAACTTGCATCCTCACTAGTCCAATTCTACGATAGACCTTGCCAGGTAAATTACGGTATTACCAAGCTTACCTAGTCCTATGCAACTTCTATAAGTCCCCTCAAGTTACATAATTGCTTCTAATTCATACCTGATGAGTATACGACTATTATTACTTAAACATGGCTGGTTTGAACTAAATAATTTTGAAGCTTTTCGTAAATTTTATAACTATTCCTATTTTCTTTTACAAACCATTACCATTCTGCCCTCGTCCTGTTCTGTCAATCTGGCTGTCGACCTAGAATGAATGAGCTTAAACTTAGAAGTCATATCGCCACTTACAAGCACAATTTCAGTCCATATAAAAATCTGAAAACATTACGCAAATGTCCAACCTTGGAAATCATCCGCAAGTCGTACGGCAGCTGCTAGATATCGTTCATGTACATCTCCCCAAGTATGAGCTGCCTCCTTGATCGCGCGCAGAGCTATAATACGTGAGTAACTCAAAAACTACTTGGGCGGTCATCTAGTGGTCTTACCTTTGACAAAATGAGCATCGGTGGCGTAAGGGCCTGTCAATGCTTTGTCGTCTACATAATTCCATTGCTTCCCGGCCACATCTCCGGGTTTAATATAATCAGGGTCAATTTTCGGTCGGAGCTCAGTGATATAGACAGCAATCGTAAACAGCCACCATTGTCTCACCAATTTGATACGGAATTCAGGCCGTATGAATGGAAGGAGTATTCTAACGGCATGGCTTGTGGTGAGCACGTGACACGTGTAGAAGCTGTATGAATGAGTTCCGGGTGGCACCGTCGCAACCAAGAGAGCAACCGCAGCTTCCTGTGAAAGCTCGAAGTCCTTTACGGGGTCATCGAGGGTCCACGCATTCCAGTACTCCAAAACGAGGTCTTCATGCTTCTCGAATAGCGGCTCAATGTTGTCGGGTCCTGAGCCCTCAAACAAATTATCCAGTCGTTCGTCTTTCTCCATCTTTTGACAAAGTTCCAATGGTGAGGATGACTTCATTGAAGAAGACTTCGTATACGAGTCATCATCGATGTACTTGTGAAGGAAGTTGTACTGTGTAGCGGCCATGCCGAGTGCCTCCATAGCAACCTCGCGACTATCCACCTCATAGGCGTACCCGAGGTGAATAAGGGGATGTCCGACTAGCACAACAATAGTTAGTCACCACGCATGCACATGAAAATACAAATCACGGCTGGGGGTGAACGTACGACCTGCAACTAAGCAGTTGATCAACGGTTCGTTCCCGCTGTACAAGTATTCCTCCACCACACCCTTCCACTGATAGTTATGCGTCAATGCAAGAGAATCTTCGAAGAAGTCCACGTAAGCACGTTGATATCTCGGGTCCCCGAGAAAGTCTCTCCAGTCTTCTTGAACGATCTCGGCCGGTGACGGCTTCCACGGTTCAAGGGTTTCAGCTTCGACATCATAGATCTTGAGCAAGTGCTGTACGTCTGCGCCAAGAATATAAGCAGAACCAAGTATATGTGGTAAATGGTTATGAAAGATTAGATTGTGGTAGAGGATGGAGTGATTAACATGATTTGCCTTTAGAAGATGCTTAAGGGTTCTCGGTCGCTTCTCAGGCGCCGTCTCCACATGGTGAACCTCAACTGGTGGGATCTCGATAGTACGAACCCGACTCGTACTGGGAACGAGCCGGTTCACACCAGGAACATAGGACAGTATTGATGCCATATTGGACTTTTCATTAGAGCATTGCGAACTTTCGATGTCTCGATGTTGAAGTGTGGCGTGAATGAAAATGACGTAACAAGTAGAGGGCGTGTGATCTGGAGACGTTGTTCAATGATGTGATGTATAATACATATATATATTTATGCACTTAATCAGATATCGGTAGTTTGAAATGAGGGTGGTACTCGTTATAAGGGTCTAACCTAGTTATATGTTTCTATGATATTTATGTACCTAAGAAGCTATTATTGAAGCTACCTAAGCAAGTAAATAATAACTAACGCTAAGCTTAGTGACATTTTATCCACTTTAGTCTGTGCATTTTATTTGTCTTCGTAACCCTGAACAACTCAATTTCAACAAACTTCCCGAGTCCAACAACAACAACAATAACAATAACAATATGAGTGCATCTCAGCCAATCTTGCTCTACGCTGAACTTCTATCAAATATACGGCAAGTTTCTATCGGATGTTCGTTGCATTCGCCAAGTTCATCTGACACTCAGGTCATCGTCTCACCTGACGGGCTAGAGTTCACTGTCAATCATGATGGCATAAAAACATCCATCCGTCTTCCAGCATGTGTCTCTTCGCCTCAAAAGCTTTCAGTGCAAAATCTAGACACTAAAAGTCTATCATGGCGGCTACCGCTTTCATCCACTCTAGGACAATCTAGAGAGTTCTTGAACGCGTCCGAGGAGCAGGCTATTCCGTGGTCCGCTAGTGATCTCCAATCAGAATCACCCATCGCCTGTAGAACATGCCATGCTGCGATCGTCGAGTCTGGCCACATAAAGGTATGGAAAGATCTGCCAAGTGAAAATTGGGCGGAGATGATGGAGTTTTGGCACTGTCATAAACCGCATGATCACGGCCATGGTCATGGTGATGACCTCACTTCCAAAGGATACGGTGCAAGCTCCAGGATATCAGCCCAATCCGGTGTGGGATTTGTGGACCTGACTTCATTCTTGCTATCAGAAACGGACATCTCCATGTCAGCTGTGAGTCTTTCTCTCTTCCAACCATTTAACTGGGTAAATAGAAGGTGGCCAGACCGGCTTTTTAGCTCCTCAATGGTATGGAAACCGATACTCTTACCCTAGATTGATACAATCCTTCCATTTTGGTATGCAGGCGTGGGACCCTAGGCCTGCGGCTATGGGATCGACATCTGCATACTGGAAGGTGCCTCTGATTTTCACTAAGAATCTCTCTTGGATGTGGGAATTTGGGATTATCTGGAGGCACATTTCCTACATTTCCTACATTTTCCAACCACTCAAGTATCTAGTATCAAGCAATACTGGAAGCCTTGCTAATGCAGACTTCTATAGATAACCCATTCTCCACCATCATTAGAGTCCCACAACAGAATAGATGACCCTGATAAGAAGCCTCAAAATGACGAGTCCCATGATCTACAAGTTACAAATCTACCCGTCTTTTGTAGTAATTGCCATAACCAGTGTGGAGTAATGGATAGCCAGGGATCTTCTGCTTCTTTTTCTTTATTCAAGTGGCAAGTTCATGTCAACGAGAAGACACTATCAGACTCTGAAATACTGCCTACACTTTCTCACTGCGTTAGTGCAATGCTTCTTGCAACAAGAGCCAGATCAGGCTGTTCCAAGTCCATCATGATACCGATGAAGCAACAGGCCCCGCCAACTCAAGGCATTCCGCCAGTAAACAGCATAACTGAATCTGAGTCACTACTGAATATATGGGTTTGGAACACCAGCATTACTTTCTCGTCTTCTATGGAAGCAAGGTCACCTATTAAAGCCATGAAAGTATTTTATCGGATGGTTGGCCAAGATGAAGCGAACAAAATGCTCGACTCCATGACATCAGACGTCCAAGACATCACCTTGCCGGCAGATGTAATTAATACCATTATACATATCTTGAGAAGCAGTAGCCCTTTGCTGCCGCAGAGTAATCAACAGTACCTCAATTGGACTGTCGGTCTTCTAGAGAAATGGGAAGAGCGCTGAAGTATGCGGGCTAGGTTCAGTTGGTTATCACTAGTGATAGATAGGTATTACCAGAACCTAGCCATCATGTATCTATAGCCTGCCTACCTAGGTAGGTAGTTGGCCTAGTATAGAATAAGGCATCTCGTAGGTTATAGCAATTAATGAATATAATGTAGTCAGGCACCTAACATCACGTGTACACATGTGTCTAAGGAACAATGAGAATATCATGCAACTGCCAGAGTATTCTCTCACATATCTATACAATCAATCTCTTGTGTGAAGGGCAAGTGTATGAGACCTTATATCTGCATTCGTATATATATACATAGCGATAGATTTAGTATGCTCAAACACCCTTAACGGGCCGTACCGCACGTATGGCCATGTAAGGTACACTAAAATCACACAGCAAACTGCAATGTGGAAGCTTGAAATGCAGGTTTCTTTTGACTAATGCACAGGGTGTTTATAAACACAGGTGGAGGGTACAAAGGAAATATCTCTCTGCACCATCATGGAGTATCTGTCTAAAGCTGTCTTGTCTATTGGGGTTTAGCAGAGACGATTCCTATAGACATGGTTAGCTTGTATACTCGTAAAACCAGAAGCCAAAAATAGACTCACTCTCTACATCGGCGATGCTTTGCTGTAGGATTTGCTGAAGAGCTTTGGGGTTCTCGAGCTCCTTCTTTACCTTGGCGATGATGGACTCGGCTAGCTCCTTCTGCTGGCGCTGCTTGACCTGGCCCTCATATCGCACCCACGAATCCAAAACCGACTTGGCTTCCGCCGCAATGGCAGTGGATTGTTCGAGCTCGTACGCCTGAGCCTCGAGCTTGGCGGTTTCCTACAATTAAAATTAGCCCTCATATCACAACCACAGTTTCTTCTTATGATGGCAAGCGGACCTTTGAGACTTCGAAGAGACCCTTGGTAATTTCAACGACACCTCCCATCTGCTGAACATTCTCAATGCGGTTCTTGACAGCCTGGGTGTGGTCAACACGGGCGGCGTTAAGAATGCCCTTTATCTTCTCGTTTTGCGCCTCAGCCCATTGGGTGTACATAGGGCCACCGAATTTGATTATAGCAGCCCATACGCTAAGCAGACAGAATGCGACGACAGACTCCTCGTTGACGATGTAGTACTCGTTGCTGATGGCATATATGGATAGACCGGCAGCGGAGGATAGGATGGCACTCTTGGAGATGAGCGAGTTGCCGGGCAGAGCATCGATGATAGACTGGGCCTTGGCCTTGGGCTCGGTAGTGGTGGGAACGTTGGATGCCGGTCGGGCCACAGTCAAAGATGTGATTGCGGGAACGGATCGCGGGACGATTGACGGTCGCAGACGGGCAGCCCCTACAATATTGAATATTCCTGCGATTAGAATGGAGATCCCTCTCTCTCAATTGGCATCTTAGTGGTGAAATTTAAACTTACCGAAGGCACGAGTAGCCAAGCGGGAGGCCATTATGAGATTATGACAAAGAGAAGGCGAGTTCAGGTAAGGAGGGTTGACTTTGGATTTAATTCACTACTTGTCTAGAGGAGCTTTCGGAGAATTGAGGTCGATGAGGTTTTAACGGAACTTCGCACTAAACTTGACTTAATTCAGCTTACCTAAACCTACCCAGCGTTCCTCCTCTTCCCGTGGTTGGCCGTCATTGGTTAATCTAGCACGTGATTTACCGATTTTACTTTCACTTTGGATTGTAGACTCCACTTTTAAAATCGATCGGAACTCAGCCTTGTAGTAATCTTTCTCAAGGCTGTTTTTTTTGTTAATCCTCATTTAACTTTTTTTTATTTCTTGCCTCATTCCTCATTTCGATCACCACAACCAATCGTGCGAAAATGCCCAGCACAGTTGGCGAAGATTCCTTAAAAAGGAAGCGATCGAAAACGGCTTCTGACAAGGTTCATAAACGTGCCAAAGCAGAAAGTAATGATACCGACGATGATCCCCAAGCCGAAATTCTGCTTCTTGAAAATGCGATCCTCGAGTCTAAAAAGAACTACAATAGCATAACGACCCTTCTTGAACTTGCGCAAAAAGACAGCGATGATGATTCTACTCAACTGGCCCTGGTCTCATTGTGCAGAGTGTTTCTTCGTCTACTCGCAGCGGGAAATTTGGCTAGGCAGGAAGGACAGGCAGAAAAGGATCTCGTAGTCATACAATGGCTGAGGAAAACTTTTGGCGGCTACAAGCAAACTATCGTCGATGCGCTAGGTCATGAGAACTCTGCATCGACCGCTTTGACCCTGGCTATGCGTATCCTGCAAGCCGAAGGTCAATATATGACTGATAAGGGTGAATCCAGTTTCCCCAAGGCTTTCTTGAAGGATATAGTGGATGCGCTTGTTCGCTGCGATGATGAAGATATTCGACAAGAGTTTTGTGAAAAGTTCTTAGGCGAGTACGCCGATATACGATTCTATACTTTTAAGGCACTCCAGTATGTTATTATGGCTTTCCCCCCTAATTAGGTTCGTGATATTAATCATTCTACAGGGATGTTCTTTCATTAGATCCCGAGGAAAACCTCGAAGGGAGCTTTTTTGATAATGCCTTCGACTTGTTGTCCTTCTTCGAGGATGTTCCAAGTTCTACAGAAGATATGGGCGAACTTTACGTTAAAGTACCCAAAAAGAAAGCCAATCTAGTTATGTCCTTGAATCAGCAAAAGAGACAAGCCCAGGAAGCGTGGCTAGCACTGCTAAAACTTGGACCCAACCGGGAGCGACGGAAGAAGGTGTTACAGATCATAACTAGATCTATAGCCCCGTGGTTTACCAAGCCAGAGCTTCTAATGGACTTCTTAACGGATTCGTACAACGCCGGAGGCGCCACCTCCCTGCTGGCCCTGTCAGGAGTCTTCTATCTGATACAGGAACGGAATCTAGATTACCCGTTATTTTATCGGAAACTCTACTCATTACTAGATGCGAATATCCTTCATTCAAAGCATCGATCCAAGTTTTTCCGCTTATTAGACACGTTCCTCTCTTCGACGCATCTTCCCGCCGTCCTGGTCGCAAGTTTCATCAAGCGAATGACGAGATTGTGCCTCAATGCCCCCCCTGCCGCTATCGTTGTAGTGATACCCTGGGTTTATAATCTCTTCAAAAAACATCCGCTTTGCACATTTATGATGCACCGTGTACCGCGGACTCCGGAAGAGAAGAAGGTTTTGGAAAATGAAGGAATGGAAGACCCTTTCATTGCCGACGAAGAAGATCCAATGGAAACGCGCGCGATTGATAGCTGCTTGTGGGAGGTTGTTCAGCTCCAGTCGCACTATCACCCGAACGTTGCGACCATTGCGAAAATAATATCGGAGCAATTCACCAAGCAGTCCTACAACATCGAGGATTTCCTAGACCACTCGTATAGTAGCGTAAGTCAAATCCGCCCTAGTCCTGCGCACTAATTCCTGTTTCGCTTACGATTCTCTAGTTACTCGATGCGGAGCTATCAAAACAGGTCAAGAAGGCACCTGTTGTGGAGTTCATGATTCCCAAGAAGGTATTTCTACCGCAGGATCTAACTTCGGAAGCTGAGGACAAACTTCTAGCTAAGTTCTGGGACTTCCAGTGATCGCCATTCAGATCTTTGGTATAGTCCAGGTATACGCGTCAGGTAAACAGGGAATCCTCGGTAATCAGCCTTCAAAGGTTTACGAGTTGGAGGTTACTGCGGCTGTTGGTCCGATGTTGCTTACGGCTATCCCTTTCCTCGTAGCCTGGCGTGGGTCGACGCCAAAGGAATGGGTTCGTCTTGTTGCGAAGCCACTCACCGCCCCGATTAAATACAATCTATCGTCGCGGACTCTATTTTCGGATCAAGGCTGCGAAGAATTGCTTAGGGCCTTCCTTGTACTTGTCTACGGTTCCTTGCAACTTCGTGCTACAACGGCAGTATTAATTTAGTACGCCGATGCAAGGTACGAGTTGACAACCTGCTGCGCATCGTTCGATTCTGGAACTTGCTTCGACGCGCAGCCTCAAGCCCCTCTACCTTGCCCTACGTAACGCGGGGTGGGGAAATAACTATTTCTAATGTTCAAGTTGGATGAGAAATACGTTTCAGAACACTCAAGTCCCGACGAGATGAGTGGACCAGATTCACATGAAGGATCTCCAACCGTATATCGAATACGTTCATCGAATATAGCATTTTAAGAGAATCTACCTGATTTAGGAGCGAGCTGCGCAAGGTTCTCCCGGACTACCGGTGCCACACCGCCATATTGGCTGAGATCTAATCCTGATTTGAGAGCAAACAAGAATTCTAGTTCAACTTGCTAGAATGAAATAGCAATTGCACATTGACAAGAAGATGAACTTCGACGTCGCTTTCCTGCTTGTGTGATAACAGATTAGATATGACTCATTGTTTTTCACACCCCCCCTTTAAAAGGATTTAAAAAAAATATTCCAAGGAGTTATCGGGGTTCCTGCTGGTCGAACGTAATATTGCATGTGGACAGTGGAGCCAGACGATACCCTACTCGATGAAGCTGCAGGTCTCCGATGAAAAGTCAGATCTGAGAAACGGCCTAGGAAGGAGGGTACCTAATAGGCACACCAGAGGGCCATTCTACTCCGAAGGCGTCCACATCGACAAATCCAATCCCAGGAAACGGCCCCTTGAAAAGTACGGCGGGGGCAAACTTGGAGATCGACTAGAAAAAAAAATATTGCACAATTATATGGTATTGTCCCCATCGTCGCCCTGATTTTTTATCCCTTTGGGCAGGAATGGTGGTTTCGTATTTGACTATCAGTCGTAATACTCCATGCTAGGATCTATGGTTCGAAGCTGGTTGGTTGGACTGGTAAAAACTGACACTCACCGCTGGTTACGAGCTATCCCCTTTCGGCGCTGCGAGTCCCGAACAGGTGCGTATGTCTTGCACCCGGCAGGCCCAGACAAGAGCAGTTGAACTTAGTATTCTCCATTAACCCCAAATCCATCCTCTAATCGCGTCGAGATCGTACCAGAAAGGGATGTGATCAATTCTTATGTGCGACTGGCCGCATAAAAGCCGGCCCGCTAGGTGTCACGGTGCTACCACAGTACGTGTGTGCAGTTGAAGTTCGTGCCTAACGAAGAGCTGTTCCGATCTGGGCAAGTGCTATTATACGGCATAGTAGTAAAGGGTCCTTCAAAGTCTTTGTGGCATCGTCGGTATATCGGAATAAGGGCCCCAGTCGGTGTAGGGTAGCACGATTGACTGAGCAGCAGCTCCCCTCCAACCATAACGTCCTGTTTCATCCACACCGTGTCGCAGTGGTGAAGGAGCCCGGTGCGTCATGCCCAAAGCTACCTAGGTACTGTATTCGTGCCCATTATTTTGATCTAGAATCCCAAGCCGTTCACTTCGCGTCCAATCCGGTAGCAAGTCAATATTGCGTATCGCGGGTAGAAGGCAGAAGGCAGAAAGCAGCAGAGGATTAGAGGGTAGAAACGCGCCGCGCCAAGCGTGTGGCCTGGCCTCTCAAGCCGACCTGTGAGAGGTTACATAACTTTATAGCCAATCACTTGGGCAGGGCGAGCTCTTTTTTAGCATGCTCCTTTAGCATCAATGATGTACTGTATTAGCAATAGTAAACAACTGGATAGCACGTGCCTTTAAGCTCTCACTGGCGCCCTTTCCCTCGGAATGAAACGATCAGGGCTGATCACGAAGTTTTCATTCGTGTCATTCGGGCGTCAACCACAATTACCTACTGCGCCAGCACCAAACTATTCATTTTTTCCCCGGTTGGCTGCCCCGGCTGCGAACGTCTGGATCCTACGATCACCGAATTCCGGGTTAAAGTGGCTCGCAGTAAACTATTGCGTCCACTTGACTGTACTACTAGTAGTATAGATGTTGACAAGACGCGGTCTAAAAATTGGCCATGCCTACTCTTTTCAAACCAACGCCTTCGATCCTCTCCTGTGTACATACATACATACTTATTGATTCCCTTCGGCTTTTCGTCCGACTAATCTTTCCCGTGATGTATCGTATCCCCCCCTAGTAGAACCTCAAACAAGACCCCTCCACGAGCCATTCGTTACCTAAACCTGTCAGGATCTACGGCTGTGCGTCATGGCTCGAACCGGACAATTTTTTGTTGGTTCCTCCATCTCCTCTCTACGTTATAAACACAGTGGCTGAGCATTCCTTGAAAGATCACGGCTGTGGTTGGTACGGTACATTCGTGTCTGGTCTGTTGCTAGGACCACGGACCACGCAAGTCACGCAAGTCAATACCAATTTGATGGATGCGTGCTCAAGGCTCAGGACGCAGCTGAGGACGGACCTGAAGATGGACCTTGCCTTGAGCTTGAGGATGCAGCTGGATATGTATCCACGGGCTTCTACCAAAGTGCACTTTTCTCCTCTCCTCTCAAATATGACCAAAACACTTTAGACCCCAGCCCCGGAAGACCCGCCCGTCAACAGGGTAGCGCCCCATCTTACCAAACCCGTTACAAGAAACCGAGGGTTTAGAACCGGGTCCCATCGTCTGTGCTCAATTTTCCACGGCTTAGCCTTCGCCATTCTTGACTATTTTTAACGTTCTTTTTGACAAAGATCGCCTTCACCGCAAGAATCTCGCGATTGGTCGAACCAGCCAAGTCTGACTAGATGCTCTTTTTTTTCCCTTCTCAGACTAAACATCGCAAGTCCCGCGGAGGCAGAAGAGATTTGTTATGAATTTCTTATGAACGTCGCCGAACGGAGAACACGAAATTTCAATTCCCACCGGGTAGTTGACAAGATGCCGCGAGGTTGAAGCAGCGACGCTCCCCAAGTTTTCAAAAAACATGGGTTGGACCAAAAAAAGATCGACGACCCTAGACTCCCGGTCTCGCTTCAATCTGACACTTGAAAATAGTCCCGGCGTCCCGTTCCGAGATCTAGGTAATGGGCCATAGAGGAAAGCACAGGACAGGAAAAAAAAAGAAAGCACAGAAATTATGCTGGAAATGCCCTCGATGCGAAGAACGATTCTCGGTTTATCGTAATAACCCCGTGATTTAGTAGCAAATTACGTAGGTAGGTAGATAGGTAGGTAGGGCGGTGCTGCACTATGTAGGTACTTTCATTCTTTGCGGTTCTATGTATAGCATAGTCAGTGTTTGCTTGACATCGAGACGCAATAAGCGGCCATGTCATCCATGGCCGTAGGAATCCTGGACGCCAAAAGTGTCAGGCCGCAATCTTCATGTACATGTATGTATGTATCAAGTTCAGGCGCAGTACATCGGCTACACCTCAGTACATACAAACAGCAACAACCACAGCAACAACCACAGCAGCAGTAAGTAGCAGCAGCGGCGGCAGCAGCAACAACAGCAACAACAGACCTAGTTAGTCATGATCATGTGACACTAATCGGACAGAGCATCGATATCCGGAGTTTGCAGGAAGCCTAGTGGAAACCTAGGGTCGCCCGCTGGCCCGTTACGCTTTTGTAGGACGCAGCTCCTCGTCGGCGCCGGTCTTGTAGATACCCAGACATTCGTCATCCGACAGCGCTCATCGTCTCATCGTCTCATCGTCTCATTATTTTCGGTCATATCTTTGGGCGCAAGCTATCATGTAGCTACTCCAAAAGCTGCTCTAGCTAGGTAGGTATGCACAGCTCGGGAAGTGACTTTCATAACGGAAACAAGTTGAGAGAGAGGTTTCTAAAGTACATACTGTATGTATCGACTGATCGGGTCGTCAGTGCGAGATTACCTACATACCTATTATCTTTTATCACCCCACCGCAAGTACCACTGGTGAGCCATAGAGTGCCCGAGATGGCATCCAGCTGCTGTTAGTGGACAAGAGGAGCGCCCACAAGCACTCTGAGTGCATAGCTCAAGGTCTTTTAGGTAGCAATAGCCCAAATCATCGATGCCCAACGCTGGGGCTAAAGACGAGATTCAGCCTATCACATGAAGCTCGCTCGTAAACGGTTACCGGTTCAAGCCCCCCTAGTGCTTCCGTTTTGGTCTTGGCCGAACTCCATCCCGTCGATATAACAGCCAAACAATTCCATCTCGATTATTATTTGCCCAATCCGTGACGGCCATAAACCGACCTGAGGGGTTGCCGTATTGCCTAGTAGCACCTACGTTCTAACGACAATCTACTTGCCCTATGGTAATAGGAGCTTCTGGCTGCACGCCTAGTGGCACCATATGGAACGTATTCCCAGTGGCTGGAGGGCAGCTATAAGTATCTAGTTAGTCAGGGATCTTTGTAAGCTCTCCCGTCATGCTATGTAGGTTATGGTATGGTACCTAGGTAGGTAGGTAGGCAATCCACACAAACGGTATGGGTTGTATGGGTACCTAGGCAATCTCTCCATTGCCTAGTTCGGCTTTAGAGAAACGGATATTTTCCAGTTCTGAGGAAAAGACGGTAGATACAAGGAAATATATGTACTAGAAATACCTACCTACCTAGGTATACACAATGATAATATGTAGTATCTCGGTCCATGGCCTAAGGATTATTCAACCGACCGGATCACAGCCAACACCCCTGCCTGCACTGTATGTATGTACAGGGACCATACCCACGCCTTCTCAGTGCTCCCACACCATCTGTGCGTATGTACGCTTCACAGTACTAAGACCTAGATACATACATTAGATACATACTGACCTACCTACTATGTATACTATTGTATGTATGTATATACTTCTAACCCAAGGGAAAAGATGCTGTTCGCCAGTTTCGAAGCCATGAGACTCTATTCCTTCCTTCGCTTTCCCCACTAATGGCTTGAGTGACATTTTTTTATTTTGACCCTCCCCATGGACCACAAGTACATACATGTAATGCAAGAATCTTGACTACCTAGTAAGAAAAATGGTACATAGTACTATGTAGATATCTCCTTCTTTAAGTACGACGACAACTCCTCCTCCACCCCTCTATTTCGCCCCCCCTCCCCCGACATAACTTATAAGAAAAAAGCATCTTGATTGTTGTTGAGATCGTGAAATTACGCGATTTCCTCCTAGCAACATCTATTTACCTTTACTTTCTACTATCACCACTTTCTATTTCCTCTTCTTTTACATTCGCTCTGTTTTACATACAGACTTATCTTTGTAAGACGGATCCAGGCCGACTTTTTAGTACGACACAGCGACACAAGAGGAAAAAGCTGAAGCCGAAAAAGAAGTGGTAAGTGACTGTTTTTTTTTTTCTATCTATCCATCTTTCATTCTTTCTTGTGTATTGTGTGTTATGTGTGTGCGTAGTAACACAATTATTCCCACCTTCTATTATTTTTATTTTATTTAATTTTCTTACTTATTTTCACTTGACATCTCTCTCTCTCTCTCACGCTGCATATCTTCCACCTCCCCCACCATCCACCATCCACCACCCACTCCAATACTACTACTACCATCTTACCACTTACACCTCCAAACCCAACCAACCTCTTATCAGTCTCATACATCACTGCAACATTCCCCTCCCCATTGTCTCTCACATATTACAGAGAGAGCCAGCACTTATACCTACACCCGCATACATTGACACACAAACTATCTCTCACTCTCTCACTCTCTTACACACTCACTCTTACTCATTACTCATACTCTTGATCATCGTTTCGAACTTTGGTTTTCATTCCAAGTTTAGAAGCTTGATTTGAAATAAATAAGGGGAAAAGAGCAAAAGTGAGAGTTTTCAAGAGGAATCAGACGAGACAAGAGACAAGAGACAACAATAAAAAGAGAATAAAATCTTGTTATCCAAATCCATCAACACTAGTCCATAATCATTCTTCACCGCTGGATGCGCTCGATGCACTAACCATATAACCCTGCAGAGCGAAAAAAAAACGCCTACAACTTATCTTCGACTATTTTGATACACTTCCTACGTAGAGTTTTTGACTCTCGTTTTTTTTTTCTCCCTTTTCAAGACATTTTATCTTTTCACACACACACAGACCAGCAATGGTCTCAACATTTCACATGCAGGCCTTCTACCGGCCGAATCACTTATCCGTCGACACAAATGCGCAAAAGTACTTTGACGAAGAGGACAGCAACATCCTCGATGACCATATCCTAGACAGCAGCGCGATCGACTCGGGACTGGACATGTCGCCCCCCATGGCCGGTAGCCGGAGAGATTCCTTTGCTGTTCCGGGTTCGATATTCTCCCCCAAGACGGAAGTGGGCGATTGGCAATCAGTCGACATGCAGAGCGTCCCGTCAAACAACCCCTTCCTAGAGCCCCAGAACAACAACCCCTTCCGATCTGATCCCTCGCAAACCACATACAACTCGCAGAACCAGCCATGGTCGATGGGTCAAGGTTCCGGCACATGTACCCCCTTACAGTATGATGGTCTCGAGACAGCCTTTGACAACAACCAGTCCATCTTCCAGCAACGGCCTCTACAGATGCAAACACCCTTCGGCAATCCTCAACACCAGGTCCCGCTCTTCTCCAACGTTGGTCCCGGTAACTCCGCCATGCCCAATTCTCCGCAGAAGGATTGGATGAGTGGAGATTTGAAGAACCCGTCTATAGTCAAGCGCATGCGTCCAGATACCCCCACCATCCGGTCCCACAACGAGTTGCGTCGCGGCGATGGCATCCGCAAGAAGAATGCGAGATTCGACATCCCCGCGGAGCGTAACCTCGGCAACATTGATCAACTCATCGCTGCGACTACTGATGAACAGGAGATCAAGGAGCTGAAGCAGCAGAAGCGATTACTGCGTAACCGACAAGCTGCGCTTGACTCGAGGCAGAGGAAAAAGATGCACACGGAGAGGCTGGAGGACGAGAAGAAGCACTTCACGACCGTCATAAGTTCGATGGAGGAAGAGATGAACGAGCTTCACCTGAAGCTGGAGCAAGAGAGGCGCGAGCGAGAGTACCTGGTGGCCCACGTTGAGAACCTGTCCCTGGAGAAGGAGGAGCTCATCCGAAACCACACCATCGAGACTGGCGACCTCCGCAAGAAGGTCACCGTCCTGACCGACCACGTCCAGAGACTCGAGCACGCCGCGATGCCCAGCAACACGGGCTACTCGAATAGCTTCAACGACATCGACACCCTCGCCATGGACACGTCATGGGACGGCCTGGGCTTCATGAACGACTACCCGATGGAGACCGACGTCAAGCAGGAGCTCCAGATCGTGCCCCAGAAGAAGGCGGAGGTCTCGCTGTCGTCCGACGTCGAGAAGTCCACGACCCAGGGCGGCCTGCTCTTCATGCTCTTCCTCGTCGGCGCCTTCGTCCTCTCGAACCGCTCGACCCCCACCATCCCCAGAGTGTCCGAGGACGTGCGCGAGGCCTCGGCCACGCTGCTCAACAACATCTTCAAGGACGCCGGCGTCCCCAACAACGAGAACGCCATCGTGCCCGCCGGGCCCCAGCCCTCCGGCGGCGCCGACTGGACGTCGAGCGCCTCGGTGCCGATGGCGAGCGGCAACATGGAGGGCGTCGCGCCCTCGATGCTCGGCGACCTCGCGGACTCGCTCACGCAGCCCACGCAAGAGCAGACGACGGAGCAGCTGTTCTCGCTGACGCCCGCGCAGTACAACGGCGTGACGTCGCAGGACTTCATGCGCACGGCATCGGCGCGGTCGTCGAGCAGCCAGAACCGGCGGAACCTCGCGGAGGCGCTGAGCAGCATGCGCGGCAGCACGGCAACCGAGAAGCAGCAGCAGTCGGCGGCGGAGGTGTACACGCGGTCGCTGCTGTGGGACCAGATCCCCGGCGACGTCGTGCGGAACTTCGCCAAGATGGTCGCCGAGTGCAACAACGCCAACAGCGGTGGCGGCCAAACCTGTGGTGGCAACGACGCTAATTCATGACGGGTTTTTTTTTTTTTGGATGGGGGGGTATGAATGAATATGAATGAGAGAGGAATGAGAGAGGAATGAGAGAGAGGAAAATGAATTACAGTATAACGACGTTTAATGACTTCTAACGACCAAAATATGAATCACCATGACCACGAACCACCCAACCAAAGACACACAACAACAACATTGGATCGATTCCAAACACGGATCCAAAAATTTCTATCTATCTATCTATCTATCTACAACTACCGCTTCCAGAAGCGAAAAACACGCACAGCACAGCGCAGCACAGCACAGCACCAGCCATTATTATATCTTTGTCTGCTTTTTTTTTTTTCTTCTCCTTATCATCTATCTTCGCTTGTTGGTATTTAAATACTCATTTTTTTGCCTTCGGAATTGTCCATATTGTTTCTTTTTTTCCAACATCTTGCGTGCTCCCGCGCAAAATCCACCCCTCCCCCCCAAAAAATTCCAGATCCAATTGCTGCTCACGCACGCCGAAACGAACTACGACTTTTTTTTTCATCATCATCAGCTCATCATCATCATCATCATCATCGCCATTTCATTTTTGCGTCCATCGATCTTATCTCCTCCACATTCTACTTCCTTACCTTCATCTTTTCATCTCTCTCATCAAAGTCCTTGGAATTATCTATTGTCGAAACTTAGCAAGCGAGTCAGCATTTTTGATTGTTTTTTTTGATTGGATTGTTTTTGGAAACACCCTTAATCTTCTTCGGTCCGCTCCCAATTAATTTGGGATCGCTGACTACTTCTTACTTATTTTTTTTTTCCTCTTTGGCACCTTATCTTTTGTTTTTCCCGAATATTAGTCTTTTGTTTTTTTTTTATTGAATCAAATCAATCAATCGATCTCTATCGCTCTCTCTCTCTCTCGAGTTGTCCGTATATCGGTACAAACTACACACGTTTTTTTTATTACTTTTGCATGGCGAAAATTGGGGCGGCGGTCATATTTGGGAAGTGGACTATTGGCATGTAGGCCCGGTGTGGTTGAGGCGGCTACGGAATTTTCTTGTACAACGTTTTTTACGGGATCATTTGGGAGGGGGGATGGGGGGATTCGGGGGGAGTGAAGGGGGAAAGGGGGGGGGGGATGGTTGGTTGGTTGGTGGCAGAGCCCAGAGAGAAGAGGAAGAAGCCCTGCGTGGGAGGCACTTTTCCAAGTTTCGGACTGCCGCTTTTTATTTTTCCTTTTCCTACCTCTACTACTTCACCTTTCGATTCACTTGTCAAGCCCCGTCCCCGTCCTCCGTCGAAGTTCGTCTCTCGATGGAGAGATGTGTGAGAACCTATGAATCGGTTCTTACTTATTCAAACACGAGGACGGCCGTCGGGGTTTGTCTTTTATCGGCTCTTCTCCTTTATTTTTTATTTCCTTTTCTACCTTATTTCGCCTCCGAATAGGAGGGGAAATATTGATGGGGGGATAAGTCTCACGACATAATGGGGATGAGCTGACGAGAGATGCGAGCGAGACGTTTATTCTTTTTCTTTTATTCCCGCTCTTCCCTCCCTTTCTTCCCTCCCCTCTTCTCTCTTCCTTGCCTACCTAGGTACTTTGTTCTTTTCTTCCCCTTTCCGACACAGACGGGCGCCTTAATGATTTCTGGCCGTGGGGTTTGGTTTATGTGAGATTTTCAATCAATCGAAGAGAATGACGAGAAATATATCGCGGACAAACAGCACACAAGAAACTCAGCAGGCAAAGGGAAAGAAACAGACAGCTTACCAGTAGCTTGGAAGAATGGAGGACGTGGGAGGTGTTATGTTAGGGGGCAGAAGAGTTGGGAGAAGGGAAGAAGGGAAAAGGGAGGAGAGAGAGGAACGGCAAAGCAACAAAAACTACTTTGCCAATTTGTGTTCGTCTTGTAGCTCGTTCATCAAAGTCAGTTATTAGCGAAACGTCAAGACGGAAACATATCAAGAGACCCAGCACAAAAAAAACAAAGCCAGCCAGCCAGCCAAACCAAACAAAAAAATATGAATCTTGCCAAAAATGATCCCAAAAACATCTACTCTTCTCGCGCTCGCTTCTCTTGTGACCTCTTCTCTCTATCTACATCTCTCCTTATTTCTTACACACGCTCTTTATCTATCGCCATGCCTCGTATCGTATCTCATCATCTCTATCGTTACCATAGTATAGTAGTACCAAGTACATTTCAATGTCAAAAAAAAAGATCAAAATAACAAAAATGGAAAAAAAAAAAAAAATGAACCCCCCACCGGAAATTAGTACAGGCTGCCTGCCTACCTGTAGGTATCTTCATAGTAACTGCCTACCTCACTAACTAACTAACAAGCCATCTCCCTACCTGCCTACCTACCCTCTAGCCTATGCCGAACTTATGCACGATTTGGATACATTAGGTAGATTGACATGTCAGATCAGATTGGGGTAAGGTAGAGGAAGTAGTGTAATACGCTGACCTGCCTAAACTAGCCTCTACATTGTACAATAATACCTACCCACCTATCTAGTTAAGCTAGGTAGGTAGTTATAGCCAGTCATATTCATATAGTGGTCGTAAATAAATCGTAGTCATATTGAAAATTGATCTTCCTCCGTCCCAAAAGGGTAGACTTCTTAGCTAATACTGGGTTGAGTATTGAACTAATAATTCCTCGGATGGGATGGGGGGTTGTGTCCCATGAGAGATACGGGAAATAGTGATCTAGCAGGTAGATAGTAGATAGTAGTAGCATCTACTGTAGGTATGGAATCTACTATGGATAGTAAAATTCGCATTCTTAACTATCCCCGATCCTCCGAATTACCTACCTACCTACCTACTGTTACCCGTATGATTAAGAATTCCAAAAAAAAACCCTGTCATCAGGTAAAAAAAAAAAAAAAATATTCCCCAGATTGAAGCAGAGAGAGGAGGAGGAAAGAGGGGTTGATTGGCTGTCAGAAATCCAATAAGACGGCGTTATGTGCCAAGCCCTGCAACCGAGAAGCTCACATGCACCACTTTCACTTGCGTAATTCCTATTCGTCGTCTTCTTTTTTTTCCGACTCTCCTCTTTTTTTTTTATCCCCCGTTCTCTATCTCTATGTGTACCTAGGTATATATGTGTGTGTGTGTGTGTGTATACGTGTATATGTTCTTTAGTCAAGTCATGTCATCCTATTATTCCCGATCATTGCCAATTACAGTTGGGCAAAGGGTCAGGTATAAGCAGGTAAATTAACGGTTTCGAAGGGCCGCCTAAGGTGGCCGTCACGGCGCATACGAGCAATTCGATAGGATTGAAGCGTTGACCCTTCCCGGGATACATACATACATTCGTTACATATTACATGTAGGTACTAAGTAAGGGTAAGTAGGCATTTATTGTGCCTACCTTGGTTAGGCTAGTCTATTTGTCCATACGATATCCATTGATGACCATGGAAGCTGTATGTATGTATGTATGCATTGTACACCTGGCTGGTGGTAGGCTGGTAAGGTCATGTAGGTGTGTCTCAGAAAGCACCAACCTTGGTAAGGCTATGGACAGACTAAACCCAGGTTGGGTACCCTGAGGAGTTCAAGACAAAAAAAAGACCTAAAATTATCGCAGTGCATAGTCCTTCGTGCGCGCAAGCATGACCTCATTCTACACCCGCATGTGAAAGAAAAGAAGTACCGGATAAATAAACAGTAGGAAGCAGAGAACCCTACGACCAACACAGCCCACATGCCTTCTCAAACACGGGACTCGGAGGATCCTGCGGTGTCGTTTAGGTAAGGAGGGTAGGTATGTACCTAGGTAGGTAAGCATTGGGTAGATATGGTATGGTATGATGTATGTATCTTGGGTATGTAGGTGTGTTCACGCGAGAACAGATCGAGGTCCGGCCGAGGTCAGGAATAAGGGGTGGGTTGGCAGGCACCTCTCTTTACGGAAAAGGGGGGTGGTTGTCTGATCTCGTGGCTTGACAGCTGGCTTCGCATACCCATCCATACCTATATCTACTCTGTTTTTCATATACCTAGGTAGGTAGGTAGGACCGTACGTAGATAGGTACGCTAGTGCCTTACCTGAAGAATAAACCAAGGCAGACTCGTTCATGTGTGTATGCAAGTATAGCTAAGCTAGGTAGGTAAGGTACATACATTGGCATCTGCATGCGTTTTACATACTAGGAAGTATCTACGTAGTAACCGGTGGTTAGGTACCTACATACCTACCTAGGTAAATTTGGCTAAGTTAGATAGATATGTCGGTATATATGTCAGATCACAAGTGAGATCGGAACACGGATGTTCGCATTTCCTCATAGGGATGACACTAGGTAATCCGGGTAAGCATAACCACCTTGCTTTCTTGCTTTGCCCAAAACATTGTTCCATGCTTCAAACCTGCCTACCACTGCCTTGCCTGGGTACCTTACCTTACCTATGCCAAGAGAGAGGAATAAGACAACACGAACATGAACTATTCACGGGAGGGGATATGTACCCGGGTTAGATACCTAGTTATGCAGGCACGTGCTTCTGAACCCGTAGGATCTTGATGAGTGACTGGCTATGTTATGTACTAAGTAGGTATGTACCTATGACTCCTCCCTAAAGCAAGGCAAGCGGGCAAAGCAAAGCAACACCAAACATACACACACACACACACACACACAATGATCCTCCTGAACTAGTAAAACCCGTCCAACGTTCTACGTCGCCAACGACCAGGCAGCTGGGAGATGCCATCCTGAGGCGCCGGCGGATGGATCGTAGAACAGGGCTTTTCGGTTGGCCGCTCGTTTCGTTTCGTTTCGTTTGCTTCTTTGCTTTTTGGTGATTCCCATCACTCATCCAGTCATGGTCGTACATGTGATTGTCACTTTCTGTTAAACCTACATACATATGTACAGGAGCATGTAAGAATGTATGCTGCTTATGCTGCTCTTCGTCACACAACTCGGCAATTTTTTATCTCCAGATGATCCCTTTTATATTTTCCCCGTGGGGAAAAAACCAAAAAAGAAAAATACTCCTACCTACCTACTTTATGCACTTCTCTATCTATCTGCGTCTGGTTATCGTGCCACTCGAGAATATTGGATGAAACGTGATCGAATGTCTACCTATAGTCTGTAATTCGGCCGCATACTTAACCCCTTAATCACTATTTGCTCTTCTTATGATCATTAGGTAGCAGCAGCCTTGCTTCCATGACGATATCCGCGCGGCGGGTTCTAGAAGCACGGGAGTGTGTATATCTGCAGGTATTCAGGAACTTAGAGACATGCATACCTACATAATTACCTAACCTAGGTACAACTAAAGCTTGGCTCGTAGGACGTAAGCAAAATGTCATATGGTTCTGTAGACATGTATGCAGAGATGTCCGATTCTAAGCATGTATACAACACTAGTACCGGGCTCGCCTGCGTCCTCTACAACATGCTCGCTCGCTCGCTCGCCCGTCCCGTATCGTCGTGCACCTATTTTACCCCGGAGTTTCGATGCGCAGCAAATGCGAACGGATGGTACCAGCCTACCATCACGCCCCCTTTTTCATACGAAGACCCTCACGTCTACCCGCTACCTATAGGGAGGCAGTCTGCTCATCTAGAACAGGAATCACCACGTACACGCGCTCTGATACGTCCGTACGCTGTGTTATCTGTAATTCTACGATTGGCATTAACGTACCTCCATCTATTTCCTAGCCAACGATTGCTCGTTGATCGAACCTCACCAATTGCGAATCGGCTCTATGATGCCATCCTACCTATCTACCGACCTTCATGCCCCCCAGCACGGGAGCACAATGCCACCGCAGAATCGCTGCTGGTGTTCAGGTATGGCATGGCGTATTCAGGTAACCGTAGCATGGCAGAACTCGCCCAAACCAGACTACCTGTCTGTCTGTCGGTCACTCCCGATCGACACCTACTAATCGCTTGCATTACGAAAGGGATTAGGTACCTAGGTAGGGTAGTTACCCCCTAAGCGACGAAGACAAGCTGATAGACACCTGCATGATATTTTTCTTTTCTTTTTCAAAATCAATGCGCGAACAGACGAAAAGGGGGGCTTTCTCAGGGATTACCTGCCTCCCCATTAAGGTAGAACATGACCCTTTACGGACGATGGACATAAAACTCTCGACGCCCCGTACGTAGCACAATCTGTCACCGGAGAAATTCTCGTGAAAGAGAGAGAGAGAGAGAGAGTTTCGCAGCATACATTCCTGCCTAGGCATACTGCACCTACCTACCTATGCACGTACGATACCTACCTGCAGTCCGGACAAATCACAACACGTACCTACATACCCAGGCATGTAGTCCGAAGCCACGCACCAGCCAGCCAGAGCGGGAAGAAATGGCTTGGGTTCATAGGTAACGTCGAAATTATCAGATCATTTTTGTTCATGAGCAGGGTAAGGGAAGTAGGGCTTGCCCCTTCCTAGACAGGTAATAGGCAGGCAGAGAATGCGGAGGACGGAGAGCAATGAACCGTTGGAGCTGGGCGCAGTCACACCACATACCTAGGTTAACCTACTCTATTCGTCTTTTTGGGGCTTCGGGTTATACAGGATAGATATACTGGCGACGAAGATGAGCTGAGTTGTAGCGTTTCCGGCATGTATCCATCCATTGCTGCTACTCTCCTTCCTTCCATGAGAAACAGAATCGTTAATACCTGACCTACATACATATCTCCAGCAGGCAGACGGATGATACCGGATGAGCGACAGCAGCGAGGCTGGCTGGGTTTCTGGGGTAGGGCATGCTTTTCTTTCTATTCCATTGGCGATCAATCGATCACTGTCAATTCTCCCCATCATTCATTCATTCATTCCTCTCCGTCTCTCTGCTTTGTGCACCGCAAGTAAGTGCTGACTGTATCGACGAAAAGTCCCCCCCCCTCCCCTTCCCCCAAATAAGCTCCTCCACGTCCTAGTTAGTAAGACCATGAAACTTGAATTAGCCTGCCCTACTGACCTGAATATACATAGGTGCCTAACTACCTACTTAGATATCTACCTAGGTTAGCTTGATGCCTACCTAGATTAGATTGACATGGGTGAAAAACGAAGCTCAGCCGCAATGCCTTCTCCATACAAGACGCCTTACCTAGGTACCTATTTACATAAGTAAGTCCTAAGGTAGGTAGGCACGGCAGAACCCACGATACACCAAAAACACCAAGAAAAAAAAAAGCCTCCTCGTCAGGTTCGAAAGTCTGCCTTGACTGACCGCCAATTCAATTGAACCCAAACCAAAAAGACCAATCCAATCCAACGATCCACGACCTGCTCGTCCATTCGTTTGTTCGTTCATTCACCTACTCGGTCCCATTGACAATCAATTGTACTCCGAAGTTATGGTAGGTAGGTAGGTAGGTACTAGGTAGTAAGTAGTCAGGAGAATGCCTAACCTACCTACTTGTATATCGATGCTGATGTTCATGAGAGGTAAGCAATAAGTAAGTATTCATATGGATGTATGTAAGTATGTAAGTATGTAAGCATGTAAATACGTACATCGCCGCCCCCAAAAAACCACCAAAGAAATAACTAACAATGACCCGAGATTTTGCCCTCCCCCCCTACGAAGCCCCAAATCCCCCCAATCCCGTAAGCCTCTCTACCCCCCTCTACTCTACCCCTTCTTCTCCATCTTCACTCTCTATCTATCCCTCCGCAGAATGTGAAACTATCATCACCACCATCTAGACATGTAGACAGGCAATACCAATACCCTAACTAATCTAACCTAATCTCGTCCACCCCCCCTCCCCTCCCCTCTCCCTTCCAGCCAGCCTCCAAGATATACACAGGAACAAGAAAAAACCAATTGATTGATTGATTGATTGAATGAAAAGACATACATACCTAGGTAGTTAATGTTTATCTCATGCACATCCCCCACAATCAATCGTCTGTGCATACATATGTAAGGTAGGTTATATGCACAGACGAATGCACAACATCTTTGGCTCCTACCTAGGTGGTGGCACTAGATGCCTACCTACCTACCTACACACCCAGTGACATAGTAACCTATGTAGGCCAGTAGTTCAAATTGTACTAACCTACATGTAGGTATGGATGATATGTATGTATGTACTGCTCGCTGGTGCGATGCTGATGCTTCAAGTCCCACAGAGATGAATGGGTACCTAGGTATGTAGATACCTAACCTAGGTAAATATCCATCCCCTTTTCACAAAAAAGAACTTCAAAATTATCAAAAGTTTAAGTTGTATAAACAAGATAAAGCAGCTAAACAACGATAATACAAAACCCAATTCCCAAAAAAAAAAAAAAAAAGAAAAAAAAAAGACCACCGCCTCCCATTTCCTCCAGGGCTCTTCACAGGTTCGTCCATTCCAATTCGACGACAATGACTGATGTTTGCCAGTAAAAACGAAAAGGACACCCGCTCTCGGCACCTATGTATGCATTGTACCTTATGTAAGTACCTACGCTGAGTGCTGCACATACATTGAACACTACCTAGTATAACCCTATAGGTATACGTACAGAGTATACATACAACGCTGAAGTACCTGCAACAACAAAACGGTATTCGATCCCCATCGCGCTAAGGAATACCGTTTTTCAGGAGTACAAACATACATGTACGCTGTACCGACCGCTGTACCTCAATGGAGAACAATTCCCCCCCCTCTCTCTCGCTTTGTCTCCTCCCTTAAAAATCGCTAATTGGTTTAATTTTTGTTTACTTTCCCTCTCTCTGCCTATCGCGATCGCCGTTACTCCATTAACGGGTATGTAGGTAGGTAAGGACGATAGCGAAAGAGAAATAGAAACAGAGAGATAAGATCGTAGGTAGGTATGTGTGCCATGCTAGTAAAGGCCGACAAAAAAATACCATACTATACCATAATGCAAGCAAGCAAGCTTACTTCTTCTTGGGGTTCGTAGGATTGTACTTGTCTTTCCAAATCCTGCCAAAAAAAAACACAGCGCAATTATTGGTTAGCCAAAAGATGATGAACAAAACGATGGTAAGGTACCTAGGGTACAAACGATAGAGAATATTCAACAAAAAATTATGAAAAATAATAAAAATTTAAAAAAGTAGGGCAAACAGCTAAGGACTCCGATAGCTTTGGCAGACTACCTAAGCAAGGAAAAGAGCAGCGTAGCATAGAGCAGGTAGCGTAGAGTAGTGCAGTGCATCGCAGTGCCGTGCAGTAAACAAGAACAAAGCAGCAGCAAGCAGCAGCAAGCAGCAGCAGCATAGTCCGGACGACTCCGCTGTAACTGAGGCATTTACATTGGCTGGTAACCCAACCCATAGGATGGCACCTTAAGAGAAACAAACGAACGAAAGAAGAAGGGAAGAGGAGAGGATCTTGAGGGGCGCCACTTTTCCCGAGTTTTTCGGTGGAAGATGAGGCTCTGATTCGTTTGGACCCCAACTTCGAGGCCCGTTTCTGCGGCCCGTCCATAGTTTTTTTGGTTGGAGAACGACGGCGGACCCAAAGGGGTAAGGAGGACAAGCAGCTTTGCTGTTCTAGACCCGATCGGAGGACCCATATGCCTATTCCTGTCTATGCCAATACCAAACCGAAGAAACACATAACTACTGTAACTAAGGTAGGCATAAAAAAAGAAAAGTAAGGCGAACGAACTTCGTAGGCCCCGGGGCCGCGGAGAGCCTATCGTCCAAGTCCCCATCCGAAACGACCGGGCCTTTCGCAGCTGGTTGCTGCGCCGCCGACGCACGGGATGAAGGGATGGAGAGTACTAGGTAACAAAGGGGAAGAGAGAGAGCAAGATGCCAAGAGGGTGAATAAAGGGGTGGGCCATCATCGTACGAGATGCTTACAAAATAACAGCGAAATCGACAAATGAACAAATGGACTTGACAGCTTACCATGTATTGCCAATCGTCTTATTCCCGTTCTGCTCCGCCAACCGATAGTACCTCGCTGCAGCATACTATAAAGGAAGCATACGGTTAGTCTCATGTGATTTTTATTCATTATCCTTAGACATGCATAAGGGTAAAGGGTAAAGGGGGGGAAAGTATAATAGCAACGTAATGTCTCATGTAGCTAGGAAAAAAGGGGCATAGAGGAGTTTCTGTTCCTGCGCGATCCCTGATTTGCGGTAACGCTAAGGTGTGAGCCTCATTGCTGCCCAACGAGAAGAGGAAATTCGGGATCCACGAGCCGCCAACAAAGCTGCTTAGCTAAACTGTCTTTGCTCCTCGGACTACTTAGACAATCCCTGGATCAAGATGCAGGAAGGAAGCTAATGGTCCCAAAGCTGACAGACAAGCCACAATCTAAACCACATGAGGCTGTCACTCCATGGTGGATGGTCGTCGCTGGCCATTGTCTCTTCATCCGTCTGCCTGTATGCTAATGTCCTGTCTGTCTGGGGTGTCTGAGGTGTCTGAGGTGTGTTAAGCTTGGGCAGAGACGTGACGTGACGTGACGTGAGGCACCAATCTTATTCTTGGAAAAGTGATATGTCATGACGGGAAAGGAAAGAATTGCATAGACTAGCGAGGGAAGAGTCTGGCTTTGCGCCTAACAACGTACCTTGTCCTTCTTGCATCCGAAGCCCTCTAGATAGCACCAGCCAACTTCGTTCATGGCATCTGTGTACACCGAGGGAGAAGTCCCCATGTCAGCCTATGGTATCCGCAATACCTCGTCCACGCTCCATGCTCCACGCATCACGCATCATGGATGAATAACTAGGTAGGTAGGACATGACGGCTGCTCAATGGATCGGACCAACTTACCAGTATCTCCAAGATTTGCGGCCGTCTCGTAATACTGCCCAACAATAGTGGTTAGTTGATATGATCTTCACCAAACTTGTGGAAACTTCTTCAAGACGTCTGTCTGGCTGGTGGACATCAAGGTGTCGTCCCCCGTCCCGCTCGCCTCTCCCTTCCTACGCTACAGACTTTCTCTCCTCTCGTTGTCTAACCAATACCTTACTCGAACGACCACTCATAAATCAATAATGAAACGGTGACAGTTATAGTGACCCACCTGTTTCGCGGCAACTGGATCTCGAGGGATGCCCCAGCCGTGTCGGAAGCAATTCGCCAATTCGAATATAGCGAGGACGAGCTCGCCCTTTGCGGCGCCACCTTTCTTGAGGCCCGCTTGTAGCGCCATACTCTCGACCGCTGCTGCGTTCGATGCCGCCGCCGACAGGTAAGTGACGGCTCGTTCGGTATCTGGTTGGCAACCCCAGCCGTGCCTAAAGTTCCGCGAAGCGTAGAAGCACCATGTTAGCTCTCTTACGGTTCTGACATTGTATTGTGACTTTTTGATCTAACTCGATTTGAAACCTTTCTTTCCTCTCTCGTCGTCGTTTTGCTTGGTCGTTGTTGTAACTTCCTACTTGCATGCTGGGACAACTTTGCCACCATCGATCCATGCGTACATTGCATCCTAAGCTACTGTGCTCTGTGCCTGGAAGGAGACAGGCCAGGGGGGATCTCTGTCTCCTGAGGATCTAGAAGTGGCCGTGTGACAAAGAGACACGCGCCAGGTGCATGATCCAAAAATAGCCATGAAACATGTGAGGGCAAAGGGACGGTGATGGTGGTGGTGGCGATCCACTGGGCTAGAGTAAAAGGGGTTTACTGACCTCAAAGCAAGTCCGTAGAGAACCTGGCTCAAGGGATTATTGGCGCCATGGGGATCGGCCAGGCGCCCAAACAGCTGTGTAGACTGGTCGAGCTGGCCGCTCTCGTGCAATCGGATAGCTTCCTGAATCATATCATCAACGGCCTTGGACGAGACGCCGCCGCCGTCTATCCTCCCGTGCGGCGCCCCCCCTCCGTTTCCGTTTCCGCCATCGTAATCGTGCAGGGCCAGACTAGGTATGTCGGCCGACGGCGATGACGGCGACGCGATTCGACGCTGGCCCCTCACATTCGCCTCGGCTAGTATGGTCGCTCTCTTCTCCCACTGGTTCTCGTACAAGTCCTTGTCTACCCCCCCTTTTCCGGCTGCAACGCCCGACCCTCCATCTTCGGCGGCCAAGAGGTTGATCTGCGGTAGGTTTTCGGGCACGTAGTCGGATGTGGACGGTGCTTTAGAAAGGTGGAGGCGTTGCGATAGGCGTCGATGGCCGTGATGTCCTCCTTCTTTGTCTTTGCGCGACGAACCGTCACTCTGAACGGAGGATGTACTACTACCCCGCGATCGCGGCCTGAATACGTCAAGGCTACGGCGCGTTTTAGAGGCGGAGGATCCGGCGTCTTTAGCCGCTAGGTAATTATTGTCGTTATTGTTACTATAATTGTTGCTTTGGCCGTACTCGGTCGGATAGCTCGGTGGTCTGATGATCTCATGCGTTTGCGTGTCCGACCGTACGAAGGTAAACTCGGGCCCGGCTAACCTATCCAAAGTTTCGCGATCGACGCCGTCGCGACCTCCGTCCAACTGATCTTTCTTTTTGATCAGATCGCGAATCCCCATGATTTGATTAGTACCACGTGTAAAGCCTAAAGCCTAATAGCCCAGAAAAGACCGAGATGTATGTAGTAATCGTTAGACGAGGTTAGACGAAGTTCAGATTTAGAAACAAAAAATATATCATCAATTGATCTTGTTCGAATGATCAGCCAGCAATAGTAATTGCAGCAATAGGTAGTGTAGTTCCTTTTTCTCCTTCTCTTTTTTTTTTCTTTTTCTTTTTCTTTTTCTTCTTCTTTTTTCTTTTTTCTTTTCTTTTCTTTTTGATTTCTGTTTCCTCTTATCCCTCTCTTACTTCTTTATAATAGGATGATGGCAAGTTCAGCCCCCTCGTCTTACGCGCCGACCTCGACTTTGACCGATTCTAAAAAAAGGAGCGACTTAAAAATAAGAAGGAAAGAAAAAGATATTGACGTATTATTGTATGGTATTTGAATTGTGTATGTATTTAGTTAGGTGGCACCACCTTTTCGCATTGCATCTTATTTGATCTTCTTCTTTTTTGGCCCCTCGAGTACGAAGTTGTACTACTAACCGGTTAGTAAATTAAGTCTGTGACAAAGAGAGAATCACCTTTTACTCCCTTTGTTTCGATCCTTCCACTTTTCCAAGCGCCTCGAAATATGCCAAGGCCCTTTCCTAGTGAGGACATCCATGGATACCTCCAATTCCCAGCGGGGTTGACCTTAACTGTGCCACTGTGGGATATGGGCTGTACCTACCTCCTACCTTACATCTGCTATATCTTTATTTTAAAGTCAAATCTAGTAGCCTACGTACTATGTACCTAAATTATATTGTACAATACAATACAATAGTTACTTAGTAGGATATAGGCACCGAACCTTTACTTTTACCAGCCATGGCGGGTCGATTTACCCATTTACTGTACCTAGGTGTGCGTGTACCTACTACCTACGATTTGCTAGGTACCTACCTACCTAGGCACCTAACCCCTTATTCAATCATCAGACCGACATACTGAATAATCCCCCCTTTTCTTTTCACTTGTCACTCATATAAAAGACCATTACCAAAATAAGTATGTATAGGTGCAAAGCACAATTCTTCTCTATTGTGATTATCTACTAGATACCTAGGTACCCAGGCAATTTTTCTTCTTTTTTTTCTTTCCTCCCTCGGAGCTATCAACTCCTCTTTACCAAACTGTCTCAAATGAAATGCGTCGGAATGGGGTATCACAGACCATTGTACGAGAATAAGGCAACCTTCGAATGCCATCGACAGCCATGGCATGTGCCGTTCAGATACTAGCCAAATCGGTCATAGACCAAGTTAAAGGGGGTATTTTGGAAATTCCCCGGATACGATGCATATCGTCCATGGCGAGCCACGTCTTCTTGCGTTCCTAAATAATCAGTAACTAAAAGCAATCCGATGGGATTCGTTAGAACCCGATGTAATCCTTCTGCTGCACAAAGTCAAGGTCGTCATCATCATCTTTCTTGACAAACTCTTCGACTTCGTCCGAATCTATGTCGTCACTGTCTGCTGCAGCGTCTTCGTCATCGCTCGACACAAATTCCATGTCCTCGGCTGCCGATACGCGATTGCCCGCCTTGCGAAGGACACTTGCCCTTTCAATGTGCGGCCGCTTGCAACCCAAGACATTACAGACACCGGTGTTGCTAAAGTCGGGGCACTCGAATACGTGGCGATCGGGACATTGCGCTCCCTTCTCGCAGTATCCATAGATCCCAAAGGATCGACATACTGGGTCCGCTGGCGAGTGCTCGGCGTGAACATACGAGCAAGTTGAGTTGTGGCAATTCCCCTTAGCGAAGTGTACGCAGAGAGGTGTTCGCTCCTCTGAAACGTCATGTGAGAGATCACAATCGTCACCTTGCAGACATTTACCCTTTAGGAGGTAATCCCGGCAAATTGCCGTCTTGGTAGCGTCGTGCATGTATCGGCATCGGGGCCCTTTCGGGCATGAACCTGCGACTAAGAGTTAGTATCTGTACCGGGGGGTCTTACCACACCGCAGTCCTTCGTGAGTCGCGAGATGGGGTTATAATCCGTAATTTTGAGGAAGACGATACCGGTCCATGAAAAGGTCTTGCACTGCTCGTTGACCTTCTTGACTCCACCAGCGAAACTAAAATGAATGTCAACGTTTAACACTGTATTTCTATATGCACCAGGCTACATACCGCTGCGCTTTCACAATCCCGTGTCTCACAAGGTTGCCGTGCTTGGTACGATGAAATTTGACGCCGCCGATTAGGGTAACCTTGGGGGTGGCCGAAGGAGGGTTCACGTCGTCTAGTTGCTGGTCAGTCTGACTATTTGGAGCTGCATCTACACAAGGGATCGCATACTGGGTGCCTTGACAAGCTTGCTGCCGTGTTGCACGACGTGAAAGCGGATGCCATCCACGGTGATCTCGTATTGGGAAGCGGAACTAGGCAAGTTAGAATTTGATGGGGTGGCAATAACACCACTTTGAAGCATGCTATTCATAAACACAGCTTTCTCGTGGGTGTTTTTTTGCGCCTGTTTCTGACGAAGGGTTTGCTCCATGGCATTGGCGCGTTGCTGTGTTTCCTTCTCGTATACAGAACTGTTGATCAGCTGCATGTGGCGATCGGTTTTGGTAATCCATGAGGGGGTAGTCGGATTAGAAGTCTCGTCGGTGCTTTCGCCTGTATCAGTTGCAGGTTTGTATTGTCCATTCAGAACAAGAGTCTTGTTGCGATAGGTTGGAAGAGCTCCTCTGCCACGTCGACCACGATAGCTTCCGCGAGGGGGGTACGGTGTAACACGGTGATAAGATGCTCGATAAGAAGGGTTTAGATCTTGAAGCAAGGTTAGTACCTCTACCTAAGTAAACAGTTCGTGACTCTGAGTTCGGACTGGGAGGTGTATCTACCTAGGCTCGAGCCATCTTGTTGGGCCTTGTGGCGATTGATTTTTCCTAGTACGACATGAGTTAAATGGTGAAATACGTGATAAGTGTTTGTATTCAACGTAAAATACGCACCAGCTAGTCTGCTGATCTTGTCCATAAGCTCGTGATCTTCGGGTGTTGACATTATTGCGACTGAAATCTAGATGGTAAGTCAATGAAATGGGGGAAGGGCGCCGTCGATGTTAAAAGACAATGTTTGCGAGGGGTGAAAAGGGGGGGGGGGATGGGTGGCGAGGGGTTCCAAAGACGAAGTGTAGGTACCTAATGAGTGGGATTCGCGTAACGTCTTTGTCTTGTATTGCTGAAGAAGGAAAAATTAGGACCGTGTTCCGTGATAAACAAAGAGGATCGAAAATGTCTAGAACTTAGAATACCTAGTCTGTTACTAGGTAGTACACAGATGGCGATGTTGATAACTTTGGTGCGTGGTTGTGGGGATGTCGTCATTCGATGGAGGCAAGTGAATAGTTGAAAAACAACTACTTGGTAGTAATTAATCGTTGAAGGGGAGCAAACCTCTATTTTTTTTCTTCCTTGCGCTCTTGTTCTTTCTCTTTTATCCTTTTTCTTTTCTTTCTGACTTGGTTATGAATATTCGAAGAATATGTCCAAGAGTTGATGGCAATATGTTCGTCGCGTTTGTCTTAAAGTTAGTGCCTGGTGCTTCGTTTGCGATGTTTATGAGAACATTAAACATTGAACCTTGGAAAGTTTTAGGTTTGATGGGAAAGATGGGGATTGCATGATTGAGGTGGGGCGCGTATTTCCTTATCTAATCTTAACGCTTAAGTTTTACGCTTAACCTGTATGTACGTGCCTGCTTAATGTTCAACATACCAGACCTAACCTTACATAAGTACCTTGTACCCTTGATCCGTTCGCGGCTAATCAATTGGCCTTGAACCTTGAAGTTGAACAGTTCCATGTATCACTCACTAAACTAAGTAAACTATACTTACATCATTCTTTCAAAGAACACAAACCGCGTCCTAAAGTGGCGCCCATTCAACCACTTACCAAGAACAATCCCCGATTCTTAATCCTCATCTAGACAAATTTAGTAATACATTCGAGGAGAAACAAGTCCAACCCCGTCGTCGATATTCATCAACATGGCCGCCCGTGTCAAGAACGAGCAGGGCCTCAAGCCTGAGCCTGGCATCAAACCCGAGCTTGATGGCGTAGGCGCATCGCCTGCTGGTACTGCTATGTCCGAGGATGACGTCTATGAAGATGCTGGAGATCTCGAATTCTATGAAGCGAATGATACCGGAGCTGATTCGATATTCTTGACTCATATCCCAAAGTATCTTTACGATGCATGGGAAAGCATGGATGATGATGCCGAGATTAGAATCGGTACTCTACGCCGGTGGTATAACAAGGGTCCGAATGGTGAAAGAACTCATGTGATTTGCCCTTTCCCATTCCCCATCCTAATTTATGCTTCATTTCTGATTGATCAAATCCCAGTCAAACCTAGCAGTCTTGCTAGACCACCAACTCGCCCCCCATCAGCAAATACCAAAGGAGTACACCCTCGAGGTCAAGGATATGAGCCTTGCGAACACCTTTCTATTTACTGAGCAAAATCTTCCCGGATACAAGGCCAAGAATCAAGGACCGACCGATATTCCTGCGTACCTTCGACCGAAACCCGAGCGTCCAGCCCAAAATGCGCAGCCCGAACCTGAAACCAAGCGCGGTCGAAGGGCCAGATACCAGCCTCGCTACAAGAAAGCTATTCCCAGTCAGTAGCGCTTTTCTCCCTCATACGTATCTCAGAATACTGATTGTTCGCAGAGAGAACCGTTCTGGCAGGTCGATTCCGCCACGAACTAAACTGTCGACCCGCCTGGACAGCCGAGGCGAAGCATTGGCTGAACATAAGAAACAACGACGCCATGAAGCCCAAGGCAACCACTACCCTTACCTCCTCTGCCAGGCCCACTGGTGTCATCCAAGCTGGTGCTCACGTTTCTCACGACAAATTCAGCAATTTTGTTGTAAGTCTCCTCCGACGTATCTTTGTTTCTTTTTTATATGATCTAATGATATCAGCGTGTTGGTCCTGAGGCGAAGAAGGGAGCGAAGAAGCAGAAGGAAGAGAAGGCTGCTCGTATACCGAAGAGCGAGTTGCGAGACCAAATCTTCCGTTGCTTCGAGCAATTCAACTTCTGGTCTATGAAAGCTTTCAAGCAATCCTTGAACCAGCCAGAAGCCTGGCTACGCGATAATTTGGAGGAAGTAGCAGTACTGCACAAGACGGGACGTTTTGCCAACCATTGGGAGCTGAATAACGATCACAAAGGTGCTCTCAATATCCTTGAAGGTGGTGGTGTTGCTCCTGATACTGCACCTGAGGCGGACGATTCTGATTCTGACGCGGAAATGGAAGACGTCTTACCGGCATGATAGGAGCTAACGTAAGCGTACCGGTTGCCAAATGAGAGTGGCGGTTAGGAGAATTTGAGCACGAGATGGGGAGTTATGGCGTCTTCGGACTGTTTATACGTCAGGGCTTCCTTGTACAACATATTGATACCCTCGGCAGCATACGACTAGGACTCGGTTAAGTGGCCACTGTCTCTGGAAGCTCTGACTAGGTATCTACCTAAGGTGACTTTGAATGTGATATGGCCTTTACAAGTGTGTCAATGAAAGTACTAAGTAATATAGTTGCCATAGGTGACAAAAAACACTTTGGCATTCTGTACATGTATGAACCCCTTTCTTACACGTGCAATGATCACATGAATGTACTCCAGTGCCTTGTCCCCGCAATTCTCTTTAAACTTCTCGGGTCAGATCCGCCCAACCGGAACTATCGTCGAATCATGCTTCAGCCTGGGTTATGTAGTAGGTAAATACAACAACTTACTATACAAGGTATGTACCTTTTCCCCACATTCATCATGTCACATACATGCATATTTGAACATTCAATCCCTCTCGTCACCACACACTAACTGGCTACCTTACGTAATACCTCTTACTTTCACATACACTTACACATACACACACTCACACACTCACACACTCACACACACGTACATCATACTATAACAACAATGAGCATCTTCCTCGACTTCGACGGCACCATCACCGCCCAAGACACCGTCAGCTCCCTCGCCAAGTTCGCCCTCGGCGTCCGCGCAGCCGCAGGCGAGGACCTCGCGCAGGAGTGGGACGGCGTCGTGCGCGCCTACGTCGACGACCACACCTCCCGCGTGGAGGCGTACTCTCCCGCCGCATCTTCGCGCTCCTCCCCAGCCCAGGAAGTGGCGTTCCTCCGCCAGCTGAAAGGCGTCGAGAAGAGATCGCTGGGCCGCATCCACCGCTCGCAAGTGTTCCGCGGCATCGAGCCCGCTGCGTTCCGCGCCGCGGGGGCGGGGTTGGTGAGGGAGGGGACGGTGGTGCTGAGGGCGGGGTTTAGGGGGTTCGTGGAACGGAGGTTGAGCGAGGGCTGGCGCGTCTGGGTGCTCTCGGTCAATTGGAGCTCGGCGTTTATCGAGGGCGCGTGCGGTGGGTTGGAGGGGGTGAGGGTTATTGCGAATGATATACGGGAGGATGGGGCGATTGCTGGGCCGGAGATATTGAATCCATCGAGTGCGGAAGAAGGGGACTACGAGCCCCGGATCTTGACGAATTCGAGGGATAAGTTGGATGCGATGGAAGCCACGCTTCGGGCGGAGGGGTTGGTGGGAAAACCGTCGGTCTATTTTGGTGACTCGACGACAGACCTGGAGTGTCTCCTCGCTACGAGCCAGGGGTTTGTGGTTGCGGACCAGGATGATTCTTCGCTGTTGAAGACGCTGGTGAGGATAGGAAAGGAGGTTCCCCATGTGAGGGATCAGAGTACGGAAAATAAGCTTGCGTGGACATCGAATTATGAGAATATACCGGATGATAGATTTGTCTTAAGTTGATATTGACTCAGTACTTATTTATACCTTGTCATTTCTACATGTATTCGGCGTAGTTTATTGCTCTTGCTCGCGGTTGAGGTTACAGTGTCTAACCTACGAGGAGATGGTCATTAGCCCCTTAATAAGTCAGCATCTCCCAGGGTGATATTTAGTGCTTTGTGCCTTTCTCGTTAAATATATGTAATAAAAGACAAAGGTACTACAGACACTTCATAATTAGATCATCATATACACGCTCCTGCCAGTTTGCTCGATGTTCTCATGCAAACATTTCCCTAATAGATATTTACTGCATATAAATTTGTCATATAAGCCATCTATGCTTAAATAACAATTTCTCTTTGTATCCTGTTTGTAAATTAACAAGATGGGAAGTACTCAAAATTGGAAGTATTATATATATATTTTAATTGTCCAAATCCTTCTATTACCTACGATTTCTCGAAATCTCCTTTTATATTGCCAAGAATTGTCTCTTACAACCCAATATATTACAAAATGCCTTGGGAACGGTATAAGAAACTATGAGGACTAAAAAAAATGTTGAGATGAGTGCCCTGCATTCTATTATCCCCAGTCGTCGCCCACCCAGATGCCTAATTCATGAGGCTTATCGAGCCTTAAATATTAGGCAATAATCAATACTTCTCGTCTTTGTATAGATACATACATATTACTAGGTACCCTTTTAAATATCCACCTAGTACGTACCACCTTATGTTCATATGTCCCCTATCCCCTTTTGGCATCAACTGCTCCACTTGAGGCTCTACAAGTTAACTACACCAGTCAAGTTGACTGGTGATAGCATTCATGTTGTAGATAACCACAAATGGGATTTGCCAATGCGGTAGTGCTTTATAGCTGGAGCTGTATCAACTTTGAATCATGACAGCTGCCTCGTGCACTTCAAGATGCAGTTTGATATTAGCTAGCACCAGCTTTCTCCTGATTCAAACCTCGATGTTAACTATTGTGCAGTGGGTCATGGCCATATGTCTTTCACGAGCCTCAGCTTATGTACCTAAATCGAATGCCAGGTCAGAACAAAGGCCGAGAAATGACAATGCTTTTTGTCTACCGCGGCATCTATGTCCGATATATGATCTGGAATACGCATCAAATGACGATGGGGCATTTGACTTATACAAATCCATGACTTAGATCATTACTATCTGTAGTTGCCCGTCCCAGTTGGCGGCCCCGTCGTTAAGCTCTATACGAATCAGTTGCACCCTTACAACCTTAGACTAACAGTGCCAGTTGCACAGGTTATTGTAGCCCCTTCATAGCACTCCACCCTGACCGTGGTTCATGGCGGCAACCCCCCTTAGCCTAAGGGTGCCATTATTCACCATACTCATCTTCACTATGTCGCCGCCAAACCTGGGTCCAACCTAAACATAAACATAAACAATCCCTAGACCTGACCATTTTTCTGCTCCGGTACCCAATACCGTTGAGCACACTTTCACCTCTTTCACCTCTTTCAGCTATTCAGCACGATATTTATAAACAACATATTGCGTTGATCAGTTCTATCTTCAACGAATTCAACGAAGAGCATTTATTGAGGTACAAACATTTTTATTTCATCCACACTCATTCACGTTAACTTCTACACATCATGGACACTAATCCCTAACCCAGTCAATGCCCAAGATGAACCGCCGGGAGTTCTCGCGCAGATTTGAGGCCGAGCTCTACTCGACTTCCGAGTCTGATGGCATCGCCCAGTCTGAGCGTGTTCCTCCTCGTGTGCCTACTCCTCCGCCAGCACCGCAGATCTATGGCTCCGATGTCCAGCAAAGTCCACGTTTTCCGACGACTCCCCAGGGTCGTTCCCAGCCCCAAGGGCGTACTCAGCAGCCCCAAGGTCGGGACCGGTCTCTTTATCCTGATTTAGATGGATTCGAGTTTCCCGCTGGACATCGCCGTCGTCCCAGCGGAGTACAACTACCTCCTCCGATTCATTTCCGCCAGGAGCCGCCAGTCTATTTACGACCAACTGTAGCAGTGTCCTCATCGCTGCCCTATTCCCCCCATTCGCCGTGGCACCAGGGATACCCCCAATACCCCCAATATCCCCAATATCCCAACTACCAGGCGGCCAGCTATCCTGGTTACCAAGCTGGTGGCCTCCTTCCACACGCTTATGGAAGTGCGCCTCCCCATGGAGCTCCGGCTTCATATATGCGCCCTCCACCATATGGAGGACCGTCTCATTTCCGAGAACCCCCGTTCTCTCCTTACGACAATGGACCCGGACCGCAAGTCCCGTACCAGCATAATCCTCACGGTTACCCCCATGCCCACCCAGCGCCCCCGGCTCCCGGCCCCCGTCCATTTCCACACCCAATCGGCACTCGACGCCGCCGACTTAGCATCGGCGAAGTGGACCTATTCGAAGACCCAGAGCGGGTGAGAATTAGTTCTGAGATCGAGCTTAAGCAGCGCTTTGTCAGTACCTACAAGCCGCTCGTCGGAGTCATCGGCCGCATCGTCAAAGAGCAGCTAGGCCTGGACGACAACCCTCGCGTCAAATTCGACATGTACCCGGTGCGCATGAACGAGGAGCTCTGGCGCCCCCAGATCCGCCCGGTCACCTCGTCCCGCAGCCCCGTCTTCCAGATCACGCTGCCGCACTACGACTTCCCCCGCAATGAGCTCCGCCGCGCCTGCGAGGCCCTCCGCGCCACGCTTGAGCGCTACCACAACCCCTGGTACCGACTCGCGGGATTCGTGATGCGCGGCTCGCGCCACACACAGCCTCCCTACGCGGTACGCCGCCGCCACTGGCTAGGCCCCCTGGTGGTGTACGAGTTCTCGTACCCAGAGCTCTACTACCGAGCGGTTATCCTCGACCCGGAGCAAGTCGAGTTCCGAATGCTGAACCCGGCTCTTGAGTACGGTGATTACAGTGACGATGACCAGGAGGTGCTGGTGGATGAGATGTGGAGAGATGTTCGCCGCCGCCGAGCGCAGAACATGTATGCGGGAGCTAGCGTGTATCCCGCAGAGTGAGGACGAGGAAAAGAGTTGAGCTTGGGGAAGAGGGGAGGGCTTCCAGGCGCCCGTAGGAAGCACGAGGAATGGAATGAGTGTTTATGGGCATGGCGTTACGGATGCTAATGGCTTTAAATACCCTCCAGGCTGGAATGTGTGTGCTAAGAGAGATCCAGTATCTCTCTGAATGTAGGTGAAGTTGCTAGACTTCCATGCGAGGTAGCTCAAAACTACACCGCCTACAAGTACAAAATAAAAACGATGAATTTCATTTGACCGTGGTGTGCACATACATAACACGTGAATAGGTCCTAGGCAAACTTGAAGCTAGAGTCCTGGCTGATCAGACTGTACTCATTTAATGCTCTTGTGCCTACCTGTTAGTAATACCTCGTAGTTACAAAGGAGGAACGGTACTGCCCATACCTAAGTAGGTACCTCCTTTCTCGGTACTGTGGACGTGACGTAGAACAATGCCAGATTGCTTGTTAAGAAACCAGCTAAAGGTCCTCAACGTGCCTTTAAGTTAATCAATAGAAAGGAACAAAGCCTCCCAACAACTTACAATGAGAGAAAACAAGAACACAAGGCCATTGTCAACCACGGCACATATAACAGCCTCCCACAACTCTCTACTAGATAACACACCACCACCCACTCGTCTCACTACCAACCAGCCTACCAAACTCTCCCACGTGTATCTCCCACCATCGAACCAAAACTAGAACTCCCTGGAAGGAGGACAGAAAACAAAGGAACCTAGGTAGGCAAACCATCCATCCATCTAAGCCGCACCCCGCATCCCGCACCCCCTTTACTCCCAAAGCACCCCCACTCTCTCACCAGAAACCATGTGTCCCTACCGCAAGACCATCTTCGAGTGCAACCACTCCGTGCTCAGCCGGACGCCAATCCACCTGTGTCCGACAGCGCAGCGCGCCCTAGACGCCTCTACCGAGTTGCCCACGCCTCCGCGTACCCCCCCTGCCCCTAAATCCTCTGCCTCTTCTTCTCCCACATCCTCCCCCTCCCCCTCAACGTCACCCACAGCCTCCTCCTCCCCAGTCCCATCCTCCTCCACCCCTACCCCAGCTCCTCCACCCCCAGCAGCGCCGCTATGCGAAGAAACCACAACCCACAGCCGGCACACGCTCCGCGTCCCGCGCCCGTGCCCGCGGTGCGCGGACAAGAAGCAGGCGCTGGACGCCGTGCTATCGCGCGCGAAGAAGCACATGCGCGAGCTGCGCGAGCACCTCGACGCGGCGTACGGGCAGTGCATGAAGCATCTGGACGAGGCGGGGCTCGGAGTTGAGGCGGAGGATGACGATGGTGGTAGGATCGAGTCTGCTGGGGGTGGTGGTGGTGGTGGTGGTGACAAGGAGACCGGGGGGAGCGCAGCAACAACAACGGCGAAGTCTGGTGGTGGTGGTGGTGGTGGTGGTGGCAAAGCCGATGCTGCAAAGGAAGGAAGACAGAGACGGACGCCGGAGGAGCTGGACGCGGCGCGGGAGTTCCTGCGGAAAAAGGGGCTGGAGAGCCACGCGCACCTGATGATGTTCTGGGAGTCGGAGGAGGCGGCCGAGACGTGGGATGATGTGGAGTATGTCACTGGTATGGAGGCGCTTCAGCATTCTTTCATGTAAGTGAGTAAGTGGAGTGGATGGAAATAGTCCCCTTTGTGGTATCATTTTGCATTTTGGGTGAGATGGTTGGTAGATAGGTAGGTAGAGGTTAGCACCACTATGTCTTTACCTTGGTTACTGGATATAGTTAAAAGCAATGTGGCTTTAGATAGAGATGAGTTCTGCATAAAAGTTGGAAATATACGAAAGTTACCTTTGATAATATATGTACATAGAAAAAGGGGGAGAGATATGCCCCCCTTAATCCTCTATAAATTGTTCTAACTCCATCATTGATAAACACAACGCCCCCGACTTCAAAAGCATACCAAAAATGCGAGTTATTAGTTGTTTCTAAGTGTGTTTCTAGACATAGATAATAAACGCTGTGTTAGGTGTTCTCTTCTAGGAGAGTAAATACTGATACCTCTGACTCTTCTTTCAAAGCGTGATGCTAGGTATAGATTACTTCCCTTCCGTGTAGATTGGTTCTTGGAACAGCTGGCAACAGCCCCCCCCGCATATTTCACTAGGTTAGAGTGTTTATCGCATCTCATCTCCAACCTGGATACCAGCATTCTAGCACCTTCACAGCGGAAAAAATAGATCTTAGTGGGAGGATGCCTACGCAAGAGCTTCGATCCCGGCCTTCCAGAAGGAACCGGTCACGGCGATATCTCCTCTCCTATACAGGATTGTATAGGAGATGAGGAGCTCGGATACCAGAGCGAACTGTATTGCGCCTCTCTAAGATTCGAAGGTCACGGGCAACTATAGTGACGGAGCTGGAGATTAAACATATAGTCGCTAGCAAGATACTATATAGCTTCATTTCCGTTTATGTTAAAATTTGGAATGAGATGCAATAAACCGCCTACTAAAATAGGTGGGGATCGTTTGCCAATTGTTCCAAAAGCCAATCTACACGGAAAGGGGGTAATCTACACCTAGCATTACTCCTTTTAAAGGGGGGGCATTCATCGTGTGTAATAGCCTCTTTCCAGTAAAACACCCTTACCTAGGCAGGTAGAGATGAATAGACCCAGCGTCTATCAGTCTATTGATGCATTCATGCCTAATACCTGGAATCTCAGTCTCGAACCACTAGGAGCTATGTGAGTACCGAAGTACAATAACGAGGTTATTCTGAAAACGTTTAGATCCAGTTGTAAGGGCTACCCCCTTTTCCCCTATCCGCCCTCATATTCTGTGTACGCTTCACAGTCCCATCACATTCACCTAGCGAAGGAAGCTATAATGAAAATCCACACGTTTAGTAACATAACAGCCCTTAAGCCATGTCTTGCTGTAAGCTCTGCGATATAAGATGCTTTATTAACTCCTACCGCCGCAAAAGTTATAGACTCACCCCCCTTACCCACGGTTTTTAATGCGTCTGGATTCTAATCCACTTGCCGGTGGATTATGTTATGTTTTTGTACCAGACATGGTGACCACAATTTGATAGTGGAGGTAGGGAAGAGCAGGGCTTTAAGTATAGATCAGAGGCATTCAACAAATATACAAAAGCATTCAAATATCACATGTTCTCGACTTCATATTTGGTACGTATTGGTATCATATTTTCATTTCTCCGACTTTTTTTGTCGTGTTGAATTCAATATTGTGATGCGGATAATAACGGTGATCGTCCGTCACCTTTATCTGGCCTGTGACCCCGTAGATGCCACTTTATTTGTGCCATCGCCCAAAACCAGGTATGTTGAAACCGTACGCCATGCTGCCGTGCCCTTAAAATTTTCATGACATTTTCCGATGAGGGAATCCATGTCTCTAGATAATCACCCAACAACGCCGTTCGCAATGCAGAAAGAAGTTGATTCTTCCGCTACTATAAATCCGAGAAACTTCCCCCTTCGGAAACCTATAACACATTAATAGATTAGAACTTGAGCGTCTTGGGCTGCTCCCAGGTGAAGTCCTGGTTGGTGCCGAAGTGGCCAAACTTGGCGGTTTGGTTGTAGATGGGGCGCATCAGGTTAAGCTCCTTGGCGATGGCACCGGGTCGGAGGTCGAAGTTAGCCTTAACGATCTCGACCAACTCCTCGGCAGTCTTGTCAGAGGTGCCGTACGAGTCGACGTAGATGGAGCAGGGCTCGGCCACACCAATAGCGTAACTGAGTTGAACTAGGGCTCGCTTGGCGAGACCAGCGTTGACCAACGACTTGGCAACCCACCGAGCGAGGTAGGCAGCAGATCGATCGACCTTGGAGAAATCCTTTCCGGAGAAGGCACCACCACCGTGGGCACCCCAGCCACCGTACGTGTCGACAATGATCTTTCGGCCCGTGACACCAGCGTCACCCTGAGGACCACCAATGATGAACAAGCCACTAGGTTGTAGCTGTAAATGATAATTAGTATTACGAAGCAGTTGTAAGTCTAATCAGGGCACGGATACTCACGTGAAGAATAGTCTTGTCGTCAATGTACTGCTCAGGGATAACACTGTCAATGATCTTGGACTTCAGCTCCTTTCGGACCTGTTCCGTCGTGACCTCCTCGCTGTGCTGGGTAGAGATGACGATGGTGTGGACTCGCAGGGGAATGACAGCACCGCCGTCGTTCTTGTACTCCATGGTGATTTGGGTCTTGGTGTCAGGTCGGAGCCAGGGTAGGGATCCATCACGGCGGGCCTTAGACAGAGCCTGGTTTAGCCTGTGGGCGAGGAGATGAGAAAGAGGGTGGAGTTCGGGGGTCTCGTTGGTGGCATAGCCGAACATGAGACCTTGGTCACCGGCACCTAAGTCTTCGAGGGCCTTCTCGTAGTGAAGACCTTGAGCGATATCGGCAGATTGTTGCTCAATGGCAACCATAACGTTGCAAGTCTTGTAGTCGAAACCCTTGTCCGAGGAGTCATAGCCGATATCCTTGATAGCAGCTCGGATAACCTTTTGGTAGTCAATGCTGGCCTTGGTGGTGATTTCACCGAAAACCATGATCATACCAGTCTTGGTAGCGGACTCGCAGGCGACCTTGGAGAGGGGGTCCTGAGCAAGGCAGGCATCGAGGATGGCGTCTGAAACCTGATCACAGATCTTGTCGGGGTGACCTTCACCGACGGACTCGGACTACGAGGATTAGTTAGGATAGGACTCTCCATTAAAAGATTGGGTATCGAGTCAATGTCAATGTGAGGCATATACGAGACAAACATACGGTAAAGAGGAAAGCCCCAGGGTTCTGGGGAGTGCTCAAAGAGCTAGCAAATCCGTTGGTAGCAGGCATTGTGAGAAACTGTGTGAAGATAGTAATCTATGAGAGGGCGAGAGAAACAGGAAATCTAACAGCACAATGCTAATTGATTTGAAGGAATAAGGAGAAAAGTAACGGAATAAGTTTATGAAGGAGGGGGGAATGGAAGATGAAAAGGAAGTAAGATTTTAAGAAGAGGATTAAAAAGTTTGGGCAGCGGGAGTTTTTTTTCCTTCCCTTTTTCTACTTTCGGAGGGGACACAGAAAATCGGAGGGGCAGGGGAAAAAAAAGCGACCAGGAACAGTGAGTATAATTATGTACTTAGTAGCAACTTGAGCCCGAATGGCGCAATTTCCGACAATACCGTGGACAATATGCCGACTTCCAGGTAAGCTACTAGGCAGAAAAAAATAATTTAGCAGTTTTTAGTTGAGCTACCCAGGCTGCCCAAGGTTAGCCCCGAATCTCTTGTTCCCCGTCCCTGGAGCTTGGTGGGATGCATGTGGAGTCTGGAACTTGAAATGTTCAACTGTTGTTGGTGCAATTCAATGTTTAGGTGTAATAAATTGTAATAAACTGTAATAAATTGTAATAAATACTTGAGTACCTAGTCCTAGAAAAGAAAATACAACTTGAAATATGGGGCAAACTTTGAAGGAGTTTTCTATAATGTGAGAAGGAGGCAGCGGGATTGTTCGGAGTAACTTCTCTGTTGAACGGGATCTTGCAAAACCCCTGGAGTATGATAAAGTAACTCCATTGGGTTAGTTGTATCTGGTTACAATACATATATTCCCTACCCAGTCCGAATATGAGTTCAAGTATATAATGCCTCTTGAATACGTAATATCACGCGCTACTTACTTATAGGCTGTCAGCATAAGTGCGTGAGTTGTACATTAATAGCTACATATGTAATACTAGTATACTACTTACTAGCGATGGCGGTTGTCTGGCCGGTTCCCGACCTCCGATCTTTGTCGTTGCTTACCATCATTGATGTTCTACCTACATGTAGTACGCGGGGCATTTCCATCTACTGAGGTCTCTTTAATCCCTGACTACCACGGCTGCCCCTCTCAAAAACGTGCACTACGTGTGTGAATTGACAGGGGCTCGACGTCGGCACCTCTCCATGGTCGGTTGGGGGATTTGTACTATAGTACATACATACCTACGTTTACTCGGTCTCCGACCAGCCAAGGTTTACATATGGACTGTATGGTTAGGTAATATATCATCTAGATAGCCACATACGTTATTATCCATCACGGCCCGTCAGAGAACGACATTTTGCGTTATTTCATGGGGTATCCAAGATCTCCCTGATCTTTGTCTGTAGATGCCCCTCGATAGATATTGGCAATCTCAATACATAGTACACTAGCTACCATAGTACCTAGATATATTTACATACATATGTAGGGTTAAAACGGACCATAGGAAAATTCTTCCGGGATCAGCCCAGACAAAGGTATGCGTACTCCGGTCCATCAAGGCGGTGAGAAGCAAATGCATACATACTAGGTTAGGTAGCTTGACCATAATACCTAGGGCATATTGCGCCATACCTATTATATGTAGTTGGTATGGCCATCTATCACGTTTAACCAATCCTTAATGGGCTGATGGATTATATCAAGTATTCGCTTGATGAATGCATTTATATGTAGTTAACAGCATTATTCGTCCCTATGGATTGGAGAAGGAGGCTTACACAGATATTCCCGTCAGCTTTGCCCCACCTTTGGACCCTTGGGATCTGATTGAATGGATGCTTTTTACCCCAGTACCTAGTAGCTTACCTAGTACTAGGTACGTACCTTCTCCAAGCACGTGCGGTGCCACAATGCAGAGCACTCCAGACTTGGGCTCTAGTGCTCGGGCCAGCCAACCATCTTGTACACATGCAACCTTTGCTACCCCTCCAAGCTCCAAAGCCAAAAAAAAAAAAAAAAAAAAAAAAAAAAAACCTCCTCAAGTGGCTAAGCGGCGATCATCTTCCCTTGAACCACCCGGCACGAGGCTGAACGTTAACCACACTCCCGTATGTCATCTCCTAGCTTCTTTAAACGGCGCCGATTAATTTGCTATAATCAGTTTTTACATACAGTACCTGAGGTACATACCTAAGCTTCCAAAGCCTGGAGAAACATCACAACACTGCACATCATGAGCAAGTTTGGGGTCATGGTAATGGGCCCTGCAGGGGCCGGCAAGGTATGCATGTGATTTTCACTATTTTTATTCATTTACCTACCTACCTACCTACCTACTTACCAACCTCAAGCAACCTAAGGTATACATCAACTAACCACATCCCCCAGTCCACCTTCTGCGCCTCCCTAATCACCCACCTGCAACTAAACCGGCGCTCCTGCTTCTACGTGAACCTCGACCCCGCCGCCGAGACCTTCGAGCACACCCCCGACCTCGACATCAAGGACCTCATCTCCCTCGAAGACGTGATGGAGGAGATGGGGCTGGGCCCCAACGGCGGGCTGATCTACTGCTTCGAGTTCCTGATGGAGAACCTCGACTTCCTGACCGAGGCCCTCGACTCCCTCACCGAGGAATACCTCATCATCTTCGACATGCCCGGCCAGATCGAGCTGTACACGCACGTGCCCATCCTGCCCGCCCTGGTCCGCTTCCTCACCCGCTCCGGCTCCCTCGACATCCGCCTGTGCGCCGCCTACCTCCTCGAGGCCACCTTCGTCGTCGACCGCGCCAAGTTCTTCTCCGGCACCCTGTCCGCCATGAGCGCCATGATCACCCTCGAGGTCCCCCACCTGAACATCCTGTCCAAGATGGACCTCGTCAAAGACCAGGTGCGGAAAAAGGACATGAAGCGCTTCCTGACCCCCGACGTCGGCCTCCTCGACGACGACCCCGCCGAGCTCTCCCGGTTAAAATCCGAGAACGACACCGAGGAGGCCACGGAGGCGTCGGACCCGCGGGACAAGCGCGCCGTCATGCGCGGCGCTGGCTTCCGCCGCCTCAACAGGGCTGTCGCGAACCTCATTGAGAACTTCAGCATGGTCAGCTACCTCAAGCTGGACGTCCAGGACGAGGACAGCGTCGGCGCCATTCTGAGCTACATCGACGACTGCATCCAGTACCACGAGGCGCAGGAGCCCAAGGAGCTGAAGGATGACGAGTTTGCGGACGCCGATGATGATGGTGCCATGGAGAATATGGTTGGCATGGATGGCTGAGACGTGTCGTATCATATCACTCACCCACGGTTCAGATCATGGAGAAAAAAAAAAAAAAAAGGTTTGTGTTTTATGGTTGTGGGTGGCAGGACTACCTAGGGAGGGAAGGGTTGTTATGTTACTTCACGTAAAAGGAAGGATAAATACCTACCTACCTACACATGGAAGGGGAAAATGGGCATTTTGATGGATGGATGGATGGATGGATGTACATACATACAAAAGCATAGCGACGGCGTACTGGCGGGTAGGTAGTTTGTTTTTTCAAAGGTACATACATTTACTGGAAGATACCAACCAATATCAGCAAATCAAATCAAGTGAATACAAGACACACAACACAGCACAGCACTTCTTCATATTGTAATGAACAGCTTTTTATATATATGTGTTTTTAGGTATTTGGTAATTTCATTTTCATTCTCTTCATTCTTTTATAGTAAAAGAGCAAAGAGCAACAGCAAATCCTGATAATCGTGAACTCTTTCTTCTCCCTCTCTCTCTCCGAAAAGGAAAAAAAGACAAAACGTGGCATTATAGACAACGACGACGACGATGATTGATGATTGACGATTGATTAAACCCAACCCAATCCTCCCATCCCATCCCAAACCAAGCCAACCCGAAACCGAACCGAACCCCGGTAGTCATTTGTTCCATTTCATCAAATCATGAATAATACTTTTTCTTCTCTTCCCTTTTTGTTCTTCGTCTTCTTTCTTGGTTTTCTCTCGCCCCTGTAGAGCCGCTATACTAGAAATGATAAAATAGCAAAATGATAAATGATGATGACGATGAAAATGGATTACCACCCAGCGGTTCCCGGACGGCTGTATCCTCCCGAGGGGGCTCGCTGGCCCGGGTTACCACCGCGCTTCGTCTGGGCGTCGAACTTCTGGTACTCGGACCACCAGACATCCTTGACGAACGAAGCGTAGCCGGCGATCTTGCTGACGACGACGACGGCATCGCGGATGGTAGCCTCGGGGCCGCGGCGCCAGACGAAAGCGACGAGGGCTGCCACCAGAGCCCAGCCGAGCAGGCGGAAGGCGAGGCGGGTGAAGTACATCATGGTGCGGTGTACCCAAGCGATGAGCTGGAGGGCGAAGACGAAGAAGGCGAGGAGGAAGCCGATGACGACGACGTCGGGAGAGTCATGTAAGGCTTGTAGGGCGCGGGCGAGCAAGGGGGCGAAGACGGGCGAGAGCAGGGCCGTCACCTTGGCGGCGGCGGACGCGGTGTGTTCCCACACGGCCTGCAGGGCGGTCTGCGGGTTCTGGATTTGTTCTTGGAGGAGATCCATGGTCTTCTCTGGGAGGAAGCCTGGGTAGATGGGGTTGAGCCGATTAGCTTGCTTTTTCTTGCTTACTATTGTTGGACTTGTCTGGGGGTTTGGTTTAAGAGTGTGCTTGGATGATGGGGAAAGGTAATTTCTTTGGGTTAGGTAGGAAAGACGTGATGAATGGAGTGTGAATCAGGGAAGATGATGAACCGGTCTAGTATTTACCATTAAGGACGTCGAGAACCCAGATATCGCTTCTATCCATAGTTTCGCCTGTTCCTGTTTGCGTCTCGGGCTTCGAGGTTTAAGATATAGAAGCAGGAACAAAAATGGTTGTAAGAAACTCGTAAGTTGTTCAAGTACAGCAATAAGAGTTGTTGTTGAATCAACCCTCGAGAAATAACCCGATCACGTTGTGAGTGGTGGATGAAAAGAAAGAGAGAGATTGATAGATAGATAGATGTATGGTATGTAGTTAATAAGTCAGTAAGTAGTGACCAAGTGACCAACTGACTGATGGATGGATGGATGGATGGATGGATGGTTGAATGGAGGGTTAGATAACTAGATGAATTGATGGAAAGGTGGGTGGGTGAGTGGATGTGGGTGTTTCCCTCTTTCTGTATGTGATCAGGCAAACTTTAGTTATGTGTGTGTGTGTGTGTGTGTGTGTGTGTAGGTCCGTGAGGTTGTGATCTTTTTTTTTCCCAATAATTCTTTTTTTTTATTTTTATTTCATTTTATTTACTTTCCAAGGATTCCCAAGCTGCTGAAGTTCTGAACAAAGAACAAAAGAGATTGGATCCAACTTGCACGCGCTTGGCCACTTTGTAATGGCGGTGATGACGATTTAATGGGACGGACCATGAAACAACCTGGTCCAGACCCCGTTTAATTGGCTACTAGCTTAGTACCATGTACTAGACCCACTCAGTACCTCAGTACAAGGTCTGTACTTGGTCTAGACTTGGTCTGTGCATAGAGGATTCGGCCGACTTTTTTAATGCAGTTAAATGCATGCACATGTTTTTTTAAAGGGGTCGCGACAAAGTTATTGATCCATGGATGCTTTGTAGGTACAAAGGTACTATGTACTTATTTTACCCTGTTTCCCGTTTCACTGCATCCTCACATACTCCAATTATTTCAACAATATCCAACTAACTATTAGTCACGTGATCACCCTTACTGAGTACACCTGCATAATAAACTTACACACCTTATAAAAGCTCATTAACATATGATAATATCGTCTCAGCTTCCAGTCCACCACAGTTCAACCCCATCCCACTTGTAAAGCACCAAGTGGAATGAGCGCTTGCCCCATTTTGATAATACCTAAGGATACGAACTAACCTACATAGTTACCTAATTAGGTACTTTCCTCAGATGTCTTACTACCCATCCCAAGATACACGTCGACGCCGTACCTAGTCAATAAATCCGTAGGTATAGAAAGACTGATCCAGGTACCTGATTCTGATTCACCAAGTCTGTACCTATGTTTGCACTTCTATTAGGTAGCCCTGGCGGTATGAAAGAGTTACCAACATCTTCTACGTGTAGCTAGCTACCTAGTAGCTGTAGGCCATGGACATAGTTATGTACATACTTTCATATCTATGTCTAGGTAGAAAAGCAAACACTTCACCTAGCTAGGCACCTAGGTACCTAACCTACGCCTGCATCAAGGGATATCTATCACATGATCAGCCAGACAGATTGAGTCGAAACGACCATCAACACTCGAAGACTGAGTATTCCTACGATTGCCTACGCATTCAGCCATGAGCTTCTTTGTTTCTTGGTGTTTTGTTCTTCATTGCCTACCAAATAATCATATCCAGCATCAACACCTTAATGAAGAAGAAGAAGACTCTCAGTCTCAAAACCCCCTGAGATGCCGGGATACCTAATACCTGTACCTGTACCCAAACTCGTAGAATATCCCATTAGTTATTCCCCAACTCCTCACCATTGGGGCACCTATCCTATTCCCATACCTATCCAAATACAACGACCAGTCTCCTTCCCCTTTTCTCTCCTCCCACCAAAAAATCAAAATCCCAGTCTACATACCTAAGCAGCTACCTAGGTATAGTTAGTAGAGTAACCACAGACACCCAACCCTCACATCCCTCACATCCCCAACTGCGTGCTCGAAACATAATGCGACCCCCCGCGACACCTATACCCGCCGTCCGCCTGCCTCAGCCACTGGAACCCCTGCACGCACACGCCCAGGCTCCTCAGCTTCTTCTGGACCTCGGCCTCCCTCCTCTCCCTCTCCTCCCTCTCCTTCTCCGCCTTCCGCTGCCGCTCGCGCGCCTCTTCCAGCTTGCGCAGAACCTCGCGGCGCGCCGACTCGTCGCGCTCCCGCTTCAGCGCCTCCTCCTGCTCCCGAACCTGGCGCTCCGCCAGCTGCCGCGCTGAGGCGAGCGCGCGCTGCTCCGCGGCGGCCGCGGCTTTGGACAGCTGCAGCTGCGCCCATACGGCGTCCGAGACGCCGGCGTCGCGGGCTGCGGCGGACGGCTCTTCTTCTGTTTCCTTGTGCGGTGGTGGTGGTGGTGGTGGTGGTGCTTGGCCTTCCTCTTCTTCTTCCTCTGTGGCCGTCTCGGTCGTGGTCGTGGTCGTGGTTATCTGAGGCGGTCCCTGAGTCATGGGCTGGGGGTGTTGCATTGGCAGATCGGAAATGAACTTGGAAAGCGGGTTAGCAGCAGCAGCTCGTGCGGTCCGCTCGTCGACCATGGCGTTGATGACGTCTATGACCACGTTTTCAGGCACGACGCGGTTGGGGTTGGGCGTCTTCGAGCGCATAATCCGGGAGAACGTTGCCTTGGCCAGCGTCTGCACGTCCCGAGCATTCCCCCACGACGGCGTGCTGGATAGGATGCCAAATAGGTCCAGGAGTCTGCTGTCCAGGGTGGGAGAGTCCTCCAGGCTCTGTGTGTTGAGCTTCTTGGCCTGGAGGCATTGCAGTAAGAGATCTCGACAGTGGTGTGGCGGAAGGTGGCGGAAAGAGATGGTCTCGGGAAACCTGCTAGTCAGCCCGGGGTTTTGGTTCATGAGCCGGTTGATGTCGTTGTCGTAGCCTGCGAGAACTATAAGATTTTTTTAGTATTAGTACTTGTCAATCAGAGAAAAGGGGTTTGGAGTGTTGGTTGTAAGTTGATACGCTTGTTCAAAGATGCATGTCCGACATGGGACACGCCGTGGAATTATTGGAAGAAAAGCCGAAACAAAACGTTGCATGCACTTACTGACGACGAGTCTGTTCTGGTATCGCTCCTTGGTGAGGCAGTCGACGATCTCATCCATCGCCTCCTTAGCAAAGTGCTCACCGGCAAGCCTGTATGCTTCGTCGATGAACAGCACAGCCCCCCGTGCATCATCAAACTTTTTCTGCACTTTAGGGCCGGTCTGGCCCACGTACTGGCCGATCAGATCAGTGGCAGAGCACTCGACTACTCTGGCTCCCTCAAGGAACCCCATGTCATAATAGATCTTGCCCATCTTTCTAGCTGTCGTGGTTTTCCCGGTTCCTGATAATAGTAGGGTCTGTATTAGAATAGCAAACGCCAACTTGCTTTAGATGGTTAGGTAGGCACTTACCGGGTGGGCCGCGGAAGAGAAACCCGAAGGGTATCTGTGTACGAGGATCCATGTCCATTTCCTTCATGTTCTGAACAATCTGCTGATATCCTTCCAACTGCTCGACAATTTCCTCACACCCGATGACGTCCTTGAAGAGCACGCGAATATTGGTTGTCGCGCGTTCACCCCTATCGAAGTCAGGATCGATATCCTTAGGAGTCAAGAGATTCGAGTGTTTTGGCCCGGGACTTTCAGACAAGCGTTTTTGTTGACGCTCCTTGGCCTGGTCGAGAACGATGTCGACTTCGCCTGCATTTCCAAAGTTGGGCCTGTTACGAGCCCGCCCTAATACTTCGATGACAACCTTCTTTGCAGCCTCAGTGGCTCTGAACCCTTGTTGTTTGAGCTTGAGATCAAGGATCTTCCGGAGTTCATCGTCGTCATAGTCTTGGAAGTTGAAACCAGACGAGATGGGGAAACGTCTCGTCAGGCCCGGGTTGACCTTCTGGAACATGTCTTCCATCTGTTCTCTATACCCCAACAGCAGAACGCATCTATCCTCAAGTGAAGTGCTTTGGACTTCAGCAACTATAGTATCTACCACAGCTGTTTTGTAGGGATCGCTGAATCCTCCAGAGCCTGAAGCACCGCTGGCACCACCGCCGGCGAGCATGTAGGCCTCGTCGATAATCAAGACCTTGCCCTTGGTAGATTCGAGGATGGCTTTGGTGTTTTTCTCGGATTGTCCAAGGGCGCCGCCAACAAAATCGGCCGGGTTCTTGATAATAACTTCGCCGTTACTTAGGAGGCCCAATGCCTTTAGAATTTTACCATAGAGCTTTGCAACGGTCGTTTTACCAGTTCCAGGATTTCCAACGAACACCTTGTTCAGGGAACACTCGACCGTGGGCTGTTCTTTCATTTCACGGTCGTAGTTGGTCTGTAAGCGATCGACGAGGACCATGACCGACTGTTTCACCGACTTCAGTCCGATCATGCTCTGAAGCGTCTTCCAATCCGGGTTGTGAGAGAATTCTCTGCTGGGTTCCGGTCCCACCAAGTCGATCTTCCGAAGCAGCATATCGTCTGGTGTTCGACCTTCACGTCTCTCTCGGTGAAGACGGTCGGCCTGCCTTCCAAGTATGATGGAGAATACATTCTGCACCTCACGAGCGTTTCCGAATCCTTCCTTTCCTCGACCGCGGCCAATACGGCGTGCCACGATGCGCATGTAGAGCCCTCCGACCCCACCTTCAACTTTCATGCGGCCCGTGAACTTCTTCTCCAGTTCGAAGTTGAGAATTCTATGGAGCTCGTTATCTTCGTAGTCCTCGAAGTTCAGTTGGATCGGTATTCGGCTAGGTATGCCTGGGTTGTGAGCAAAGAAGGCCTCCATCTGCTTCCGATACCCGGCAAACACGAAGACAACCTTTCCCGTGAGGTTCTCGATCTCTGCGAGAAGGAAGTCGAGCACCTGTGCTCCACCAAAGGAACTGCCAGACACAATCTGATATGCCTCGTCCAGAAAGAAGACGCCGCCCCCTTTGTTGAGGATTTCTTCTATGAGCTTTTTGCATCCTGCTATTCCGTCGTTCGCCAGCCGTGAACCAGTAGTTTCCACAAAGTGATCCCCAGGTAAGGCCCCGACGGAAGAGAGGAACTTGGCATAAAGCCTAGCGACTGTAGTCTTACCTGTCCCTGGGTTTCCAAGTAAAGCGGCCCCGAACCTCTGATCCTTGATATCGGATCCTTGGCGGATGGCGGTGTCTATTCTCGCCTTAATATTCAGGAACTCCTTTTTTACGCTTTCTAGCCCAATCATCTTGCATAAAGAATCGATGGCTTCATTGTTGGCATTTTCGTACTCCTTCTGGTGCTTCCAATCAGCTTCGGCGGGGGAGGGTTTCGAAGGTGTTGGCATGTCTTCGTCCTCTAGCGTAGCCTCTGATGCACTATCGCTACTCTCTTCATCTGGAGCTTCGGGATTGCTAACTGGCTGTTGCTTGGACGTATTGGCATCCTGTACTTTGTGCTGGGCTTTCTCATCATCATTCTTACTAGGTTTAGTTGCGCTACTAGCTGTAGGTTGTGCAGATTGTACAGGCTTTCGTTTCGATGGCGCTGCTGGTGTTGGACGTGGCGGATTTACGTTGGTGTTCACAGGCGTCTGGGTTTGTATCTTCAACTGAGCGAGCTCAAGCCAATGTTGCTGCAAAGTCTGCTGTCTGAGGGCCTCCTCTTGGCATTCTTTATTGAATTTCCTCAGCGCAGCGATTTCATCTTGGTAGGTTTTTAATTGCTTGGCGTACGCATGTTGTCTTGCTTGCCGTTTAATTTCTAGATCTTTGTCTCGACGAGCCTTTTCGTCTCGCTCTTCTTTCTCACGGCGACATGTCTGACAAGCAGGCGGTGCATTGTCTGAGCACTGCCACACGAGCTTGTGTCCAACTACACAGGTATCATTCATGACCTCGCTGCATGGCATCTTCGAGTGGTCAACTCGCACGTGGCATCGTAACTGGCAGGCGTGTTTCCCACAAGACAAGATTTCTTTGCACGGTAAATCGCATCCCCCGTCCGGGCAAAGACGAAAAAAATCTTCAACTGAACGGATTATATGTGTTTTGTATGGATGCTTCTCGCATTTGAGTGGAAACCCGTCGTGGATGTGCCCTTTTTTCTTGAGGTTATCGAAAAGCCGGGTCCACTCCTCGCGACCTTTCCTCGCGTTCAGGAAGGTTTCCGCATTGCCAATCATGATGAACCCATTTCGAGCCCTAGAGACTAGTACAGTGAGTCGCTCTGGAGAAGACATAAACCCAATATCTCCGTTTGCGTTGCTGCGGGTTAGTGAAGCCACAACAACGTCACTCTCTTCTCCTTGATAGTTGTCTATAGTGGAGAGACGAATGCGCGGCTTGTTGACTGCAGCGCTTGCGGGTGTCATAATTCCAGCTTGGACAAGGTCGTGCGAGTCGAGATCATTCAAGACGGGATCGCTGTCCCGGCTTAGAATATCCTTGAGTAGTAAGAGTTGACCCTGTGATATAGACGAGATTAGTACCTTCCATCATGGAATATTGGGAAGGGTCTACATTCAGGTTATGGCTTACAAGATAAGGGGTCAATATCACGAGGTTGTCTGTGTTATAATTCTGTAGTCCCAAGTGACGAACACACTTTAAGACCATCTCAGCCTCGAATGCGTTTCGCTTACTTGATGTAGTGCTTTGGTCAAGCTTATCCTTGAGTCCGTCGTGGCTCTCTTCCAGGTGGTCGTGGTTGAAGAAGACAACATCGTGCTGAAAACCTCGAAGATGCGGGCGATTCTCTGTGCCTTTGGCATCTTTAAGGCCAGGGTACTGGTGTCTTATCAATGCAGATATCTCTGGTCTCATCCTATGTTGATTAAGCAATGTGCAATGAGGCCGCCCGTAGTTTATAAGCCTTTCAAATAGCGACCTATTGAGATCGTATCCATTCCCGGCTTCCACTGTGAGCTTGTAGTTGGTTACCTTGGGCCGGAGTTGTTTATGGTCTCCAATCTGAATCAACTGTTTTGTATAAGGCCCCATAGCTGAAAGGATGTCTAGAATGTAGAGAGACTCAGTGGTTGTTGTTGATGGATGGAGATGTAAAAAGAAACAAAGGGGTATACATACGGCTTTCCAAAATCTCACCCGCCTCCTCAGCGATGATAATACCAGGCTTGGCGGCTTGGATCTCTTGCGCGTACATTGACGCAGCTGTGGTAGTGCAGCCGATTATACGTTTTCTCTGAAGGATACCTTCTTCCTTCTCCTTTCTAAGATCATTTAGGACCTTCTGTTTCTCGTTGTATTTAGTAACTACTTCGCAGAGAGCGGCGACTCTCTCCTCGCGGATATCCTTTTCCCATTGCCGGATTTTCAACTGTCGATCATTTTTCGGCATGGTCCATACTTTCTTACACGGAGCCCCTGATTTTTCCTTGGTGAAAGGGCCAGGTGTCTTTCCTCCTTTCCAGCGTTCGAAGAGAAAGTCAGGCCGCATCTTAGCACCCTTTCTACCGACGCGGGTGTCACCCTCCTGTGCAGCTGGTACCGAAAGTGCGTCATAAAATTCTTCTTCTGTATCAGAAAACTCTAGTAATTCTAGTAGCTGAGTTGGTGAAATTTTATCCTGCTTGTATTCGCCGAAGCACTGGTCTATCTTATCCTCCAAGAATTGACTGTCATTCATATAGGTGTCGATCGATTGCTGCCGCGTCCTATTCCTCTGGCGACCGTCTGCTATCTGATTACTTAATTTCAGGGAGTCTGTCCTGCTTGTGGATTTTGACCCTAGGCGGACCATATCATTTTGGCTGATTCCCATATCCATCAGGTCCTCTAAGAATTGGTCCAGTGCATGATTGGTATATGACAAAATGAGCATGGTCTCCTGAGTGTTGTCAAGTAGGATCTTGGCCAAAAGAGCGCCGACTAGAGACTTTCCTGTTCCTATATTGAATTTCAGTAATGATGATTACACTTCAAAGCTGCGCTTGGAATGTTCATACCTGGAGGGCCCTGTATTAGGCTTGTTTGGTACTTGAGCCCATGTATCAAGGCCTCGATCTGTGAAGGGTCCAAGATCAATGACTTCGTTGTTTTCAGGAGCTGTTGCAAGTCAGATTGGGAAGCCATGGATGCCTTGAGCGCCTCTATGATATCGGTGGGCTGTATTGAAGATTCTGTTGGAGTTTGCGAGTAAACGAGAATATCATGATCAAGTTCGATGTCTGTCTTCCGCTGTAATCTCTCTAGAATGGGTTGGTATGCAAAAATCGAGGTAGGAATGAGTAGGAAGTCAATCGTGTCGTGTTGCAGAACTAGCAAGACTTGACTTAACGTTTCTTGACCAACGATCTGTAAACAGACTTGTGGCGGGCAAAGTGAGAGTCGGTCTTCGTTTCTGTAGAGCATCGCGAATCCCAGCAGTTTGTCGTTTTTCATTAGGCATCCGAAGCTTTGATGCTTCAAGAATCCCGGAGACCTTTTCAACTCTGCTTTTCTTGCTACACTGCCAGCCTTGCCCATTTTCAGTATGTCGTCTTTACATTCGAGAACCATAGTACAGGCTTTGCCATTGGCCATCATATTCTTATCTACCCCTTTCAAGGTAAGATTTTGAATAACCACATTTTTCCATCCAGACTTTTGACTTCGGTCTCTGGAGCGTTTTAGACCCTCACGGATATTAGCGAGCATGTCTTCTCTGTAAAGGCGGAATTGGTTGTCAAGGTGATTAGATGTGCGACTTGTGTTAGGTTCCGCAAATACTGCGGAAGCTTGTAGATAAAACGGTCTCCTCGTCGACTCCAACTCATCTCGAGTGGGCATGATTGAGATATCGCGGTAATTGACAAAGTCATTGTCATGGCGACCCCCAGGACCAAAGTCTCCAACGATGATTGGGCCCGTACCGGGTTGCGAGGGCTGCACCAAAGATCGGATCTTTTGGACTAGGCTTTCAGACATCAAAGAGCCTGGGTTATCCAGGGTTCCATCTTCTAGGAGTGAGTTCGTAATTTCCCGAAACGGCGACGATCGAGGGGGCTGGAGGAGCACAAGCTGCAGCAATAGCCAAGCGAAGCCTTCAAATGTTTTCGTCTCGAGCTGCTTCTCTCTGGCTTTCTGGATCAGGCAGTTCCAGAATACTGGAGGATCAACCATAATCCAGATAACCTGGTGTAGAAGCTCGCCATCGCAGACTCTTGCCAGATCATCATCTTTAAGAAATTGTATCAGGTTTGCGACGAACGCGTTGATGAACTGAGTTGAAGAGTCCAATATCAGGGATTTGTGGAGGGCATTTTGAGCATCTTTAGATGAAGCTAGTCTTTCAATGCAGTCTGACTTATCGGTTCTGTTCACGATGGACTCGAGGAATTTTTGGCCGTCCCCAATTTTTTCGACCCTGCGTTTTCCCTCGACGACAGCGTAGAAAAACTTATTTAGGAGTCGAGACCGGTTGTCAGTTGGATCTTGGCTAGTGGTAACGGTAGGATTGGACATGCTGGACACAAGGAAAATGGGTAATCCTAGATGAGATGAAACTAAGTATCCTACGACAGCAACATCAAATACATTGCAGCATATGAAGAAGCATGATATTCAGGAAGTGAAAGACTTTGATCTACCATCGTAGCTGGTGCTTCTGAGAGGGGGGTTCCAAATTTGGGGGTCAACCATGCGGCCTTCAGAATCTGTTTGTGTCTCAACAGCTTTCCCAGCCAATCTACTCTTAACACACAGGCCCGCAAGCTCTCCAACCCAATCAGATAAACGCACACATAAACGCACTGTGCCGAAGTACTGAGACACCCATGGATATATTAAATCATGTCGTATCACGCAGGCAGGCAGGCAGGCAGGCAGATAGGGATGCATGTAATGAGGCCTGATACCGCCCCCCCCCCCCTCATTTCAATAATCACAGCGACCGCAGTACCCGCATTCGACATCGCAGGCTGTGTAATCCAATGCAACATCATCATCGAAATCATATGATTCGTCAGACCAATCTTTCGATGATAAGTAATCAGGGTAGCTTCCCTCACCATCCTCATCATCACTCAAATAAGATTTGCTATCTCTGGTCGGCTCTCGTCGTTGCTCGGTCCACATCTCTCTCCATTCATTTGGGAGTGCTTCACGAGGCTTTTCACTTTGTTCTCTTAGTTCTAGTGGCCCCAAGCCGGTTCGACATAGCTCAAGTTTCAAATGGCTTGCTCGCTTGACCTCGATGATTAGTTGGCGTAGAATTGAAGCAAACTTTCGTAGTTCGAGTTCGTGATCACTTTCCCATTTAAGGAGATCTTCTCGAACGACCTTCTCCTGAACATCCTCAAAGTTCCCTGCGCGGTGATATGCAGTGATTAGGCTAGGAATTTGCCGGAGCCACAGCCTAGGCAAATGCTCGGCCATATCAATGGGGTCTCTCGCCTGGGACTTGGTTTTAACCTCGAGGATTGACTCCTGAGGTATGACATTTCCGGCAGGTTCCATAGTTATTGAATTAGATGCTGGAAACTTGGGGAAACCCGAGACCTTTTTTTCACCGGCCGTTGCCTTTGACTTCTCTTCGCTACCCGAGAAATGCCCATCGCATTCATAACGGACAAGACACTTCAGACCGCCAAAGGAATAGGAGACTATACGTTGGTGAGACACGGTTTCCTGTAGCTCTGCCCCGTGTGTGAGGAAGGCGTTTAGGAATGAATGGCCGTATCCGCGCACATCAGGAATGACCTGGTTGCGATGGTTGCGAACTAGAAATAATGTATCGCCAATTATCTCAACATCAAATCTGAACGTCAAATCTACAGATCGTACGAAGCGGAGAATGTCTCCTAGAGAGCTAGCACAGCCCAAGATGTCAACACTCGACGGGTCGAATTCCTTGTTTAGAGCAAAGATAGATTGAACAGAGGGTTGCATAGGGTAGTCGGGAAAACGTGCTCCATTTTGGTCTCTAAGATATTCTCCTTGATCACCCGGAAGCCGGGAAGGTAATTCAAGAGGTGTCCAAGTTGCTGGTTGCCCTAATTCTCATGTTAACACGAAAAACGATCTCTTCTTGTGGCAACTTACCTGGGATGATGATTTTTTGTGTGGAAGCTTTCATTAGAGAATACGAGGCTATATATTTGCAGTCGCTGATCTTGGGACTATCGGTCTTGGTGATAAAGCTTGAAGCATCGTCTAAAGTGATGTTTGTGACAAGGCGACCGAAAGGGGTCGTGTCTATTGTTTCACTGGGGACTTGGGCTCTGCTCCTATGCCAAGTAGAGCCTCGTCCTAGCGAAAGTCCGCCATGTGAGGGACGACTGCGCCACGAGCCTTGAACCGAGTTTGAAGCTCTTCCACGACCTAGGGTATCCGTAGCAGAAAATTGACCAAGCGAACGGCCGCCATGTGAGGGACGAGTGCGCCACGACCCTCGAACCGAGTTTGAAGCTCTTCCATTATCCATAGTAACTGCAAATAGGTAGCATAGACCAGATATGCAAGTAGATGACTAGTGGAGTAGTCAGGTTTGAGCTGTATATGTATAAGACGAAGAAAACGGCATTGCCTTCAAACATTGAATGTTTCTACCCTCCCTCGCTACATAGGTACCTGCCTAGAGGTAGGCACCTACATATACATATAGGTAGTAGAAGATGCAAACCGAGACAACGCATGATATCAATTACTACGATACATATCATACCGTCCGTCGGGCACGGATTCGTGCAGCCAGTAACATGCGACTTTCTGTAGCACGACTGATTGCATAAATCGCACAAGTTTGGTTGGCGAATGATGGATTTCTCCTACCACACCATGTGAAAAATACTACATATTCAGTACACATGTAGTTGCATCCATGTATATTATGTATCATACATGTACGTCGGCTCAAATGAGGAAAAATCCTGTTCAGAACAACTTGAATTTTATCAAATTATATCTTCAAGAACTAAAGGAGCTCAGATTGAAGAGAAGAAGAAGTTGAACTTTTGAAGTTGAAATTATTAAAGTCAAAGCCAATCGGCAGCCTGCCGCGTTAGTGCGATTTGTTCATTAGTACTCCGAAACATGAACGTAGTCACATGACGCACGTGACTCATGCCAGGAATACTCACTATCACTATTAAATGTAACTACTATGTAAGTTATGTATGTTGATACATGTATGTATATCATAGGTACCTAGGTACATATGTAATCAGCTTTACTTGCATACATACATAGCGTAGTAGTGTCTCCCAGCCTCTCTTCCCGACCCCCTCCTCTTCTATCCTGACCCATATAGCCCTGGTAGTTTAGATAGTTTATAAATACATGTGTAAATGGGCGGCTCTGCTTATGGGGAATACCCACCTCAGTACCCATGTATGGGTAGGTAGTCACATTACAATGTATAATTGAGCATGAACATTGAATCCACTATGTAACCTAGGGCCTTGCTCGAGCCGACATGTATCTAGGTTAGAGAGTAGCAATACATTATGTAGTGAGTACCTCATATAGAACATGTAGCAGGCAGAGAGTTTTCAAAATGCATATCAATATTTGATAAGTATTGGTGAGATAATCAGCGATGTGATGTGATGTGATGTGATATAATATTCAATATCTATGTATACAAGCAAGTGATCTTCGAAAAATCAACTATCAAGCGCGGCCCGCCACCGCGCGATATGGTATATCTTATCCGTGAATCCAAAAAAAAAGTACACTCCTCCACAGCGCCACACGACCCTTGCCACTTTTCCCCCCTTCCGAGTATGAAGTATGCCAGTTATGTAAAAAAGTACAGCTAGAACTCGTTTTCTACGAGGTTCCAAATATAACAAAGTAAATATAAAAAAAATATAAAATACATAGTAAATGAGAATCGAAAATATATGTGAATGAACGGATACAGCAACCTGTGGATTTACCTCCAGGTGCCGTGGATCTTGCCTCGCCGATTCCTCGATGACTTCAACCCGACGTCCCCGTTGATCATCAAGCTTCTCCACCTCCGTCCGATGCTACCCCGGTCCTTCCCTAAACTCCGGGCGCAGTCTTGCCAGTCTGTCTTGGAGAGTTTGAGTTTCTCCAGAACCAGTTCGACGAGTATTCGATCATCTTCTTTACTCCACAACTCGCCATCGGCCTCTGTCTCTACTTCTGTGCCTTCTATCATGTTCTCCTTTCCGCTGGGGGCGTGCAAGTTGTGGTAATCGGCTCTCTCTAATCCTAATGGGATTACTTCTGGTGCGATGCGCGCGCGTTTAGGTGTGCTGGGTCGGAAGGCTGCTTCTTCTATATCTCTGCTCCCTTCCGTGTCTGTGTTATTGAAGGAACTGCCAAACTCTAAGTCGCTGTCTGATTCATCATCGCGTCCCATATCGTCATCGATAGCGCGGCGTCGCTTGTTAACACCACGAGGCGGTGCAACGGACCGTTTTACAACTTTCTTGCGCGGGAGGACGTCTCCATTGGCCTCAGATTTCCGCGATCGTAGGCGCATCTTTAGAGGTGGTAGGGCAGTATGAGTCATTGGAGGTGTAGGTAGCGAAGCTCGAGGCGCAACAATATTTTCAGTCGAGATGCTTGTTGAAGGTACTGTGAGCATCGATTGCAGCGCGCGACAAGAGCTGACTATGTTGCCGAATGTACTGCCATGTGCGCTCGATGGAGGGCTGGAAGGTGGTGACGCGAAAAGTGCGTGTTGGAGCCTGGTAACAGGTGGATGCGATGAGTCGCACGAAAGTGCTGATGGCAATAGCATCTTGTCGTGCGTGTAGTTGTAGTATTGTTTTGAAAGGTGTCTATTGTGCGTCGGGTGTCCAGAGATTGATTGGGGTGATGTGTTGTATCTCAGGTTTTGAATGCGACCGCGACAAGTTAAATTTAATGCGCACAGCGCAACAAAAGACTTGTTAAAAGCGCGAGTAATTTGGAAAATCGAGTCGAATATAGTTGTATGGACCTATGAGGATAGGAATGTTGCGAAACAATACAAAAATATGTGTAGATGTTGGTGTAGATGTTATGAATTGCGACGAGTTGTGTTGGCGATCAACGGTTGCTAGGTGATGGAAGGTGAATGTTGTAAGTGGGAAAGTGGAAGCTCGGGAGTGGGAGTGGGAGAAGACGGGATGGCTGGAATAATGCGCCTAATAAGACCAGCAGAGGAACCCCCAAAATTGGGCTGCCTATGCTTGTCAAGGTAGCACAAGAATGCATGTGTGGGCCACATGATACGTACTGTTTTCGGTCTAAAGGTGTAGAAACCAATTATGGGCCGGATAGCGTAAAAGGTAACGGCCACCATTGGGAATTTGCAAGGGAGCTAGCTGCTAGCCAGGGGGGGAAGGGAGACAGGTACCAAATACTAGGTTATGGTCTATAACAAGACCTGGTTCGAGACTTTTAACACAGCCCTTGCACCATTTGAATGATTTGATTCTAAACCGTCTGAGTACAAGTACCAAGTATACCTCTTCAATGTTGAAGATGGTGTGCCACGAGGGCATTTTGACAGGGCTTCAAGGAACCACTAGGCCGGATCGACTTGATCAACCCGTCAAGTTCCACTCCCTTTAACAATTAAGTCTTGTAACTTCTTCTACGTTGGGAATAGTTTCGCAACCTAGTCTCATTCCACGATCCCTTTTCGTCCGAGTGTGCTACTCGGATGACTGTGACCTCTAGCTAGTGACCTCCCATATACTATGTAGATGATGAAGACTATTCCGGGTTCTACTTTGCAACCGCCCTTTGCGCCGCCTTTCTTCAAGGGCACGCTTATGAAGCCCCAGACTTCACTAACGATTGATAATAACTGAAAGCGAGCCATCAAGGGTGATTAAGTTAGATAGGCGTTGCGCCTGGCGAACGTTCATGTAGTGAAACCACTCACCCACACAAAGACATTCTTATACCAGATGTAGAGATGTAGGAAAAGAATGTAAAGGCTGGAAGCGTAAGGCCATTCTACAGGCCATTCTACAGGCAAGCTTAGGCAAGCACCCGATCGAGCCCAAGCCACGTTTTCTTTTTTCTCAGTCATCCTTCAGTCAACATTCATAATCCTATAGGGTAGCCCTAAGAAAGGATTCAAACTAAGATCTAAAGTGCATAATCATTATCGATGGGTCTCGTGCCGATCTTTTACGCACAGAATAACGCGAGGAAAGACTTTCCATGGAAATGATTCCCTATATTCGTCTAGCTACCTAATCAAGTCGCAATGGAAACAGGCCCGAGACCTTTGACTGCTGACCAGCCCACACCACCATCAAGAACACCCCTCCTTGATGCCCTTGCATGTTGAAACCATTTGGCTTAGAGCGTAGTAGAGCGTAGTCGATGATGCATTCATCGATAACTAAAGAATCCCTTCGGATACTTGTCTCTATTCTTTTCTCCCTCTGATAAATGACGCAGGCTATAGCTTCTACACTATGTAGTAAATAATCTTACCAGCCTATCAACCCTCCTTGACTTAAATATACTAAATATCTACACGGCGAAGGTATACATAGGTAACTATTATCATAATGAGTGGTGAGTACGAGGTATTTCGAGGAGACGAAAGAATTGGATGGTAAAAACCACTCATAGACGGAGGGGGGAGGGGTAGGGGTAGGGGCGGTAGGGTGGAATAGTAAGAAGTGCAAAAAAAAAAAAAAGACCGCGACTGAACGCGACTTTTTACGCGTCGAAGCTAAACTCGCGTTTAATTGAATTTTCAACCTATTGACCAATCAGCAAAGTCTAGCTAAAGCCATGTTCGTCACCTATCATATGATTGGTCTTACTTGACAGGGTCGTTTCATTGGGTTGTTAAGTTTCAGATTTCTTCACCTTGACTTTTCAAATGCCATTTTCTTCTTCGGCTTCCTGTCTTTCTAACCATAATTCAATCATACTCTATCTAACTATTGCGTCACCTTCATATGGTACCTCCCTGTATTCTTTATTAGTTTCATCGTCCAAGCCGACGTTTGATCAGCCTATTAATTATTGTCACCAATATGATAAAGCATTTGTTTTAGTTGCTAAACGTCATTGATGGGACAGGCTGCCTCTTTGATGTTCTTTACAGAAGTGATATTGTTTCTCTACAGTATCTGATGCAACTCTTACTTTAATTTTGGTAGTTACTACTACTAGTAGTTGCTTTATTTAACTCTTATATATTTACAGATTCCTTGCCAAAGGAATATATTCCTTATATTCCTACCCAAGATATACCCTACCGTAGGTAGTATATTGCTGAGAATTGGACCTGCCCCACTCTCTAATCGAACAACTTGAGCCTCTTTTGATAGCATACAGTATACTACGACATATGGCAAACGACGAAGTGTTGAAATTTATTGTCCATAGTGCAGTGCAGCCATGTACTGTAAGAGACTGCAACCATGCCAAGGAAGTTGCCAAGAACCCTCTATATATCATGGAAAAGGCCAGTCGTCTGGTACTTTGATTGATACGAGCAGAGTGGTTCAAGGTGTCTATCTACTTGGGCAAATACATATATTAACATGCTGAACTCCTTACATACATTATGTAGCTCATAACTACTAGATATATCGATATCAATACATAGTACTTAAGTTACCCGTGCCAAGCAAAGAAGCCCCCTTTACAATGATATGCTTGGTTTAGAATGATAATAACACTGCAGGCAGGGATAGATGACGTAAGCAGAAAGCACCTACCAGGTATGTTAACGGTACTAGGATGATACTACGCAGTAGTTACTAGTACCATGTAGCTCGATGCTAAAAATAAATGGGTAAGAACATTGAACGTGTAAGGTCTAAGCACGGTGCCACGGCAGCCACGCTACACGTATGTACGTACATCTTAACCTTCGCCATTGACGTCTACAAACTCATTTTCATTCTACCTATAACTTTTATAACACTGCGATAAAGACATACGACGACCACAAAAATGGATCGAAGCCTTGATGAGATCGTTGCTGAATCTCAGGTATGGAATTGACATAGGAGCTACGCTATTTATTTCAATTTATTCAACTATAAAAGCGTACGCTCGTCTCTTTTCTTGCAGACCGCTAACTCCCCTTTGTAGCATCGCACCCGAGGCCCCAGACCTCGTCGAGGTGGTGGTGGTAATGGTGGCGGCGGCGGCGGTGGAGGCCGACCACGAGAGCGCGACTCTTATCCCCGCGATGGCGTAAGAAAGGTGAGTAACTAATCATCACGAAAAAAAATCCTCCTCCCTTAAACCAGTCAATAAGTTGATCACCTTCCCTTCTAGGTGGATTCTTCCTCTCCCTCCTCCTCGATCCCGCACCCCGATCCTTCGAACGGCCCGCAAAGCACTCGACTTGTGCTCGATGCCTCATACTTCGATCGGTGATGGTATATTCATTCAGTGACACCAGCTAACTAGCAATCTCGTTTTGCGAGACAGTCAACCCGAGATGATTCTCGAAACTTGGATTCGTAAGTCCACCATCCTATACTATCGTAAGCCACACATGAACAAGGGAATCTGACGATTTATTACACAGGGAGTGGGTTCATGATAGGTTCGACGATTCCGGTTGTAAGTTGAATCATCGTCGTCAGTCTTTATGCTGCAATAGCTTACGACGTCTTAGCTCGCAACCGCCCACGTCAATCAAGACGACAGCGCTCTCCAGAGCGAGCCCAGTAAGTATACTGCTCAGCATAGACATAGTATATTCTAACAATCGTGGTAGGGACGCTCGCGGAGCCAAGCTCAAGGTAGACAATCTACACTATGAATTGACTGAGGTCGACCTCGACGTAAGGACGAAGCCGTTTATATAGCCCACCCCAAGAGTTGCATTAACCAAATTTTAGGGGCTTTTCAACAAGATTGGGCCGGTTCTTAAGCTTGAGTTGTTATATGACCGTGCTGGGCGCTCTGAAGGCACGGCATTTGTCACCTATGAGCGACGCGAGGACGCAATGGAGGCCATCAAGGAATACGATGGTGCTAATGCAAAAGGCAGGAAGAATTCTTACTCACTATCAAAGTCGAGCTTATTCTAACTCTCTACAGGTCAACCGGTCCGTCTGTCACTCGTATCCTCGGCGCCTAAGCGTAACCCCTTCGACACTGCGCATATGCCTGGTCGATCATTGGCTGAACGCATCACTCGGCCCCGCTCTCTCTCTCCTCGACGATCCGACAGGGACCGGGGTGTTGATCGTTATGTTCCAGGCCGTGGCAGTCGATCGCGCAGTCCCCTCCCCCGCCGACGTGGTGCCGGCGGTGGCGGCGGTGGCGGCGGCGGCTACAACAGCAGTGGTGGTGGGGGTCGTGGAAGACGTCCAGGCGCACGACGCGAAGGGGCGAGTGCGCCTAACGGACGAGAACGTTCCGGCCGTGAAGGTCGAGCTAAGAAGACTCAGGAGGAGCTTGATGCTGAGATGGCCGATTACTTCAACCCAGGTGGAAACGAGACTGCTGCTCCGGCAGCCCCAGCTGGCGATGATGTGGACATGATTGAGTGATTCAAGATAGGGGCAGAATATTGTAATTCGTGATAACCCCAGACTCACAAGTTTATTTCTCCCTCATGAATTACTACTTACCCTTGCCTGATTTTGATGGCGTCCTCTGGGTAGCAGTGCTCCAAAAATTGAACCATGTACACCAGACTGTGCTTAAACATATAGCAACCCTAGATCCATCGTTAGACTCCGTTTGTTGATTCCCATCTAGTGAGATGAGATGTGATTAGTTGCTATGTCGAGTTTCGATGTTGGCCTAGGTATTCATATTGTCTTCGTAAATCGTGACTTTGGGTTTATTACTATTATGTCAGTATCGCCAAAAAGGGAGAGGGGGTTTGTACAGAAGGGATATAGTATCATCTGACACGTTATCATTCATGATTCTATGTTCTCTATCTAGAGGACTACATACATATACCCCTACCTACCTACTCTTCCCACCCATCTAACCACCCTACCTACCTACTCATCCTTCTTCCTCCTCCCCTCCATCCCCTCCGCCATCGCCCTCGCCACATCCTCCACCGTCGTCCCCCTCTCCCTCCTCCCAATCTTCTCCCCCCCCAGCACCGTATCCTGCGCCACAATCCGAAACGCCTCCGCCGCCCCCCTGAAGCTGTTGTCCTCCGAGAACCCGCCCTCCTCGCTCAGCGTGCGCGCGATCTCCTCCATCTCGGCCACCCACCGGTACGCCTTGGGCGGCATGGCGGTGACGCCGCGCACGGCGTTGTCGTAGTACGCGGGCGGCATGATCGTCCGCAGCGAGGACTCGAGCTCCGGGAGGATGGAGAGGCGGTGCGCGGTGGTGACGGCTTGCAGCGCCAGCGCGGTGTACCCCTTGCTGAGGCTCGCGAAGCACATCTTCAGCCCGCTTGCGCTGCCGACGACGGCGTTGAGGTGCCGGGTGTTTAGCACGGTGGCGAGCTTGGCGCCGAAGAGGGGGATGGAGGAGAGGGGGTGCGGGCCCGAGGTGGGGATGCTGGGGAGTTTCCATTGCTCGCTGGTGGTGGTGGTGGTGGTGGTGGGGTTGGGAGAAGGCAGGAGAGATGGCGGGCCCCCGAGGATGCACCCGTCTACGAAGCGCGCGGACGGGCCCCGCGAGCCGGTGCCGTCGAAGAGCGCGGCGATGCGCTTCACGGTGGACGGGGCGACGGCGTTCAAGTCGACGAAGTACAGCGGTTCGTGGCCCTCGGGTCTGCGCAGCGGGCCGGTGAGGGCGTCGGCGATGCGCTGGGCGGTGGCCTCGGCGTCGCGCGGGGGCACGACGGAGAGGATGACGGCGCAGGACTGCGCGAGCTCCTCGTCCGAGCTCAAGACCTCGACTTGTGCGCTTTGGGCCCGCTCGAGAGTATCGGCGCTCCGGCCTTTGCAGTTGGTCGCGACGGCGAAGCCGTGGGCGACGAGCAGCTTGGCGATGCCCATGCCCATGTCGCCGATGGAGAGGATGCCGATCCGGGGGGTGGGAGATGCCATTTTTTTGGTGTTTTTAAGGGGGGGGGTTGCCTCGGAATTAGAAGGGACGGAAGGGGATGGGGTTGAATATTGAAGATATTATTAATATGGATAGCAATGGCATCTACATAACTACATCACGCAATGAAGGATCGTATGCACGTGCGACATATACTTGACTAAGTACCTAGGTGCATATCTGGGTAGATTGGTAACCAATCAGATCTAATCTATCGTATACTAGAACTCCGATGTCATCTCCAAAACTATTCTACTTGACTCTTTGTAAGATATATATAATAATCGAAAACGAGAAATATTCTGAAGCTATTCTCACGAAAAGGTTCAGTTGTCCTACATAGTCCTTTGGTGTTCCGCAAACTAAAATAAGGGGTTCGCGTCACTCTAAATAGTTGTAGGTTAGTCCTCTCTTTTGCTTTTTCCGCACTCGGGAAACACCACCATCCGTCCGGAGTTGACAGCAGCCGAGAAATGACCTCAAGTCCGAGCACTAAGATGCGGTATCTAACGATAAATACTCTACCTACCTACGGAGGTAAGTACCTTTTCATAGCAGCTCACGTTGTGTATAAAGCCTGAGATCAGATACCTACCACGTAGTATATATATATATCAATACCACCTACCTACCTATGTAGGTATTCAATCCCCAAACCTCAGCTACTTTATTTGAAGCTTCTAAGTTCTGACTGCAGCCAAAAAAAAAAAAAAAAGGAAAGAAAAATCAAGGCAATGGGCGTTTCCTTAACGTAGTAGTGGCGTCCCTTAAAAGCGCCATTGTCGCTAATCTACACAACAAGCGAAGCTAATGACGGACCGATCGTCCGCGTCTCTTATTTTTATTTTTTTCCTTCTAACTTGTTCGATAGAACGGCACGCCGTATGTAGTTCGAAGCCACCCATTTACACTAACTAGGTAAGTAGGTACCTGTGCAGTGTATATATCGCCAAATGAGATACTCCCACTGTAGCTCCGTTGTCTCAGCTACGCTCAGCGTTGGTTGGTTATTGAGAGAGCTTTCTGTTAGGTCGGTGCCTAGGTTAGTTAGAATAGATAGGCCTGTCTCACTGATGTCATCCCCGAGGAATCCGTTGCCCACCCACCCCCTATTAAGCTGAAAAGGAAAAGAGGTAGTAGGTAATACTTGAATGTGATTAGCCAATGGCTGTTAGGTTATGTAGGAAATCCGCTTTACGACCTTGGAAGAGGCGAGACGGGGCAACTAGATGCATGTAGGTAGTGTCTCTCCCCGGATTTAATGTAATTGGGTACATATCCAGTTGGGGTCTCGTTCGTCTGGAACAAGTTGGATACGCGTCTGTTGACTGTCCTATGTAATCTGTGGAAGCTGGAGTGAATCTCCACCATTGTACTGACTCTCTCTTGTATTTACTTTCTTACTGACCTACTCACCTACTCTTCAACACTCACCTTAATCTCAATATATCAAGCCTCAACCAGTTTGAAGTAACCTCCACGATACCCTACACACCATATAACCGCCCACGATGTCGTCCTCCACTACCACCGCAACCAGCAGCAGCGTCAACGACAGCAACGACAACATAACACCACCAAACCCACCCACCGCACACAACCAATTCATCGCCGACCCCCTGGCCCACTTCAACGCGATCCCCTGGTGCGCCGCGCAACTTCAAGACCCGGCAAACCTCAATGTCTCGCCCTCGGACCGCCGGCCGCTGCCCAACGGCGAGGCGAGCTTCGTGCGGAAGACGATGAACAGCGCGACTACGGTCCGGGCATGCGTGACGTACTACCGAGCTGTCAAGCCCTCACCCCTTCCACCTCCCCCCTCAACCTCGTCTTCCTCAACATCCACAGTCACATCCATGCCCGCTTCCAAAACCACCACCACGACAACCACGACAACCACCGCAACAGAGAAAACCAAGAATAATGACAACAGTAACAACGACAACAACCCCCCAATATCAGCCTCCACAGCCCTCCTCAGCGGCGGCGGCAAGGCCTGCGGCGAGGACCCGCGGAACCCGTTCCTGCTGTTCAACGCGCTGGTGGACCTGGGGCCGGACTGCACGAGCTACGTGGGGACGATGCACGGCGGGCTGTTCGGGGTGCTGATGGACGAGGTGATGGGGACGGCGGCGAACCTGCAGTCTTGTATGTTTCCTCCTCCCCCCCCTTTTTTTTCATATCTATATCTACACAATCCCCCTCCCCTCCCCCTCTTCAGTAGCGAACAGAAAGAGAAACAAGCCACAAAAAAAAAAAAAAAGTAAAGCCCGAGGAAAGAAAACCCAGCTGACAAAAAAACCACAAACACAAACAGCCCACGGCACCTACACGGTGCGCTTCACGACCAGCTTCCTGCGCGCGGTCAAGACGCCGCAGATCGTCGTCGTGCGCGGCCGCGTCGTGCGCAAGGACGGCCGCAAGATCTATGTCCGGGGCACCGTGGAGGATCGGCATGGTGAGTTGTCTTTTCTTTTCTTTTTTTTTTTTCTTTTTTTTTTTTTTCTTCGCATCATCTCCTCCCTAACCTAGTTTCTTACCTATTATTTTGCGTTCTTTTTTTTTTGGGGGGGGGGGGGGAGTTTGTTATTCGTGCTGCCCCTTATTTTACTTCTTAGTAAACCTTCCCCCCCCCCTTTTTTTTTTATAAAAAAAACGGAGAGGAGAGAGAGCTAGAGAGAGAGCACAAGGCACGAAGGAAAAGGGGGGAAAGCCAAGAACCCCCCCCCCTCCCCCTAGGAAAAAAGAAAAAAAAGGAAGTGAAGAAAAAACAGTACTAACAGCCATACAGGAAAACTCATGGCCGAAGGCGACGGCATCTGGCTCCGCATGAACCGGAATATCGGGCACAGCCAGCTATGAGCGCATGTTTGCTCTCTCACTTTGTCTCCCCTTCCTTCTCTCTTTGTGTGTGTGTGTGTGTGTGTGTTTAGTTCTTCAAGGTCCCTAGGTACACACACCATGTCCCCCCTTTTATTCCTCTTCCCCCAACAAGCATATGCATATTAGGTTAACCTAGACATCTACGTTGAATAGGTACCTACATAGCAGCGGCAAAAAAAAAAGTCACAGAAAACAAACCTCATTCTTGTTTAATTCATACCTATATCATAATAGAATTATAGTTACATACCTACCAAATATATAAAATTACTGAAACGGCCGTACCGTACCCATCGGATTACGTGGGCTGCCACATTTACACATCTACATCACATCCACAGAGTTACGTAGCCAAAGCATATAAAAAGAAATATATAAAATATATTATATCCAACTCATAATTACGTGATCGCGTTCGGTCGTTCGTTTGATTAGCGTTTCTACCTACATTATTGAATAACCTCATAAATACCCCCATATAGGCAGGCACTTAGTTAGGTAAGTAGGTATAAACAAAAAGAGAAGAAATTATCTAGTCTGCTTTAATAGCCCTGTTAAACACAAATTAGCACTAGAACATAACCCCAAGAATCAAGGGTGGGGGGGGGGAGAAAGAAACTCACCCATATATCCTCCTCACAAACGCATACGCCGTCAAGAAGCCCACCGTCCCCGTGAGCAGGCCATACACGCAGCACGCCATGAAGCTGTACACAAAGAACAGCAGCGAGCTGACGAAGCCCGAGATGTGGAGGTTGACGAAGTAGTACCAGACGCAGTACAAGAAGACCCAGACGGCGGAGCCGCCGCCGACGAGGAACGACTGCCACCACCAGTGGTAGTTCTCTGCGCACAGTTGCACGTAGATCGTGACCACCGTCACCTCGGCGATCGTGAGCATCAGGATGAGCGACACGACCGACAGGAACCCGAACATGTAGTAGTATCCGCTCTTGTCCTGCCACAGCGACTGGAACACGAAGAGCAGCTCGATGAAGATGACGGCGAAGGGCACAAGGCCCGCTAGCAGGATCGACTGCATGTTCTTGGCGTACCACGCCTGGTGCGGGATCTGTCGCGGGATGCTGGCCGTCTTCGTGGGGTGTTCCCAGGCGCCGGTGCGCGTAAATCCGTACCAAGAGCCGAGGTAGACTAGCGGGACTTGAATGCAGAGCCATAAAAGGACAATAGCAATCAAAGTCCCAAAAGGAATGGCGGTGCTAGACGCTTGCGCCCAGACGAAAAGGTTCAATATGAACACTAGACCAAAGAGAAGCCCAGGGAAGAGACATGCTGTGACTAGCGCGTTCACTCCAAAGTCTTTTCCGTCAAACGTCTTGTAAACTCTGGCGGAGAAGTAGCCGGAAAAGACGCCCGCGAAGACGAAAAGACCTACAGCGGAACTGATGAAGCCGCCTCGGAAGCTAGGATTTAAGATGCCAATAGCGCTTAGCACGATCAAGCCAACGGCCATGAAGAGGAATTGCATGCCCGACCCGACCAGAGGCGCAAGCAAGTAGCCGTATTCAGGCTTCCTAAAGACATCCGCATGAAGCAGTTTCCATCCCGTGACGTCCTCCAGAGCCTCATCGTCGGAAGAAGCATCGGCCTCCTTATCTCCATCACCTTCCTTCTCCAGAAGTCCGAAACCGAGTTTCTCTGACTTGGTCTTGCGCTTGGTTCGCAGTTTGCCATCCTCAACAGAACCTTCCTTATATCCCTTGATGTCGGACCGGATGGTCTTAGCCAAGATCATGAGGACGATGCCAGTGAGAAGGCCACATATGATCAGGGAGTTGACAATGGCTAGCCAGTGAATCCTGGAACCTTCCTCTGAGTTGACGAAATACAAATCCCAACGGCGACCCCATTCAATTGACTCGTCCTCGCGAAAATAGACAGAGTAAGAATATGGGATGGTAATAGTGTCGTTATCGTCCCCCTCTTCCATGACTTCTGGGTGGTAGGATGAATAGGCATACTTCGACTGCGCCTCGACCGTCTTGTTTGGTGGCATATGCAGCTCGAAGTGATCTTCCACATCGTGAAGGTCGGCAGGGCAGCCATTATCGCGCTTGACACTCGGACCGACGCTCTTGGTATAGACCTCGAAGCCAACGACTACCTTGCCTCCTTTCTCGCCAGCTCGTCCTGGTGCGGTGCGATATCGAATGACGATGGTATGGTGGTTGTTAAGGAAGTACCGTGGTCTTCCAGTGCTCGCCGAGTAATCGGTGAAGCCAAGCTTAAAACCGGCAGCGTAGTACTTGCGCGTTTTATCAACTGTCACAAAGCTGGTGGCACCTGGGAGGTTATCAACGATCCATTCCACCACATACCCTTCCTTGACCAACTCCTTGGCTCGCTTTAAATCCCGCCTGGTAACCTCCTGGTTGCACAGAAATTGACACCCCGTATCTTGTCCCATAGTTAGATCGATATCTGAAGTCATGATTCGGTCGCCGCGGAGAACCTCTCCAAGATTGAGAGAAATACTCTGTCCGCTAAGTAAGCCGGGACCGTGACTTTTTCCCGTGGGCGGGCAGACGAAAGGAAGGTCGTAGTACGCATATTGCAGTTGCGTGTTATCGGAATATACTTTATTGACGAGTAAAGGAATATGTTCGTTTTCCTTGTAACTCTTTACTGACCAGCCTGTGTTTGCATCACCGCGTTAGACATTGCGACTTCAAATGGGCCCGTTCGGTGTAGACCTAGGCAGGGAGGCTGGTAGGTTGCGCATGAGCTCGGCTTACCCGGTATATAGAAGGCATGCGCCTGAGATATTACTAAAGAGGAGAGTAGCCATTTCAGACTATTCCTCAAAGTTTTGCCCATCTTGCAAGTATGTATATCCCCCTATCGTGAATGCGACTCGAGATACATCAAACGCAGTGGGTCTGTCTATTTGACGTCGAGGTTCTGGCTTTCGCCTAGATCCACTTCACACCGAGGAAGATTCGGCCGGGTGAGTTTTGTCTTTATAGGACTTGCGACTTGTTAAGCGCCTACAGATGGATATAAATTGCTATTTGTATCGTACCTAATGAAGGGCTGTCGTTGAATCAATCCTCTAGGCTGCCGCTGATGTTGTTTCGTACCGCGCCACTGGGAAGCAATGGAAGGATCAAGGTCAAAGATAAACGAGTGTAATTGGTACGTAGTACCAGTACCCAAAGTAGACCCAAAAATTTAGAAGGGGATGATCTTTAGCTAAATTCCAATGCTGACGTTGATCTTGTGATCTTGTGATAGTGTTTTGGGATGTTAGGGCTGATCCTACGGGACTGGAACAATAGAGTGCCAACACGCGTCGCCGTTTATTGTCTGTAGAGTAGAAGTAGAGGACTACTAGTGGTAGAGTAGGGTTAAGTAAAGTAGGAGTCGAAAAAGTGCATGTGGAAGCAAAGAACATCAATTGAAAGGATTATTACTAGTATTATGTATTATTACCTAGGTTAGGTACTTACCAGGTATTCCAGGTATTCCAGGTATTCAAGACGCCAACTGGATGGGAACATAAGAGAACATTTGAATATAAAGAGAAGGAAATGGCGGGAAAAGAGGAACGGGATGGGATCACCCTGGCTACTTTTAACTACCTTACCTTGTACCCTAGGTAGGTATTCTATCTTTTACGAGGTCCAGATGTCCCTATCACCCGATTGCGCTAGATATTTTTCTTGGCAGATTCCTGGACCCCTGTCGTTCTATCGCTTGTCGTGCTTGCCCTTCCACTTACCATCCAGTTGCCATATTGGAATTTGGAAAAAACCGAGTGGAAAAAACCCAACCAAGATAGGTGGACTTTTCTTTTCGGGTGGCTCCGCAACCTTCGATAACTCCCTAACCTACATGGTTAGGACCGTTAGAAGGTAACTATGCCCTTACCTACATACCTAGTAGTGTGTAAGCCAAGGTGGCGTACATATATACCTAATACCTAGTGTAGGTATACACCGATATATATAACATTGAATATATAACATTGAAATACACACATCAACATCGAATAACTACATCTCGGTTACATTATGTACGGAACGCGCATAAACAATCCCGTATCCTTAAATGTTGAAATAAACTTAACTGGATGCAATGTACAACTTATTTGCTGCTTTAGTTTATTACACCACAGACACCACAGCACCACAATACCCCATGTCCAACATCCTCCTCCACGCCCAGGTACATATGCATCTGGAAATCCACAACTCCTCTCCCGCCCTTGATTGTTTATTTTTATTTTTTTCATCGTACCGCATGACCAATAATGTATCCATATGTGATCATCTATCTATGTGCATATTCATCAGACCATCCCACCTACCTAACCAAATCACAAATACATTTGGGTATGTGGCCTACTTAAAAGAGGCCGCTTACTAAAAGTTTACTTCATGTCAGGCCAATAAGCTTAGGCAGATTTCATATTTCAAAGAGCCTATGTGTCTATCGAATTTGTAAGTGCAGATAATTAGTTACTGGTTAGGTAGGTACCTAGGTAAATAGGTAGGTAAGTAAGTACGTGACGTGGGCTATGCTTTGCCCGCCTGCTATGCTATGCAATGAATCTATCTTGGTCATTCCATCATATTTCTTCTAAATGTACATTGTCTTTCGCGCGTCTCCTAAAGCTTGATGATATCCAACTCCGAGAAGTCGGGAGGTGCCCGGCCGTATACCACCCGCACCTTGCTGTCCAGTGCCGTGCCTTCGTTGGAAATCCAAATATGTTCGCTGAATTCGTTTGTTCGTCTGATTTCATCGTCACTGACCCCTAAATCGTCGCGGGGGATCCAGACCGTTGGTCGTCTCGCACGCAAGGCAGAATGCATAAATGCACGCCTAACGAGCACATCTCTTTCTTCCGGCGTAAGGTCTTCGATTTCGTCGTGGAAACCCCCGTATAGGGCATCGCCAATAGCTCTCTGCGCTTCCAGGTCCTTCTTTCGACGATCCTCGCGGTACTTGGCCACATTTTTGAGGCCCCTCTCCGCCTTGCCAAACGTACGGTCATAAGTATTCTTGCCTCCCCGGGCCGCCCAGTTGCCTGCGTACACAATACCCTTGACCGGCATGAAACTCGTGAGTCTGTTACTACGCACAGTCTTTTCGTCGGCACCGTCGGTAGATGTGGGGGAGCTTTCACCGTGATGACTAGGTGATTCTTTTTTATCGCATGCGTCATGTTGATAGTAATCGTCATCAATAAGACCTAGACGGCGATCCTGGGCACGCTGGAATGCCTCGTCTCGAAGAACCGCCTCATCTTCGAAAGTGATAGGCAAATATCGGAATAATGGCCCAAAGGACCTGTTGAGTAAGATTTGATATATACCCGTGAGAAAGATGGCGACAATCATGATAATAGCTTGTGGCGCACATGCTACGTCTCCCATTTCGTCCCGGACAAGGAAAAACAAGCCGATGAGGCAGAGTTCCATCACGTAAAGTCCCGTGAACGTTTGGTTGATGGCTCGCGGGTAAAGAACACCACCAGTATCGTTGGTGAAGCGGTTTACATATAGCATGCTATACCTGTTCGCCATCCAAAGGAGACTGAAAGTAATGATGGCGAAAAGCGAGATGATGGGAGCAACGACTGAGTAAATTAACGCAATACAGGCAAAGTTGGTATAGACCGGAAATGCAGTTCCCCAGTTCACCTCGGGTAGGCTTGTGTTAGTGGACCATTTATTTCGCGCCGTCTTGTTCATGATCTTCGCGAAGATATACCAGTTGAGAAGAGCTGCGATTTGCAACAAGGTACCTGAACTCGCACTGAGAGCTTGAAGTATCATGTAAGAGAAGAAGTAATTAGCTGCCTTGGGTAAATTCTCTGCCAGAAGATCTGCAATGCCGGTTGGGTTGTTTGCGAGACTTTCTAGAGTCTGAAGCACACCCGTAGCTAAGGACACAACCAAAAAGACTTGGACGAAGAGAAACGCGAAATAGTATTTTTGGACCACTTCTGTTCTCTGAGCCCCTGTCTTGGCTCCCGTAAAGCCAGCAAGGATGCTCATAAAGATCGGAACCAGTATCAGGAGCAGGGCAAGCAGGATAGTCGGTAGAACACCGGCAACACCAGACACTACGTTGTGGATTGTCTTGTTTTGGTCGATGAACAGCAGCCAAGGGATATTATCTGTCAATGTGCTAACTTGAGAGACCGACGACGTGAAGGCAACTGGGAAGGCCCATAGTATTATCATGCCGGCCACAAGAGCCACGGCCGCAGCAGTTCGAAGCCACTCAGACCACCAACTGATCGCCATATTTTCCCACAACACATCATCCGGGGAGATTTCCACGGTACGGGGGGCCATATGCCTAGGAACGTGATGGGTGACACTCTGACAGGCCATGTGGGCAGCGACTTGATGGTTGAATTGGATGAATGCCGACTTCATGAGTGGGTAACGCTCCGGATTCTTCTGGTCAGTCTCAATTTCCGCGTTGAGCCGTGCCAATTCTTGTCTGCACCAGTAAATAGTATCAACCTTCTTGTTAAGAAGCGGAAGTCCGGGTAGCCACGATGGTGTCCATTCAAAGATCGCCAGGCGATGAGTTGGTCGCCTCGACTTCCTCACCCATTTCTCCCATTCCGCTCCACTTTCACGATCGTCTTTCCATTTCTCATCCCAGGCCTTAGGGTATTCCACTGGATCCGGCTCTGCGCCACCCAAAAACGGAATGCATGACTTGATCGTCTCCCAAGCCGTCTTCTCCTTCTTGAATGGGAAAGAGTCGCCTTCGAAGCCCTGTGGAACGGGTGAGGCATAGCCACCCTCTGGGGGCTTCCAGAATTGATACCATCGCGGCGCTTCGATATAGTCTATCTGATCCAGATTCGTAGGTCTTCGAACTGTATTGCCAAGAGGCCGTAACTCGAATCCCTCCTTCTTAAGCATTGAGTCTTGCGAAACGCCGGAGCCGGCATGGGAATGGCGCGCGTGGGATACGGGGACCCCCATTACCCGCCCCTCGGCACTTAGGCCCTGGCTCGAACCCTGAGTTGAGGGCCGAGGCAAGTCGCTCTCATTCGGCAGCTGAACATGACCACGACTAGTTGGAGTAGGCGATCGGGCCTGTGGCTGCCCTATTGCCACGAAGCCATTCGTCGTCTCTATGCGATTGTCGATACCGTGGGTAATGTTTCTAGCTCCTCCGAATATCTCTTGCTTAGTCTTCCTTCCCACATCGACGCCCTTCCCAAGCCCTTCTGTTAATTTGGACAACCCGGTTGTGAATTTGCCATGCGTCGTGTTTGGCCTGTCACTATCGCGTCGAGTCTCGGCTACAACCTCGGCCTGGGCGTCATCTACGTCGTGTGGTACTTCATGTCGGTCGCCGCTGCTTACACCTTGGCCCCCTTCAGCTTGCAACTTTGCTGCGTCATCTTCCCTCTTTTGGCGTTCTAATCTCTCCACCTTGGTGGGGCGATGGGATCTAGAGGCCTTCCGCGCTTGTTTTTCATCAATCTCTCGTTTCTTTAGCTGTTCCTTCTTGGCCATGATAATGAGTTCTGTCTGGGCTTCTTCTAGCTGTTTATGAATTTCGTCACGTTTAGATATTTTCTCCAAGAGATGTGTTAAATCTCGTGTCAGCCATACGTTTCGAAGCCCTCCTGGAAACACGTCAAAAAGCCCCTTTAGGGCTTCTTCACTAAGCCATTTGTCGGGAATGCCGCTAACGAGCACAGTCGTCGCGGAGGCTCGCAGACGATGTTCCGCGGTGGTCAACCAGTCCTGGCGCACCTTGATATAAACTCGTAGCTCAAAAAAGAAGACACCACAGACCCAAATGATGACCATTACAGCCAGAACAAGATGCGCCCAATACCTATTAGTCTGATCCTTCCTCACATTACCCCAAGCCAGGGTATCGAGGCCAGTGATATTGGACTTCACATAATCTGGGTCTGTGTAGTCCACACCCTGTGGATCAGTTGAGTTGAGGGTGCTAGTGGTATTCGTATCATTCGCCGAAAAGTTCTGGCTGATTCCACCGATGTAGTTGACTGGGACCAATATCGGGATTATGATAATGGCCATAGGTATAAAGATGACGAGTAAAGTCTGTAGGTAACGGAGGAAGAAGTAGGCATCCAACCCGCATTTCTTGATAATCTCGCGATCCCGGAACCGAAGTAGACTAATAACTAAGCCCCATGGACTGCTCGGAGGAGGTTCAGTTCTTTCGCGTTCGGGTACGAGATATGTTTTAGGCTTGCTAATGATCCAACAGTTGTTAGCATCAAGTCAACACATGTTGCGCTAGGTGGTGCGTTCCATACAATATCCTAGATAATTTGTTTCTTAATAATAAGAATAACCCTGTCTGGACGCCGAAAACTATCAACGAGACATTCAGGGCAGTGACGAAAGCTATCAGGGTGATGCCTTGATTGCGCTGGCCATAACTAGTGTCTGGATAACATATATTAGCAAAATGCACTGTAAAAACTTCTGTTGAAAAAACTTGGAGCTACTTACTGCCAGTGCTAGAGTCCGACATCTTGCTCTAAGCCCGTGGTCGGCACCCGACCTAGTACCTGTCTAGGTAGGTAATATGATGTGCCGTCGCAGTGCTGAGATCGCAGGACACTGGAAGGACTAGACTAGAATGGGGAGGAAATAGAGAGCAAAACTGGGAATAACGCAGAGTTGTGAGGTCAATGATGATAGTGGTGGCATAGGTGGGAAAATGCTACCAATATGCTACCAATGTTTCAATGCGAAGGCGAAAGGAAGAAACGTAACACTCATATGAAGAAATGAACTTGTGATAGGTGATTCAAGGAGAAGTACCTGAGGCATGGTCGAAGACGAGGGTCGATAGCCCCAAGAACTTGGAGGTACAGGGCAAAGGAGGAGGACGGAAAACGAAAATCGGAAAACGGGCGGTTAGAGTTGAATTTAGAAGAAGCTGTATCGACTGTGACTGGAGGCCTGGGCCGGTTAGTTGTATGTGCACGATGCGTCAAGTCCACAATAAATATTTCGATGGAGAGAAATGCGATGAAGAAGTACATCAGGAGAATACATCGTATACTTGCGGAATTGCGGTAATTATTACCTGATAAGAAGTACACTTACCCCTGTGTACAGTACATTATGTACATTGCATTCATGTACATCAATACTCATATTACTCAACAGTCTTGTCCTCCCACTTGGCACTTTCCCTTTCATCATCCAATTCTTGCAGGCATTTGATTGCTTTAGGAAAAAACACTGATGTCAGAGGCGCCAGTTTTGCGTATGGTTGCCAAGCCAGATCCCCTGAAGGGGCCCACTTGGGTTCTCCTAATTTGATGCAATTGGATCTCATTGGACTGCGCGGACTGCCCAGACTGCCGTAGTACCGATAATGCTTCACGCCTAGGTTAGGGTACTACTTACGGCGTATTGTCTTCAACAATCCAGAAGTTACACCAGCTGCACCAGCTGTGTGATTGGATCTGATTCACGCGCGGCTGCTCCCTTTTCCTTTTTCGATGCCCAGGTTCATGCATAATGATAAAACATCATTTGTTGCTCTTTTATTCTTACATGCAGATTAACTAACTACTATCAATAGGTACAATACATAAATAGGTATTTGCTAGGTATGTATATCCTAGGTATGTAACCTAAGCTATTCGACAACTCATCGTTAACCCAGTCAGTTAAGTTAAGTCTGTCTTTGATGAAACGACAGCTGACTGTCTAACGGTGTAACGGTCTACATACCTGTCAACACTCTAGGACAAACTCAATTTAGTTACTTTGATCTCAATTTTTTATACACCAAGGTTTAAACGGTGCCGGTGCCGGTTGGGTCTAATTAGACTCTTTGTGGAGCAAGCTTATATGTAGTATGTACATTACTATGGTATGAGCTAAGTAACTATCCCGCTTGCGAGCCCGGTCCAGGTCGGTTTTTTTGGTAACTGTCCTAATACTGACCTAACCTACTGTTTTGTAGGCACTCTAGCAGCCTAGGCAGTCTACTACAGTACTACTAGAGTCTAGGTTAGAAGCCCAGGAATACACATGGCATGTAGTACCATGTAAGAAGACGAATAAGTTTTTCATAAATCAAGAAATCTTGGCTTGTAAAAACTTGGTGCAATAAACACAATCTTGAACTTGGAATTCGAAAGATATATCCATATTGCGTCATAGGTCATTAGGCCTAACCACCCTCCCCTAATACTAGGTAGTTACCTAGAATAGTAAGTAAAACATCTCAAGATTCTCAACTAACCTACATACCTAGTAGCTTTGTCTCTCCAATCACTACTAAGACTACCTAGGTATTAGATTCAATCGGAATACCAACAATGGCACATGTGCCCAAGTGGCTTGTGATGGTACTGTAAGTAGGTACCTATGTATCAGGCACTAGCGCACTTGATCGTCGTATCCTCACCTTTTGTAAATAGTCAGATTTAAAGGGGCAAAGGGGTGGGCACTTAGAAAATCATGCCCGAAGAAGCTGCTCTGCGCCACCAATACAACAAGTCATCATGTGTGCTGTTCGAGAGTCCAGATAAATCCATCGTCTTGATAGACATTCCGCGCTCTATCGAGGAAGCTCAAGTGTCACGTGGGCAGCCCATTGAGAGACATATCATCTCATGCACCCCAGTGCCAACACCATGGGCGATCCCGGAGCCCAAGAACACGGACACGGGCCAACTAACATCACCTTCGGCGGCTATAGCCGAGCTGATGACCCTAGAAACCGTAAAGGCCGCACATCGAGAGGCCAAACAGAATTATGAAGGGCCCTGGTGTCTACCACGTATATCGCGAGAATACGACAAAGTCAGCAGCGATGAGTCGCATCCGCATCTCACAGCCACGCTGAAGAGGAAGAAAGCCCCTCAAAAATCCGAAACCACCGAAGAAATAGTTTCGGAACCGTTCATACCAGCCCAATCGCACTATCTCCAAGGAACTATACAAGCTCAACGCGCGGCTTTTCTAGCAAATGCGCCCACGTTTGACCTAATAGTCCTAGATCCACCATGGCCCAGCCGCTCCGTGAAGCGGAAGAAGAACAGCTACGCAACCGTCTACACCATGCACGGGGCCCGAGATCTCCTGGCCCAGATACCCATTGCCTCGCACCTGAAGCCGGACGGTCTGGTGACGATTTGGGTTACTAACCGGGCGGCCATAACCGATCTCCTCACCTCGCCCGGGGGCGTCTTCTCCGAATGGGGCGTTGAGCTTATCGGAGAAATCGTCTGGTTGAAGATCACCAATTTCGGTGACCCAGTCTTCGACATAGAATCGCGGTTTAGGAAGCCATACGAGCGGCTGCTGATTGCTAGGCGAAGAGGCAGCACAGCTAAGGTGTCGATCCCGACTAAGGTGATCATGGGGGTTCCAGATGTCCACTCCAGGAAACCGAATCTAAAGCCTTTGTTTGAAGGCGTGCTGCCGCAAAACTACAGCGGACTGGAGGTGTTTGCGAGGAATCTGACTGCAGGCTGGTGGAGCTGGGGGAATGAAGTTCTCTATTTCCAGCAGAAGCATCATTGGGTGGACGCGTTAGATAATATAGAGGAGGGCATATAGCATCGTATAAGTGATATATATAAAATGCCACTTGAGCTTCTATATTGGCTCTTACTTTACCACGCATACTATACAAGTAGGTGGATATGGACGTAGCCTTTCGTGACGAAAACCCACAGTCGTACGCATAACCATCGCCCAATTCCAGTCACGTATCAAAAACCTCTTAACACGTCTTAAAGAGATATTCTTAACGTATCTTGACTACGTTTACTCGACTTCCATCCCCACGATAAAATATCGCTTTTACTCCGTCCAGCACCCCCCTCATTTCTCCCGCCTGCTCTTCTTATCCTTACTGAACTTCGGATCCAGCGTCTTCTCATTCTCCCACCTCCCCACCGTCAACAGCCTCTGCGCCTCCCTCCTCAGCTCCTTCCTCGCGGGCGTCGCGCCGATCTCGTCGCGCAGCGGGAACGTGCCCTTGGTCTGGGCGTCCTTCTGCCACTTCTCCTGCTTCTCGGACTCGCGCTTGCGGCGCTCGAGGTGGGGCGGGTTCCAGGCGGACTTGTCGTCGGGCTCGGCGGGCCACGCGAAGGGCTGCAGCAGCTCGACCGTCATCGTCTTGATGGGCGGCGGGCGGTAGATGCGGTGGTGCACCTTGGAGCGCTCGGGCCGCCGCTGCGTCAGCTGCGACCGCACCCCCAGCGTCGGCACCGAGTACGCGTGCAAGAGGTAGTCGCGCATGTCCAGCTTGTTGAAGGTCAGCGGCACCCGGAACGTCGCGAACGTTGCTGGCTGCTTCTCCGGCGGGCGCAGGAGCGTGATGCAGTGGTCGGGTCTGTTTGAAACGGTTCGGAAGGAGTTAGCTCAGGCACATAGACAGACAAGCAGAGAGAAAAAAAGAACGATGCGATGAATTGGTAAGAGGATGCATACAAATAGACTTGCTTCGTTCCTTTTCGGAAGGTTCTTGCTGCTGCCGCTGCCGCCATTGTGAATTTGAAATTCAAGATTTCAAGGTTCAGAATTCAGCACATGCTTTTTTGCTTCAACTTTGAATAATTCAATTCGATCGAGTCCCACTTCTGCAGATAGCCGCTAATGATCGGTATATGAAAATTCCGATTTTAATACTAGGTAGCATGGCCTATGTACCTAGTGTGGGTCCATCGAGCTCAAATCTAACGATACGTTGGTACATCTGTAGCTGCCCCTCGGCCACTTCCAGGGTACCTAGTGCTAGGTAGGTATTTTAGCTTCAATTAGGCCACACAAAATGCACGTTCGATTTATTCGCACGTACGACAACAACGTAAGATAATGATTTTATTTTGATTCACATTTAACTGTCTCAGGGCTTCTTCCGCCCCGGATATTTTCCCTTTTTATTTTCATACATGATAGCAGCCCGAAATATCTGCCCACATTTGGCATTGTTTAGAGCAAGCAGGTTTTTTGCCTTCTAAACATCGAGGCCATCAACGATAGTGCCCTTGATCCACTCGTGCTGCATGCGTCGTGCCACCTCATTAGCGACGTCCTCATCGACCAGGATGCTGACCAGATACAATGTTGCATCTAGGCCAGCAGATATTCCCCCACTCGTAATCACCCGAAGCCCCCCAAGACGCATCGCGGCGCGGCGAGCAATTGACTCACGACGACCGTTGGAGCCCTTGAATGAGATGCTTCCCTTTCTGTATAACTAATTAGCAACTACGCGAAGCTATATTGTGTCGAGGTTTGATATTGGATATTATATACATACCGTGCAGCAGATGGTCGTCTTCCAGCATCCGACTTGCGACGAATGTATGGGTTCTCATCCTCATCTCCAAGGTCAAAGCGTAGATTGTTAACGACGTATCGAGTGTCTTCTATAACATCGGTTCTCTCTTGCAAATCACGTTGTGCTGCTTGGCTGCACACGTTTTCAAACTTAGTCAGGTAATCTGGGTGGGTAGTGGCGGACAAGCCGGCCAAGATGCCAGCCTCAGCCAAGAAGAGAGACCCAGAGCAGATGGAAAGCACTGTGCGCTCTCGGGTATAATCGGTCCTCTGGATTTCTGCAAAGGCTTCGATAATAGTAAGGGGTTCGGATTTGTCCTTCAAGACGGTCTCGACATTACCACCAACGATGACAAGAACGTCAAAGTCATTGAGACGTTCGTGAGCTTCTTTGTAAGTGATCTGGGCACCAACGACAACTCCTTGATCGGAGATGACCTTTGGCTCGGCCGCAGCAATTGTGATATCGAAGGCCTTGGTATCTACAAAATGAAACGTTTTTTAGTATAGAGATTGGGACTAACGGGGCTTCCAAGGTTTGCCCAAGTTAAGCCATTGGGGTTTTAGGGTAGCATATAAAAATAACTAAACATACTCTCGTCGTTCTTATCATGGCGAGCCCAGTCAAGGACCTCTAATGGGCCAGCTAGGTCCATCAGATCAAATTTAGGGTGAAGTGCAAAAAGCACTTCGATAGGCTCATCGGCCACCGCAGAAGTTTTGTGTGCCATGATTGAGAGTAGTTTGGTGTCTTTGTTTGTGGGAGTTTAGGAGAGTTAAGTAAGTATGATTTCTTGTATACTACTTATGTAGGTAGGCAGGTAGGTAAGCTCAAGTTAGAACAGAAGCGAGAAATGTGTTACAAGGGTTAAGAGAAGACCTAGTACGAGATGGATGACAAGAGGATAAGAAACGACTTTGAAGTGTGAGAATGGGACTTGAAGGGTTTAAATTGCTTTGTCGTCGAGGTAAGATCCAGTTGAGTCCTTTGAAAGATGAAAAGATTTGAACAGATTTGAACAGATTTGAATGGGGAATGGCCAGACGAAATAAACGAGGAAGAGAGAAATTCAACCTATGGGCTGATGAATGGAGTGATTGAGGGGCTCTCAGCTTTCAATACCTGCCCACGCCGGAGAGTTACGTAGGGTCTATGCAGCTTAGGAGGGGCCAGCTTAAGACTCAAGGTACCGCATGTACTACCCCACACTGCCCTAAGTAGTAGCTTGTATCTCATTCCCCTCCCCCAGATTTGAGGCCGTTAGACTTGCGGAACCTAAGAGATCGGCCCCCTTTTGTGGGTCAAATATTGGTCACGCTCACTGTTTGAAAGTACAGTGTTTCAAGTTAGAAGGGTACGGTACACATCTTGAGTCCTTGACGCTAGTCATTCAATTATGTATTTACGCAGTAAGTTGGGGGGTTCTTGAATAAGATATTACGAAGTACTACTACTAGGTAGTACATAGTCTATAGTAATAAGTAGATATGAGATAGATGATACATACTTTATTATACAAAAAGACTAATTCTGTCTAGATGTTAATGTTCAATGTTGTCAAAGAACTCAAAACTGCCTAGGTTACTTATATGTAGGTACAAATGTAAGATATTACTGGAATATTCTACTAGGTGGGTACATGTACCTATGCAATGTGTTCAATCTTCTATGTAACTACATACATGTATTGACGTAAATGGTAAATGACTTGAGTGAATCCAACACTGTCAAAACAAGCGCAAAGCGGGGTTCAACTTTAAATAAGTTGGAGCAGCCCCACTACAGAACATTGCAAGGCCAGAAAACCCAAACTGCAACTAGAAAATCTTACAAGGTTCCAATCACAGCACGTCACTCGAGAATAGATTGAAGCTCCTGTGGGACTTGCAGCTTGGAGCTCTGCCTGCACCTATTGTCACGCAAATTCTCTATTTGGGAAATCTTCTTCGTGACGACGGCTGGCTATACTTTGTTGACCGACTCTTTCTCTCTGGAGCTGCTCTATTCCGAGCTTCAGCGCCTCCATGTCTTCCGTGCCGTATGTTGATGCTTATCTCACTAACCTACATATATGTCTCTACATATATGTCTCACCATATAATCTCCCGCTCCCTTTATTCCATTTCATCTTTATTTAGAGGAGCAAGCCCAGGACAGCCTCGTTGCCCCTTGTAGCAAGGCTAACACCTCCACTTATCAAAAAGATACCCCTTGCGCTAATTTTTCTATTACCGCCTTAGTACATTTAGAGAGCTCACGAAAGCCATCCACGGATTCGTGCCAGCAGCCAAGTTTCCCCTACCAGCTGAGCTGGTTGATATCATTGATACATACCTTATCAAGCATGAGAAGTTCGACGAAAATGTCGCCGATAAGGTCAATGAGGAACTACTATCTATATTCCACAAAGATATTGTCCAAGAGCCATCTCGATACACAGCTTTCATTGCCCTCCTTCGCCACTTGCGTCCTATAATTGGACAACCAGTCAAGACGTATCAATGGTTTGACTTGCTATTGCCAGTTCTGAACTATCTGAATCAGGAGAAGGGGCTCGCATCAGAGGTTGAGGGTGTACTTCTAGATGTTCTCACTGCCGAAGATGGCAATGATCCCAGTTCTCCAACTGGAGGTGCCGCTCCTCAGATTGCAGAACGCGTCCTAGTACTATGGCTTGACGAATATGAAGTTGTTGGAAGAATCCCTGATACCGTATCAGATTTCAAAGAGAAGCAGTTGCGGAAGACGCTATTACACTATGGGAAGAAGCGTCCAAAGGTATGTCACCATGTGTTTCATGAATTTGATCGGATTCGCCTGCTAAATTGGTATAGGATCTCCTATCTGTTCTTGATATGTACGTGGTCAAGGGAGCTTACCGTGCTCGTGCTCTATCATTCTTGGCCATCTTTGTTCAGAGTCAGCCACCACATCTACATCTTATTTTGCAAACTCCCCTATTTGGTAATTTGATCAGTTGTCTCCAGGTAGACACATCCACCACAATAGTGTCTCTTGCTTTGACTGCGTTGACGATGATTCTTCCCCATATGCCAAGTTCGCTCGTCCCTCACCTGCCCACGCTATTTAATATATATTCACGACTACTATTTTGGGTGCGAGAGCTATCTGCTCAGTCAGGATCAGATATAGACGGAGAACGGAGATTATCTTCCAATAACCTTGCGTGGGAGAAACTCGCATACTCCCCGGACTTTGACGACACAGTTATTCCACATGTACTTCACTACTTCACTATCTTGTATGGTCTCTACCCTATTAATTTCATGGATTATATCCGAAAGCCGCAAAGATACTTGCGACATGCGGAGGTGCCTGACGCCGACGAGATCGAGGTTCAACCCACCGAAATTCGACATGCGTCTGAACGTTTCCGGCAGTGCCATCTCCTGCATGAGAACTTCTATACCCTCACCATTGACTCCGAGAAGACAGATTTTGGAAGATGGATAAAAAGTGAGCCGGCTGAGGTTGTGGCTGACTGCGTAGCTCTCTGCCAGTCGAATGAAGCATTGCTAAGCCCAGAGGCCCCTGATGTTTCTGAGGAAGCTACAAGAGCTGAACCTGACAAAGATGGCCAAGAATCTGCATTGCTTAGCAGTTCCTTTCCTTTCGGTCCATCAGCTTTCACGCCCTTTCCAGGAGACAACCGTCGGAACACAATATCAACATTAGCCGAATCAATTACGAGTAATCGAATGCAGTCGACCATAATGCGCCAGTCATCCATCAGTAGCCACCAGTCTACTCGAGATGTGTCGAGCCCAAGAGTATCTGGGAATGGTAATGAGAGCCCAACCCTATCTCGCCCTATCGTTCAATCCGGATCACAGACACAGCTCCAGGACCTAATAAATTCTAACAAAGCCATAAAAACTGGGCTCCATCAGTCAATGGCAAACGACAGTGTCCCATCCCTTTCATTAAGTCACCACGATTCCAACCCAGAACGCCCTGCATCACAGCTGCAGCCAGATCCACCGCAAGCCAGTACTTTAGTATCACCTACCGAAAGCAACAGTGCTCAGATTGCTCATTTACAACGTCAAATCCTCCTTTTATATAATGACCTCACGTTTGAGCGATTCATGAAGCAACAACACCTCACTCACATGGGTGAACTACGAAGGCGGCACGTACGAGAAGCAGCGAGCGAGGCAGATACTCAAAATCTCATCATACAAAATCGGCAGCTAAAGCAACGACTAAAAGATGCAAAGGATTCAGAGATACAAGCCAAAAAGGAATCCGAGAAGAGCCGTGCACTCGCCAAGAAGTGGGAGGCTGATCTTACAGCAAAATTGAGAGCACTTCGTGAAGAGCAAAAGAAGTGGAACGCCGAAGGAAATAATTTACGGACTGAGTTGAGTGCGGTAAAAGATGAGGCGGAGAAATTGCGCTTATTAGTTTGCGAAGCTGAAGTAAGGGAACTTGGCTTGAAACAAAATATGCAGTCAGTCGAGATCAACGTAGGCGAACTAGAAAGGCTGAGGAAAGAGGTCGATCGGTTGACAAGTTCTGAACGGAATTATCAAGCTAAAGAAACAGAACGTCAAGCTTCAATGGCACAAGCAGCAGAGGCAGAGAGTCGAGTAGAGATGCTTGAGATGAAGCTTAAAGCTCACGATTCTGATATCCAACAAGTGCACGAGCTATATCAATCACAGATCGTGGAACTTAAAGCAAAATTCCAAGAAGCGATCAGAAACGGCCCAGGGCGCAGCTCCGAGGAGTTCAGGTCGCAACTAGACAATGCTCTAGCAGGAAGCCGACTTCAACAGACCGAGTTACAAAATCACATCACCGGGCTTACCAAGAAGAACACAGCGCTGCAAGCAACCATACTGGAATTGCAATCTACGATCTCCAGCCTCTCAAAACCGGAGCCTCGCACACCGGTTGACCCCGATGCTGACTTGTCTTCCGATTCGGGCAGTCCTTTGAACCACCGGCACCGGCACCGGCGCAAGTTCTCAGAAACGGAGACGGTTGAGGCGACATCGTACAATCCTACTCCACCACTTGAACCGTATATTAGTGGATCCTCGAGCAGCCTGATACGACGGGCATCCACGCCGTTGCCTGCCGATCCGCTTTCGTCAAGCAAAGGTAGCCCTACTGCGGAGCGGTACTTCGGGCGAGGTGCGTCCCCCTTGTTTCTTTCATGTCAAGCTATGAGTCTGTGCTAATTTCACCAGGAGGTGTGCAAAATATCCGCAAAGAAAAGGACAAGAAGGAGAGGAAAGACGAGAAGGAAAGGAAGAAATCAGGGGGCTTGCGCGGTATCAGAGGATTTGTTTAGTAAGTACAAGTGTAAGATGTGGCAAATAAAGCCACATAAGAGCTTTATCCACGGTTTAAACTCAGCAAGCACCTAACCAGCGTAGAAGGCGGCCCTATTGTTAGCTTACAAGTACAGCAATAGGCTTAGTTTATAATATAATATAACAGAACAAATTGATACCCCTTGACTCCCAAAGTTCTAAGGATCCCGAATGAAAGTGGCTTTGTACGTCATCGGACTTAGCCGGGATCTGAATATCAACAGTTAGGAGAGAATGGATCTTCGCAAAGTATACTAGCTATAGGTTGATGGACACTGAGACCTGGAAGTTGTCATAAGTTTAAAATTAGGCCATAAGCAAGTCAAGAAGTTAGACTTCTACTGACAGGTTGCGCTGGAGTCAACGGGATTGCCTAGCTGTCAGCTACATAATACTTAGCTTGACTAACTAGTTGCTAGTAGATATTGTAGCCTTTTGTAGGTGCATGTGTGTAGACCATATGTACTAGGTTAGGTAACATATCCGAGCTACATACGTGCCTATCACTAACGAGTCATGGGCGTTTGAACTCTACTGTAGATTGACAATCTACACGGGCTGAGAGTGTTCTAGTTACACATCTGGGTACTTGATAGGCATGAGAGGTATTTATGTAAAAGCCGAACACAGGATGATGTCCATCGGATCATACGCGCAGGACATTATGCCTACTACATATTTCCCTGGTGGTGCAATTTACTTTCTCTATTTCTAATCCTCATTTTTCTTCCTATTGCTCTACTATCTATACGCGTAGACAATAATATTTACAAACAAGGCCATGAGCGTTAATCTCCTCTTGCAGTCTTACCACATTCATCAATCCACCAATCTACCAATCTACCAAGTTTTATTGGGGGCTAGACAACACTCAAAGACACAGCCACGCCGGTGTATCAGCCAGTCAACAGCCAGGTCCAATAGACTGGTTTCTAATGCAGGAACAAAACGTCCCTAAGGTAAGGTACATATGTAGCTAGGTATCCCCCCCCCAATGCAGGGAAAAGGGGGACCTCCCCGCAAATCTTTGCGTCTGGGCCGCGCAAGCTCTGTTCTTTGCACACATGCACTTGGGCTTGTTTTTTTTTGTTCCAGATGTCCTGTCTGTCTGTCTGTCTGTCTGTCTGTCTGTCCTCTTACATTCAAAAGTCAGTAAATGAGAATTCCACGAGGAGTATATTATTTATTTATTTGAAGTACCTGGGTAATATTTGGCGAGTTAGTAGGTGATGATAAACAATAGAAAGGTTGGAATGCTTTCTGCTGGTGTTAATATCGAATCAGGTCAACCATGCAAGTAACATAAGACTTCCTTCCCACAGTATAGTAGTGGCCGTGTGTACTGTCTTATCTAGGTACCTAGAAGGAGATCATTGGGGGGTTTAGTGATGTTTATGGGTCGAATACGAGATTTCTTTTCTGCACGTCATATGGGCAAGTCTATCAAATTTTTTTATGGCTTTAATCTTTTGTCTTCCCTACTCAGCCAGTCATGTTTTTACATTATATCGCTAAGTTGGGCAGCTGGGCTTGTTTATGTATGTATGTCTATGTATTTTGTGAAACTGAGGAGGATGTGTTTACTTCAGATAAACATACATTCACGTTTGGAAAAACATGTAATGTGAAACAGGGCTGTGCAAAAAGTTCAAGTTGAACTCTGAAGTTTAGGTAGTTGGTATTACACTGGTACCATAGCAGTACTATGCCGCAAAGTTGATTCCTGGAAAGGCTCCAGGGCTATCGGGTTAACCTACGAGGTTAGGTACGCCGTAGTTCTTTCTTCGTACATAGCAGTACATATGTATTATTCACGAGCAACATTGAAATCCATGGAACAGGGGAAAAGGGCCCTGAGTGGCCCACCCCTTCAGAGCTTGTTTTCTGACTTAACACAGGGGTAGGATCGGATGACAAGGTCTGATTGGGTCGATCGATGACCAGCTAAAGTCTCCACCCTCTCGGGTCCAAGATGGGAAAGCAGGGCATGCAAGGATTTTGGTAACAGTGGGGCCGTGGCGTTATGGGGCCACTTGAATCAGCCCGGGCCTAGATGAATTTGTTATACATGCCGATGTACCACATACTTCTACTATGTACATGTGTAACTTCTACACACTACTCATATTTACCTACATACAAATCAGCAAATCAGTGAACAGGAATTGCTGAGTCGGCGCGTCCTTTTCAGGAAGATGATCGGATTAGGAATGAAGAAGCATACATGTACATGTATTGTATGCATGTGTTATGTACATCCACAGCAGAACGACAACATACATGATACATCCTTAAACACACATCGACCGACCAGTGGCTAATATGTCTGCATGTTGCTATTTTTATTACACATGGGTGTTGGTACAAGTATCATACCATCCGCCCCATGTCATCGATCGCTTTCTTTCTTTCTAGTTTTTCCTTTGACCCCGTATTCTGGTTTCCTAGTTTCTTAACACTATTCCTATTACGTTCACAGGGGACTGTCCAACACGTGAATCACCTTCCTTCGTCCTTCTTAAGTACTCTTTTCTCTCCTGTATACAAAAGTATCGATCTTTTCTTCTTGCTCATTACAATCTAGAACCATTACACTACAGGCCTTACACTCGCTTTGGATTTTGACCTGCCTTAGTTTGCTTTTGAATCACTAGCAACCCCCTTGGCTTTGCGTTGTGCTTGCCTAACTCCAGTCTTTTCGAAACATCGATAACTCATCCTTTTGGAAACCAGAAAAGCCTTTGCCTACCCTTTCTTCCCTCTTTAATATACAGCATTGTAATAATCCATCTCTCTTCCTGGAAATATCCTAGAAACCACATCCATATCTTTTTCAGATAGATTTGTGCTTCGTAATATATTCATCATGCACTCATTTACACATCTTCTTGCCCTAGCCTCAGCGGCCTCGGCTCTCCAGGGCTTCAACTACGGCTCTACCTTCACCACCGGTGCAGCAAAGCAGCAGTCTGACTTCGAGGCCGAGTTCACCACCGCACAGAACCTCAAGGGAACGTCGGGATGGACGAGTGCTCGTCTCTACACGATGGTGGTATGTACTCGCCAATCAACCGATTTGTGTAAAAGAATCACCTACTAATACACTACGCGTAATTTAGCAAGGCGGCACCGCGAGTGACCCTATCTCCGCCATTCCTGCTGCCATCAAGACGAAGACTTCTCTACTTCTCGGTCTGTGGGCATCCGGAGGTGACACCTCTTTCGCCAACGAAATCTTGGCGTTGAAGGCCGCTATTAAGACATACGGTGACGACTTCGCCAACCTCGTGGACGGTATCTCTGTCGGTAGTGAAGACCTTTACCGAAACTCGCCCATGGGAATTGCGGCTGGTTCTTACGTTGGTGCTGACCCCGACACCCTCGTTCGCTACATCAAGGAGACGAAGGAGGCTATCGCTGGTACCGGTTTAGAAAAGGCCCCTATCGGTCACGTCGACACCTGGACTGCTTGGGTCAACGGAACGAACCAGGGTGTTATTGATTCTATCGATTGGCTTGGTATGGATGCGTATCCTTACTTCCAGGATACCTTGCCCAACGACATCACCAAGTCGAACTCCCTCTTCCAGGAAGCTCTTGGAAACACCGAAGGTGCTGCTGGCGGAAAGAAGGTCTGGATTACTGAGACGGGCCACCCGGTCAGCGGCAAGACGGTCGGAGAGTCTGTTGCCTCCACCGAAAACGCCGAGACCTTCTGGAGAGACGTTGTTTGCCCTCTGCTCGACAGCGGCGCAAACCTCTGGTACTACACTCTGATGGACGCTGCTCCGGATACCCCGAGCCCCAGCTTCGGTATCACCGGCAACAAGCTCACCACCACCCCTCTGTTCGATCTCAGCTGCGACGGCACCAAGGCCGAATCTTCCTCGTCCGCTTCAGCCGGCGCCTCTTCCACTGCCAAGGGTGGTGCTTCTTCCAGCGCCTCTAGCTCAGGCTCTAAGTCGACTTCCGTCGGTAACTCCGGTGGCAGCCCCGGCGGTGTGCCCAGTGCTCAGATCTCTAGCCAGGAATCTGCCACCGTGACGCCCACAGGATATACCGCCACCGCTACCGGCTCTGGCTCTGGCTCTACCGTAGGCTCCGGCTCCGGCTCAGGTACTAATGGCACCTTCACCGCGCCGCCTGCCGCCACATCAACCATCCCCGCTAGCGGCGCGTCCGGTGTTAACTCGGGCGCTTTCGCTGCCGCCTTCGGTGCCATCATGGCCGCCATCTACGCTTTGTAAAATAATAGAAGGGGACATTGAGGCTGTCGCTGATTACATAATAATATAAACATACTACCCACCGCTTCTTTCTTCTCAGGGGCTCACGATCGGCGTTGCGCGGCGGCCATTTTGACTTCGGATTTTAGATCTTTCCCCTTTTCTTAATTGAAAGGGATTGATTGATCGATCTGGGCCAGCTGTACTTGGTGTACTTAAAGGTTTGCTTTTCTTCTCAAAGGAGGGGCCGGCCATGGGACATAACGGGTATATAAACCTATAGACCAGGGTTTTTATTCTTCGTCAATCCTCATCATTATCATGATGAGAGGGGGGGAAGATGAAGAAAAAAACAAGAATTCCCTTGCAAAAGGGGGCATAAATAAGGTTGGCGGGCAATTGCTATGCTAGGTACTACTACTACTACCACTACTACTACTACTTGCTGGATTAAGTGAGTAGGTGAGTAAGTGAGTAGGAATCAATTTATACACGTACATATATTTACATATATACATCTATGGATGCTTGAATTGGTTTTATAATGCTAGGACGTTGTCTCTCCGTTTCTCTATTACTCAAGACTCTTTGACTTTCTAACCCGCGTTCTATGGAACGAGGAGATGGGAGATGGCCAGGTGCATACATGCTGTTGCGTTTATTAGGCATGGTTGTTGTTACCCTCTTTGATGATTTTGAGATCTCCATTCTTGACGAGTTATTGATTTCGGTGTAGGTGTGGGAGGTTATCGCGATACATACCTTGGTTCAGTGCAAGTTTATGGGTAGGTAGGTAGGTATCCAGCTTAAATACCTGCTTACTTGTGGATACCTACCTACCTGCCTATCTACCTACCTACCTACCTATGTACCTACTCACGTCAGGTATCTAACCTAACCTAACCTACTTGTCACTAAATACCTACCCATGCCCCTGCTATACTGATACCTGGGTGCCTATCTATCTCCTGGTTATACATACCTAGGTACCTACCTACTTACTGTAGCTTAACTCAGTTTACCTGCTTCTCTTTGGCTCAAAGGAAGGTTGTTTGCTTGTTTGTTTATAAGGGATTGGTTTACTCTGGCAAAAGTCCTGCATAGGTAGTAGGTACCTAGGTGCTTTAGAGACTTGTTGTGGTACTTGGTGCGACTTGTAGTTTGCCTAGTACTGTACCTAGGTAGGTGGGTGGGCATTCAAGGCTTGAAGGGGGCCGAATTGCCCATCGCTCGTGAGTACCACCTATCGAGCGGTGCCATTTCCATCCTTCAGACAGACACAGTCCCCTACACTTGATGGTAGGTAGGACTGCACGCAACTTGAGAAGTAGGTACTGTATCTCCTCAGTCTTGGGGGAAATGGTGGAGCATAGTAGAAAAAAAATGCACGGCGTAGCCCGCGGTCCTGGGTGCTCGTGAAGGTGCTTGGAGTTGGTGATCGAGGTCGTGTGTTACCTACTTACCTAGGTAGATACCTGGCTTTGACTGATGCACGGTAGGGGGGGGCTGTTAGGTAGGTAGGTAGGCAGTATAAGGCAGACGGCATGATGCTTTCTTGTTGATCATAGGAGGGTCGCTAGCATGAGAACGGGGTTGGTGTTTGTGGGAATGGGGATACACCTTTGGGTAAGCTACCTGATAACTAGTTATATGAGCCTCATATCCCCTCACTAGTCCCGTGAGATGCAAGTGCCTCCGCCAGAACTCTAGGCGGCTTCGTGTATTCCGAGGAGATGAATAGGGAACACGAGGTTGGCTTAGGATTCGTCCTTTCTAGGCATGAATCAAAGATAGATCGATTACCTACCTAGGTAGGCGCCTACAGATCACCACCAACGCCTCACATTTCTAACGCCCCCCACAAGCAACCAAGAAAACAGGTTCCCATGTTCGACAGAAACCTCACTCTAGTAGTTCGTATGCCCACCATCACCCTACCACGACACAAGCAAGCAAGCAAGCAAACACATTTGCAAAAGGACCAACCCGAAACAGAACCCTCCTCTCCTCCTGGCACCCTAGGTAGTGGAGACCTCAACTACCCAACTCAACCTAGCTCCCACAACTTCCCAAAGCACGTCACCACAAGCCAGTATAACGACATCCGTTCCAATCCAACATCTACCCACCCATCAACCCAATCCCCATCAGCCAAACCCGAAAAGGCCCCATAACATACATAGGTAGGTACATATCCACTAGCCCCCCCCCCCCCCCCCCATTCTAGTCCTAGGTATCCCCCATTACTTATGTACCCTTTTCCAACCAACTTTCCCAAAGGGGCTTGCCTATATGTATGTAGCACACACCTAGGAAGGTAGGTAGGCACACCGTACCTATACTTAGATTGAAGATCTTTTTTAAAGTTAGGTACCTACCTTAGTTCCCGTGTTTTGCGTCTTGCGGGGGATCTCCAACCCCCACAGAATTGATGAGGCTCAACTGATCCCAGTGACGACGATCTACTCAGAAACCCGATATTCATACAGCGTTACAGTCAGTTTATCTGGACATCACTGGGTTTCAGGCGCTCATCTCATCAACTTAAAAATCAACAAAAATTAAACGACCAAAATATTAATGCCAACGCCATTAAATTACTATTTAAGAGATACTTAAGATATGCTGACTGACTATATATGCCTCGTTCCAAAACCAAATACTTCGCTAAATACCTATGGACACACCAAAAAGCGAAGAAGATCATGGGTCATATACCAGTGCGCGTTAGGGGGATATCGTTGCATACCAAAACCAAACCATCGTTTTTCTTTTCTTGCTCCGTTTTAAGCCCACCCCTTTTCCTGGACGCCTAAAAACCACCCTGATAACGCCGAGATCATTGCCGATATTCATTCCAAGGTCATGCCCGGTTCAATGGATCGTGAGTCGTCAAGCCATGCCGACGACAATCAGATCCCATACCTATATTATTTGTCGAAGTTTCGACACCATACCATTCATGGTTCATGGCTCATCTTCAGCCACTTCAATGATCGTCACTGTGCCACCGTTTCCCTTAACATCTTCTCCTGTCTCCTCATCCGTCTTCTTATTTCCATACCGTTCAACCGAGAAGCATTGTACAGCGCCAATCACAGCAACAAAGGCACTGCCATACCATGCGAGGCCTGTGCAGTCTATTTGCGATCCAATAGAGTAAAGATATCCGGCGACGGGTGGAGCTATCATTCGGCAAGTGGCACCGGCGCTAGCTGCAAATCCGTTCACTTTTCCAAGGACGGATGAGCTAGGTGTAGCATCTTTGATAAGGATGAGAAGCAAAGGATATAGGATAATCGATAAGATGTTCCTGATGGTCAGACAGAAGTATATGCCAGCATACAAAAGCGAGCTCGGCAAATGGACTAAAGCAGGGACAATAACGTAGGCAAGTGGGTGGAAGACGGTGGCAAGAATGAAGAGCTTGTATACACCGATCTTATCAGCGGCAAACGGAAAGACGAAGACCTGCACAAAAAGTGCAATAGCTCCATTGACGGCCATTACAAATCCCACGGACTGCATCGATAATCCCAAGCCACCAGGTGAATATAGGGGGTTAAATTGGGAGAAGAAGCCCTCATCCGGAGGATGGCTGATGAGAACTTTGTCATCTTCAAAGAAAATTGGGAGGAGATGATCATAAGTCATCGAATGATAGGTAAAGATCGAGAGCGCGATGACTAGAGCCATGATGCGCTTGGTGAAGATATTGTGACTGGCTTTCTTCTCCGGCTCCTTCACGCGAATAGTATCACGACTAAGCTCTACGCTGTTTCTGTTCCGGAAAGTACCGTACGTCTCAGAACGCAGGTCAACAGCTGGCTGCTTGATTGCATCCGACGTTTCGATAAGAGGTGTTTCATCCGAGACATAGGTATCATCGGGAAGCATGACACGGGGTACCATATCAGGGTGGGTTTCTTCAAGCAAGAAGTATCCCAATACGATACTGATCAGTAGAAGAGCAGCGCAGCAAAGGTTGGGGAGAAGGTAGGGGAAATTGGCAAACAGCGAGCCTAGAGGAAATGTGTTGGGCCAAGACTCATGAGGATCTGCTAGCATCCCTCCAATTGCTGGCCCAATGATGGTTCCTATGGACCACACGAACGGCATCACGGAATAGGCACGCGCTACGAAATTAGCAATGTGTTGATTTAGTAGAAAAGGGGGATATGGTTTTCCAACTTACGCTCATGTTCGGGTTTAGTGACCAACTCGCCCACCATGGTCTGGATAACACCAATGTTTCCATTGAGAAGTCCACCAAGGGCTCGGCCGACAAGTGCAAGCCAAAGGTTGGTAGAAAACCCAACCATGACCATGCTGAACATTGTGCCAATGCATCCTACCAGAAGAACTGGTTTGCGACCGATTCTATCAGAAAGACCGCCCCAAAATAGGCCCATCAACGCTTCGGCCAGGGAAAACGAGGAGATCTTATGAAACAGCAGTTAGCTATCTTTTAATATAGGTATATAGATAAAATTTTGATCTGTTCTGGTAGTTCATGAGTAGTGTCAAATGCACTATCTCGCACGTTGATATAACGATCAATCAGTCCATAAATACAAAGATATACATACAAGGAGGCCTGCGTAGAATGAGGCATCTTGCTCATTGCCGACTTTGAATCGCTTGACGAGAGCCCAGGCATAGGGGAAAATAGAGGTAAGGGCGATAGGCTCGGCTAGACGAACGATAGCTAGCAGGAAGAGCTGGGTAGTGGGAAAATCATCCGGGTTTCGAGGTGATCTCTGCTTTGTTAGGACCATTGCTTCGTAAATTGGTATCGGTCTTACGACTAGCTGACACAGCACTCGGCGCTTAATCTAGAGCTAACAGGAATGCTGAAGCAAGAGAGAAAACGTCAAGTGTTGCGGCGGCAGGTGATGCCTCTTTCTTCCTCCACTAGGCAAAAAATGTCTTTATTTCTTTCACGTTCACAAGTAGCTAACTTTGTAAACAAATTTCTTGTCTTCGCCACTAGACGTATATATAGCTATATGACGGGATATATTGAGGTCGTGAAAGGTAGATAGATAGTTGGGAGGTGGGACGATACAAGAGAAGTCGGTATCTCTAACGTGGCGAGAGGGTTATAAATAATATTAATGACTAGGTTAGATGAATGGAATATATAAAAGATTTTCAGTATGCAAAAGTTGCATGAGGGGAGGTGGTAGTGTTGGGATGGTAGGGATAAAAGTAGAAGGCAGAAGCAGAAAGCAACGCGGGCAAGGAAGAGCACATCAGAAAAATATACGATGAATCGGAGGAGTCAAAGAAAAGGTGGAGATGCGCTAAATGGATCCAAGGGCTGCTTCCTCGGATTGTGCAGGTAGGTGGGTAATATGCTGCTACATGCTGCTACATGCTGCTACATGCTGCTACGTAACCTTATTGCATTATAATTTGCATAGCATGCCTCTGTCAAGGGAGCTCCGAGCGCCAAGTGCAGCTACCCGGATGCGATGGTTATTAACTTATTACAGTACTGCAACGCATTCTTCCCCATCCTCGGTTCCACCAAACCACCTACAAAACATCCACAACTTGTGATCAGCTGTCAACGCATAATGGGCTCTTTAGCATTAGCCTTCTTACACAGTAGTGCCATGTAGATACCATTCCCACAATTTTATGCCCACATCTCTGGGAAAAAGTCTGTGCCATTGAATGTGTCGGCAAGGTGTAGATCTTGTGGTTGAAGGTACGGGAACTATGTGGCTCGCCGAGCAGTTTCCGAAACTCAAAAAAGATCAACAAAGCATTAGTTGAATAGTTATGCACCTGATAGCAACATTTTACAACATCTATTCTGGCGGTCAGTGATAGGTGCTTACAGTAATTACTCTTGGACTTGAGAAGCACAAGTTAACAAACAATCAGGATCTCATCCATCACTTTCAATGAACATCTTCCCCAACCGCCAATGCAAGGTAATCACTTTTGTGTTCTGACCCGAATATTTTGTTTGGTTCCGGCTGCACAATGTAAAAGGTAAAAGGTAAAAGATGTTGTGGTATCTAAAATGGAACAACATTGAACATCTACACTAGATGGAGCACAGAGCCAAACGATCTTGCAAGGTTAACTCTTGAACCAAATTGACCAATCATTTTATATGGATTTCGAGTGAGTTGTGGGGTTGGCCGCTGTGCCATGTCGTACGTGCGGCATCGCTCTAACTTTACTTACGTACAGACGTATCACCATGCTCCAAATTTGCAGTCATTCCCTAATTGAGACATACTGCTAGACGCTAGCAGCGGGGCAAAAGACGCTAGGGCTCATGTAGGACTAATCGCTCAGATCCACATTGTTATTTTCACAGCAAAAGCAGCCAGCTGATCTGTGCGCTTCACTAGTTATTCTAATCTAGACCCTTCCAGCTTTTTGGGTTTTTTGAAAGTCTTATCCTAACCACGTCGATCTCTTCTTCTACATACTCAACCCCTCCAATCATCTAACATATGGCAAATGGGTGCAATATTCTACCGAACACATCAATATTGAAGTTACCATCTCAATGCCCAGTACTTCGTCTCTTGTTTGACTTTCTTTCCAAGAGATTGATGACACAGTACGCAAAAACGAATCCTTCTTTCTTGCTCCAGAAGGATTGCCAATGAGATGATGATTGTTGGAGAAACTCGAATTCTCTGGCTCATTTCATAGTCGATATTCGACAAGTCAGAATTACCTACATAATTCCGTTGTGATGCCTAATGGCTTATGCATGACACATAAAAATCCTTCTCTCCAGTTTACAAGCGAGACGGGCAACATCCACAGCCATAGTAGTGACTCTACTAGTGAGTAGGTTGGATCTCACTGAATTCCCACACCTTGACTAGCGCGCGCCGCTATCAAGTCCAAATCTCGGCTCTAGCCCGCCACGCCCGACACCGGAAATTCCTTGTCTACTGACTCTACTCTCCTCTGCTCTCCCCTCTGCTCACACGATCAATCCATCCAACTGTTTCACAGTGCCCTTGCCTGTTCTAATAACAACCTTTTCACTCTCTGTGCTATTAAGCAATTTAAGCTTATGCACCTACTTACTTGGGTAGGTCTAGGACAGACGTGAGACAAGCATCTAATTAGTAATTACACATGACAGCAAACATATCCTTCTCCCTCCAGGAACCGTCACACTCTAGCGAAAATATACGGCAAGGTGAACCATTCACTATCTCACTCGCACTACCTACCAGCCTACTAGGCTAGGTAGCATTTTATTTGTTTCCGTACATATCTATCTTACCCATGCCGGCAAGCACGAACTATCTTCAAGGTTACGTCCTTGTAACATGCAATGCGATGCGGTTCCGCTTCCCTGCGTGGGACCCCTACTAGCATTGCATGGGGTTTCTTGCATGCGGCTAGTCCTCCTACGAATATCAATGGCCGTCCCGGCCCGGTACTCCCAAACTTACCTAGGCTGCTGAGGCACCTTCTATGCATTAGTGCCGTAGTGTGCTCCGCGTCCATCGGATGTTGACGAAAACTCTCCTCTACATACAAACATCGATCGTCATCCTTTGGTTCTCAGCCCTGTTACATACTTGGTACTACAACCTCCTCAGTTTCATCAACAGCTAGTGTTACCCATGGAATAAATTGCTACTTACTTACATACCTTACATATGTACGTCTTGGGGTAATCGCTGCCCTCCCGACTGCGGGGATGTCCTGAGGAGGCTGTGCGAAATCATCTTAGCCGTCCCCCTTTTTTGAGGATTCGTATACGAGGCTAGATCATCTAAAAGCCGAGTCAAAGGTGTTCGATCGTGGAGAACATTAAACGATCAACTATGGTCAATGACACGCTATTCAAAGATATTACAAATCACATGCGAAGGATACCTAAACGAACCTTGAACCCTTTACCTACAGGTCGATAGGGTAGAAGAACGACGCACATCCTTGGTTGCATTGAAACCTGCGGCCTTCCTCTGGTATCAAGCCTAGACGTTTTTCCCCAATAGTTATACAAATGCCACCGCGGGCTCATCCGAAGGCAGTATGCAACTCATCCAAGCTTTCTCATCAAACCACGAGTTACACTTCATATTGATGTCATGCAACGGTAATGATTATAACTTGTGCGGTGTGGAAAGCTGCATCTTGCAACCAGCCTACAGTCCAGAATCGCATTGGTATGGCCGCGTACAGTTACCCCGTGTAGTAGCTATTAGGGTATTCCTGAGCGAATCCGGGCTAATTGAGGCGACAACCTTACTGAGCCGCATCTCAAGTCTCTCACGCATGGATTATACAACCCCTGCCACCTAAGCAACCGAGTAACCGTTAGGATACTGGAGTAGATCTACACTGCTGATAGGCAGTTCTGACATATCAAAATTCATGGTGTTGGATCCTTATGCCAAGTCAAGCATAGGGGCATGATTATCATCGCCGCTCGCTCTAGCTCCGGGATTCCCAACATTTGATTATACGCTAATTTAGTATTCTATTAGATTATTTTCGAGGGACACCGGTAGTTAATACGAAGAAGCAACACTTGTGATCATCCATTTTAGTACGTTGACATTACTTTCTGTGCTGATATGCGAAAGCAGGCTGCTCCCCGAACAGAAAACTACCAGAGCTCTATTTACCACCCTTTAAGGGCAGGCAGAACTAGTTAGCTATCTACGTCTAACCTGGGATTTGCATAGGGAGTATTGTCAATGTTCACATCGATAGTCACCCGAAGAAACCCACAAAATAAATTTCCCGTGCAAGACATTTTGAGACCTGGATACTAGCTAGGTACATGCTTTCTTTTCCATTTCTCCGTATTCTTCATTATCTTTGCTTTTTCATTAATTCAATAACAAGCCCCTTTATAGCGCCTTTCTAGCATATCTATATCTAGTGTTTATTTCATGACCATTGCCATCACCATTACCCCTGAGACAAGACACCTGAAGATATCATTTATATAGACAGGTAATTACATGTACCTGGCTTGGTATGTGTGTATATATGCTATATACATACCTATATACTTGAAACCCCAGCTCATGCACACCGCGACGCCTCAAAAAACTCCTCAAGCTCGTCGAACGAGACGCCCAGAAGACGAGATAGCCTGTTTCTAAGCTCGTCGAGGGAAATCTCGGAGCGATCCGGGCTGAGGACGTCGGGCTCGACTTTGGATAGTTTTACAAAGCGAGAAGGAGTAGGCGCCTTTGCTTTCGTTGTCGTCGTCATCATTATCTTTTTCTTCTCCGTACTGCTGATTGTAGTGGTATATTCCTGTTCACTCTTCTTCTCTTTACCGACAGTATTACTATTATTATTATTGTGATTATTGTTGGGATTATGCTGAATACGGCGAATGACGGATCTCCTCGGCGGCTTGGGAAACATCTCCAATTTTGGACTGGTGATCGAGGAAGCGAAACTCATCATCGAATTCCTAGTCGACGAATTCGCAGACTTGATTATCGGGGACGGCTGTAGCGGTGCTAAAGGCATCGACTCCACAATCACATCGTCCGTAGCGATGGGTAAGTCCATGTCCGGACAGAGGTAGCCGTCATATTGTGGGATCCGGAACTTGGCCCCAGGTAATCGGTTCCACTTCCAACCCTGTCCAGTGAAGTGGAAGTCGGGTATCGCAGCTGTCGCGTGTTGACAGCTGCTGCTCTCTCTAGCTACGGCTACCTGTGCGCTTATGCCGACGTCACTACGGGCGAGCGCAAGAGTCTGGGGTTGGATGAGGTTTCGTAGCGGATCGTCTGCCCAGCATTCTTCAGAGAACAGCCGCGCCACACTGTGAAATAGGCGGTTAGTTGCACGCTCTCTACTGGATAAAATACTGCGACGAATGAACCAGAGGGAGGGGTGGAGGAATATAAAGAACTTACTAGTTAACGGGTATCGAGTAATGAACGCGGTGCTTTGGCCGAAGTCTATGAAAATCCCAACTAAGTTGCTGTCGCCAGGCAATTCCATCCGCGAAGGTGAGGGACTCGCCCTGGACTGCGGTCACATCTCTAACTGGAACCGGTACCCATCCACCGAATAGGGAGGCCACAAAGCTATCGCCGAGTTCCATTTCCAGATCGGCGCCGTAAAAAGGTTCACGGAGGTCTTGCGTAAGGGTTCGACGGTCCTTCCAGTAGATGGCGTGACCGAGTCTAAGACCAATGGTTAGATTCAACACTCCGTTGTTCAGGTATATTCTCAGGAGAAAATAACGGAAATCAATCACTCACTCGTGTAGAATCGTCACAGCACCCATAAACGCCGTCAAGAGATATTCCTCTCCATGATCCCTCCCTTCTCGTCTTAGAGCCGCCAACCTCGCGGGAAACTCGGCCGCAATTAAGATCGGCAAGTTCCGTGACGCCTTTTCTTTTCCCTCTCTCCCGTCATTATCTCCACCTTCGCATTTCCTATCCCACATCTTGATCGTCTCGTACCTATCAAGCTCATCGAGTCGCATCCCGTGCTGTCGCGGATGCCGACACGTGTACCCAACCCATCCGCGCTCGTGGAACATCTCTGCATCGAGCTGCCATGTAATAGCCCGCGCCACCTCCTTTTTAAGCCTATCCTCTGCAGCAACGCGCAGCCACTCGTCTTTGAGGTCAGGCGTAGCCCACGACGCGCGGTGATATCTAATAATGGTCTGGGGAACGACAACGCCGTCTTCGCCTCCAGCAGCAGCAGCACTAGTGAAGTGATGGCTAAAACCACACCGGCAGCTCGGCGCCCGTCCGGCGTAGCCCTCAGCGAAGATGTCCTGGGCGAGAAAGTCGGAGGCCCAGGGGATGCCGGCGGCTTCGAGGATCCGGCTCGCGAGGAGCAGTGGCTGTTGCAGCTCCCTGTGTAGCTCCGGGTTGGTGTCCGCGTCCGCCCAGTTGGCGAATACGGGGTGGATTTCTCCTCTGAGGTTTGGGTGGTGGTGGGTTTGTGTTGTTCCTTGGTGGTGTGGTTAGCTTTCTAGGCAAGTAGGTTGGTAGGTACATGGGTTTCAATATGCTTTATTTCTAACGCGATCCTTTCTAGGTACTGGGCTAGAATACATTCATCCATCCCATCCGCTTTGCAAAGAGAGACTGCCAAAAAAAGAAAAAAAACTAAAGACTCACCTATGGCACCGCATTTTCGCAATTCCTCACTATCCCACTTCTTCGACATCGAGCCAGCTTGTATCGCGACCATACTGCCGTGCCGAGACCGAGAACTGGTAGTAATGGAAGTGGTGGTAGTAGTGGTAGTGGTAGTGACAAGTAACAGTGGCCGTGGTGCCATTGTCGAGATATTCTCGTTCTACGTAGGTAAGGTAAGGTAAGGTAAGGTAAGGTAGGGTATACAATTCAACCAAACCAAACCAAACCAAACCAAACCAAACCAAACCAAACGGAACGAGAAAGATGGGGGGGAGATGCGAACTTTTTCAAACCAGTCCAGTTCGAAAACAATCTTTTTTTAGAGATTTTTTTCCCATTTGAAAGCAAGCTTCTTCCTTTGAATGAATGAAAGAATGAAAGAAAGAAATAAAAAAAATGCTTTTGTTCGTAGGTAGGTAGGTAGGTGAAGAGCGACATTGCATTGTCCAAAAAAGAAAAAAGAAAAAGGAGAAAAAAAAAGAGAATTCGAATCATTCATTCCATTCCAACCGATCGAGGCACCCCTCCTCCCCTTAGGAAAGGGGGAGAGAAGGGGAAGGGGTGTGGAATGGAGGCACTCGCCCTTATATATGGTCTATCAATCAATGGTCTGTCTTTCCTGTCCTAGGCACCAAAGGTAGGTAGGTAGGTAGGTAGGTGTATATCTCAAGTGCCATCCCTTCCCGCCCTGTTTCTTTGTTCTAAATAGCCCAACGTCCATAACTTACTAAATACTCGTAGGTATCTCCATACCTAGATATGCCTCTTTCCATAAAATAAATCGTAGTTTTCTTCATAGCTAACCTACCTATTATGTATGGGAATGAAAATAAGTAAAGAAGTAGATTTTTTGCATGCCTCCGGTTAGGTGTTTTACTTTACCGTACCTTCTTCACCTTTACCTTCACTTTACCTACCTACCGTTTAACGTCTAACGTCTAACTTTCATACACCATCCTCCCATCCCCCACAACCCCCCAAAACTCCTGCACCACCTCCTTCTGCCCGCTCGGCGCGCCGCGCACGGCAAGGTACTTGCGCCCGTCGATCTCCGGGTTCCAGTTGCCCGGGTTGCCATCCACGACAATCCCACCAGCCTCAGCGAGGATAGCCCACCCGGCACACACGTCCCACGCCCAGCACCCGCCCTCCCAGTACAGGTCCAGCGTGCCGGCGGCCACAGCGCACAGGTTCAGCGCGGCGCTGCCCATGCTGCGGATCGAGTGGACCATGGCGCCGCCCGTCTCCTTGCTCGCGCACAGCCGCTTGAACACCTCCGTCTTGACCGCGTAGTTGTCCCCGTCCCGACTATTCCCCCACTCCGTCGCCACGAGACAGGTATCCAGCGCCCCCAGCGGCGCCGGGTTCCTGGACAGCGGCAGTTGTCGCCGCCGCCCCTTGCCGCCGTCGAGGCCCCAGGAGAAGGCGCCCTGCGTGGCGAAGGCGCCGCGCCCGCGGATCGCGGTGTACAGCAGGTCCTGGTACGGGTTGTAGATGACGCCGATGGCGGGGCGGCGGTCGACGGCGAGGCCGAGCGAGATGCAGGCTTCGGGGAAGCCGTGCACGAAGTTGGTGGTGCCGTCGATGGGGTCGACGATGAAGGTGGGGGAAGGGGTGATCCGCATGCCCGGCTGGTAGGTCTCTTCGCCGACGAAGGCGAAGGTGGGGTAGGCGGAGGAGAGGCGAGAGGAGACGAGGGCTTCGACGGCTTTGTCGGTTTCGGTTACGATGTCGGCGGCTGTTTGGTTAGTATTGTAGGTAGGTAGGTAGGTGTATAGGAGCTAAGAATCATACAATTCAACTTCGTTCCCGTAGCGATGTCGGTTGGGTTCGCAGCCAGAATCATGCGCCCGGCCTCGTGGGCTACCTTTACTAGGGTGTCATGAATTTCTTGGAGGTTGAGGTCCGTCATGGTGGTAGTAGTGCTGCTATAGAAATGAGAATTGGAAGTTTTATTAATATTATTCTTAGTTGAAGAAACAACATTTTGAGGGTTTTCGAAATATTATTGGAAAAGGTTAAGACGATGCAGTGGTCTATTACTAAAGTACCTAACTAAGGTGGGGTAGCGAAGCATGGGTGTGGTGAGATTGAACCTTGTGTGGATGGCGGGGTCAATGGCAGGAAGGTTTATGTAGGTACACGAATGAATGTATACCTACATGTAGTATCTATGTAGTGCTACCATGGAGGTTACATTTCATCAATTGGAATGTACGACTTCAATGTCTCAATTGTATAAATCGAGTGTAACTTGAATTTAGACTCCCTTCAGCTAGGTTACTTTTACCTAGGTTAGGGTAGGCTAGCCTACTCTAAGCCGCTAGAGGCTTCAGCTAGTACCCGCTCAGCCGCTGTGGGGAACCGACCAGCTCCGCTATTATGACGTTCACCTACCAGTGAACCAGGGGCTGTACGATGCCGACCTTCTAAATCTTCACCTAAACGCACTCATACTAGGTACCTACTTACCTTCACCTACTTGAAAAGAACTATCTATACCACATCCATAAAAACAACAAAAACCAATCCATAAAAACACATACACCAACTAAACAGAAACAATGGCGACGTCTACCCAACAGCCACCTCTCATCACCGTCCTCGGCTCCCTCAACATGGACCTAGTCTCCTACGTCCCGCACCACCCCTTACCGGGCGAAACCCTCACCTCCACCCGCTTCGCCGTGTCCCCCGGCGGTAAAGGCGCCAACCAAGCCGTAGCCTGCGCCAAACTATCCCGGCCCCGACCCCACTCCGATAACAGCAGCAGCACCACCACCACCACCAACACCAACACCAACACCAACACCAACAACGACATAACAGCCCGCGTCCGCATGCTCGGTGCCGTCGGCGCCGACACCTACGGCACGCAGCTCCTGACGAACCTAACCAAATACGGCATCGACACCACCTCCATCACGCCCTCGCCCAACCTCAAGACCGGGCTAGCCATAATAATCGTCGACGAGCCCACGGGGCAGAACCGCATCGTCCTCAGCCCCGAAGCGAACCACAGCCTGCTCCCCTCCACCTACCAACTCCCATCCCCATCCCCCTTCGGCCACCCCCCACCCTCCCTCCTAATAATGCAGCTCGAGATCCCCCTCCCCACCGTCCTCGCCGCCCTCTCCACCGCCACCACCCTCCGCATCCCCGTCCTCCTCAACCCCGCCCCCGCCCAAGAGCTCCCCCTGTCCGCGTACGCCGACCTCGCGCACCTCGTCGTCAACGAGACCGAGGCCTCCATCCTCGCCGGCGTCCCCGAGTCCTCCCTCGACACCGAGGCCGGCCTCGACGCCGTCGCCGACACCTTTCTCGCGAGGGGCGTGCGGAACGTCGTTGTCACGCTTGGCGGGAGGGGGGTGTACTATCGGAGCAGCGGGGACGGGGACGGGGACGGGGACGGGAAGAAGGGGCTCCTGCCCGCCGAGAAGGCCAACGTGGTCGATACCACGGCGGCCGGGGATACGTTCGTGGGGCGGTACGCGCTGGAGGTTGTGTCGGGGCACTTCGACATCGTGGATGCGGTGAGGAAGGCGAACCGGGCTGCGGCGAAGACGGTCGAGAGGTTGGGGGCGCAGGAGTCGATTCCGTGGCGGGATGAGTTATGAGTTTACGAATGGAGTAGAGTAGGTCGTCATACTTCTTATTTATCCTATTTAGATACCTATCTAGGTACTCTTATATATATGTATGTATATAGTCACAACGAAAGTACAATTTTTTAAAAAAAAAGGAGGGGGGGGGGGGTTACTCATCTACAGGAAAAAAAGGGACAAATCAAAGTCAAGGATAAGGGGGCAAGGTCAAAATAGTTCCTCGTCGTGTTCATATAAAGAGACTCAAAGTCCCTTCCTCCAATACCCCTATTAGAAATATTCTACAAATTTTAAAAAGCTACCTACTCACTCCTGCTGAATGAGCCCTCCTTACACGTTGATAATCCCTGGGTACCCCCTTTCATCAGGCAAGAGAACGCAGATTGATAGGTAGGTAGCTCACCTAAGCTCACCACCAATTCCCCAAGCTCCACCTTCCCTCCTTCTCCTTCTTCCGGCGATCCGCTTGCACTTGCACCTCCTGCTTCTTCCCACGCGGGCTCGGCGAATCCGAAATATTACTACTTCTATTCTCCTTCCCATCTATACTCGACCCTCCCCCTACGGACGGCACCAGACTCTTTAGGCTATCAGCGCCTATGGATCGCCTATTGCGCACCGCCGTGTCGCGAATCATCTCCCGTTGGCGCTGGACTTCGGTGCTCGATGATGATTCCGGCGGCTGCCGCATCGAGTCCGGGCGGATAACAGATTTTCCGGGGTTTGGGGCGTCTACGAACGTTGTGGCGGCGGGGAAGCGATGAGCTTTGTTCAAGTTGAAAGTTGGGCGGTTGTTGCTAGAGGATGTACGACGTAGTTCTGTCCAGATTTTTCTTGCCGGATCCATGATCTTCTCTGGGGACAAACGCCGGAGACTACCTTGCCGTTGAGGTATAGGGGGGGCTGTTCCGGTGCGGCTGGGTGGCTGGATGATATCTTCGCTCCAGCCGCCTCTCGTGCTGCGCGGGCCAAACCGGTTCATCATCACTTGATGCATAACATTGTTGGCCTGGGCAGGCTCCCAATGAGAGATGATGGCAGAGAATAGGGGGTCGAGCCTTGGTGCTGGTTGGGGAGACCATAGGGACGTGGAATTATGCCGCTTGACGACCCCCGTCACTACTGTCTCCAGTCGAGTCTGGTAGGTTGAGACGCTGTCGTCCGTGGTGAAATCCCCAAACGATGGAAACCCCGAATGGCGATAGCTCAGTCTTACCTGCATGTATTCGGCCTGAGAACTGCCTAACTGGGATTCGAGATCGGCCATGAGGTCGCTCGGATCACGTTTAGATCTGTTGGCCTGCCGTGCTTTCGAGGCTCCTAGTCGGATATGAGCCAATTTAATAAAGCTGGATCCAGGGGTTAAGGTTCTACACATCGAGGTTAGCAAGCAAGCAAACATACTTCAAATAGAGTCGAGCTGCCCTACGTTGTTGGCGTATTTCCTATGACATCGATTATACTGCTTTCTGCTATTGGTAGTATGTCTACCTTTACGTTATATAGATATCCATATCGCAACAAGCCGATATCGCATTGATAGGTAGGTACAACAAAGGGTGCTGGACCGCCAGCGGCCTGTGCCAAGTCATAAGACGAATCGTGAGTGTGAGGATGGAATAGTTGGGCGGATACCTTAATCACTGCCCAAATGCTCGACTGTCCCTCTATCAATGTCTTTGATTCTGGTATAATAGAAATATGTGGAGCAAGTATGTAGGGATCGGGAATATTGTTATCTGGTGTCTGGATATCGGCAAATGAATTGCTCAAGAAACTACTATCGACACTGCGTGACCCAAACTCGCTGAGTGAGGGAGGGTCTGCATACGCCGAGTTTGGCGACCTATCCCACGACTGAGTTGCTTCATATTGATTAGACGGTCTGAAAATCGACCCATCCGAGGAGCTGCTCGGAACTCGCATACCATATCGCGGGCGAGCAGATTTTGAAGAAAGATTTCTGCGGTTGGACAACGAACGCAGCCTCGTAAGAAATGTGGGAGATAGTGATGGTTCAACTTGTGCACTGGAAGAACGACGAGATGATGGTATTCTACGGGGTTTGGGGGTTACTGGATTCTGAGTTTCGCTCGAAACTGCAAATTAACGTCAACAGAAGACTGGAAAGTCCTACTAGAAGAGAGAGATTTCACCTGTATTTGTGCTGAGATTTCTTGACTGCCCCTTGGAGGTTTGAATATAATTCGAGTTGTTGATACTATCTTGATTCCTTCTCCTAATGACATTACGATGAGATTTCCGACTCTTGATAACGGTTAATGGTTGATCAGAACCGCTATCAAGACTTTCGTTGCTTAATTTTCTTGGGCTGCTGCGGAGGACCTGCATGGATTTTCCTCTCTTGACTATGTGCAACGGAGAGGGGATGTCGACCTCCGACCATTGGCTTCCTGACATCGTGAATGGGTTCTGGCCGAGTAACAGTCTCAACCGAACCGTTTCTCGACTGTCCAATAAAGGCGCTCTCAATAGTTGTCAGGCTCCCTCTTGTAGACCCTACCGGGCATATATCAGTGACTGGAAGCTGTGGTCGGCGGCGAGCTTTTGTCCACCGAGCCCGAAGGTTTGGTAAAAGGTCGAACCCTTTCAAAATCGTCCAAGTAAGAATCACAATCAAAGCGACCGGGATTAGAGCAATCGCATAGATGATACCGGGATGCAGAGATTGGTCAGACATAACTACCTAGGTAGTGTTGCTGTGAGTCAAGTCGTGAAAAATCGAGATAGAAGTTGATTTCGATTCTAAAAAAGCAATGAATAGTAGTACGATTACAAAATATGTGATACCCCTATTTCTGAGGATCAGTACTGAGAGGTTAGGTACCTAGGTAGGTAATAGAATTGAAGTGATCAATGTATATCGTGTGGGTATCAAGAAATCATGGCTAAAGGGTTCTAATGCGCTTGGGAGAGCGTGACAGATATATGCCTCCCACTCAAGAAGTGCGGGAAAGCCCATTCAAGATTCGTCACCTAAGGTCCGCAAGAGATTATCTTTTGCAGTTTCCACGTCATTTTCCTCCATACTTAAAAAACGAATCTGTAAATAAAGTATAAGTAACTGAGGAGGCTCAGGCTTCCAAGTGAAGTAAGGCCAACTTACTATATCGTCAGTAGCACCCACTCCGCCAAACAGTACTGGCTCAGAGAGACTTACAGATACTGCCTTCTTAACCCGTTCCTCCCATACGCCTTCCCAATTCCAATCACCTGGTTTCCTTTGCGGTTCAGGAGACTGCGCTACATCAGAACTCGAGCCTATAGTGTCAACATCACTATGCGTATCAGTGAGCACTTTCCCATTCTCGGCCTGATGTGTCCGCCACGCATGCCACGCGCCAGGATTACCTGCAGCTTCGAGAGGGATCGAATCCAAAACGTCCTCGTCGTTGAATGTGCTTCGTATGTACCGAATAACTTCATAGGTAGAAGCCTCTTTGATACTTGTTTCGGCAAAACCTGGGGAACTACCGACAGCAGAGCCCTTTGATCCGGGGGTCTCTGCGCTACTCATGGATGGTGGAGGCGGTCTATGAGGAGTTTGGAGGCCCTCTCGCTGTCCACTAGACGGCCTTGGACTGGCATTTGGACCCCGACTTGAGCGCCTAAACCAGTCGGGGAACCCATGCCTCAGGCTGAATCCTCCGGGTGGCAGCCGCTCGGCATCTGATGCACTTACGGTTCCATTGTCTTGGACGTCGGTGGAGTACATATAAGTGCTTAGGGGGGTAATCAAGGGATGGAACATATCGGTCGCGAAAGTAACCAATGGTGGTAACCTGGGATACGAGTCGGGGAAGGATATCTGAAATCGTAGTACGGCTGGGGCGTAAGGACCTTTAACAGATTGGTTAGAGAATTCTTCACAGTAAGTTACTACCTTAGGTACCTAGGTAGGTAGGTATATGCAGGTAGCCGAAGCCAAGTTCTCACCATCCCGTACAAACAAAACGCCAGACCAAAGGGTAGGGTCACCAGGTGTAAGGCTTACGAAGACGCCTTCGGGACAAGCTTGCTTAAGTCCAGCACTTTACAATGTTACGCATTAGCTTCAATTTGCACGAACGAACGGAGAGGAGTGTACACGGCAACACGCACAACTCGACTAGGAGATGTTGCCTCCTCAACGCTGGCAGCGTACTAAATTTAGAAGAGGTCATTTTGTTGCCTCGTGGGATTGGAAATGTTCAACATTCAGAATAGGGCCAGGCCGCATGCGTGGAAGATAAAGTTGACCTAAATGGTAGATGGCATGCAAGTGGTAGATTAATAGTTCATGCGTCACTGAAACAATGCAAGAGTGTGAATGAATGGAAGCATGAATTGATGCAATGCAGGTCGAGCAATAAAGGATGTCATTAAGGTTAGGTAGTTACCTACTAGTTAGGTACTGACATACTGTAGGCTTCTTATCGATTAATTTTATGCCTATCATTAATATGGTCCGTGCTTATGAGATCCTCAAGATAAAAAAGAGAAAGATCTTTATCACGTGAAGAACCCCACATGAGTAGTTATGTAACTACTACTAGTAGTACGTCGTACCTAGTAGTGTAGATGCTGCAGATACCCGTACCCACTTCTTCCACTTCTTCCACTCTCCCGGCGTCGCGGACTGGACTACCAAGTCTCAAGCTTCCAAACTTGTTTCTCTAGTGAGATCATGAGACAAGATCCCATTACCATGGATACACAACCTTACACAAGAACTTGCACAAGAACTTGCACAAGGCAATTATCACTTCCTCCGAGAAGGAAGAAAGTAAGAAAGCTTACACCGTACAAGGCTTACCGGACGAAAAGCCGAGTGAAACAAGCATTACCAAGATCCAACGAAATCATCAATACTAAGGTAGAACATGGTAACATTGGAACTGTACCATGTGTAGTCAAGAAACAAGAGACAAGGCGTGTTACGAAAGGCCAAATAATTATCCTACTTACCCACCAATGCCGATCAACGCTGGTGATATGGAATAACCCCTCATTAGCCGGCAATCAACTGCACCCCACATCCATTCGAAGATCCATTCGTTCGTGAACTTATTCTTAGCCTTTTTGGTTGGTTTTTTTTTGCTTGCTTACTTGTATTATCTCGGGACAAACTAAAGTAGCTTCTACAGAAGGATTGTCCGGCAGAATGTCTAGGTCACTGCCGGCCGGAGTGACAACCTTGAATCGGTAACCCCTATAGAGTAGTTTATTAGGATGCTACATATCCATATACATACATCTAACAGCCATCATGTCCTCATCCTACAGTCTTGCCATATTTTCATAACATACTAACATTGATATATGCCTATGTTGAGTTTTGAGTTGACGAAAAATCTATGTAACACCATATAACTACCTAGGTATCTAGTATCTTACATCCTTATATACCTATTTTCTTAATATAGACCGTCGACATGTCTGATTATAGAGATATACGCATCTCCATCATTGGCGCCGGTGAGTTATTTCTCATCCTTATCCACATTCGTATCCAAAGCCAAGTCTGCTAACATCACCCTTACACAGGCATGGGTGGCCTGGCCTGCGCGCTTGCCTTCGCAAAGAAAGGGTTCAAACATGTCGACGTCTACGAGACGGCCTCGAACTTAGGATTCGTCGGTGCTGGCATTCAGCTGGCCCCCAACATGGCCAGAGTCTTGGATCGCTGGGGCTGCTGGGATGGCATCCTCGCAGAAGCTACCAACATCAAAGCCTCCAGCATCCGCGAGGGGTCCACAAACCGTGAACTCGTCCATGTCGAGATGCCTGACATTGCCGAGAAGTACGGGTATCCGCATTGCACGGGACACCGTGCCTCATTGGCAGGTGGGTTATATGATGGGTGTAAGAAGGAGCCCGCCATCACCTTCCATTTCTCGTCGTCGCTGCTAGATGTAAAGTCTTTCAGCTTGGATAAGACGGTGTTTACCATACAACCGCGCAATGGAGAGCCCTACGACGTGGAGACCGATGTCCTGCTCGGCGCCGACGGTATAAAATCTACTGTTCGGTCTGCGCTCTTGCGCACCCTCGACATCCCTGCCGATGTGGAAGATACGGGCCAAGCCGCTTATCGGATCATGTTGACGCGAGACCAGATGAAGGATGACCCAGAATTGCTCGAGCTCCTTGACTCCGATGTCGCACTGCGATGGATTGGTGAGAAGCGCCACATTGTAGCATACCCAATCAGCAACAAGACCATCTACAACCTGTCGACCTGCCAGCCAGACGTCAACTTTGCCGCCGCGCCCAGCGTCACCTACACAACGCGCGGCAGCAAACCCGAAATGCTGAGGGTCTACGCCGACTTCGGACCCACTGTCCAGAAGATGCTGAACATGGTGCCCGACGGCGAAGTATGCGAGTGGAGGTTACGGTCGCACAAGCCCCTGGAGAGCTGGATCCTGGGCACCGCGGCCCTCGTCGGCGACGCCTGCCACCCCACGCTGCCGCACCTTAGTCAGGGCGCCGCGATGGCGATCGAGGACGCCGCCGTGCTCGCCGAGGTCGTGAGCCAGGCGCCCGGCGGCGGCGCAGACCGGGACGCCCTGTCCAAGGCCCTCAAGGTCTACGAGCTCCTGCGCAAGGAGCGCACGTCGATCCTGGTCGAGCTGGCGGCGTCCTCGGCGCGGACGTTGCATCTGGGCGAGGGCAAGGCCAAGGAGGAGCGGGACAGGCAGTTCTTGAACGCGAAGAAGGGGGCCCCGATCCCAGACAAGTGGGCCAGCCCCGAGGTGCAGCACATGATCTACTCGTACGACTGTGTCGCGGAGGCTAGGGAGCTGTTCGATCAGCTGTACGGGACGCTTGCTACTACCCCGAGCGAGCCAACGAGCGGCCGCACTAACGGCCATACGAACGGGTATGCCCAGGCCGTCGCAGCATAGGTAGCATAGAAGAGGGAAATGAATGAGTGGTTGGTCTGACATATGATATACTATCGCATTGTAGAGCCTAGCTTTAGAGATCAAGACAAGCACACACACACACACACACACACACACACAAGCAAACATACGCACACAGAGCAATGTAATAGGTAGTAGCAGTAACAGCAGTAGTATCAATCCGAAATCGACATGACATGACGACGCAGCTTCTAAACCGTGAGCTACAGTTACATACATACATACATAGGTATCCAGATTAAAACGAATTATGTCGTAGAGTTAATAAGGTAGGTTAGGTAGGTAGGCAGGTGCCTATACAAGAACCCCAGGGCCCGGTTTCGGAAGCCCGCAACGCCTACACAGGCTCCGGTGTGTGAATTCAAAGATATAACTAGACTGATGCCCCCAAGCAGGTACAGTATGTTGAGGTACAGTAGGTAGGTAGGTAGGTAAGCAGGTGTAAGTAGGTGTATAGGTATCCTCTTCAACAACATTTAATTCTCCAGAAGTTCAACCTTTTTGACTATAATCGCATCGATGCGTATATGCTTATCGAGTAATCCGACACGGTCGAATTGGCGATCTTGCAGGGGGTGGGTGGTGGATGTTCTTAGGTAATAAAGGGGGGGAAGGAAGGAAGTCGACGGCGGCATTACTTTCCCCCTCTCCCCCTGTCCCCCCCTTTTTTTTCTTTCATCCATCTTCTGCTTTCCTACTGCAATCTTTCACATGCACCCTTCTTACTACTCTACTAGGCATTACTATTCTCCTGCTACGCGTGGCCCTCTACAGCTGACTTAGAAAGACCAGACAGCCTTCCAACGCTCCCCTCTCCATCTCTGAAATCGAAGGATTCCTCTCTATATTGGTATATACACCCCCAACCGCCCATCTAGTACCCAACTCAAAACAAAAAAAAAAAACCCACATCAAGCCCCCCTAAAACAAACAATCCAAGCAACAGCAACAAGCCATTATCCCGATCAGCGCCCCCAGACACCCCTTCTCGGAGTCGCTGTTATTGTTGTGCTGCGGGTTCTGGTAGTATCCCCCGCCGTTCGGCGGCTGCATGCCCGGCGGGTAGTACGCTCCCCCTTGCTGCGGCGGCGGGTAGCCGTACCCGCCCGGGGGTGGTGGCCCTTGGCCCGGGGGGTAGTAGCCCATGTTGGGGTTCTGCTGGTAGTACGGCTGGGGCTGGCCCGGGGGACCAGGTGGAGGGGGCGCGCCGTAGGGGCCTTGCTGGTACGCGGCTTGGGGCTGTTGGGGGCCCCCGGTGTACGCGGGGGGTTCGTCGGGTTTGCCGGACATATTGATGGTGGTGGCGGTGGTGATGTGGTACTAGACAGGGAGAACAGCGGATAAAAAGGGAGGTAGGTAAGCAAGTGTGGATTGCTTCGTTTGTTGTTTGATGATCGTAGTTCCAGCCCGATATTTTTTGTTCGATTACGTTTTATTGGAATGGAATAAGTCGGTATCCTCAGATCGACTGGTGTGGATTTCGATGATGGATGAGTGATGAAACAGCGAGAAGTTGAGAATCAATCAAAAAGCTTCGCGGTAGCACACAACAGATATAACAACTAGCTAGCTAGCTTAGGCACCTGGGATAAGCAGTAACTATGTAGTGTGTAGTGTTGTCCTTTCTCTCTCTCTCACACACGCTCTCGGATAGTCGGCTTGTATGGGTTATGGGCTTTTGGTTTGGGCGCCGAGGGTTGGCAGTCAAAGGGCCAAGTAAAGTTGGTGTGGCTAAGCCTCCGTCGACGCGCGGATCATAAGACGAACAAAAGACAAGTGATGGGCACGTCACTGTAAGATACGGCGCAGTGGTAATATTAGTAAAAATGTAACTTAAGGGGGGAAGGATGGTGATGATGATGATTTTGTATTTAATAGATAACTAAAAGATAAAACAAATAATAAATAAGGAAACAAAAGGCGAATGGAAGGGGCTTAAAGAAGTGTTAAGTATGTCAATCGTAATGAATATCTTCAGATTGACTTGCAACTTAAATCACTGAGCTTAGACAATTAATGGTACTACGAAGTACTAGTAGTATTGTATGTCATAGCAGCATGCATGGATCATTCATTGATGGAGAAGACCGGCACTAGCAATGCAATCCTTTGTACATAGTACAATACTAAAATAGCTGAAATAGCTAAAATAGCTAAAATAACTGGGGCCTGTCTACCTAGGCACTAATACTCTGCTACGCCGCATATTTGCATAAGAGATGCACATGCATCTACACACACACACACAGCACAACACAAGGCGATCAAAGTTGGAGACTAAATGGTTTGACACGAAGCTTCACATTGAACATGTCGGACGAAAAAGGACAACAGATCCAAGCCTGCCGATGAATATATCCTGCTTTCCATGTTGTACGCAATGGATATAAGTGAAAAGATGGGAATTTGATATTCATATATGCAATACAGTTTATATTCTGTGACGAATATGACTATAACCAAGCCAACTAACTAGGTATATTTGTAGGTGCATTTGTAGGTACATAGTATAATACAATCCATGATATCCGCCGGTACATACAAGGGAAACCATCTTCTTCTACTACTAGTAGTACTCACTCAAACAATTAGCAACAGTTTTGAAATACCCCTCACGCAGTATTACAAATACTATACTATACTATACTGTACTATACTACAAGCCGAGTTGAACCCTCAAAGCTTCATGTGAAACTCCTCCCCCAACCGGCTCATCTCCAATGGCCGCTGAAAATCCATTAGTCTTCTCCTCCGCCGAGGCCCAACGGCTGGAGCCCCATCTACCCCCCCTCTCCTACTTTTCCTCTTCTTCCTCCTCTTCTCCTCCTTCTCCTTCTCCCTCTCCCTCTCCTACTTCCTCTAACAACAAACTCCCCTTCGTAACCCTAACCTTCGCCACCTCCCTCGACTCCGCCCTGTCCCTGGGGCCCGGGATCCGGACCGCGCTCTCGGGCCCGCAGTCCAAGGCGATGACGCACTACCTGCGCAGCCGCCACGACGCCATCTGCGTCGGCGTCGGGACCGCCATCGCCGACAACCCGGGGCTCAACTGCCGGCTGGCGGCGGCCGACGCCTCGCGGCCCGTGTCCTCGCACACGACGGACACGGCGGGCGTCGGCGCGCTGCTCGGGCTCGCCTCGCTGTCCACCGAGAACGCCGCGACCCGCCGCCGCGCCGGCGGCAACGTCTTCTCCGCCCACCAGCCCCGCCCCATCGTCATCGACCCCCGCCTGCGCTGGGACTTCACCCCCGACAGCAAGGTGCTGCAGCTCGCGCGCGCCGGCCAGGGCCTGGCGCCGTACGTCATCACCGCCGTGAGCCAGCCGCCCGAGGGCAAGAAGAAGCTGCTGGAGGGGCTGGGCGGGAAGTTCATTGTGCTGAATCCGAATCCGCATCCGCATCCGCCTCCGCCTCCTCCTCCGCCGCAACCCGCTAAAGCCACCACAGCAGCCGCCGCCCGTGCGACCCCAAGGTTCCCCCAGCGCTTCGACTGGCACGACGTGCTCGCCGCGGTGCGGAACGAGGGGCTGCGGAGCATCATGGTGGAGGGCGGCGGCGAGGTGATCAACTCGCTGCTCTCGCACGAGAACGCGCGCCTGATCCACTCCGTCATCGTCACCATCGCGCCCACGTGGCTCGGCCAGGGGAGCGTCTTCGTCTCTCCGCCGCGGAGGGCGGGGCTGGACGGGAAGCCGAGCGCGGTCGCGAGGCTGGCGGACACGACCTGGGTGCCCCTGGGGGAGGATGTGGTGCTGTGCGGGAGGCTTGCGGCTTGAGGGGTTTGGGGTTGGGGGGGATGCATATGCCTAGGTATCCCCGTCTTGCCCATGGCCGTTCGTGGGATCTGGTCTTGGATGTATGGTTTCTTGCTCTTCGCTCGGTGACCACCCCCTTTTTTGAATGGGGTATCTTGAACCCGCAGCCTGTCCCTCCCCCTTTCGAATTGTCGTCAAAACTTAGGACCTGATACTGCTGTATTCTCCCAAGGCTGTTGCCAGTCAGTAAAGATATATGAATCTTCATTCTATTGTAGGGCTCGTGCCGGGTTGGGTTGGTGGCATCGTATAGTTTGGTTTATATCGGTGCTTAATGGTGGTGGTTTTCACGGTTTCTGTACCTACTACTACTATGTGTTCTACTATATTATGTCCTTTAGGAATGAGCAAACACACAATCACCCTGTTCCCTCCATTGTACCTAGCCTAGGTAAATATAAGCCATCTGTATCTTTCTTATACTATTGATATACCTAGGATAGGTAAGTTCCCATCCGCCAACCTTTTGAGACTCGAGGCCGTGGTGGTATGTAGGTAGTAGTAGTTTTGGCGAAGAATCCTTGATGACATGTGGTTGAGTTTAAAGGTGAGTATCTCTATTACTTATCTTCTACATCGCGCACCTTCGCTAGCATCTTGTCGTAAGTGCGTAGTCCTGCAAAGCCTAGATAGGGTACCTAGGTACGTATCCCCTAATTTGTCAAAACAGCCTCACATTTGCCAAGTCACCTAGGTAATCTACAGGTACATGTATCTATCTATCCCACCCTCCCCATTCATCCATCCCCGTACTCCCAAATAATCCACATCCCCCTCCCCCTTTCCCCTTTCCCCCCTCACTCCCCAACCGCAATCCACGAAACCCCACACCCGAAGATATTCGCATCGTGCCAGCTATCCGCATGCGCCACGAACCCTTCCTCCGTGACCTCCGTCGCGTACGTGCTCACCCTGAAGTTCGCATCGTTCCCCACGTCCGCCATTCCGATCCCCACCACCACCTTGGGGGGCTTCGCAAACTTCTTGCCGAACTTGACGGGTCCGGACGTGCGATGCACGCGGGCTTCGTTCCATGTGCGCACGCCGAAGGTTTCCCAGGTGCCGGTGTCGATTATGGGGACGGTGATGGCGGGAGGTGGTGGGGTGGAGGAAAGCTTGGTGGTGAGGAGGGAGAGCTGCTCCACTTTTTGGGCAAGCGCTGCTACTTGCGCTGCGAGTGACTGCGCGAGGAGCAGCGCGGGCGAGGAGGAATGGTTCTCGTCGACCTTTTGGGTCAGTGACGTTACTTGCGCTGCGAGGGATTGTGCGAGGAGGAGGGCCGGGGAGGGGCCTTCGTCGGTTTTGCTGTTGACGGGCGCTGGTGTGCTTGTGCCCTCGCTTGATCCTTCGCTTTTTGCTGTCGCTGTCGTTGTCGATGTGGTGGTGGTGGTGCTCTTAGGCTCATTGCCGTTGAAGACGTTGACGGTTATTTGGGGGACATAGGGGTATGGCTGGTGTTGTGCTTGTGGTGCTGCTGATGGCTGTGGTGGTTGTTGATACTGAACTTCTCTTTGCTGTCCCCGGTGCTGCTGCTCACTCGCGTGTGGTGTCCCGGCCACGGAGCTAGTGGGTGTGTTGGCAAAGTCGTCCCATCGAAATCCGCGTGGCTGAGCAAAGGGAGGGTTCATTGCGCTTTCCGGTGTCCCCAGGAACGTCGTCAGAATTGTCATGCCACGATGATATTGTATTGTTGATGTAAGAAGGCTTGATCTAGTATGTGTCAGTTGTTGGTTCGTGTTAAGATATGTAGGTGAAAGGGATAACTGAGGAGTTACATGTATGTGGTGTGGTATACTTGCCTGCCGTGATCTACTACTTCTGGAGTATACTGGGGATATTTCTCTGAAAGATGAAAACCTTAAGTGTTTGTGGGAAGGATGAAAGAACAGCGCAAGGCAATACATATGTAGGTGTTCAGACAGTCATATAAGTCGTCAAACGGAAAATTATGTCACCAGCCTCCTTTTATTTCTTTCTAAGGCACAACGAAAGAAGACTGCTTGTTTAGTCCATTCATAACACAGCGCCATTCTGTTTGAAAGCCCTAGGAACGTGTATACCTAGGTAGGCAGGAAGTTACATACATATGCAACGATGCCCAACATTGAATGGCCCGAACATACTACAGGTAGAGATAGCTGCAAACCGTTCACTGGGCAGTGAGATTAATTAACCTCAATGTTAATACCTATCACAAGGTTGCTACTGTGGTGTGTAAAGCTTATCCTTGGATCGTAAGGACGCACGTAGGCAACTACTTTTCGATATCGAGTCCCTACTACATAGGCCCAATACCATATTGGGTAGATGGAAGAGATGGACGTAGGTATGTAAGTATATGCAGATGTATGCTAGACGGGAAGTCGCATAGATGGCACATTGCATATACCTAGCCTACGGCCAACGAATAGGAGGTATCTCGGTTACCAGCATCGCGGTATATTCCCGTCCTGGACGGGATCAAGTCGCCCCTACCAACGTCCTAGGTAGCTCTACGGAACTAATAACATCCCCTAACTTCTAAGCATCAAAGTAATAAACCAAACACACGCATACCTAGGCACATACTCCCAGTCTAGTCAAACGAAGATATCCCTATCATTTCCAGCCCCCTCTCATCCAACCGTAGTTTACTCTCCTTACCACTAACTACTACGTGCACTATGCATTACAAAATGTGTTTACAACAAAACCAGTCCAAAGCGGTAGTATGTTGGTGTGCAATTCTCATTGCCCCTTGATATCCACCCCCTTATTACCCTTCCCTCCCTCCCTTAATCTAGTTTTCTTTTCTATGAAAAACCCCCCCTTTCTTCTCATTCCCGATCAAACCGTCCCTCGTCCCGGCACCGAAACACTTGATTCTTCTTTTTCTCTTTCTCTTAGACTCTTTTTATTACACGGAAGCACATATGTAGCAGCTTCCAAAAGTACAGCAAAATGCCAAACCATAAAGTACATGTATTCAAATCCCTTCTTCCTCTTCCTCTTCCTCTCCCCTTCCTCCCCTATTAATGGTATACAGTGAAGTGAAGTGAAAAGCGTCGATTGAAATACAATGCCCATTCCGTTAGCGCCGAACAAAAAGTCTGCAATAAGAGGATAGTAAGATGTAAAGCGTGCCCTAGACCATGAGGTGGGTTGGAGAATTGAAGAAGAAAAAAACCACCCCCTCATCCTTTTCCGTCGCCTAAGAAGCAGTACCGTTCTCCCGTTGCCGCTTTACGATATAATACGTAATTAGGCTCTTGGGGTCTTCCTTAATACTCTTCATGCTGTCCCAGAACCTGGCCTCTCCCAACCGAGCATGTAAAGCAACACAGAGCTGAACAGCGTCCATCCGCACTCCACTCTCCTTGCTCTCAAGACACCTACTTGCCAAGGCTAGCAAGCCAGTAACCTCACTCTCGCTAGGTGAAAACTCCTTCCTCGAGTCAACAAGCTCCTTTAGCACATGGAGTCCCATACTCGTGCTGCGGTGGCCCGACGTGTCCATATCCATATTATTCAACTTCTTCGTCATCGTTACCGTGATCTCATCTGCGTCGCCAATCACCACAAGCTCGTCCGCAAGCAGCTCAAGTCCGCTCACAATATGTGTCCGGGCATCATATCGAGTCCGCGCTGAAAGCAAAGCCTCCAGCCCACGGGACACGTGAGGTTGGAATCTGTCACGAGATCTCCTAAGCATCAACTTAATGGTCGCAAGAACCTGTGCCTTAACATCTTGTACCTTTTCGGTGGGAAGGTTGTCCAGGGAAGATTCAAGATACTCGAATAGTCCTACCAGCAAGGCATCGAACTTATCATCACCCAGGTGTATTTTACTATCGCGAAGAAGGCTCTGTACCTTACGGAAGCCATGTACGTCAAGCGTCTGTGCCTTCACCCGAGCGATGCCACTGTCGATAAGACGATTGTTTTGACGAGCTTTGTCGGGGGCAACAGGGGTACTAGCTGCCTCTGGTGCCTCTGTAGGTACTTGTGAGAGGTTGGCGGCATCCTCATTGACAGGTCTGTCTTCCAGCACCGACCGCTCTATTATGCTATTTGCTGCGGGACGGGGAGTGGCTTGGTTCCCAGTAAATGGATCTTCGTACACCTTTAGGGATTTTGATGGCGAAGGTGTGGCAACCTTCGGAGTAGCTATGGCTTCGTCTGGAATCATTGCTGATACCTGGGGAGATGATTTGGGTGGACTCGACTGTACACTCTCCTTCAAATGAGCACCGGTTGGCACAAGAAGAGTAATGTCTTCATTTGAATTGGTGGGACTGCTTGAACCGGCGTTGTTTGCCTGTGGCTTGACCTTCGTTGGACTCGGCAGCTTTGGAGAAGGGACTTCTTTACTGGCCACTTCTTTCGATTCCTTAAATTCTTTGGAAGGGGGCTCCTTGGAAGGCGTCTGAATGCTAGATTCGCTAGCAGTTGATACATGGCCAGGCCGAGTTCTGGGGGCAGTCCGCCTAGGAGACCCCGAGATCGTCTTTGGTGTTGCAGTTTTGGACTTCGCTTTCTCAGGAGGAGGGCTTGTATGCTCTTTCGATGGCCCATCGTGCGTCCTAACCGAGTATGGTCCAGCAGTAGCAGGTCGAGGGGCAATATCCGGTCTCCTCCTAGCTGGCCGCATTGGGGCCACCGACATGCCTCCATGGGACTTCGCCGCACTCTCTGGGCGTGTCCGGGTTGTAGAAGCAGCCGCCTGTGAAGACGACATATTCGATGACGTATTAGATACATTTCGCGCCGGCGTGACTGTCGCCATGGCAGAACCCGGGCGAGAAGGAAGATTTCTCGTAGATAAAGCTTTCTTCTGCGCCAACATGGTATCCCTTAACGAAGGCTTTGAGCTCGTCGTGGTGCTCTTCGAGAGACCTAGCGGTGCGCGTGCGGCTGGTTCAGCCTTCTTCGGCGAGTTTGGATTATTAGGATCTTTCTGTAAAAGTTTCTGTGCGGTAGCCTCGAGACCATCCATAATTCTTTGGTAGGGTTAATCATCGCATCAGTCAAAAAGGGGGAGAGGTCACTAGACTCACGCTTCTGCTCTTGCTGGCCAAATAGCGGCAAATGCCCAGTACGTTGCACGCATCTTCTCACGAACTCCGGGGTTGGCATCGTTGAGGCCCTTTTTTAAACACTTCTCGACCATATCTAAGCCCCCGCCGTGCTCAAAATGGTTCTTGTGATGCGACTCTTTCTTCAAGAGAGTTTTCAGCCAGCCTGTCGCATACGTCCTCGGCTGCACATTCTTATCTTGACAAGCATTCCATACATGTTGCATGATTCTAGCATTATATGTGACTCTTCCAATGATAATATCCACCGTCGTGTTAGCCAACTGAGAACTAATCTTTTTCGTGGCAGCACATAGTTTGATAAAGGTTTGCATGAGAAGCTCAACCATTGGGTCGATGCCGGGTCCGAAGGTGATCGCGAGATCTTGGACAAGAGCGCAACCTTCTTTCGACAGACTGGTTCGTAGGGAGTTGGCGGCTTTGAGAAGGCCATCCAGTAGAGCCCGACAGCCAGCAATAAATGCATCAGGGAAATCCGATGGTGTATTGCCAACCATAAGCCTTCGCAACTTGATGGCGCTTTCTTCTCTCTTCAGCCAGTTCTGTTCCGTCTCTTTCCCTTCGAACCACGGGTGCATATCTCTGAAAATATCCTCTAGTTCGCGCTGGGTATTCACGTAAGAGGGCTCAACCGCATCGACCTTGGCTTCGATCATTGGAGTTACCGGTCGTTCACTGGCAAGGGATGAGACGCTCGCAGCAAGGTTCGGTCTCGCCTGCATTGCTGAAGCTGGTCTCGTCTGCATTGCGGAAGGTGGTCTGGATTCCGGATCGGCTCTTGTAGACGTTGGGATTAATTCTTTCACGATAGCCTGCTCTATAGCAGGTCGCACCTTGAAGTTCTTCAGTTGCTTCTTTAAATCCGACTTCGCTGGATTCGGGGCATCCCTGTGATCGTTGTTAGAAATCGGGCTAGTATTGGAAATAGTCTTTTCGCAAACCTGAATAGCTCTATCACGGTGCTTTTGGCCGCGTCTCGAATCATGCCATCGGCATCTTCTAATAACTCCATTAAGGTTGGGACGTAGGCACGGAATTGCAAGCCGTTCTCTTTATGCATCTACATATTGTTAGCGCACCCAAATAGACAATATCGCGCAATGCTACGAGATCGCGCGCGTACCTGTAATAGCCATTGCATGCCAGCCTCTTTTGCCCTTGGGTTCTTCCCAACCATGGCGGTATTGCGCACAAATCTCTCGGCATCTATCGGTACGTGGCTGTACATGGTAGTCATTGCTTGTATGCCCAGAACTCTGATCTTGTCCTTTTGATCACCCATCTTCTCGATGATAAGCGGTAAGGTCTGTTTCGCCTCCCTGGCGAGATATTTGGGCTCTTGTAGCGACATACGCGTCAGGAGGTGGTTTAGGGTGGTGAAGCCGGCAGTCACGAGCAAGGAATGTTGCGAGCTAGAGGCAAGCCGCAAGGCTTCGAAGAGCGGCGCGACGCAGACATCGGGTACACTGTAGTGCTTAATAGCAGATTTGACGGCGGTGACATGTTGGACCTTGGCATCGACAGAGATGTCCTTCTTAAGGATAGTCAGGAGGCCTTCGACCTGCTCCTCACTGAGCATTTCAGCCATTATGCCTCAGAAAAATCGAGGACCCAGGGGTGCCTCTCTTGGTATGAACTGTGGTCGCAAGTCTGGGAAATCGATCTACCTCGAAATAAAAGATATAGAGAAGGTTGAGTCACCGAATTGTCGCAGGTCAGTTGATAGGGGCGACAACAATCACAAGTAAAGTGAAGTTGCTGTGAGTCGGTAGGTATTCTAGGTAGGTAGGGTATTGACTTGAACTCGAGCTTAAAGGTTGAATTGATTTTCTCAACGGTCGAAGGTTTGTTTGCTACCGGCGTAATAGCTTAACAAGCTTCGATGCTTTTTTTTTTTCGTCTGTCTCTTTCTTTTTTTAATAGAAGCGCCAACTATTTTCGTAGTACATTTAGGATTGTGCAAAAAAAAAAAAAAAAAAAAAAGCAATGCGACAACCTGGTATGTACAAGTATGTATCGTGGCTGTTATTGAAATGAAGCAAAGGAAGCGTATGATTTAAGATTCTGTCGTGTTGTTGTTAGAATTGGATGTTGAGTGAGTGCCCAGGTGGTACATACAAATTATTATTAGTTGCAGTGCTAGCAGTGCCTAGGTAATAACAACTTGTTGATGCGGGAAATGGCTACCCGCCCTGCACCATGACAACCATCTTCCGGGAACTCCACTGTTGTTAGTACTAGGTATTAGGTAACTACAGGAAGTACTACTAGTAGTATTGTATTGCACATAGTATTCTATGGGGTTGCAGGCCTCCAGGGTCTGTAAGACACCAAGACACGCACTAACGAAATCTAACGAATTACTACCTGACGAGAAGGCCTGTGCCATCCTGGTCCATCCTGGTCCCCTGTTTACTCCAATTCATCTATCCATCTTATCAACATTGAATTGCCCCGCGAAACAAGCTGTTTTGATGAGGGGCACATTTATGTAAGTTAACCTACATCAATTAATGTAAACATTGGATACCGGCATACAAAGCTCACACCGTCTTTAGAATTCTTTAAGGTTCTGAGTTCCGCACAGATAAGTTTTCAGCTTTCTCGTTCGTGTTACTTGTGATACGTCTTTACTCTACTCTGCATCAAAGCACGATACATTGGTAATTCTAGAGCTGTCACCGCAGTCTATGTACCTAATCTATCTCGTCAATTCCATCCAACCCCTGATGGTTCCGCCTTCAAATTGTCTTACCAGCTACTTAGTACCTACTATCACATTACAGTCACATCTCATTCCATGAATCCCGCCAAACAACAACTGAGCAATCTATCCGAGACGGAGGACCTACACATACACCTCGCTCTCTCACAGGATAGGGCTGCAGACGACGCTTCTTCTCCTCCAATGCCGCTCCCACCCAACACCACGCCGGTTCCCAATCCGGTGTTCATGCCGGGCATGTCGCACCAAACGGAGGCGCCCGCGGCAACAACTCCAACTCCAACACCTTCTTCAAAGGATCAGTCAACCTCCGTAGCAACAACCCCCACCTTCGACCTCCCACGCCTCCGCCTCCACATCCAAGAAATCAACCACCCCGGCTCCTCCGTCTTCCTCTCCGCCATCAACGCCTCCACCGTTCTAAAAACGAGCATCGAATCCATATACAAGTACCTCTACCTCTCCACCTCCACCCCCACCTCCCGCCCCTACCCGCCCCCACCAACACGCTCCGTAACCCTGATCCTGCGCCCCATGGACGGCGTCGCCTACACGACGGGCAGCGACCTCGACCCAGAGCACAAGGAGATCCACTTCTCCTTACCCTACATCTCGACCATCACCCCGCCCACCCGGCAAACCTCCGAGATAACCGGCATCATCACGCACGAGCTGGTGCACTGCTACCAGCACACGGGCCGCGGGTTCGCGCCCAGCGGGCTGATCGAGGGCGTCGCCGACTGGGTGCGCCTGCAGTGCGAGCTGGCCCCGCCGCACTGGAACCCGGCCGAGGTCCCCGCCAAGTGGGACGCCGGGTACCAGCACACGGCCTACTTTTTGCAGTACCTCGAGGACCGCTTCGGCGCCGGCACCGTCCCGCGGCTCAACGAGAAGCTGCGGACCGACAAGTACGTGGAAAAGGCCTTCTGGACCGAGCTTGTGGGCGGGCCTGTCGAACAACTGTTTAAAGACTACATCAAGACATTACAGAAAGACGGTGATAAGTGTTGCGTTGAGTTGAGTTAAGCTGAATTTGAGTCAAGAGCAAGTCATGGAACCATGGACGAAGGGCCGAGTCACTTTCTCAAAAAGGGCGCTCTTATTGAATGGCGTTTATTCTAGTTGTGACGCGAGCTTGTAATACCCACTTAGCATGCAATATTATATTTTCGAGACAAATGAATTCTACCTTAAGAAAAAAAAAGTTCCAAAACAAAATAGGTCGATGTTTGGGGATCACGGATGCCCAAGAGATTCTCTCCATGCTTAACCTGTGACCGTACTGAACCCTAAATCCTTTATCCAAAGACGCCTTGCTACTGCAAACCTGCGGTATCATAAATGAAAAAAAAAAATTGAGAGAAGACTTCTATCTATTGGTGTGCTACGCCAGTGTCACTTTCGCTTACTACGCTTCCAACCTCAGTCCAGCTTGCGGGGGTCATCATGCCCTCATCATCACTCATGACGTCAAAAGGTCGACCATCTGTCCATGATCTTGCAGATGCGGCCTCGCCAATATCCTCGCCAGAGCCCGCTAGCGAAGCGGAGTCTGTTGGTGTCAAAATCCCGTCGCTAATAAGCTCGGGCTCGGATGACACAGAAGCTGGTGATACTGGTAGAGGCGAATAGAAGCTAGCAGTTGATGCATCATGTGCCCAGGCCTGGATGGAGCTGTAGGCATCTTGGCGGTCATCTTGCCCGGCAGTCATAAATTCATCGTGGCCTAATTCCCGTTCGGAAGCTTGAACGTCGGCTGCGATCGGGGTAGTGGGCGTTTGATCATCAACGTTGGCTATTTGAGGGATAGCGACAGCAGGTTCAGGTGACAAGGTAACGGTACGAGATAGTTCGGGCTTGTTATCAAACTGGGTGCTGGCACTGTAGATATCGGAACCGAACTCATCCTTCTCAGGGTCCATCAAGCTGTTCTCGAACACGATGTGCTCGTCAATTCCGTGTTCATCGGTAAACGGGTTCGTGTAGACAGATTGGGTTAGGCCACGAGCTCCTTCTCCTCGGCGTCGAACCAAGCCTTCGGTGTTTTGAGCCTCTGAACCGGTTTGAAAGACATAGGTGCCCTTTTCAGCGCTGTTATCTTGTCGGAGGAAGTCATCGAAGCTCGAGCCACGTCTCGGTTTCCCTGGTGGCGAGACGCCCCTCTTCTCGTTTTCTGTTCCCTTCTCCTTCTCCTCACGTAGGGCATTCCAGTACATCAACTCTTCTCGTTGTCGTCGGCGAGTCTCATCATCAGCGTCAACACCGGCCACGTCGTCGAGGTTTATCCCTCGGGATTCAAAGAATCCTGCGGCATCTTCGGGCCTGTTAAAGAGGTTCTGTCGTTCGGCAGGGCTGATATTATCGCCGAGGAGATGAAGTGCGATGGCGATTCGCCGTCGAAGATTAGCAGCAAAGCGCCGCACCTCGGGTGATTCGTAGACCGCTACGGCGGCTACAACTGCGACGGATAGGGCGATTACGCCGGCTGAAATGGCAGCATGGTTAATAGGCGGCATGATGCAAATGTAAGTTGAGTACCACCAGTGGGTAGTCCATAAAATAAATGAACAAACTATTGAAACGAGGAATTTGTGATATCGAGGTGAGACGAGATAAGGTGATTTACTTGAGACTGCGATAAAAAGATGACGGAATGAAGATGATGCCTAATGCTTGATCGGAAGCAAATACACTATTCAAAAAGAGGGACACTTATTTGCCCGCGTGGTCGGGGAGTGTACGTGTGTATTTGCCAGTATTCGCCACCTGACACCACAGTAGGCATTCACCTTTTTTATGTGATTTGCACTGATTGACGTGGGGTAAGGAAACCTGGGGAGGATTTTTATACATTGATTGATGTATGAAATGATTTGATTGAACTTGGACTTGAACTTGGACTTGAATATTTCAGGCTTGTCTACTTACCCTTGGCAAAAACGGGAACAGGCATCTTTTTCGAATGCTGTAAGCCGACAGAAAAGAAGATCAATAGGTATGTACTTGTGGACTGCCGGTACTAGGTATCGTATATGTAACCTACAAATTTCGGATGTAATGTTCTCAATTACATGCAAAGAAACAAAAGAAAGGTAGGGAAATAAATATCAAATATGGGTAGTAGAAGAGGTAAAAGGATATCTGTAATGTGATGGATAAGAAAAGAAGAGAATGAAGAGAGAATGAAGAGAGAATGAAGGAAGAAAGAGAAGAAGAGAAGAATGAATAAATAAAAAAGAAGATGAATGGTTAGGCGGTTGCAATGGATGAGCGCAACCTTGAAGAAGAAGGCTCGCTCTACCGCTTCGTCCTCGTTTGACTATAAGTTAAGGTTCAGTAGACGAGGAAAGTGCCCTCTTAACTTCGAAGCAAGTCAAAAAGGCAAAGAACATTTGAAGGAAAGAGGCACAGTTAAGATCATTGCGTAAGTGTGGCTGTAAGCCAATAGGCAGCTTCCGTGTGTTGATAGAAGGAGAGCGAATTGATTGTATTGTGTAATCCACCTCGAGGCTACTTAGGACTTGGAAGCATTCAGCACATGTTGAGGCCTTCCTGGATCTAAAAACTACTAGGTACGCCTTGCAAAATCACATGTGCATGAATCAAAACCATCATACTATTTGATGTCTTTCCACCACAGTGACTACACAATGATATGATGATATCAGACCTAAGCATTAAACTAGAGATGAGTTAATATCATACATAATAGCACCTACCGACATCTACCTCTACGATAGTGGGGTAATCTGCCCCGCACAAGTCTCCAGTGCCCAGTAACTATGTTGGTGAAGTTTCATTAGTGCTGCTATGTAACTATAACTACATAGGTAGAGTATCAATGATAGTCAGATTCGGCCCCTTGCATAACCCAGCGGCAATCCATCTCAGCCATGTTGTATAAAAAGAAAACCTACATAAGGCACCTACTTATAGTTATGTAAGTAAAAAGCCCCGATAGGTAAGAAAGCTCAAGCTGTGTTATGAGATACAAGATTTGTTTAATTATCACGAAATCATCAATGAATTAATATAATAAAATGCTTTTAATGTCAATTCTTACATAACTACATATTACCGCTAATTACTCACATATTGAGATCCTCGGCCTTGAACGGATAGTTCCCGCCTAGTAAATTACTATGCACTAGAGTACCCTAGATATAGTGAAAGCTTGGCGTTTGCATTACCTAGTACTAGGTACTAGGTACCTAGTTAAGCTACTACATAAGGTAGTTTAAATACATATGTCATAGGCCCACCCTGCCCGAAGGTACCTAACTTAGACATCTCCTATAATTGATCAATGCCCAATAGTTATATACATATATGTATATGATGGTTATCGTGTATATGCACCTACTACATACAGATCATCTATACACACCTACATATATGTAACTATAATCAGGTACCACTTCCAATGTCTTCCATAACGTTGAGTCGTGTAACTCGACCACATCAGATCTCGGGGTCAGAGTTGTGAGCTGGTCAAATCATGCCTAAGACGAATCTTGATTTGTAGACGGTGCTGACATCCAAAGTGAGCTTATTGAGGCTTGTGAGAACAGCAACCTCATAGTAATAGTTAAAAGCAAGCTTCATTATTGCGCAGAGTATCATAGCCTACCTAATGTATAATGGGGGCTACAGCTAAGGATGTCGGATAATCCCCCTTATACACTGCCCAGTATGTACGACATCAGGTATCTAATAGCGATGCTACATTCACCTTCCAGTTTCAACAGTCTCCATAAACTGACCGCTGAACTACACTCACAGCTCGTCAAATTAGAATCAGGATAAGTATGGGATAGGTTGAAATCAAGCATTATATATAGTTATATGCTCTCACAAGCCTAGCCTTAAGCATCTATTCCTAAGTCCCTATCCCCATACCCAACCACCTACGCCTGCAATTCAAGCATACCTACCTCCCTTCTAGTCAGAGTAATCCGAATAATAATAATAATAATCAGCATCCCGATCCGACTCCTCCAACCCCGTCGTCTCATCCACAGCCCCCAAGTCATGATAGCTATCCTTGGGCCACCTGTCCAGCTCCCTGCGCTGCTTATCCGACACCACGAACCTCTCCTCGAACGCCTCCCTTACCATCTTCCTCGCGCGGTACTTAAAGATGCTGTAGTGCGACACCACGAACACCGTCATGTTGTACGCCGCGTTCGCGCTGTCCAGCACGTCGCCCTTCAGGACCACGTACAGCAGCCGGAACGCCGCGTCCCTCGCCCCATCCTTCCGCCCCCTCACCCTCGTGTCCCATTCCTCGTCCCAGTCGCTCTTCCCGGCCTTCAGGTCCTTCATGATTTCTTTGAGGGTGCGCGTGTCGCCCAGCACGTCGATCCCGAGGAAGTCGAGCGTCTCGCACAGCACGTGGTAGTCCGCGAGCACGGCCGGCATGCGCCGGAAGAACTGCCGGAACCCGTTCTCCACGCCGCAGTTGATCACGTCGAAGAAGGCGATCGCGTTGTGCTTGGGCACGGACGCGGGCGCGGGCGCGTCGTCTTTCCCCTCCTCCACCTTCTCTTGCGACGGTGATTGTCCCGCGCTCTGCTGGGACCGCAGGAACGACGCAAAGTACGGGATCTTCTTCACGTCCACGAGGTACTCCGTCTCCCCCACCTGCACCTTGACCCTTGTCGTCGTCGTCGTCGTTTCGGAGAGGCTCAGCCCCGCGGTCTGGGCTGTCAGATCCTCTGAGATGGCCTATTCCGTTCACCAACCGACCCCCCCACCTTCGCTTAGCGAGGTTCTGGCTATGTAGTTGAAAAAGGTCACAGGGTTGGTTGAGGTAGGTAGGTAGGTAGATAGGTAGGTGGTTACTTACATCCTTCTGGCTCATCGTGATGATCTGTAGGTTGAGTATAAGAAATTCTTCGAGGTTCTTATCGTTTCCTTTCTTTTCTTTTCTTCTCTTCCCTTCACTCACTTGTACGGCGTGAAGTATGATCAGAGCGGATTATTCCACAGGCGTGATAGGAGCGGGGTTTAATACAAAATAACGAGCATCGAGCGATGCTGTTTGTATCTGGGTACTGCAATCTATCCGCGAAACCCTATACGACGGCCAAGGCACAAATATATACACGTATGTCTGCCGTGTCACCCGCGCTGGCACGCAAACCTCCTGATGTCTTCCCTAGCTGCATACCCGGCTCAGGCAATCGCCCGCTATTGCCGAGAGGGTGGATATAAATGATCAGAAAGGACGTTGAGTAGGTAGGTATTTATCGGCGATGGGCTACGATGATCTCGATCGAGACTATGTACGTAGACTGCAGGGTAACGGTCACATTCGTTTCATATGGCAATCACTAGAGAGCCGCCACGGAGTGAGGGAAAAGATAGGTACACACGTATTAGCAACAAATTCGATTCGATTATACGTCGCTACATGATACCTATGTTGCGTGTATGGTCCTACCTAGAAGCTAGATATGAGCATATACACGCTGAGGTTTGCTGAGTAGGTTTCGAACTAAGGGGAAAGATTTACCTTTACCATAAAGTGCCTAGGCAATGCTAATATGTCCCGGAACATGGAGAGGAACTTGGTAGATAGAGGTGGCCTGTTCTTCAGAGGGGAGCAGCTTATAATCAGCTGATTAATCACCTACTATTCTCGTAACCATATTGCGCCGAGAAGGTAGTCGTCGATAGCAGCTGCTAAACACCTTGATCGCTTTCTCAGTGTACGCTTAGCTCAGACAAGCTTGGCACTTATCACGTCTCTAGGTAGTGTCCTGTGGACGAACAAGATGGTGTCGTGAGTGATACGCGGCTATAGGGCAAGATGGGCTTCGTTTCATCTTACCTACCTGCTAGGTACCTAGGCATCTTAAACTCCAACATTTCCAAGTTATTAGTAACGAAGTCTAGTCCCTAGACGAGTCTCGCGATACGTCACATACCTCTAACCTACAACCAACAAAGCCAACCAGTAATTAAAAGTATGCCAATGCTTAAGTAGGTTGTACAATACCTAGGCAAGCAAATGCTCCCGCATAACCATTGAACCCAGCCCAAACCCACGGAGTCGCCAAAGTGCTTCATCCGCGTACCTACACATCCAACCCCTAGACATTAAGGGTAGTTATGTAAAAGCCATCGATAACATGATCTCCATGCCCATCATATCAGACCCAGCCCTTACCTACCCGCTTACCTACCTAGCTTATTTCCTTACCTACCTATGTACCTAGGGGCAAATGCACTTTAAACAAGCTTTACCCTAACACACACCTAGGCATGTAAGTGAGATGCCCAGGCATTAGTTCCAACCCTCGTCGAGTGATCTGATTGGCTGCCCCTTGGCCATGAGGGACGGGATACCCATCTTGGATCTCCAATCTTTACATGCCCCCTAGGTCAGTACCTAGTTACCTACCAGGTATGTAGGCAATAGGTAGTTATGGGTAACTAGATTGGTATGCAGCACACACGCATAGTTGAAAAATCAAGTCATCGTGAAAGTACGTGGAAGAAAACTTCGGTTCATTAATTTTTACTTAATTGATTTTTACTTCTCTACCAGTTAGGGTATCTGTGCAGGTACTGTACGAAGTATGTAGGGTTCGAAATGCCACCCTCCCCAAGGCCGAATATGTCTGATTCGTCCATGCCGCACAAGTTCATGTCCATGTCCATGTCCCCCGTCCCTCCCCTAACGGCCTCGCTTCCATCCAATTACACACAACAACACCATTTTGCTTTTTCTTCTTCTTCTTCTTCTTCCTTTTCTTCTCTGTTCTTCCATCACACACACACACACACACACACACCCTTCCCTCCCACAGTGTGGTGGGTGATACCGCAGCTTGGGAAAGGGAGGGTCGCACAAGCTGACAAGGTTTTTTCATTATTTTCGGTTTCCGTCCGCCTCCGCAGCCGAACCAGCTTTTCCCCGGTTCACACCCATAAGGTAAGGTAAATAAAGAGGTATATAATGTCGCATCAGGTGTAGAAACCACACATCCATCCCAAAACAGAAGAATAAGACGAATAAGAAGGAATAGAAAAAAGAAACCGTTCTACCAAAAACAGCGCCGTGCGTTGCGATGCTTGCCTAACGCGGAGGAGAATGGCGGGCTAGGCGAGCAACACACTCCTCGATGAGGAAATAAATCCATGGTGGTGGTTTTTTGGGGGGAGGTTGTGTGGTAATTTAGCTGGCAGGCTGATTGGCTAGGGGGGCCTGGTGTTTTTTTTCTTTTTGGAATTTAATGTGACGAGGATGAGGAGCTCGAGACGGAGCTTGATGAAGATCTCGTCGACGTCGTGGATAGGCCTGAGTCGCTGCGAGTGATGCCCGGCGTAGGTGATGCCGGTGCTCTTGAGACGCGTGAGCGTTCACTAAAGAAAAAAAATTGTGTTAGTCGTTAGGTAGGTAGGTAGGTATGGGCGTACAGCATAGCATGTGGATGTAGGTAGGTACGGTAGCACTCACTATGCGGCTCTGTCACTGTGGAGCATGCACTCCCACTGGCCGTTTTTCGTCTTGATCGTGAAGCTCAGAGGCCGGCTGTCGACGATTTGCTTGATGTTCACGGAAGGCATTTTGTTGGAGATGTTGTGATAGTAGTTGTTTCTCTACTTTTGATTTCTTTTAATTATATAGAAGCGAAAAGTGGCTTGGGGGTTAGGGAGAACGATGATGAGTGATTCAAGTATAGACAACGAAAGCTTTTATAGCTGTAGAGTGGAGATGGGTCTCAAGTTTGAGGGGATGTTGTTGGCTGTGTGGTTTGGTTTGGGCTAGAGAAAAGACAACTCGAGGTAGAGGAGGATGACGGAGGTCGTGAAGCAGGGCGACGGGGCCTTCTATATATACTTCTTTCCTCTCCTTCTTCCGAAACCACCGGACAAGCCGGTGCTTCCTTAGGCGCATGCGCTCTAAAACTCTACGTTATCTAAGCTACATGGTTTACTACGTACATCATGTACATGGTCTGCATGGTTGGGGACCCCTATCGATACATACTAAGTCGTAAATGCAGATGAGGCGCGCCAGTGAGTTATTTTTGTTCTAAACGCAATCCAACGAATTCGGCAACATCTTCTCCCTCCTTTGCGTCGGGTGGGCTTTTTTGGGGGCCCCGCTCGCTCGGCCTCTACATGTACAAATTGTCCTGGGTGTGCAGGGTGTGCGGCGCCAGCTGCATGGGTTTGGATACTGGGGAATATTGTAGGGAGGTAGGAATGCTAGCTAACCTAGGCATATTCTAAGTTGGGGACCGTGTGCTGCTGTACTGGCTGACTGGTTGGGAATACATACATATCAGAGTTGCAGGAGCAAGGAAGCTCCCCAAGTCGTCGGGAAAATCCTTGCTAGCCCTCCTTTACATAAGGATTTGCTTATGATCATGATCGTCATTTGTCGATTTTAGGAATAGGGCACATAACTATGTAGGTTAGCTACTGCTGCTCTGCGACTGTACACCAACTTTACAAAACTGTCAGACCGCCTAACTATGCTGCTACACACTTGGCGTATGGATTAAACCTACGTGCTGCATCTAAGTATGTATGTATGTATGTTCACGCGAGATCCTCAGCATCGGCAAAGATGAGCGTTACTGGAAGTGTCACGCGACATATGTGAGGGTTATGCATGATGCGACCTATATGTATCCCCTAATATACTAAACTACACTATGTAATAATATACCCACACCTCTAACCAGCGGTATGCGCATCGTAGGCTACGCGGGATAATCACAATAACGTAGGTTGGCTGACTGTTTCGATTCTGTCTAAGGGTCTAAGGGGGGGACGGACATAGAAAAGATACGGTATAGTCACTTTTGCCTTGATCTACCCAATACTTCCTGTATATGTGCCTAGTTGGTGTGTTGACAAAAGTGAATTAAAACTTGCACAGTCCCAATTTTGGAACGTCGGTCACCACAAAAATCGTTCGCTCCTTTTCCTTCGTGTTCTTGAGTTCTTAGACCCAGAGGCGCCGAGGCAGCAAAAGGTTCCTGTAGCGTCCCGATCTTGCTTTCGATCTAACTTGTACAGTAAGGGATGTTCGATCGTGCTCAGCAAAGTGGCCTTGGCAGGTACGGAAGGGGGCTCAAGTATCTACCCTCCTTCGACTTTTCGATGTTTTCTAGAAAGCCCATTTTCAGTTTGCCCTGCTGTGTTCGCTGTATTTTGTAGATCCCATTCTGCATTTCCCAGCGCGCAGTCGGGGGGGATGATCTCAGACTCAGAGAGGTACATGTAAGCCTTGAATATGAACCTGGTCCCTGTCTGCAGCCTTTATTTTAGCGATTTCCCCAAACGGTTCAACCGAAGCGCCGTGATTGGCTGGAGATCTTCAGAAGAGAGAGCCTCTAGCTTCCTTTGGACTAGCTGAGTCCTTGCGTAACCTACCGAGGTTCATTCCCGTCATATTACCGCGCTATTTCTCGACGGACTGGCGGAGAATACAACTGGTTTTTGTGTACTACTGTATAACATGGTGTATAAACACAACACTGAACATACAAAAGGGATAGTTATATGCAGTTATACTCTCGGTGAGGCTTCTTGTGACTTGTTACCCAGCTTGGTGATAGTTCACCTATTACTTGATTTATGATGCTCTACTCAGCATTTTGAGGCTTAATTCTATGCCAGCATCTTATGGACTTACCCCATGATCTGCTCGACAACGTAAGTACAGTCAGTATCTTCAAACTGGATGGAATCAGATGCATATGGGCAGCAACACTGTAGATTACCTACGGATATGCTACCTACATACTATCCAAACCATCTAAGCAAGCTATGCACGAGCTGAAACTTGTTGCTATGTACATACTTCCCTTGGGCAAGTTCTATCTAGCCTTTGGCTCGAGGCCTTCCTTATTTATTTATTTGAGTTTTAAAATCATCCTATTCGTTGAGGGGGCTCGTTCGCTATTCGCCATGGCATCTTCGTGAGGCATTTCCCAATACCCAGCAATCCGATCACATTCCAAAGACCTGCAAACCTAGTGGTGAAAGTTTGGTTGCTACCCTTTTATTTACATGTACCTACCAGCAAACCGTTCCATTCGAAGATAAGAAGTTCCCATTCTCGTCCATTCATGAAACTCGCCCGGGCACGTGGGAGAGCTAGGTACGAGATCGATGCATAGAAGATATCGCAACGTAAGGAAGGTATGGAGTAGGTAGGCACCTATGCATATCGGCCAAGCTGGGACTGGTGGCGACATTACTAGCCGCCCGAAGGAATTCACAGCGCATTGTTAAATAATGGAAAGTAGGTTATATCATGCGCGAGGCGCGGACTTGAGAGTGAGGCGTGGGCCTAGAGTTGAAAGGACGACGTCGAGGTGGGTTGCGATAACTTCTAGAGTACGATGCCTACTTGTTTTTGTCTCCGATTACTCTATTTGCGACCTCCAGATCTTCAGCAATGTGCTCACGTCAGCCCCTGGATGCAAGGGGGTGCTGAAATATATTGCACTCGATTAGGTATCCTATTATGGTAGCCCAATAAGACATCTGTGCCAAAATCAAAAATTAAGATTAACTATTCCAAATTTAGAAATTAAGAACAGTGCTATGAGTACGTGAAAAGAGTGGATCGTACTTAGAAAATTCTATGGATAAGTAGATATTTCTATATACATATGTAGCCTAAATAAAAAGTACATGAGCTACCATACTATTTTGTATGGTAGGCTAAGTACTGGCAATATCCCTTTTTACTACATACCTAATAGCTTGCATGTACGATGCATTTATGATTTAAACGTGACTATTATTAATAAGCGTAAAAGGCACTGAGCTAGCCACATAGTTATTCCTTAGCCACATCTACCACATTTCGTATTAATCTAAGGTCTAGCCTCTTATGTTGAATAACTTTCTGAAACATATAGCTACATATATGCAACCAAATTCAATTGAAAGTGCATTCAATTACAAATTGATTGATATAGGTCTCGAATTGAGGCGATACGTGGTTGCAAAATTAATCAACTAAATAGGTGGCAGGCCGGACGGCACGTGATCACCCCTGGAGCCATACTACTGTAAGAGCCCTTGGCCTCTTGGAGCCAGCCGCCTGGAGGTCACGCTAAGGGGTATCACGTGATGACACACGATATATTTACCTGAATAGCCTTTGAACCAGATATCGCATCAGTATGCAACCTACATTATTCAATTCGTAATTGAATGAGCTTTTGATTGATAACGGTTGCATGTGTGTGGCTAGGTGTTTCAAAGAGTTATTTGGGTAAGATGAGCGCTGGATAGGGTTTGGCTTTAAGGGCCCTAAGGGCTCTTAGAGCCAGCATAAGGTTCTACGCTAATAAATGTCACGTGATACCCCTTAGAGCTACCAATATGTATTATACGATAGATCTACCTAAATAACTTTGCATCTAGATATTGCACCATATTGCAACCCATACTAATTAATCCAAAATTAAATACGCTTTCGAATGAACAAGGTTATATGATTATAGCTATTTATTTCAGAAAATTATCCATGTGAAATGTGATATAAGCTTATACAGCCACGTCACATGACTGCGTCACAATTCCCCTAACAGTAATATCATCAAGAAAATATTATTCAATTATCCAGTATAACTAGCTTAAGTACCGATATACATGCCTTTCTTTCTTAAAAAGTGGGACTGCATACTAAATTCAGACTAGCTCAATCATTATTTTCATTTTGGCACAGCTGTCTTATTGGGCCACCGTACTATCGTGTGCGATTCCACAACTTCGATACTGAACTATGGTCGGGCACGGAATATACTCCTCACAGTTGCTGCCTCTATAAATCTTGTAGCCTACATAGACCTTAGACATCTTCTTCTTGGCGCTTACTGTGAATGCGATGTAACCAACTAATGAATATACTCAATTCCTCCCTTCGTATTTGTGGCAAAAGCAAAAACTATCTACCTAAGCATATTGACCATCACAAACTCTCTTCTATCTCACTAATGTATCCCTTCTATACCTACCTAAGTAGTACATAGTAGATCCGTGCCTGGTTTTACTTTCAGGCCTCTTATCTCTTTCCCCCCACGCATACGAGGTATGCACCCGACTATAGCGCCTGTCCCTATTCTCGAGTTTCCCTTGGTCCACTCCACTCAAGTCTGAAGCAAGGAAAAAATGCCGCAAATACCAAGCGTGGCAACAAGACCTGCATAGTCCGAGACCTTTCTTACATACATAGTAATAATGGCCTTAAATTAATTGTTGAAGCATCATCAAGGATGAGATCGTCATTATGCTAGGTAGATAGCTGTAAGTTCTCGTCTGACATATGATCCAAATCCTGATATAATTCGAAATTCGCACGAGCTCAACTTACTTGCGAAACCTCTGTTCGAACCTTATGTACCGCCACTAGAAGGAATGAGATGGCTCCTAGCAAAGTGCTTGAGTGGCAACACTGAGCATTTGCGTTAGTAAAAAACCAGCTTCTATCCACGAAGATGGCTGGCGCCAGGATAGTGAGCAGATGTCTCTTGTCGCATAGCTGAGACTGGGCGCTATGATATCACGGGTTTGGGGAGAGGGGAGGCTTTAGAAACAACGCAACTCGGATAGGTTGCTTTCCTATTGATGTCCTCGTGGTTCTATTCATCACATTGCTCATTCCTTCCTTCAGCCTTCAATGTTGTATAGATCCTAATTCAACTTTAGTCATGAATACTTGTTCCTATTGTTATTGTACACTGAAACGGCGGAACTGCCTAGCCTTCTAATGGACGCCATTATGGATCGAGATGGACGATGAGGTATCTACAATTTGGAAATGATAGCAGCCGCGTACTCGTGAGTCTTCGCCTTTCCACCCAAGTCGCCCGTTAGCGACTTTCCTTCTGCCAGGGTATCAAATGTAGCCTTCTCGATTCTATTAGCGTAATCGGTTAATCCCATGTGCCTTAGCATCATCATCGAGCTAAGAAGTAGGGCAGTAGGGTTGGCCAGGCTCTTGCCAGCGATATCAGGGGCAGATCCGTGCACGGCTTCGAAGATGGAGCACTCGTCACCGATGTTGCCGGAGGGGGTGAGACCCAAACCACCGATAAGACCAGCGCACATATCGGAAAGAATGTCACCGTAGAGGTTAGGCATGACTAGGACCTTGTCATTGTATGGTAGAGGATCAGTGACCATCTTCAAGCAGGTGTTGTCCAGAAGTTCAGCATCAAATTCAATGCCAGGGAAGTCCTTGGAAACATCACGGGCAGTCTTGAGGAAGAGACCGTCGGACATCTTCATGATGGTAGCCTTGTGAACTACGCGAACCTTCTTGCGGCCAATCTCCTCGGCGTGCTGGAAGGCGAATCGTAGGACACGCTCACTGGCCTCGCGGGTAATAAGCTTGATGCTCTGGACTACACCATCGACCACAACGTGCTCAATACCCGAGTATTCGCCCTCGGTGTTCTCTCGGATTAGGACAGTATCGACATTGTCGTACGGTGTCTTGTAGCCAGCGATAGATCGGCAGGGTCGCAAGTTCGCAAAGAGGTTGAAGGTTCGTCGAAGAGTTAGGTTAAGAGAGACATGGCCCTTGCCAACCGGGGTCTTGTAGAGCCAGTTAGTGGCTGGTGACGCTTAAGATATATAGGTTGACCTGGTTGGCAAACTTACAGCAAGAGGACCCTTGAGGGCGACCTTGTTTCTTTGGATGCTCTCGATCGTCTCGGAAGGAATTGTTGTCTTTCCATCTACTAGTTTGGGGGTGACGTCAACGGGCTCCCAGCTAATAGGTGTCTAAGAAAGTTTAGCGCTGGGGTTGAGCTTTGAGCGAAGCCATCACACGAACCTTGGCAGCCTCGAAGATGTCCTTGACGGCTTGTGAAATTTCGGGTCCGATACCGTCACCCTCAATAATGCTGACGGGATAGCGACCCTATTATGCGATTCCAAAAATTAATATATCTCCCCTTTAATGTTCTTCGCGTTGGTTGGCATTGTATTTGAGTGATTTTCTCTAGTGGGGTTTCACATGATTTCCCAAGATTTCTTATAGCACAAGTCGCAAAGACGGATCGCAATACATACATTGGCTGCCTTGGTACCGGTGAACTTGGCAACTTTGTCGGAGTAATATCTTTGGTTCTGGTTGTGATTGTATAGTTAGCGATTGTGCCAATCAAGTTTTAACCTGCAACTCTCAGCACCAACCTGGAAGGATAGAGATGCGACGGCTCGAGGGGTTGTTGCCAAACATTGGCGCCGCAGAGGGGCGGCAACCGTTCGAATGGACAGCATTATATAGAATTTATGGGAGCGAGAATCTGTTGTTCTTTGGCCCCTAAAGGAATGAAAATGCTGGCGTAGGAAAGAGGCGGTATCGTAGGGGTTGTGTTTTGCGATAAAAAAAAAGATCTAAATTGATGAATTAAGTTCCAAGTTGTACTGAGGCTCGGGTGGTATCGGACAGGCGGCTGTTGCATCTGCAAGATCTGATAACAATCAAGCCTGCAAGCTTGAGCCGAATTCCCATGTTTCGCCAAAGATTAGCCGATATGTAGCTGGACGGTGATGTACCTGTGTACCTAGCTACTAGGTAATTTAGTGCCTCAGCCACATTTCAGCTGTACTATCCCCTTTTCCTATTAGCGTGATACACGGGCTTAGCACTCCCGAGTACGTACTACGTAGTAGATCCCTAACTTGAAGATTGGTAACTTCAATGTTGGCTTTCACTTGCGACACCTGAACTCTTCAACATATCAATTCAAATTCAATTTACCTGTCGTCAATCGAACAAATCAATGCCCACTTCACAAAAGCTTACCATGTCCCAAATCTAAGAGTGAACTAAAAACTAATAATAGAAGTGGTGGAAAACACTGGAGAACTACAACACTTAATCTACCCCGACGACATATGGAAAAGTCCTAGGAATCGGCGCATAGCTTATAGTATGCTATTAATCGTTGCCAGGAGGCATTAGAAGCAGTTATGGCCGACTTCGATAGAAATGTGCTAGAGTTCTACCAGATTTCTACGCCGTTTCCCAACCAATGGCCGACGGAGAAGGACAACAAGAGTGATGAATCGGGCAGCGAAGAAGAACAGAGGCTGCAGGCGAAGATAAACCGTAGGAAGTCGAGATACCAGGCACTCGAACGAGCAGTTAGCAACAGGGCCAGCATCGTCCAAGGTTCAGAGAAGTCGGCAAATGGAGTGAGCAACTTGGTTCAGAAAGATGAGCCAGATCCTTTGGGCTCCTCTGAGAGCGTTGTTAGAACGTTAAAACAACTAGGAGTGCCAGTTCAAGATGATATTCGGTTACGTATGTTTTGGGTTTTTAATCTATATATCCTAGAGTTATTTGTGTCTGACTAGTGTGCTTATAGGAAATCGCTTCCTCCTGTCTTCCACCAGCTTCTCGCCTGCCTTGTTCCTATCTCAGATGCATGCGACTGCTGATACCGAAACGCTACTAAACGGCCTCGATGTCTTATCCCAATCTATCGATCAAAAGTCTGCCTCCCTTAAAGTCCTAGTCGAATCTAACTTCGAGAGGTTTGTACGAGCTAAGGCAACCATCGATAATGTCTACAAAGAAATGAAATACCGAGGTGCTGACCCCCCTTCTCCACCTCGAGCTCGTGGGCATGGCCGACATGCTAGTAAAAGTAGTTTCAGGAACAGCACGGTTGGTGGAACTTCCCTTGCAACGAACCTATTAGTATCAACTCCTGTAGTCGATACCAGGAAAAAGAATGCCCTTGTTAAAGAGAGCGACTATGGAGTTCTGGGTATCAAGACGCCTCTGTTAGACGTTGCAGCCAAAGCTGAAGATGTATGGGGCCCTGCTCTTGGAGGCCGCGAGAAGGAGGAGAATCTCAAGACTGTGTCATCTTCGCTCGATCGGTACAAGGAATACATTGAGGCAAGCTCCAATATCGCTGATAGCATCAAGCGGAAAGACTACGAGGCATTAGTCGAAGAGTACGGCCGCGCCCGGAGATTTGCAGACGAAGCGCGCAAACTTGTGGAGGATTTGGGTTCCACGCCACCGAGCGAGATGGAAACGTACCAGATTCTCCTTGCGGCTCGCATGTGGTACGACGTTGAGGAACAAATCCAGCTCTTCAAACGTGATGTCTGGAGAAGGCTCACATCACTTCATAATATATCTAAAGCAGAAACAATGGTTGGCCAACAACAAGACCAGCACATGGAACTGATTAGCCTATTACTAGAAATTGGTGTAGAAGACAATCCCATCTGGGTCTGGCTCTTGAGTCGCTATGACTATCTCAAGGGCAAAATCTCCACGGCGGGTGAGCGAGCAAAGGTCGAGATCGAAGTGCTCAGACGCCGTCTAGCGAATGCCGAAAAGCCACTACCTGTGGTAATGGCTTCATATTTGCGAAACCTCAACCGACAATCGGTTGAAGGAAAACCCAATGGACTAGATTCATCCGACGTTATCGAATTGTGGGAGAAAATGCTCACATTCTTGTCAGGCCTCTTATCCGCCCAAGGGGTTTTAGGCGAGGTTTTGGAATTCTGGCAAACCGTCGAGGGGTTCATTGATGGGAATGCACAGAAATCGTTACCTACGGGTTATAACAACGAGTCCCGAGATCATCATCGTCTGTCCGTACAAGGAACTGTAGATTTGCAGAAAGGTACGATTGAGCTTGTCGATATGATTCGCACACATGTCCTCGAGTTCTTCGCAGGCGGTCCCCCGGAAGATATCTCACTTTTATTTTCTCCCTTGCCCCCGTCGCCCGGTACACCCATCTCAGCATTGACACCTCAGAACGTGAGAGACCCTCGTTTCAATTTTGACGCCAACAACCTCCCACCTCCATCTCCCAAAAGAGGTGAGGCCTGGGAAAAATTTGCTTTTTGGCCACCCACCTCCAACTCAGTGAGCGGTGTTCATTACTTATCCAAGATGCTTACATTGGTGGGCTCCGGGGCGTCAGAAATGGCAAGTGTAGGTCCCGTCAAACAAGGCGACGGGAAGCAAGTAGAATTACTTAAGGTTCTAGTTGGTGCTGCGAGAGATAGGTGTGTCAATGCATTATGTGCTGCGTGGAATAAAGATGCCGAGAACATTAAGTATGTCGAGGATTGGAAACGCACCAAGGAAATGGGGGATGTTACCCGTATGCCCGCGAGCTTTGCTGCCTTCGAAGGCGCGTTGCTATCTGGAATGCAGAAAATTCTGTACGTCCCGGAGGCGATGGCTAAGACGGGAGCTGGGGATATCATCCCTGCCCCTCCATCGAAGCTTTTACAAATGGTGAGAAATCAGTATGTTACGACGCTCTATAAAGCGCTTAGCGGAATGGTTGAAAATGCGGAGCGCGCGGTAAAGAAAGCAGACGACGAATGGACCACCGATATGGATATGTCTTTGAGATCAGGAAGCGATAGAACCTCCTTGAGTGTTGGCTCAGATACCGTCAACCCCGGCGACAGGGTGAGTTTTCCTTCGACCATTCCTTACCCCCTAAGCTGACATGTTTCATAGAACGTTCGTATGCTCTTGACACTGGGCAATCTTCATGCATTGCGCACCAAAGTAGTGCCCAATCTAAATAGCCAATTTGAAAACGCCTTCTCCGTGAAACTCACCGACGAATCCAAGACTATCAGAGATGTTCTTGGTCAGATCGATGCCAGGCTATTTCAAACATATACCAAGCCCTCGCTGGAGAGTCTACGCAAGATTATCCGTGCTGGACTTGCTGATCCTAAATGGGCTCCTCCAAAACCGACAGAAGTCAAACCATATGTCTACGAGGCTCTACTGACCCTTGTACTCGTCCACACGCAAGTCTCGACCACAGCACCGAGCATGACACACCAAGTCCTCTCGTACTTGTTGGAGCAGATCAGCCGCGAGCTCCTGGAATCCCTAAAGGCACGACCTAAGTTTGACCTAGGGGCGTTAATGCAGGCAACGCTAGATGTCGAGTTCTTCGCGCAGACACTAAGCCAGTACACGACAGAGCGAGCGTCAGGAATCCAGGGGGAGGTCTACTCCATGCTCGACTCTAAAACGGACAACCAGGCGCGGGCGCGACTACAAGATGAGCTACCCGGGATGCGCGAGGTGCTCAAGAAGCTTAGGGAGCAATCTAGGAGCGAGTTCGCGTGTTTCAAGAGACCGCGTCGACAGGGCTCGGGGCCCATACAGACCCTCGAGAGGACGTCAACGGGCTAGGCGTTCGTGCGTCCTACCCATAACGGCAACCAGAGGGTCGCGGGCGTGCTGTCCGCAGAGCGGTTCACCGCTTCCAAGCCCCCGATCCAACTCTCTGTGTTGATGGACAGCGAGGCGTATGTCCTCGAGTTCAAACTTAGGGCATGGAGGCTTGGCGATCACTTGTAAGGGGGTTATCTGGGTACCCAACTTAAGTAGGTAGGTACCTAGGTAAATAACAAAGACAGCAAGAAAAGGAGGGGAGTTAGGCACAGATGTATATGGAGTTGATGTTACCTATCCTATCCTACGTAGCATAGGTACCTAGGCTAAAAACAAAGTTAAAAGCTACGTACTGTACCTAAGGTATCCGAGATGTATGTAGTGCGAGCATGGCGAATAGGCAGACACTCAAGGCGCAATTGCGGTGTTGAATAGGAATAGGAATATGAATAGTCACTATACCAAACCTCTTGCTAATACCTACTGTACCTACTACCTACCTATGCATGCCAAAACATGGACTTTACACTTAATACCTACTCATACTCGATTGCCCATTAAGTTATTTATTACCTAGTACTGTTATGTTTGTTACATACCTTCCAAGGATAGGTAGGTAGGTACCTAATTATTACTCTTAGGTAGCAGCTGCAAATCACAAATCTGAAATCAACATCCTATCTCGAGCACCTTTCTTATTCTTGTTCTTATTCTTGTTCTCCGATTCTCATTATTAGGTAACAAAAGCTGCTTCCAAGTTCCTACTGCCATTAGTTACAGCCACCTAACCTAGGTACTTACCTAATAAGTAGCCCCAGGTTGTTGGTAGGTAACAGTAAGCTAGGTTAGCTACATACATAGTTACTAGGCTTAGAGCAGACGCCCCAAAAATCCATCCATGTATCTATCTATCTAGATTCCATTATCACCAGGCAAGCCATCATCCATGAATAATACCGGAGGTAAGTACATGAAAGAAAAAAAAACATGCCACGGTTTAGAATTAGAAGAAGAAGAAGATGATAGAAGAAACAGAAAAATATGTAGGGCAGATGAGCCACCAACGCCAATCCCATGATCTACGTCGTCACATCGTTCCTTGCTTATGAAGGGGAGAGGGGCTATTTACAGAAGAGAACAAGGAGGGTGCGATGAGGTATAGCATAGTATATTCCCACCGCCCGTCCAATTATCCATTCAAGTTTTCTGTGTGTGTATGTGTTGTATTTTGTTTGGTATTGAGTTGTGTCGCGAGACATTCATGCTCTGTTCGATGAAAAAAGTGAACCCTGATTACATATAGTTTGCAACTATTGCTTTTCTCTATCCGATTCCGTTTTCGGCAAATTCAGTCCTGGGGAACCTTTGTATCTGTGTGGTGTAGTGTGGTGTGGTGTTTGTAAGTAATAAAATTAGTCGTGGTCGTAATCATAGTCATACATATATATACCGTATGAGTTTCCATAGTCGTGAGTCGTGGCTGTTGCCGTTCTCTATCTTTATACCGAAGAACCCGTAGAATGCTGCAGGTAAAAAGAAAATGCCCGTAAAAGGCAAATGAGTCGTATAATAATCCTTCAAAATGTATTGCGTCCTACAACTGTCATTGAGTGCAAGACCAGAAGAAAATGCCTCTAGTTGAGTAGGAGGGGGGCACAGAATAGAAATTCAAGAGATCGGGAATCCGTCGGTTGAAAATTGTTGTGTTCGAGGCGCATGCGCAAATAATTAGGGGTAACACCAAGATGCTGGAAATAGCCTTGGATGGTAGGGTCATTCTCGTTGGCTATGATGGAAACATCCGGATCTTGGCTAATGGTTTGGGGGAGTATGTGTCGTATGACGAGTAGCATCTTCAGGAGTTCAGTAAGTTCCTGTCCCTGGTTCGTAAAGCTGCTCGGTGGCTTTTCCAGTGGCCAGTTTGGTCGAAGATTCTCCTCATCCCATGCCTTGAAGGCCCAAGTAGTCTTCTCCATACAATTGAGGAAGAGCATGACGGTAAGGAACATGGGGAAGCCGAGCTTCATCTTGCCATCTTGTAGGTTACGTTGAATACCGTTCAACAGGTTCTTGCTAGCAGTGGATGCCTTGCGCTCTGCGGCCGCAGTAAGCTGCATGCAAATGTTGGTATAAGCCTCACTGTCCGTTTCATCGTTGATCCAGTGGTCCTCAACATCATCTTTAGGCGACTTTGCTAGCATGGTCCATTGACGCTCTCGATCCATCATCTCAACGATGCCCCAAAGTTCTAGAGACCTCTTGAGGAGCTCGTCGTTGGTTTCATTCGCAACCATTACAGCCACCTCCAAGGTGACACGGACGTAATGAGATGGTTCACGGCGGATAAGCTCAGGAAGAGCTTGGCGCATGTAGTTCTCCACCTTGCCCGGGATATCTTCATTGTTGTTATCGAGCAAGACCACTGAGCCAGGGACATGATTACCAGGAACACCATCATCGCCTTCATTGGGAGTTCCCTGCAAGACTTGGAAGACGGCCTTGTGACCTGTTTCGGGAAAGTGAGAAACCTCAACCTCGACACCAATGTTCTCAAGTTGATGAGTTGTCTTGTAACGGTTGATCTGTTTCTGAGCCATGACCACTTGCACACCAGCTGAGTAGAGATCGATATATTCGGAAAGCTTGGTTCGAACGCATCCGGTACGCCAGACTCGAGGAGACAAAACCTTCTTACAGGTATTACAAGGGGTGCCACTGGAGCATGTCTTTCTCAGAATGCGACATCGGATGCATGCGCCTATACGACGAACTTCCTGCACTTCCTTTCGTCTACCGGAATCAAATCGCGCGCGACTATGACGTTGACGGGCACCATTGAGAACATTGGAGGTATCCATACGAAATCCGCCCCTGTTCAGTGTTGCAGCCAAGTGGTGGCCATGATCATTGACCGTTGCAGGGGCATGAATGTCTTCAGGAATGTACGTCATTCCCTCCCAAGGGGTGGCAGATTCATTGGTGACATGCATTGGCGCTGGAGTTGGCGCTGGCGGTAGTGCCGTTGCCGGTGCCGGTGCAGGTGCCGGTGTTGGTACTCGCTGCTTCTCGGGCGACGGAGGATACTCAATCATCATCTCGGTAGACTGGGGCTGGGGGGCCGCCTCGGGAATCGCCTCTTCGGTGAGGAGCTGAGGATCGAGAAGAGAAGGATTGATTCGTGCAGTCGCGGCTGCTGCAACGGAGAGCGCAGATTGGGAAGGCGATCCACCGGCAAGGTGTAGGAACTTTCGGATTTTCTCTTCAGCGCTGAGTTCGGTAGAAGCATCATGGGGCCTCTGCGATGCGTCTATTTCATTCGCATTGCTGGTTAGTGTGCATTCTCAAATCTGTAGCTTAACATATCGTTTCACTATACCTTTGCTATCTCGCTGCTGGCGATTGTCGAAGCTTAGGGGTGGATTCTCCAAAGTAAACTGCTCGTGAAGCTCAAAAGGATTTGAGCCGGCCGTGTCTCGAGTAGCAGTAGCTAAGGTGGTTTGAATGACTTCATTGGCGGGGCCTTGTGTGGTCGGTACATGATCATCGTGCTTCTCGTTCGCCTCAATTTGGCGAGAGACCTCCGCAAGTGTCTCTAGAGGAGTCCAGATTGCATTCTTATTCTGCTCGATTGAAGGGCCAGAAGAAGCAGCAGAGGCATGAAGACCTGTAGGACCTAGAAGACTTGAGGAACCATGGGAGGGACCATGGGGAGGACCGTGGACAGGGCCGGGATTGGGACTGCTATGTAAGAGACTATCATATCGATGGCGATTGGATCTACCGTTGATACCATGTAGAGCGAGACAAGCATCAAGTCTGTCGGCTTCAGAAATAGCAGGACATTTCTTAGTCAGGTGGGTGGTGAGGCTGTCGATACGACCTTTAGGAAAGTCCTCACCACAGGCCTTGCAACGATGATGATACCTGTTACTATTATCATTCAATTTAGCACCTCGCTCGAAGAACTCGAGGATGAGAGGATTGGGCTTTCGGCCCATGTTGTCGAATTGAGAATTAACGATGGCGACGTCACTGAATATGAAAGCGGGTGATAAAGCTGGCAGAATTTTGAATGCGGTGAGTTAGAATGGAAGTTTGACCGGTGTGGACAATTTAAATTACTAACATCCATTAACAAAACAAAAACTATCGGCCCGAGCGCGATCAATTTGATAAAAAAAGAATTGTGAAAAAAGCGACTAACTTAAAAGTTATGAACCCCAACCCCACTTTGTTCGATTTTCCCATCTGGTGGGGTTTATTCAAGGTTTGGAACTGTAGGTGCCTAGATACGTCCTATCGATAAATCTGGTTGCTTAGATAAACTTGAAGTTAAAGTTTTATGGAGCTACATGTAGTTAGTTATTATGTGGATACTATGTACACGCAGGTACTGCACCTTAAAAGTTGCATTATCGACAGGGGTTGGTTGTCTTTAGCGATTTGATGAATTTTGATCACATCCATCATGTATGTACCTTCCTATTTACATACATACCTACTAGTATATACATAATAGTCCAATTCACAATCATGACTGAAGTGACGATACATAACTCACCATTGATATACCTAAATGACTGGGAATTATTTTCAATGTTGAAAAATCAATGATTCATCTAAGCTGTGATAGCTTCACTACTTCCCCTGAAGAGCCATAAGGCAGCAAGCAAGTTCGGCACCCACTAGCCGCTACCTGCCCTACTAGGTAACTAGGTTAGGTAGGTAAGGTACTGTACTGTAGGTGTCCATTGCTTTTGCGATCGACCTTTTAAGGTTAGCAAGAGTTGAGATGGAAAAGGAAGAGAGAGCATTGAATGCAGAGGAAAGACTGCCAACACTGCCACTGGAACTACTTGACGAAATTCACAGTACGTTAGTATCTTTGCTTCGTATCTACTTAGTTGCTAAGCTTATATCATCAAGCCTCCTTCTTCAAGGTTATGATCGCCACCACTCCTCGACGACTCCGTGACCTAAGCCCTTTCACGATTCCATACTATGCAACTCCTTAATCATATGCAGGATTTCTTGCAATCTCGCTACTACTTACAGTTGCAAGCCGCTTCCTTTCGTTCCTCTTCGCTCCCGAGAATGCGCCAGGGTAACAGGAATGCTGGCTTGGCAACTCCTTTTTATAGGTCCAAATTTAGGTATTTTCGGGGATCCATGGAGTATCTGGGGCCCTATGCAGCCCATTATGGGCAATGAGCATGGATCACATTGAACATACATGGGCTACCTGATTTAATGTCGTCAGGGACCCAAAACATCTTACAAACAGCAATGTTTTATACGCTACACTCCATTAAAGTATCCGTTCGCTAATCTTGTTGCCTGCTCGTCGGGTGCTTCACCGTGACTAAGGTACCGAGTGTATCTACTGTCAGTGTCAGTCACTCTTTGTTCAAGTATACCTATGAACTGATTTACCTGTAAAAAAGTGGCAGCTTAATGTCCTTATTTTCTCCATGTTCCGGTATTGATATCAATTAATTTGTCGACGTCGACATACTTGGTGCCTTCCATCAAATTCAACTTCGGAACTTCGTCAAGATGCGTCTTGGCGCTGGCATGGCGTTGGGTGTGGCGCTTGCTAAAGCAAAAGAACTCCAAGAACCAGATCTGAGCCAATTTGTTTTACCATTCGTACGTGAACTAAAATCAGTACTCGCTTTGAACTGTGTAACTAATTTCTAATTGTTAATTAACAGACTGGCTCTGTCAATGGAGGTAATACATTCCCCGGCGTCACTTTGCCCTTCGGAATGGTAAAGTTGGGGCCCGACTTATATACCGGATCCGATAGTTACTCGGGTTACCAATCGACCGGGAGCTTTGCCGGCTTTAGTCTGTTGCACGAGAGCGGCACGGGTGGTGCCCCCAAATATGGAGTTGTTGCACAGCTACCAGTCCCCGGTACAATCGACAACCCATTAACGAACCACAGCGTCGGCCGAAGCCAAGATGATGAAGCGAGTCTCGGCTACTACAAGTCAAGCTTGTCCAACGGCATCACCGTCGAGTTAGGTGCAACTGGCAAGGCTGGCCTGTTCAAGTATCAGTTCGCCGAACACGAGAGCACTCCAAATGTCATCGTCGACGTCTCTCACGTTCTTCCTTCTTTCAGGGGTTTGGGTTGGGGCCAGAATTATCTTGGCGGCAACATCTCCGTGACGACAACAGACGGAGGCGTTCGTTATCAAGGGTCTGGTTCTTATGACAATGTATGTTTGCTCGGCACCCATCAGGGTTTCCATCTTCGATCATTATTAACTCCAGTTACTTAGGGCTGGAATCGCGCACCAAAGTGGACTGTCCATTTCTGTGGATACTTCGACCAGCCAGCAACATTCAAAACCTTCCTCGGCCAAAACTCATCAGGCGAAGATCTAGCAGACTACAGCGAAGCAACCACACAAGCCTCCGAGGCACGGCTGGGAGCTGTCTTTACGTTCGATAGCACCGAAGTCACCTCCAGAGTGGGAGTGTCGTTCATATCAGCCGATCAGGCCTGCGGAAATGTCGATAAAGAGATACCGGCAGGGACCTCCCTCGAGACCTTGGAGAATGATGCGAAGACAGCCTGGAACGGCCAGGTGCTATCCAAGATCACCACGACAGATACCTCCAACGCAACAAGACTGCAGCTCCTCTATTCGTCATTGTACCACATGTCGATCATCCCAACTAATAAGACGGGCGAAAACCCCCTTTGGTCATCAAGCGAGCCTTATTACGATGACATCTTTACGTTCTGGGATTTGGTTAGTTACAAATATCTTACTTCGTTTATATAACGACGACCTAATTCGATATAGTTCCGCTGTAGCACGTCTCTGATGCATATTCTGCAACCTGTGGCTTACGAAGAATTTATTCGCTCCCTCATCGATATTTGGAGACACGACGGCTACCTCCCCGATGCACGATCTTCGTTTTTTAACGGCGCGACACAGGGAGGCTCCAATGCGGATACTGTGTTGGCCGATGCTTATGTAAAGGGCGTTCGTGGTGCTGTTAACTGGGAAGATGGATTTTCAGCTATGGTTACCGATGCCGAGGTGACACCGCCGAACAATGAAGACCCGAGAGATACCACTTCCTCGACGAAGGAAGGACGAGGTGCGTTGCCAGACTGGATCGACCACGGCTATATTACGACAAAGTATGGCCGGTCCGTAAGCCGTGCCATCGAATAGTAAGCAGCTTTTCCACCCTCGGGATTGGCAAATAGCTGGGAATTATTGGGGGCTAACAAACTATAGTGCCGGAAACGACTTTGGTCTCTACCAAGTAGCCAAGGGGCTTGGAAAAGATGAGGAGGCACAAAAATACCTCAACCGGTCACGTAACTGGCGCAACCAGTGGAACCCGGAGATGGAGGCGTTGGGCTTTACGGGTTTCCTCGGCCCTATTGACGAGGACGGCAAATTCATAGACCAAGACCCGCTCGACTGTGGCGGTTGCTACTGGAAAGACGACTACTACGAGGGCCTCCCGTTCGAGTACTCGTTCAATGCGCACCACGATATCGATAAGCTAATCGAGCTCTCTGGTGGCACGGACAAGTTCGTTGCACGTCTCGAGAAGCTTTTTGAGGGTGGCGTAAGTGACGGGAACTCCCAATTCAACCACACCCTCTTCAATCCGGGCAACGAGCCCAGCTTCACATCTCCGTACCTATTCAATTACGTCGGCCGCCAGGACTTGACCGTCAAGCACAGCCGTTACGTGGCCAACAGCTTCTACGCCCCGACCCCTCGCGGGCTCCCCGGAAACTCGGACGCCGGCGCCATGGAGTCGTGGCTGCTGTGGTCTATGATTGGTCTGTACCCCATGACGGGCCAGACCACGTTCCTGATCGGCTCGCCCTGGTTCACGAACCTGGTCGTCAACCTCGGCGGCACCAAGAAGCTCGTCATCACCACCACGGGCGGCGGCAGCGACTCGTACTATGTCCAGTCGCTCAGGCTCAACGGGCAAGTCTGGGACAAGGCGTGGGTCACCTGGGAGGATGTGTTTGCCAACGGGGGCAAGCTAGACTTTGTGCTAGGCCCCGAACCTGCGGACTGGGCTACTGGAGCTGCGCCGCCGAGTCCTGCGACTGAGGGATCGTAAGTTGGGTATATACGTTGACCGGTTGGTAGGTAAGGCGGATGGTATGGATATATATGTCTATCGGCCTACCTACCTCCCTGAAAAGAAAATAATAGGTACTTGAATAGAAAGATTTGAATGCAGATACGAAGGAGGTTTTGATTCATGTATCTTACTTGGATTGGGATTCGGTGTATATGATAGTACGGGATATATATGCCCAGTATATATCTGAAAGAAATATAATGTTTTGTACCTAAAACTTGGACATGATGAAACTCGTATGAAAGCGTTGGTTTCGAGAGGGGGGGGATTATGGTTTATGAAGTGTCTAAACACAAGCCTTGAAACTGGAAGTGTTGGTTTACATACGCGTATGTATGATGTGAAGCAAAACCCCCCTTCCTTTTAAATGAACTGAAGTTCTGAGCTCTAGGCCATAAACTACTTACTGTGATAGTTCATGATACTTGTACATAGTATTTACGGCTGGATCCTTAGTGATGTGTATGTGTTTGAAGATACCAGAATTCGTGGAGCTGCACAAGTAGGCTGGAGCGTTACATCTTTCGCGGCCCCGGATTGTGGTCCTGGGATGATGATGGTGAGAATACCTAGTAGCAAAGTGACGATATTTTGCATTGCATTGCGCAGGCATATTTACGGCATTATCGAGGCATGTGTTTTGCTCTACGTGCTTATGTGAATAGCTTCCTTTTTGCGCTCGCTGTTGTTGTTATTTCGGGGCATAATTATCGCGATGCCTCACTGTGCACTGGTTTGAAGTAGTCGAAGTACAATTGTGCATTAAATCAATTAATGCATGTGGTTTATGTAAGGCCACTATGTAAATATCACATGACTGTATCTAACTTGATTGGTGGGCTTTTCAGTAGGTGCGGGCCTACTTCGGGTATTCCTAAGTTTTTGGGCCGGAGGTAGGGTTATATATTATAATTGCATTCAAACCTTCGCCTTCGGGCATTTGGTCAATTTGAAACGATACAGAGAAGATTAGCATGGCCCCTGCACTAAGGATGACACGCTCAATCAAAGAGAAGCAAACAATTTTTTTGCACTTTTATTTCGTTTTACACTACATTCAACTTCAATAATTATCTACGTTCAATTATATTTCTGGTAATTACAGTCTTCTATTTATTCTCCCGTTTTTTCTAATTCAATCCGATGCCTGGTTGTCGAGATATGCGCTGAAAAATGATCCGAAAAATGTGGCATTTTGCACAAGCCTGAGTTGAACCCTCCGCCTCTGCTAGACCCGCCTTTCAAGCCACACAGCCAACAATAGTGAGCCACAGACTGCAGGCTACACAGTACTATGTACAGGCTACAGGTCCATCATCTTCCTCACCTTCCTTTCTACTCCATCTTCAAACTCCTGCACACCACCTTGAAGTAATGCCATTTGACCCGCCCGAAGCCGATACACTAATCTCCTCTTCTGCAAATCTGTCGCGTCACCTTCGCCCTCATCCTCATCTTCACTATCATCATCGTCGTCTAACCCTTCCACAACACCACGCATAAACCATCGATCGTGGCTCACTATTACAACCGTGCCCTCCCAATCTCGCAGTGCTTGTCGCAGTGCGGCTACAGTCTCGTAATCGAGATGTGTAGTCGCCTCATCAAGAACAAGGCAGTGCGGCCTCTGCCATAATATCCGTGCCAGTTCCAACCTTACGAGCTGTCCGCCGGATAACTTGCGAACGGGGACATCGGATGCGATGCGCCCTGGAAGCCCCAGCATAGCCAGCATTCCGCGAATCTCGCCCTCGTCTAGCTGTGAGCCTACTTCTCGTGTTAGGAGCCCTAGAGCTGCAAGTTCAGGGTCTGCGACGCCTATCTGTTGTAACGCCTCGACAGCATGCTGCGAATAGTATCCGAGTTTGAGGCGGGGGTGCTTCGTCATGGTGCCGGACGTCGGCATAGTCTCTTCGACGAGCAGCTTGATCAGGGTAGACTTGCCACTCCCGTTTAGACCCAGGATCCCGATTCTATCGCCCATACTAAGTGACAAGGTTACATCCCGGAGCACCGGCGGCGTCTTAACTCCCCTCCCGTACCGAAACGTGACCTTCTCCAGCGATATCAGAGCCCCCGGGAACCGCAAATCAGACGGCTCGGGCAGCGCGAAGCTGACAGGCTTTAGGTCACCGTCGTCCTGCGGCACGTCGATCCCAGCGCGGCTGGAAAGGTGATAGCCGACGAGGTCGCGGTTGAGCTTGAAGCGGCCGCCGCGGGCGCTGACCTGCAGGCCCATGCGGTCGTCGAGCTTCTTCTGCCGCGACTTGGCCTGCCGCACGCGGTTCTGGTCATCCCGCGCCTTGCCCTCGCGCAGGCTGCGCTGGATCGTCTGCTGCATGTGCGCGCGCTGCTTGTCCTGCGCCTCCTGCATCTTGGTCAGGTACGCCTTCTTCTCCGCGCGCGACGACGAGTACGTCCGCAGGTCCCCGTGGAAGTACTCGAGGCCCTTGTCCTTGAGGATGAGCAGGTCCGTGCAAAGGGAGATGAAGTCGCGGTCGTGCGACACGAGGATGAGCGTCGGCGCGTCAGCAGACCCGGCCACCGTGGCGGTGAGGTACCGCTGCAGCCAGATGATGCCAAGAAGATCGAGGAAGTTGGTCGGCTCGTCGAGGATCAGGATGTCTGTCTCCTGCAGCAGCGCTGTCGCTAGCGCTGTTCGCATCTTCCAGCCCCCTGATAAGCTCGATACGGATTGCGCCATGCGAGATTCTGTGAAGCCGAGACCTGTGAGTATTTTCTTTGCCTTGGACTCCGTTTCTGCTAGCTTGGATGGCTCGACGTGGAGCTGGAGGTCCGCGAGTAAGTCTGCTGCATCGTTTGTCTCTTTTGCTAGTGTCTCAGGTGATGTATCCTCGTTTATATGCTCGTGCCTACAGCTTATGTTAGGGCTACTTAGGTATTTGACCATCTACCTAGAATATGAAAAAAAAGGGGAAATAAAATGAAAAGGTAGGCAATAATGATCTTACTGCTCCTGGAACTCAGCCACTCTCTTCTCCATCGCTTTCAACGCTTTCCTCGCCTGCATTCCCCGAGCACCGCTACGAAGTCTCGCATCCTTGTCCTTGAGAAACAGCTCTTTTTGCAGACGCTCGTGGTGTACATTTCTCAGCGCCCTCGGCGCGTCTAAGGGGTCGCTGCTCTCGATGCCCCGGGATAAGACTGTATGTTTGTGGCTTGATTAACTACTGGTCTTTCAATTTTTGGAAAGGGGGAGGGGGGTTGGCTGACCTTCTATCTCCCGCTGCAGCTCCTGCTTAGCGGTAGCTCGCTCGATGACTTCTTCCAACACTGGCCTGCTGCTGCTTTCACTTTTACTACTCGGGGTGGAAGACGAAATTGAGCCTTCGTCGGTAGTATTGGCGTCCCCTACTATGTCCGTCTGCTGGAGGATCACGACACGCGTTTCTTCCGGTATCCCTGGGATCAGCTTCTCGGCTATTGCTTTCAGCAGCGCTGTGGATATGTCAATATAATGTCTTGGTGAGCTATGTTTCCTTTTTGACTACGGTCGTTTGGGAGGGGGGATGATGAAAAAGGAACCGCGAAAGGAGAGGAGGAAAAGAAAGGGAAAGGGAAAGGAAAGGTGAACTCACTCGACTTCCCAGTGCCGTTCCGCCCGATCAACGCATACCGCTGGCCGGCTTTCAACCGCAGCTTGGCGTTGCTGAGGATCTCGATGCCGGCGCTCTTGGTTTTTCCCTTGCCTTTGGTGCTGCTGGTTTGGGGTCCGGGGGAGGTTATGGTGATGTTGAGGCCTTCGATGTCTAGCTGTGTTTTTGGAAAAATCGGTTAGGAACGTATAGCTATAAGGTGTATGCGAATAGATGATGGTCGTGATAGTATGTATGCAATGAGTAGGTATACCTCGCGATAGTTGGGAGTCCCGATATTGAAACGGGTCTGCTTGGATGTGCAGAGGATGGTGGTAGCACTCTCTGCTTCCATGGACGTCATGTTGACGGTGCCTGACTGGAATGCAACTATATATTCGAGTACCTACCTATATGCTGAGACACCTACAATGAAAGGGATGATTTATTTATTAATTAATGTTAAGAATCATGAAGGTATTATAAGTATTCAAGAAAAGTTTACTGGTATATTGACCGTAGAGATATGTATGTATACCTAGTCAGAGCCGGATGTAAGAGGTAGATATATGAGTTTTATTCACAGCTCGACTCTCAATGCTCTCTGTAATCGATCTGTTACCTATATAGAACTGTATCGACCGAGGTTCTTTCTTATTATAGATGTCTAGATTCTTAATCGGACTACATATCATATAGATCGCTCTTCAGCGATATGTGGGTGTGTAGCACGCATGCATGTATATAGATCTAAGCACGAGACGGCGTCAGAAAAAACATCGTTAGCTGCCGTCGTAGCGCGGATGATTCATTCTGGTTCATTTGTGCGTACAACGCTTGTGATTGGTCCGTTTGGGGAAAGACTAGGTACCGGCGGCTTTGTGTTTAACATTGAAGCTCGTGATATGTAGGTGCTAGGTACACATGTAGATACATAGTACCTATATAGTATTAGCAGGGACGTTATTCATCTGTGGATAGGTTACAGGTAGATATATATCAAAATGAGTAGCTTGGAGACGCGCCTTTCATACATAGGTGCATGCATAGGTAGGTTAGGTTAGGTTAGGTTACTTGCCTCGATGTAAGTAATGAGATATATAACCGATGGCGCTGAAAATCGTCATTACCTACCTAACCTAGGTAGTTATGTATGTGACTAGATGAAGAACAATAAGCCAAGTAGCAATCAAACCCGTAAAAATCAAGCACCTATCCCCCCAACACCGAGCGATCAACCAAAACCAACAGCCGCGCCTCCTTCTCCTTCGCAACCGTCATGGTGCCATCCCGGGGTAATTCCACAATCGCACCATCGACACACACCTTCCTCCACCTCGCGTCCTCCTCCCGCGTCGTCACCTTGACTACCTCGGCCTCTTCATATCCCACCCCTTCTTCTTTCTCCCCTTCTTCTCCTTTCTTCCCCCACCTCATCCCAACATGCCTCCCCCCATCATACGCCGCTATCATAACCCGCATCGTCGTCTCCCCGTCCACCGCACCAAAATGCACGAGCCTCAGCTTCCCGTCGAGCGGCTTGCTCGCCGGGGAGATGGTGAAGGTCTTTTCGAGGTTCGAGAGCATCGTCGCGAGGATGTAGGCGTGGTGGGTGCGGGGGAGAGTTTGCGATGATGAGAGGGAAGGGGGAGAGGAGGAGGAGGGAAGGGAAGGGGAATGGGATGGGGATGGGGGGGACACCTCGACAACGGCGCGGTACGCGTGGCTCGTCTTCAGCAGCTCCTGCGCCACCATCCCGAACCGTTTGGCGCCGTGCTTCCGGTACGCGGGCGTGTCGCTCTCCCAGACTAGCTGGCTGTGGAACCCGTAGCTGGCTACGACGGCGCCGTAGAGGGTTTTTACTGCTACCGCCTCTGCATCATCATCGTTTTCGTTATAAGTAATCATCCTTGCCCCCTCCGAAAACTCGGCACGGAAACTCGGCAGCGGCGCGGCGACACCCCGGAACAGCGTCCGCAGGCTCTGCACAAGCGTCGATGGCGGCAGCGCTGCTGTTCCTGCTGTTGGTAGGCCACCCAAGGCGGAGGCGGTGGCTGTTGCGGTTGGGACGGTTGGGACGACGGATTTATGGAGGGAGTTGAACAGTGCGTTCCCCGTGCCGAGCGGGAGTATCGCAAGCAACGGCAGCGCGTCGGAATTCGCTACGGTTGAAGTAGGTGTTATGCCGTTCAGCAGCTCCACGATGCCGCCGTCGCCGCTGAGAAGGACCACGGTATGCCGGACCTTATCCCCCCCATCGCGGCTAAGATCCCGGGCGAAATCACGGATACTATCAGCGCCGTGTGTCTTTACAAGGCGGTAGATACCCGGTTTCGCCTCATCGCCATCGCTTGCCGCAGCAGGGGTGATACCCCGACTTTCCAACAGGGGGCGGAGCACGGCGTCGTAGAAGTCCGCCGCGAGACCGGTGCCGGAGGCCGTCGACGCTACTACGTGGACACGGCGCGTGGGACCGTTTTGCAGGTGCTCCGGCACTATTGCTGCTACCCCGACCTCGAATTCGTCGAGGAGGGGTTGTGGGACATTTGTCAGTTGGGTGCGTGAGAGCTGGAATGATGTTGACGGGGGCCCTTGCTCCCCATTGCTGTTGGTGGTGGTGGTGGTGTGTTCCCGGAGACTAAAAACTTCGTAGACAACATTGGATTCATTATTGGCAGTTGCTCGTTGTGGTTGTGGTTGTTTGGAGATGAATATCACCTCTTCTGGCTTGATGGAGCTGATGTCTTCTTGTCCGGTGTCGGCGGAGATACCGCCGGAGCTATTATTATTATTCACGGACATTGCTCCGTACCTACTACAGTAATAGCTGTAGGTGAGTTACATTGGTAGGTCGCTCGACTGTAAACCTGTCTCGATTATATCATATCCAAGCATTCACCGGGCTCGACAAAGCTATTGCCTGTAATTTAACTGCAAGTAACACATAGGTAGGTAATATGTATATCGGGGTAAGATAGAGAAACCGGCCTAGGTTAGTAGGTTACTAACTTAGCAGCTGCCCAGGTAAATAGCTTGATTCTGCAAGACCCTGCTTAATAATCAAGAGCGGGTCCCATACGGATAGCAGGGAGTATACGATTACGGAAAGGTGCCTCTGTGGCGTTGGGGTTCCGACTCTGATCAGTACTTGACCTAGTAGTAGGTAGGTAGGCTTCTAATACTCTTTCACCTTCACCATAGAGCCTGGGATAGATACGAGCTGGGCATCAGTCGAAAGTAAAGGGGTATCATTTGACCATCCTATATCCAGCCCTGGAATTCACCTTTTTCAGAACTCCCAGTAGTATTCGATCTGGCAAAGGTTATTGCCACACATAATCAATTTCCTTTCGCCCTAGTCACAGGACCCCAATTTTCTCTAGGATTCGTCTGATATCTGACGAGACCTTTCTTGGAAAGATCTCGCCCAAGTTTCTTGTCGAAAACGACTTCTTTTAACTCGACCTTGTCCTTACTAGCCTCCTCCGAACTCTCATCCCTCTTGCCTAGTCTGAGTAGGGTATATGCTGGGCTCATTTCCGTAATCTTTTCAACATTCACTGGACTCTTCTGGCGAACCCACTCTCGCATGATATGCCAAATGACAGACCACGGCGCGTTGGTCTTGAGACTACCAGGCTTGCAATGGCTGCGGACGACTTGATAGCCTAGATGGCGCAGAGCACCCCTGAAGCTATCTTCGTCGGGACATATGCAATGTACCACACCAGAGAGAGCTGCCGGATGAAAAAAGAACGGATACGGGTCAATCGCTGCAAGCTCATCATCCTTGGCACTTTGCAGATCATCTTCAGGAGGTGGGATGAGCTCCTCAAGAGCGGTCGTCAGCATACCTTCTATTCGCGGTTTCGTACCGTAGATATCATCAGGCTCGTTAGGAAGGTCGGCCAATATCTTGTTGATGAAGTCAGGGGAATGTAACGGTCCGCCATACATTGGGCCAGCGAGATGCATCTTGGAGCCACACTCCTGGCAAGATCGGTCTGCGGTGGGTGCCATAGCTAGTCCATGCTTGTAAAACATGCCCTTTCCAGACTTGTTATAAGCCTTCTTGTTGCGAACCAAGAATTGAGTTTCCCAGGCTCCGCATCCTTGGTCACAGTTAAAGGTGACCATGGTCTTCCCGGCCAGAAATTTGACCTGAGCAGGAGATTTTCGGACCTTGACAAAGATTCGGACGTAGTAGTCGATCGATAGGCTTAGAAGAGGTTCAATAGCTAATCCATATCTCGCTGCCGCCGATCCAAGACCATGGAGTATGATACGTAATCCAGCCTCGTGAGAGTAAAAGCCTTTTACGGGGACGCCGCCATAGAGAGCAAATGTTTTCTCGGGATATCCATTGGAAGCCCAAATCCCAGAGTCCGTGCAGGTGACACACAGCAGGCCACCGTCGTCCCTTACAGCATTCAGTGCTGCGTCAAAAAAGGGAGCCGCAGTTCCATAAGGATCGAGGTCAATTACGTCGTATTTTTTGTTCGGTTTGGGTATGTTCTTCTTATTATGTTGTTTGTTGTTCTTGGTCTGCTCATCACTGATATCGTGGGTTTGCAACGAATACATGTGCGCACGAGCATCTCCTAATGTTGCGTTCACTTTGCCGTCAACACCATTGTGCTCGGCATTTTTCTTGATGGCATCTACAGCAGATGGGCTGAGATCATTAGCGGTGACTGAGGTGACAAACGGTAGCTCTTGGGCATATCGTAGAGCTCGAAGTCCGGTAGCGGATAGAGCATCGAGAATGGTAAATCTAGGGCCAGAGAGTGGGTCGCCTTGTCCCGTTTCCTGAGACGTTGCCTCTGGCCCTTCGGTAGGTTGCGAGGATTTCGGGGGTTGATCGGTACTAGGTAAGTCGCGAGAGGGCAAGTCGGTGTTTTCTTTCCGAGTTTGTTCTTCAGGAGCTGTTGGTTGGTCGTTCGTAGCATCCAAGGGAGCTGCGTTGCCTTCACTTGGTTGTGTCACAGAGGCAGTGCTCTCCATCTCAGTCACTTTCTCTTGCTTATTCGGTCTGCCACTGCCCGTGTCCAGCTTGTCGCGTTTCCTCTTGGCAACCTTATCCGCGTTGGCTGATCGTCTCTTAGCTAGAGCTTCTTGGCCATATGCTTTGATGGCAAGAACGGTCAGGTCGCGGTTGAACTGCTGGATAGGGTTGTAAAAGACTTTTTGTTGTTCTTCGACGTCGCTCAGTTTTTTGTCTTTGCCATCTTTAGCTGAGAAAGGAACTAGGATGCGACCTAGACCTTCCTTGACTTCGGTGAATTCTTGGCCATCGCGTGTGAAGATTTGAATGTCGGTCGTCGTAGACGAGGTACCGTTCTTGGTACCGTTCTTGGTTCCCGAAACCATGGTAAAGGTATGCGCAGCTCGAAGAAGGCAAGAAGTAGCAAATAATCGGTTCACATGCCTTAGCACTGGTTTCGAGGGTGCCAATAAATGGGTACAGAGCATGCAAGTAAGGCGCAAGGCTATGACATTAGGAAGTCTCCAGGTAGTAAGGTCGGTAGGAGTTAGAGAAAGATTGGCTGCGCAGGTTAAATTGAAGAGATTCTGAATGGAAAGTAGAAATCTATAGCTTCACTTTAATTTTTTTTCTTGTCCCCAGTAGCTGAGTGGAGCTATCCTCTATCTTATCGGCGTCTTATCGCTAACTCTAACTCTAAATGCCTACCTATGTACGTGCATCTACATGGGATTCTAGGTAGCACCTTATGTACCCACCTACCTTAATCTAATATTTATGGTAGAAACAACGACAGAGCTATAAAATCAGAGAAGGTGCAAGTGTATAATTAGTATAAACTCTGTTAGACATGGGGAAGTATTACTGGACAGTGGACATAGTACCTAACCTAGTACCTAGTACTTAATGTAAATATCTACAATTCCTTCTTTTTCGTATACTCAACGTTATTCGATGTTGACGTTAAAAGAATCCATTCAACCCTTCCCCCTATCACCACCTTAAGGCTGGATTGGAGAAAGCGCTCCTTGACTAAGTAGTCAAGGCATATATCTCTCTCAGGTCGCTAGCACCTACTTCGTAGTACTTAGCCCCTTTTACTTCTCGTTGAGATAGGTCATGCGATAGAGTCATGATGGACAACTTTAAGAGTTGCTTCCTCCGAGTGTTCTAGACGGAAGTTGTCTATGCCTTCCAGGTAAGAAGTGACAAGTTACAAATTGGAAATGACAGCCCCTTTCACTACTCGAGCCTCCAGCTCTCGCATGTCTCCTAGATTCTCCCTTTTCCCATTACCCTTGAATCCAACTTCGCCTTGTCTGGATTCTCAAGATGGCGGCTACAATCTACCCCTCTCACAAATCCAGCTCTCATCGTTCTTCTATCCCACGACTCAACTTTGACGCAGCCATGGCTTCTCAAACTCCGCCTCCACCTTCTCCGAAGCCAAACAGCGGCGGCGGTACCCCTCCTCCCAAGCCTGGAGACCCTAATAATTACCGTCTTCTCTCCCATCCCGAATGGGTTCAGTTCTGTCGAGGCATCGGAGTGCTGAAAGACGACGAGAGCGAGGTGGTCGTCCGCCCGACTAGTCGATGGTGGCCACCCAAGGGGTTTCGGGACGGCTTATATAAAGATGTCCTTTTCGAGAAGGCCAAATTCACCTACTGGTTCCACCTCGTGAGCACCCTACACTGGGTCTTGATGCTTGTTCAGATTGCCTTGAGTGCTGTCTTGACTGCTCTGGGATCTGTATCATCGACATCCAAGAATGGAGTTACTATCGTGAGTTCATCTCGTACAGACGACCCGTCTCTCAGCCCATGGTGAGATGGGTATCCCAGGAGACTGACTTTCGACCCCTTGGATGCTAGACATCTATCGCTGCGGTGAATACTTGTATCGGCGGAATCCTTGCCCTGCTGCACAACAGCGGCCTACCAGATAGGTACCGCTCGGACAGAAACGAGTTCTATAAACTCGAGGAACACCTCAAGACTATCGTTGACACCGCCCTCGTGCCCGCGGACCAAAATATCAACGAAGTCATTGCTATTTGTTTCGATATGTTCCGGGACGCCAGGCAAACGGTCCAGAACAACATTCCAGCTTCGTACACCCCTGCCCCGGCCAGCAACAAGCCACCGCCAGCCAGAGTTTCGGGGACGGCCGACCTGAAGAAGTGAAATTAGCTCATTGTAAGATGCCTACAGCATATGGCAGTTAAACTAAACTCACCTTCCCCAGAATATACTACTATCATTGGAAGGAGAAATCTAGGAGCAACCTCAAAGGGGTCTTCTATTAGCATAACATATTAGACCAGTGAGCCTCGAGGGATCAATGTCAGGCTCGAGTTAATTAATGGTGGTAACATTACTAGTAGGTTAGTTAAGTCTGTTATTGAGCTAGGTAGTCGCGAAGCATCTTGCTAGATTCCTTAGAGCATACAGCTCGCTCATACACTGTACTGTGCGTAGCAAGAGTTTTTATCATCATGTACTCTTAGAGGATACCTAGGGGAAATAGAGATTTTTGACGAAGAAAAAAGTATTACCTTTGTATATGACTCTTAAAGCCATCGGCATTTTATAATTCTGTGCTTCGTAAAAGTGGATGGATGTAGATGACGTGGGCTTGTGATTGGAATACCTACGAGTTCACCACCCTGGGAACAATGTCATATGTAGGTACCTACTTTGTCTTCCCATTCGTGTATTTATTAAGATTGGTGCTTAGGCAGGTAGACACCTGCCTAGTAGGTACCTGGTATGCGCATGTGTATATGTGTATGTGTATGTAGATGCCATATTCCCAACACATCAAAACCACGCCTCGTAAAACTTCATCACATTCATGTACTTGTGTGTGCCTGTCTACCTATGTACCTAGCGCCTATGTACTCATATGCCTATATACGCCCAACAAAACTTCAAAATCTATGAATTATGTATGCATATGTAGGTAGGCAGTCTACCATCTATCCGGCCCAAACCGACTACCATTAGGCACCGTATTGTACGAGCAAGCCTGCCAGTCGCAGCCACTTTTATAGACCTCCGTGCCCCACCAGCTGAAGCCCTCCATCCAGCCGGGGTATATGAAGCCGAAGAACACGACGACGATGCCGAAGGCTAGACCTGAGTCGAGAGCTGCGCTGAGGGTCATCGTGTACTTAGCCCACCAGGCCGACGCGCGGTTCTTGATCAGGTAGTTGAATAAGTAGCAGACCACGGCCCAGACTGAGAAGTTCAAGCCGGTGGCGGGCGGGATCCAGCTCAGCGAGCCGAAGAGGACCGGGAGGTTGATTTTTCGAACAATACTTCCTCTCCTTTTGCGGCCATATAGCCACAGGGGGATCGGGGCGACGGCTCCGATCAGAAAGCACCACACCAAAGGACGATAGGTCGCGTTCGGTCCAAAGAACTCGGTCGGGCCAACGACGCCCCATAGGATGGACCCGTTAAAATGAACTCTAGCAATCGGGCAGGTGAAGCCGTTGATAGCTGAGGTGGTGCAAATTCCCGGGACGTTACGGAACATCCAATTAAGCACGATGATCTGCGTGACAGACGAGACAGTTGTTGCGACCATCTGGACGGAGAATAGAAGCCTCGGTGGGATCTTCATGTAATGCCCCAATTTTAGGTCTGCTGCAAATTTGATTCCCTGGGCAGACGAGATGTAGCCATAGGTCACAAAAACCATGTTAGCCACGGGTCTTCCAGGAAATACGACGCCACATATAAGCTGGCAAATTAAGTAGATGCTGCTATGTTGATTTGTCACTGCCATGACAATACCGATAGGTATAAAAAGCACAGCGCATATCCCGAGGGCGAGTAGTAGGCCATACCACGGAAGATGAATTGGGTAACTGCTTGTAGGTAAATAGAGTGATTATGGGGTTAAAGGGGGTAGTAAACTCACTATTCGACGACAAAAATACCTATGGCAGTCATAGAAATGAACGTCAACAAATACCAGGTGATTGGCGCATCTTTGTATCTTTTCATAAGGCGGTTATGCACATCTTCATGGCTTAAAATATTGTCGAATGTGGAACTAGACCTCGTGATACCTGGGCCATCTGGACGGGAAGCCCTCCCGTTGCTTTCACTTTCGAGTGGCTGATATGATGTTTTATTCTCACCATCTGCTTCTTGCAAGGAACGTTTCCACTGGACGTAGATGTCCTTGCCATGCCAACAAGTAGTATGGGTTAGGAGTGATGCGAGCCCTGCAAACTGTAGACCATAGCTGAGGACGTAGGTAATCGGGAGGAATACCCGACTATAATTTGAATACGCCTCTCGGTCAAAGAGAAACTCGGGCGTTAGAATCTTGCTGACATCATATATCTTGCCCGTATTGTCATAGACTGACGCGGAGAGAATTGGCATGTAAGATGAGTAGAACAGGTTGCTATAATACGCAATGGGCGCAATGATCCACATGACTATCACCAGACCGCCAATAACATTCATTGCAGCCCAGAAAGGTGTTAACAAAGGCGAGCCAATGTACGCGATCTGGGCCCAGTCAAACGTGAGCGGGAAAAGACCCAAGCCGGAAGCAACTCCAAATAAGTTTGCCACAACGACATTATCCGGCGCAAACCAGGTTATTACATTGAAGTAACTGAGCGCTGGCATTAACAAGCCGGGGAGGAAGTAGAAGATAAAGCCCGATATCCAGACGATGAAGAAGAACCTCCATCTGCTTACCCTCCACCCGTTGGCTGGTTTGTTCTCCTCTTTATGCAGAGTCGTGAACATAGCGGCGGACATCAAAGTACCAGGCCAGATCATGCCGGCTGGGCGTACTAAAAAGCGCCTTGTCAACCCGGCAAACGTATAACCCAAAATTTGGGTCGAGAGCGTAAGCAGAAGCTGATAGGCAATACCGACATCTTGCTTGTAAAATTGGGTTTGCTCAACAATGATATCCGTTGCGAACGCGAAGCCGAAAGAAACGTTGCTGCTAACATACACGCAGCTGTGCTCTTTTTCATTCCAGCTACCCTGAGCTAGCCAGAGGCGAAGACGCCCTGCGCGACTCCTCTGCTTCAGAGCTTGAGCTTGACTATTATCATTTAGGTCATTTATTCGTACACCATCCAAAAACTGTTCGGGGGGGTCATCTGGTCGTTTGAGAAGGTAGTCCCACAAAAGGCCGAGAGGATGAACTAGAAGCAAGGCTATAACGGGTGTAATTGAAACGCTAGGGTATCTCAAAGAAAAGAAGAGATTTGTAGAAGAACCAAGTATAGAAAACAAAGTAGATAACATCCACATTCGAGGCGTGTTTATAGATAGAGACGTGTTGTCAGTTGGTGAGACAGACGCTCGAACCAGGGGATAAGGGGAATTATCCGGGGGGTCCTGGTCGCTCCCTTCGTTCGCATCGTCAGAGCCGTCTTCATCGTCAGGCACCGGGCTATCCAACAATGGATCCGAAGCCAAGTCATTCGTGAAAGCGCTTTCGCTTACGCTAAAGCGACCTTCAGGACCCCCCGCTACTGCATTCACTCCAACCTCGTCAGATAGACTCTGCTTTCTCCGGGTTAGAGAAGATGTGCTTGTTCTAAAGGTTGTATCACGACCAGCATCGCTAGAATGGCGCCGCCTGGAGTAGGGGGTTTCCGCGCTAGCTCTTCTACTCAAGGGCTCTTGAACATCGTCGTCGCTATCAGGGTCCTTGGTCTCAGGATGAACAGGGGCAGCTCCATATGATCCAGCGCCAAAGCCGGGCGAAGAGCGAATCAAAAGAGGAGCTTGCGACATAATCCTTAATCCTCGGCCGTCGACGGCAAGGTTGCGATTTGCCTCGGAGTCAAGTTTGACCTGGCGAGAGTCATGGCTCGTGCTCGATGGAGAGCGTGATAATCTACTAAAGGATTCGGTCGAGCCTGAGGAGGAGGCAGCAATATTTGTATGGCTGGTGGTTGGCGACGTGGGGTCTGATAGGTCGACTGGATGAGCGGGTAAGGCGGAGCTGGAAGTGGTATTGGGTGTGACAGTGGATGTGGTAGCAGAGGTGGTAGCAGAGGTGGTAGCAGAGGTGGTAGCAGAGGAAGATGTTATGGGTCGTAATGGAAAAGATTGCGAATGATCACTGGACATGATGGGGGTTGTACTATGGAAAAGGGTCTAAAGGGTCTAAAGACATAAGCGATCTTATTATCCCTGCTCTTAAAGCTCCTTTTGAGGGAAACCGCGGGCATTGGTTCTGGTCTAACGTTACGGAGCTTGTAACTGCAAAAGGTCATATCATTCCATATAGGAAGGACCAAACCTGGTTGGGGGTTAATTGTTTTTTTTCTTTTCTTTGCACGACGTTAAATGTTGTCACTGTTCTAGTGCATGAGTAGTGTCTTCCTCTAGTACCTAGTAGTAAGTCAACTATGAGTGTACTTACATGTAGGTTTGATATGTTGCAGTACATACCTAAGGTTAGGGTAATAAGTATTTACTCATTGTAGTAGAAGCGAATGTGTACTTCTTGAGTCTAAAATGTAGTTATGTGGACTCCACCATTCAAGGTTGGATCCGGGACGGAAAGAGCTGCTGCTGCTGCTGCTGTATGCACGTCCATGCAAAGACGCATCAAACCGTAATCTACAACTTTGCCTGCTGCTGGGCTGGTGTCGTACCTTACAGGAATTTATCCCAAATTCGGATTGGACCAAAATTGAAAAGCTTCATTCAATGTTGTTTTAAAAACGATTCTTTGATACAGGCTTGAAGAACATTAGGGGTTACTAGGTACTTACTACTTAGGCATGTAGCTGCTGTCACACTACCTAGTACAGCAACTAACATAGTAATTCCTAATCTGGTACTACATAATGAAGGAAAAGGGCATCTGCTGAAATCATTAATGAAAAAGAAACCTCGAAACTTGACCAGTCCCCTGCTTCGATGTTGGAGGAAGCTAGTGTAGGTAGCTTTTAGCATGCTGCAGCTCGCCCAACCTGTCATGTGAAGAGGATGAGGCACAGGCAGCAGACCTGATCGTCCACTCATCATCATCCATTTAAACGGGCCTCGTTTGTTCTTATGTACCAAGGCGGTTTCCAACTCGTACGACCAAGATTGATTGATAAGATTATGATGGATTAGATTAACAGATAATACCACCTACATACATATGTACATAGTGGTGTAATTGCCATGATCTTAAACAGGGGGAATGCACATACTACATATTGTAATACTTCTTCAAGTCTTAACATGGCAAATCCCTCACCGGATCTGTTAACTAACCTTTAACTAGGTAGGTTAGGCAGTTGATGCTAGGTTAATCAACTTAAGTAGCAGCTACTTAAGTGGATAAGACTTCGACACTTACTGTAGCAATAATCTGATATGGATCTTGAATTGTTATCTACTCTGAAGCACGTATGACACATAATGCTAAACTGCAGACCTACTCATATCTAGCCGAATCACTTAATTACATAAATTATACTACTACATACATTTGTATGTATCGCCGTCCTCCGATTGCTTAAGTTCGGTCACCGCTCGTTCCGAATTGCGGACCTTGTTCCAAGCCTGTCAGAGTACGGAATTCAAACCGAACGGGAACGCGGGCCAACCCGATAAAGGGTACCATCTTATGACACTTAGCGGGGAATCTGTACGGCTTTTAGCATCCTGGAGTACCATCAATGATGCCACAAGAAACAGCCATGAATCCCTCTACGCTTAGTGCTATCAAACTGCAGGTTCGCTCAGTAATGAAACAGCGACTTGCCGATCTCCCACAACATTACGTCGAGTCTCAGAGTGAGTTGTCTCCCCCCCCTATCCCTAGAATTATATATACATATATGTACACTATATCCAATATATCCAATATATCCATTTCAATATAATACTTAGTTGACCGCAAATGTAGGTGCAAAAGTATTCGACACAATATCTAAATTCAAACCATACGTGGATGCAAAAAGAGTGGCGGTCTACTTGTCTATGCCCAGTGGGGAGATCCAAACAGACTCCATTGTTAGACATGCTTTGACATCGGGCAAGCAGGTGTTCGTGCCTTACCTTCATAAGTCAGGCCTGCGACGGGGCGATGGTCCAGCTAGACTGATGGACATGGTGAGTTTGAAAAACATCGAAGATTACGAATCTCTGCAGAGGGATAAGTGGGGCATTCCAAGTATCGATCCAGCTACGGTAGATGAGAGAAAACGCAGCGTGGGCGAGCTTGTTGGGAAACAATCTGAGGATGTCTCGCTAGATTTGATCCTCATGCCTGGAGTGGCATTTGACATTCAGCCTACACCTAAGACAATTCGAAGACTCGGTCACGGTGGAGGCTTCTACGACTATTTTCTTCATCGATACGCGTTGGCTGCTTCACCAGAGGAAAGGACAACAAATGGCCGACCAGCTGTATTACTATATGCCCTAGCTTTTGAGAAGCAACTCCTCTGCTCCGAAGATGGGGAATCTGTCCCGGTTGAACCTCACGATCAACCAATTGACGGCCTCATTCTCGGGAATGGCCAAATAGAGGAGTCCGCGAAAAGCGGCGAAAACCACAATGAATTATCTTGATCTTCGATGAGCGTCTATTTTCACCCGCAATGGTATTTTCTCCGATGATGCATAAAAGTGTAAGTCTTCGTGATTCGACCTCCTAATCGCGTCCAATGCCTTTCCACCGCCTCATACTGCTTCTTGGATTAGGGACACATTATCGCCCTTAAGTAAGATTTGTCCTACGTATTATTAGCCATGCGAGTCATCGCTCATGTTCATATGATATGATTTCGTACCTAGGGGTCTTCGCTTCTCCTCCGGATTCGTCTTCGTAATCTGCTTCACCTCAACGGCGTCGTCGACAACGAGATTCATGAATTCGTCGAATCCCTTGATAGATATCAGTTAGCAACAGAAAAGCAGGCAAGAGTGACAAATATAGGAAACACTGCCACTCACTCGAATCTTCCCCTCAATTCTAATTGACAATTGCTCGAATAGCCAGATCTTCACCGTCGCGTGCGTTTGAAGTAGCTTGAAGATAAAGTTGATAGGGGGGAGCAGGATCTTGCGACCACCACCACCGCCACGACCAGTCATCTTGCTTTGCCGGAGGGTTGGACCGTGTTAAATATTTATCGGTATATCGATATATCGGTGACTGAAAGGTTGAGTGTAGGCAGATTCGTGTATCGCGGTAATGGCGCGTGTGAACTTTGTAAGAACTTAATAAGCTTGGGTTTATGATCCTCGCGACGGGATTCGACGAGGCAGAAAGAAGGCTGAAGTGGTTTTTTAATAAAAAAAAAGCTAAGGAGAACTCTAATGTAATTACTAGTAGTTAACTAATTATGTACCAGTGGAAAGAAACATTTGAGGCACTGCAGTTTAAAGCTACATGGGTGGGCTAGGGTGGGCACCTAATCAAGTACTAGATACTTTACGATAAGCCGGATCTGCCAACCCCGCCAAATTTCAAGCCACACTAAATGAAATCACCGGGCACTCCAGGTCACAAAGCTCTAACTATTGTCAGGCTCACATGGCAACCGCAGAGCAATGATTTGATTGATATTTTACTAGTTAGGCCCCTCTTTCTTCTTACGCCAACACGTATAATAAAAAAAGTCGCCTTTGACAATTTCCAAACGAACATTGAAACCACACAATCTTTTTCTTTCTACAGGTATCTTTTTCTTGTGACGTTACCTTCAAATTTGCCTAGCACTAACTATACTGTGCATGTCCTGGCGTCGGTCCATCATCGTATCAAATAACTTTTATTTAGCGCCCACTCATCCATCTTACTAGGCACCTAATCTCAAACTGATCTTCTCAAACTTCCTCATCTTGCGACCAACTCGCATTATCAGCAGCCATCGCTGCTCTCAACCCACGTGCCCACCCCACGACTTCCTGCCTTGATCAAATACATATATCTACTGTGTACGAGTTGCGATTCGAGTTGCGCATCATGGCTACAAATGGAGGAGCGCAGCCTGCTTTCGGGCCCGACGAGGTGCTCCAAGCCATGTTGACTATGCGGGGTGGGGACTCGGAGAAAAAAAAGAAGGCTCATGAATATCTCGAACTGTTCCAGAAATCGGTAAGTACACGGTCCGGTCCGGGCCCAATCATATTCTTCTCTATAGATCGATCGTTGATTGCTAATATGATTATGACCTGTACCTAGACAACAGCATGGACTACTACAGTCACAATACTACAATCGAATGCCGAAGCCGACGTCAAGCTATTCGCAGCGACGACACTTAGAGGGAAGGTAAGTTGTATAAGGCTGTTCATCGTAACATTCGGCGACGCTTACTGAACGACTTCCAACTAGATAACCTACGATCTCTCGACCCAAGTCCCTGCGGCTGAGATCCCAGCCGTGCGATCTCAACTTCTAGTGCTTCTCAAAACCTTTGCGCCGGGACCGAAGCCGATCAGGGTACAGCTTTGCGTATGCCTAGCCATCCTAGCAATACAAATGCAAGAATGGAAAGATGTACTGCCTGTCGTGGTGTCTTCCCTGGGCAACGAAATCGAAAGCCATGGGTGCATCTTAGACTTCCTTAGAGTCCTACCAGAGGAGGTTACAGAAGGACGCAAAATCACCCTGACAGTACGTGGATCCAAAAACTAATACCGCTTTTCCCGTGTGCCTTTCGATTACGCTTCGTGACGGTACGACTCGGATGGGATCGCAAACTAACTAACGGGCGTTTTAGGATGAAGAACTCAGTCATAGAACCACTGAGTTACTAGAACAGAATGCTCCGCAGGTGGTGCAACTTCTCATCAACTATGCCCATTCGTCGCGTAAGATTGTCCTTGCTCTCTAAACATGACAGAAACTAATGTATAGGTATATAGCTGCTGCTGCGACAAACCCGCAGCTTTTTGAATGCATTACATCTTGGTTGCGTGAGGTTCCTATCAATGAAATCGTCAAATCTCCTCTATTAAACATCGTCTTTAGCGCACTGGAGAGTGACTCTTCTTTCCAGGCCGCTGCTGAGTGCATCTCGACGATGGTTAGAGAAACGAGGGAGATAGACGAGAACATCGAGACTATTCAAATACTCCTACCTAGAATTATTGCTTTGCAACCCAAGATCCAGAAACTAGTAGCAGAAGAGGACCTCGATTCCTACAGGTCAATTACGAAGCTATTCGGTGAGGTTGGGGCTTTTTGGGCCGTTGCCATCGCTCGCGAGCCCAGCCATTTCCGACCATTGGTCGACGCCATCCTCGAGTGCGCCGCGAGAGATAAGGATAGGGAGGTTATCGAATTCACCTTCGACTTTTGGTATGAACTCAAGCAGTACCTCGTCCTCGAGAAGTACATTCAAGCGCGCATGGAACTTCTGGACGTTTACGCCAAGCTTGTTGATATCTTACTTCTACACCTCGAGTATCCCCAATCAGAAATTGGCGATGAGAGAGACCTATTTGATGGAGACAGGGAAGCAGAAGAAAAGTTCCGTGAATTCCGACATCTCATGGGTGACACCCTCAAAGATTGCTGCGAAATTATGGGGGTGTCCGATTGTCTCGCAAAGGTACTGGATGCGATCAAGATTTGGATGCAGAAGTATGCGAGCATGGCAAATGGCACTTCAGTCCCTCATTGGCAGCAATTGGAAGCACCCCTATTCTCTATGCGAGCTATGGGCCGCATGGTGACTAAGGAGGAAAGTACCGTTCTGCCACAACTTATGCCTCTTCTAGTCCAAATGCCAGCCCACGAGAAGCTACGTTTCGCGACGATTATGGTATTGGGTAGATACACGGAGTGGACTGCTGCCCACCCAGACTTCCTTAGTGCTCAATTCAGCTACATTGTCTCTTCATTCGACACAGACTCAAAGGAGATTGTGCGGGCTGCGGCCATGGCGATCAAGTACTTCTGCACAGATTGCAAACATCTCCTGAGCGAACAGGTTCTTCAGTTGCAACAATTCTACGACCAAATCTTGGACAAGCTTCCCGAGGTCAGCCAAGAAGAGATTACCGAAGGCGTTGCCACCGTTGTCTCGGTGCAACCCAAGGAAGATATCTACCGACTTCTCAAGCTTTTCTGCGACCCTCTAATCCAGAGACTGATGGCCAAAGCAAACAATGCTACAGACCCAGAAAAAAAGCTAGCTGTCGCAGATCATTTACAACTAATCACACTATTCTCTCAGGGCGTAGTAGTCCTCCCACCCGTCGAGCGTGGCCAAGAAGACCCCGCTGTGAAATATTGGCAAGAGGTATTCCCGATTCTAACCAAGGTCTTAGACAGCTTCCTTGATTTCCCTCCCATCTGTGAAAGAGTTTGTCGATGTTGGAGATTCATGGTAATCTCTCACAGGGGAGCAATGGCACCCGTTCTTCCCGATATGGCAAATCAGCTAGCAAGTGGATTTGCCTCATCGAGGCAAGGTTGTTTCTTGTGGGTCACTGGCGCCATCCTGCGGGAGTTCTCTGACGACCGAGAACATGTCGAACAGGCTTTGACGGAACACATTTACATGTTCTTCGAAGCCCAAGTTACTAACGTGCTTCGCTTCCTGAGCGAGTTATCGCCCCAAGATCTTCCTGACGTTACCGAGGACTTCTTTCGCTTAGTGGTAGATGGACTCTTGTACTATCCTCAAAAGTTCATCCCGTCGCCCATATTTTCACCTGTATTTGAAGCAGCCCTCTCCGTCCTCGTCCTGGAGCAACGTGAGCCTCTTAGTGCTACGCTCCACTACATCCGCGACGTTCTCGGATGGGGCACCCCCTACTCTCCGTCATCATACGAGCACCTAACTGCTGCGGTCACAGAGCAACTAAGAGTTGTCGTGAAACAACTACTACTAACTCAGGGAGAAACTTTGGTTAAGCGCTTACTTGCTGGCATGATGATTACCTTTCCCAAGGACTGCTTTGCCGATGCTAGCGGCGCCCTTTTGACATTATTTGAAATATTCCCAGATCAGACAGCAACATGGGTGGACCAAACCCTTCGTCTATTACCTGACGGTACCGTCACCTTAATAGAGGTGGATCGTCTCATGATAAAGATCAAGGAAAAGCTCAGCACAAATGACACTGGCGACGTCCGACAAATACGCTCTATCCTTCAGGACTTCACCAATACTTATCGCAGAAGATATGTCGCGCCTCGCGATGGCTTAGGGGCCCTAGAAGGATCTCGGTTCCGATTTGCCGGTTAATCAACAGACTGACACATCTTTTAAGGTGAATGCGGGAGAGAGGGGCGACAATGTCGTGCTCGTAATGCCCGAAGCCTCTCAACGCTTTTACTTGGTTGCATACAGCTCTTTGTATTGGGTTATTCCGTGGAAAACGAATAGGAACTGCCCGCGACCCCTGGGAATATGAATAAGTGCTATCGCAGCTCGTCAGGCGTGGGGTAGACTCGGCGTAGGTTGATAAGGGGATGGAGGGCAAAACGATACCTAGCAGTGGCTGCAATAGCAGATGATTGAATGTCTTGAAGATTGTACATAAACATGTTAAACCGTCGTTAGTGAACATGCGGAGTTGAGTCTCGAAATAAAAGGTGGTATTTTACGAGGAGAGCCGATCAGTCTACGGATATAGGTAGCTGTAAAATAGTCAGCAAGGATTTGGGCAGCTACCTACCTATTCTCACGAGTCCAATAATAACGTATACGACGCCTTCCGAGCACGACATATGCAAATTTACGCTAGAGATGCAATCGATTTGGTTCTCTCCGTGTGCCTCTATCTGGTGTCCAGATATTCGGGTACATAGCCCTTTGAAGACGCACGGTGTCGGAGGTGGCCGTTTGGCAAGGGGTCCTAGAATAGGAATTGTCATCCCGAATCTGTCAGTACCCGGTGATCAACTAGCGACTGTTCGAGGAATGGCGAGGACTTTCGTCCACGAGCCTTTGCCGGATGGAGATTTTATTGACAAGAGGATGGCCTGGTGGCGTTACCGGGTCATCCGGATGTGCGTGTATCACCTGCAGAGCCTCTCCCCCCTCTCCCTCTCCCCCCCGGGGCTTAGCTTCCAAGCGGGGTGACGGACTCTCTGAATGGCCTCATTTTACGGTCGCCATCGCAGGTTGGGATGTAGGATGGAGGAGGTTCCATGGATACCTAGTAGCTCGTCTATGTACAGTAATATATGATATATAACTGCATAAGAATCAATAACCTTTTACGGGCAAAGCTCGACTAGGTATCTATTGCTTCTGGATTTCCAACCTTGTGCTCGGTGTGGTACCTACTAACTAGGTAACACATACCCCTTTACCCCTGAACAAACAGGAGAATAATCATCAGACCGACCAGTAGCTATAGACCACGATGTGCGTTGCGTTGTTGCTCTGCTTCTGTGTTCTCGGGCCGGATGGTATGGTATGGTATAGGATGTGTGTAATAGTAGATTATAACGATTATTTTCATTCCCACTTCCTAGTAGAGATATGGATTGACATGTGTTGGTTGGGCTGCCAGAAAACCATCTGGGATCAATGAAGGGTTTGCACGGCCAAGCCCGTTCTTCCTGCACCAACCTTACCACCATCGAGGTTCATGAAGAGTCCTGGACGGCTTTACATATGTAGTTCCCATTATGTAGTGTGTTTGCAAGGGTTCGAACCCCGAGAGCCAGAGTTGCGTGGTACTATATCTACAGGGACTTGGGGACCGGGACCGGAACCGGAAACCGGGGGAGGGTAGGGTAGGGTAGGGCCGGTAGGCTGGATACTTTACGTAGTAGCAATAGATAAAGAGAAAGCGAACCCAGCTGGCATGCCTATATTGCGAGCTTGATATAGACAGACAGGCAGACAGACAGACAGACAGACACGTTTATTATATGCATACGGTAACGTACCTAGCTAGGAAGCTAGGTTCTAGGTAGCTATGTACGGAATCTGTTTCTCTTAGAATGCCTACACTACCTCACCCTACCCTAGGCAGCTTACAACTAGACTAGCATTTTTGGCTTGCATCATCTGTGATTATGACGCATGCATAACAGCATTCTTACATACATTACATGCGCTTCACTAATACATAGCGTGTAGATTGTAGATAGGCTATCACGTCTGTCTTGTGTCGTTTTCGAGCTATCTATTAATTGATCGAGGCAGCTTTTCACACTAACGACCCAAAAGTCCATATCCATCTCTTCAGCTGTGCTTCCCTACATATTACATGCACATATATATGTACGTAACCCCCGTTCCAACGGTATGTACTATGTAGGGACATACATACATACATACATACATAAACTGGGGCTTACAACCCTCCCAAAAAATCTTGGGGAACTTTTGTTTGTTAATACATTAATAAATGATATTGTCCGATTGCTGCTGCTTGCTTCGCTGTGTGTATTGTATGTATGTATGTATGTAGCTTGTGCAGCAGCTTGCAGGCCCCCGTACGATGATCCCTGTTCTCCGCGAATACGCATGGCCATGGCCATGCCTGTTCAATGTTGGTATGTAGTTATGTAGCAGTTGACTAGTTAGTGTACGTACATACAGTAGTGTGTATTGCAACGAACCCTTTTCCCTACATACCCACCCCCCTGGAACGCTCAGACGTAACAGAACGTGTAGGGCCTGTAGGCAGGACCTGATGGTCGGGTACACTATGAACCGCCCATTTTTTTTATTTTCCTTTCTTGCTTTCTTTTTGTTTTGGAAAATAATAACTATTAACTAACTAACTATTCTTCTTCAACAAGTTCCGAGCAAGAAACGCTCGGAACCACCCTTTTGGGTTGAGGCTCCGGGGGGCTAGCTAGTCATTATCATGTCTCTTGTCATTGTCAGGTTACATACTTTATTTCTTTGGGGAGTGAGAGAGAGAAGAGAGAGAGAGAGAGAGAGAGAAAGGAACCACCCCCTGGCTGTTTGTAGGTATGACGGCATATCCCTAAGAAAGCCATACAGGAAAGCGGGCCGAAAGACTTGGGATAGGCAGGCCAATCTGTTTTCTCGGGAGGCCAGGGTATATTAACACCTACCTACTGTGCTTATGATGAATGACGGCCGTTGCCGTAAGGGGTAGTCACGTGATAGTGTAATTAGCATATGATAAAGTGTCCCCCCCCCCCCCCCCCCCCGGACAACTCGCCTTAATCTAGTTAAAGCAAAGCGTACGGATAGGTACTTATGTACAAATAATAAAAGGGGGTTTTTGGGATTTTTTTTTTTTGGTTTGGAACCCAAGGCGGCTTGGTTTTTTTTTTACCGGGTTTCTTCGAGTTCGGTTTAGGTTTGGTTTGGTTTGGGTTCTTTTTTTTCTTCTCCTTTTTCTCCATAAGTTTAAACCCCGGGTTTGGAGAGGCAATATTTCGACATGGGGCTCATCTGGGCTGCTGGGTTTATAGGTTAACCTAGTAGGTGGATAGTTTAGGGTAGGTAGTATCTAGATAGGAGGGTGGGTTAGGTATAAGCTGAGGATTTTGGGAAAGGTAAGGGTCACAGGCTTGGGCTATAAAGAAGATCACGACTCTCCCGGATTCCTGGAAAGAGGGGGGGGGGGGAAAAGAAAAATCTAGAGCTACTGTTTTTTGTCTTACTTTATATCCTGTTACTACTCGTCGTCGTTGCGCCATATACGCTTCCCAAAACGAGTAAATTTCACTCTACCTACCTACACCCTTTTGTTCTTCACTGAAAATTCTTCGTGAAGATGGTGGTTAAAAGCAACCAGCAACCGGAAGCCGAGTTGCTTCTTGAAAAGGTTCTTGGCCAGGAGGTCAAGATACCAAACCTCTTTGCCCTCTGCCCGTTTGAGGTGAAAGTGGCTCCCAGGAGTGAGAAGCTAGAGAAGGAAGTAGAGCTCTGGCGATCCAGGTAAGATTCTCTCCCCCTTTTTTATTATCCAACATCGACGTTCTTCCTTGTTTGGTTTCTAACATGTGTGAAACCAAAAAAAAGATGGATCACCGACCCTACGGACTTGAAGCGCAACCGCGTGGTCGACCCTTGCCTGTTTGCACGGGCAGCTGCTCCGGATGTTGAGCTCGATGATATGATCACTGTAGCCAAATGGGTTGCTTGGGTGAGTCCAGAGATCATAATGTTTTCTCTCTCCGTTGAGTTTATAGTGCAGACAGACAGGACTGACCATATGGGATAGATATATTACTGGGACGACGGTAGGTTATACCATGACCTCGAACTTAACAACTATACTACTAGCATGTGCTCATCTACCATGTGTTGAACAGCTTACGATTATGGCGACTTCGACGGCAGGACCAGGGATAACGTCATTCACCGCAAGCAGACCATAGAGCTGTTCTATCAGAGCCTGTACAACAAGTCGCCGAGCAGCATCGATCCGGCGACGATCGCTCCAGGCTATCTTACAGCACAGTCTGTCCATGAATGGGGAGCGGTGGTAGGGGAGAATTGCGTATCGGGTAAGCATACCTGCCAGCCAGAGCTTCAACAGATTACCTACTAGGTGACTGACGGAGTTGCTAATCTGTACTACAACAGATTCGTTAAAAGACTGGACGTTCAAGGTCTTCGCAGAGAGCTGCACAGCTATTGCGCGTATCCAGCACATCTTCGACAGCGGCAAGATACTGGATCTCGAGACGTTTTGGGCCATCCGCCACGACTCCTCGGCCTCGTTGCCTACTTTGGCGCTAGTATTGTAAATTGCGACGTTTCTTTTCACATATACATCCCCTATAGCTTATCCACCGCGCTAACACCTTTTAATTCCCAGGTACGCGGACAAAGTCGCGTTTCCCGACTGGTTCTTTGACCACAAGCTAGTCCGCAAGGCCGCGGAGCTGAGCTGCAATATTATCTGGCTGTATGGAACCCCCGTCCGTTCGTTTGATATGTTGCGTCATATAGGATGCTAGGGGGAGTAGAAGCAATGACTGACAGCGAAGGATGTAGGGCCAACGATATCATGTCAGCACGCAACGAACTCGTAAGCTTATAACTATATTTGAAACGTCTGTTACATAGAGTATAGTATGGCTGACGAGAAAAAACAGCAATGCAAACATATCGATAACCTCATACCGCTCCTCGTCTACCACAAGGGGATCACGCCCCAAGAGGCCGTGGACGAGTCAGCCAGGATGTTTCACCAGATGTACCTTGACTTCCAGGACCTGCTGCCACAGCTCCTCCAGCTTGGCGAGGACCGCGGTGCGGTCGACGAGATGCAGAGCTATATCAAGGACTGCAAAACAACGTGTTCGGGCATTCTCCACTGGCAGTGAGTTCTCATCTACCCTACCTACGTTCCATTCCATTACCACCTTACCACCTTACTAAGGTAGCAATCCATTGATTATACTTGGTAAAACACGAGGGCCAAAAAAAAGAAAAAGAAAAACAAAGAGCATGACTAACCCATGTACACGTTGTTAGTTACCACATCAAACGGTACCTTCCGTGGCAGCCGGGCATGGACCTGGACAGTGTGTATGTGAGGTTAGGGGATGAGGACGTGCGGAAGTAGTTAAGTAGATGAACTAAGCTGGGTTGGAATGATGGTACGGTACTGTTGCCAAGGCTTAGAGCAAAAAAGCAATATTCCGAGCTCTTGGGTTTTGGGTGATGGGTAGCTTGGGTAGTTAGGGGTAGGTATTTTTTCTGGTACGGGGTTTCGTTCCTATCACGATCTAGTTAACCCCCCCCAGGGTGTTCACCTAATACCCAGTAAATAGTGTGTAAGCACATACTTACATGTATGTAGACACTTAGTTACTGCTTTCCTAGGATAGTCCATTTTATGTTAGACTACTGTATGTTGAAGATATTACCTAGCATGTAGTTATACACTCTTTGGCTCGTACTTCGTATAGTTAATGTGTATTGAACACTAGGTACTTACTAATACTTACATATCACAAAATATTAGAAATCATTGTCATTGACTTCAATATGTAATTATTGATTGGTTAATATCGTCGGGATTATCGGATATTAGGGGTAAACGATATCTATAAGTGAACATACATATAACTACATCTATTACCTAGGTCCTAGGGTGCTACACGTGTATTTTAGTGTGCCAGTATTTTTAGGTAGTCGGATAAGTTAATTTCAACGATCCGTCATTTTAAACTAGGCGTGCTAGTCTTCAAGTTGATCCTACCTAGTAGATAACCTTGTAGATATGTGGGTGCTTAATTTAGGTCTGTCGTACGGTGTGGTCCCATGTATGCTAGGCTAGTAGCTTATTTGTTTAGTACTACTTAGACATGTAGGTAAAATATATCCCTGTACTTTGCCTTTCTTTTAAGTGAAGCTATCATCAACATTTCATGATACATTATAGGTATGTACCAAGAAGAACACCGACAAGGACTTCGTATGAAAGCCACGTGCTTAATCCATGCCAGTAAATGTACACATCTCTATTCTATGTCTATGCTATTTGGAGGCTAATGGAATGAGTACCTACTGCCTAGGTAGGTATGTAATGAAGATAGACATCTATTCGGTTTGAACCTTGAATAGATAGTAGGTTGTTGATATTACGTACTACTAACGTAGTAATAACAACATTGAAAGACATAAGTCAAATGTGTAAGCAACAATAGAGTTCGAGAAATCTCCGGGCATGATCTACGGCGTAATGACGAAAACTAATGAGAATACTTGGCAGGAGATAAAACTCCTAAACGGGAAGTTAGGGGCCGGTAACGTAGAAGTGCCTAGGTTTGCGAGGGTTCGGTTCATCTTGTCGGCACGGGAAGAGGACGATGCAACCTCGTAATAATCTCCAGGTAATCTGGCTCATTATCGTCGTTGATGATCCCATGCCGAATGAAGAAGTCGATCATGACAGAAGCGCAGTTGGTCTTAAACTCGCCACGAAGCAGAGCTTCCTTGACCTGCTGTACATCCCAAAGATTAAACTCCTGGACCTCGTCGTCATGCGGTTTGGGCACGACGGTATGGTCTACTTCCATGTCGTATAGGTAGAGAATACTCGTACTCACAACCCCGTCCTCCATACCTGAGCCTGCATGGCTCATGCACAAGTACGTAATGGTGCCACATGGCTTTGCGCGTTCCTGTACCAGAGATCCGGGTAAGGATGCTTCCTCATCCGATTCGTGAACAATGCATTCAAAAGGGGACTCTTCCGCCTTAACACCCCCCGCTACGCTTGAGTCGAGCTTGCCTGGGTATGTGTTGAGGTGGGAACTCCGTCGAGGCACCCATATCTTGATGTTGCCCTCGGGAGTTCGCGTGTACACCGTCATATGTGCACCCCTGCAAGCTATACCAAACAGCCCCGCTGCTGCCCGTCGGAGCCGAACCACCGGATACTTGGCGCCAATAACCCGGAAATCCTCGTCGGCCCGCCGGTGGTTCAGCGTTACAAATGTCCCGGCATCTTGAGCTTTCTTTAAAACTTCTGCAAATGCAGCATTGCAGGCGCTGACCGTGTCCTTTCCATTTGAGATATCGAGGACTCTTACGGTGCGAGGCCGTGCGTCCGGTTGACTTACCTCGAAGGCCGAGGTCCAAGGCATCTTGGCAACAACGGAGGGGCTAATGAAGCCATGTGGGCGAGGGTCATCCGGTAACAAGAGCTGATAGAATACGTAGTCCGGTGGCTCTCCATATGAAGCATTGAGGAGGTCGATGTATGGGAAGCTATGTCAGTGTAAGCGCCTGGATGTGGACAAAGTCGTCTGGGTCAATGTAGCGCACTTATCAGTGGTTTTGACCAAGTCAAGATAGGTAGTTAGCGGCGGCATTTTTTTTTCCTGATTCTAGTTCGCACACGTCTACTTGAAAACACTTCTCATTCCTTTAGAGGGAAATGTAAGTTAATCCAATTCACCCAGGGTATAACTAGGTACCTAAGGGGTAAGACTCTTGGGGATTTTTATTAAGTCAGAATCTCAGATGCCTTAAGATAGATATGCTCACCACGATAAGGCTTGAGGAAAATGGCGCAGAGGAACCTTGAAGGCTTTTCATTTGGTAGTTCGATGCTACGACTGGAAAAGCTAGACGCTAATTGTGACTCGACTATTTTTTAAGCATCTCAACGTGACTTGGCAGTTGCAAGAGTTGGGGTCTGAGTCCGTCTGAGAATCTAACAATCAGATTTGTAATGTTTGCATATATTAGGTACCTAGGTATATATAACACCTATTAACCTTAAGGTATGTACGAATAGTAATAGTAATAGTATAAAGAGATCGCATATGCATAATTTGTCCATCAATTGATGCTTTGCATTATGGAGAAAAGAGTCATACCGAATGAAGGGTGAGTGTACGCCGTAGTATGTCCAAAGCGAACCCACTATGATATTCAAGAGACAACATTGAATAAGTATTAGTATAGTATTTCATTGGAGGGGAAGTGAGGGACAGCTGGATGGATGTGAGCTACTAATCGCAAGAACCCCAGTGCTAATACTGTACCGTATAACAGGGCTAGAACCCTGGTGACCATTTTTTATTTATCCCATCTGTGTTGAACTGTGTTGAATTGGTATTTTGCCGCAAATTTGCCGTTTAGAAAAATGTAGGTAACAGTGAAAAATCCAAACACCACAGCCATTGTAACCAGTTGAAAAAAAAAACGAGAAAAAAAAACGGTAGCCCCACCAAAGCATAAATACAGTACTAGCCCCGCTTTAGCCCACCATAGGTACCCACTTTGCCGCCTATGAAATTTCTCCCCTCTTGCTTCCAAATTCTTGGTACCCCTCCTCCCACTCTGCCACACTCTGCCCTCGACAAATTTTCCTTCTCTTTGACCTACAAAACAACCAACCAGCTAGTCGTCGGTGGTTGTTTTGCGACTCTTTGCATTTTTCTACTTTTCCACTTTCACAACAATAGGTCTTCTCTAGAAGAGAACCATTAGGGTGAATTGTGCGACAACGAAGTGCAATCTAGGTCACTTCTTCATCGACACAAATTCGTCACCCCGCCTTGAACTTGATCAACTTCGCCAGTTGTTCAAAAATAAAAAAAACACATAGCAGTATTTCTACGACAATACCGCCAAGATGGTCAAGTAAGTTATCACAGCCATATCTTCCTCTTCTTCCCTCCATCATTACATTACCTTGTCTCTTCCTCGTTTCATTGTCATGTCCTTTGCGCACACTTGAGAGAAATTTCCATTTTTCAACCTCAGCACCCCATGAGATACCGAAAACATGCAACCCCACTCGGAGATAAGCTCCGTTACATCCATATCATCATGGACAACAATACCAATGCTTCATCTCTCAATCCATCTACTCTATCCAGTCTAGTCTTGGGTACACATATCACCACAACGGCTAACATGTGTTTCCAAATAGCTTCACGATCGACGAGATTAGGACCCTTATGGACAAGCCTACCAATGTCCGTAATATGTCCGTTATTGCCCACGTCGACCACGGCAAATCTACCCTGACCGACTCTCTCTTGGCTAAAGCCGGTATCATCTCCACCGCAAAAGCTGGTGATGCCCGAGCTACAGATACAAGAGCTGATGAGCAGGAACGTGGTATCACTATCAAGTCCACTGCCATCTCCCTATATGGCAACCTACCCAGTGATGATGACATCAAGGACATTGTCGGCCAGAAGACCGACGGCAGAGATTTCTTGATCAACCTGATCGACTCCCCTGGTCACGTTGATTTCTCATCTGAAGTTACTGCTGCTCTCCGTGTCACTGACGGTGCCCTTGTCGTTGTCGACACCATTGAGGGTGTCTGTGTCCAGACCGAGACTGTCTTGCGACAGGCTCTTTCTGAGCGCATCAAGCCTGTTGTCGTCATCAACAAGGTCGATCGTGCTCTTCTCGAGCTTCAGGTCTCCAAGGAAGACTTGTACCAGTCCTTTTCGCGAACCATTGAGTCCGTGAACGTCGTCATCTCCACATATCTCGACAAATCCCTAGGTGACCTCCAGGTTTACCCTGAAAAGGGAACTGTTGCTTTCGGTTCTGGTCTCCACGGCTGGGCCTTCACCATTCGTCAATTTGCCATGCGATATGCCAAGAAGTTCGGTGTTGACCGTAACAAGATGATGGAGCGTCTATGGGTGAGTTGGATTCTGAAGCGATTTGCTTCACATGTTTATCGTTTGGTGTACAGCCTACTAACCATTGCACTAGGGTGACAACTACTTCAACACCGCAACCAAGAAGTGGACCAACAAGGGTACCCACGAAGGCAAGCAGCTTGAGCGTGCTTTCAACCAATTTATCCTGGACCCCATTTTCAAGATCTTCTCGGCTGTCATGAACTTCAAGCAGGATGAGATCGCCACTCTCCTCACCAAGCTTGAGCTCAAGCTACCCACCGAGGACAAGGATAAGGAAGGCAAGCAGCTATTGAAGGCTGTCATGCGAACTTTCCTTCCCGCTGCTGATTCTCTTTTGGAGATGATGATTCTCCACCTGCCTTCTCCTGTTACGGCTCAGAGGTATCGTGTTGAGACTCTGTACGAGGGTCCCCCTGATGATGAGGCCGCTATTGGTATTCGTGACTGTGACCCCAAGGGTCCCCTCATGCTTTACGTGTCCAAGATGGTGCCGACCTCTGATAAGGGTCGTTTCTACGCTTTCGGTCGTGTCTTCTCCGGTACCGTCAAGTCCGGTCTTAAGGTCCGCATCCAGGGCCCCAACTACACTCCCGGAAAGAAGGAGGACCTTTTCATCAAGGCCATCCAGCGTACCGTCCTGATGATGGGTGGCAAGGTCGAGCCTATTGACGACATGCCCGCTGGTAACATTGTCGGTCTGGTTGGTATCGACCAGTTCCTTCTCAAGTCTGGTACCCTGTCTACCATTGACACCGCACACAACCTTAAGGTCATGAAGTTCTCCGTGTCCCCTGTCGTCCAGCGATCCGTCCAGGTCAAGAACGCTCAGGATCTACCCAAGCTAGTCGAAGGTCTTAAGCGTCTGTCCAAATCCGATCCTTGTGTCTTGACGTCGACCTCGCCGTCTGGTGAGCACGTCGTTGCTGGCGCTGGTGAGCTGCATCTTGAGATTTGCTTGAAGGATCTTGAGGACGACCATGCCGGTGTTCCTCTGATCATCTCCGACCCCGTTGTCCAGTACCGTGAGACCGTCGCTGGCAAGTCAAGCATGACTGCTCTTTCCAAGTCGCCCAACAAGCACAACCGTATCTACATGGTTGCTGAGCCTATCGACGAGGAGCTTGCCAAGACGATCGAGGAGGGCAAGATTGGACCCCGTGATGATTTCAAGGCCCGTGCCCGTACTCTAGCTGATGACTTCGGCTGGGATGTCACCGATGCCCGAAAGATCTGGTGCTTCGGTCCCGACACCGTTGGCGCTAACTTGTTGGTTGACCAGACCAAGGCTGTGCAGTACCTGAACGAAATCAAGGACTCCGTTGTCTCTGGTTTCCAATGGGCGTCGCGTGAAGGACCTGTTGCTGAGGAGCCCATGCGTGCTGTCCGATTTAACATTCTTGATGTTACTCTACACGCTGATGCCATCCACAGAGGTGGTGGTCAGATCATCCCCACTGCCCGACGTGTGCTGTACGCTGCTGCGCTACTTGCCAACCCGGCGCTCATGGAGCCCGTCTTCTTGGTTGAGATCCAGGTGCCTGAGCAGGCCATGGGTGGCGTGTACGGTGTCCTAACCCGAAGGAGAGGTCACGTCTTCAACGAGGAGCAACGTCCTGGTACTCCTCTATTCACCATCAAGGCTTATCTACCCGTCATGGAGTCTTTCGGCTTCAACGGTGACCTCCGACAAGCCACCTCCGGCCAGGCTTTCCCTACCTTGGTCTTCGACCACTGGCAGATCCTGCCCGGTGGCTCGCCGCTCGAGAAGACCTCCAAGGTCGGACAAATCGTCGAGACGATGCGCAAGCGCAAGGGCCTCAAGGTCGAGGTACCCGATTTCAACAACGTAAGTTTATTACCAACCAATCTCGCGACCGTGATGAATCTGATGCTAACAATGAATTATAGTACTACGACAAGCTATAAAAAGTTTCTCTCGATACTTTATAGACTACGACCTAGTGCCAATTATTGGCGAATATCATGTGGCGACTCGGTACTTTTCCCCTGAGTTTGTCGGATGGATAATACGATCTTTTAGAAGGTCAGAAAGAAATAAACTGCGGCCGTGGATACAGAAAAGCTATGAAAATGCACTGCGCAGGAAACTTTCAATAGCTATCGTACATCTGGTTTGCTTGTACTCTCGATGCAATTAACGATTTTTAAGACAATTATTATATGATGTTAGATGTGACTGTTGCTTGTTTACATGTTTGCGTATGACTTGATGGCATGTATGTGTTTGAGTTCAACTACTTCCTACTACCTACCTGCATAGTATTTCCCCTTGCTTCTGAGAGTAGATGATCGTGAAGCTACATCTATATACAATGTGAGAGAGAATAAATCTATTTGAATTGGCTACCAGACGAGATGCGGACAATTACCTGAGGCACTAGGTAGGTATAAATGGGATGCAAGTAAAAGTTGTATTGGCACTAAAGGATCCATTTGATATTGCCCAATATTAGATACTCGAATCATGATATGTAGGTAGCCAGCTAGCCAGTCGCCCAAAGCCATCATACCATACATGTATCCCTTTTCCTCCTCTTTCTCATATATCTTCTCCCCCCCCCCCCCTTCATCTTTTCTCCGCATATTATGTACGTGTGAATATATATTAGTGAGAGTAAGTGCGTGTCTGTATGTGTGTGTTTCCTTCTATAAATATCCTAATCCAATTCTAATTCTACCTATGTAGAGGTGCCCAAAAATAATCTCATTAAAATAAAAAGTACGTATGTAAATAGTAAATATATATGTATGGATGGATACCTGCCTACCTGCGCCCTGGCTATGCTGCTAAAAAAAAAAGGGAAAAAGAAACAGAACAAGAACAAGAGTCCTCTCCTCCCTATCGAAAAAAAGGGGGGGGTTTGCCTGATGATGAAAATTAGTATATTTATTATTATTCCTCCTTCCCTTTCCCTTCTTCCTTGCTTCCTTACTTCTCTACCTTTTTGCTGCCTATACTTCTGCCGCCCAGTTCGGTTTACGAAGAGCCCAAGATCTTAGCATAAGCATCCTCGACCTCTCCAGCGAGCTCGAGCAGAGAGACGATGACGATCTGGTGGGTGAGGTTGGGGAGGCGGTCGCGGTGGAGGCCAATCCACTCGAGCGGGGGGGTGGCCTCGCCCATATCCTTGAGCTGGGGGGTCTCGATGATGGGGGGTTCGAGGGCGATGTACTCGTACTTGGACTGGGGCACGTTGACCTCGGCGGTGATCTTCTGGCGCTCCTCGCCTTCCTTGCGCTCCTGCTCGGGCTCCGGCACGCCCGTGACCTTGATGGCGGACATGGCGGGGATCTCGCGGCCCCAGGTCTGGGCGAGGGCCTTGGAGTGATTGGCCCACATGCCGCGGATGAAGCTGATGCGCGAGTAGTTCCAGCCGACCTCCACCTTGCCCTCGAACGAGCTCTTGAAGATGTACTCGATGTCGCGCGCTTCCGGAGTCTGCCAGGTCTTCATTGTGGCCTCGAGCTTGGGCACCTTCAGGATCGTGCCACCTCTTGACCCTGTCGCGCTGGCTACCACGTCTTCTACTGCGATCTCGCTAGCTGCCTTGGGCGCCTCGATCCTGCGTACTCCCGCGAGTCCTATCCGCAGCTGACCGAGCGTCATGCCTAGGTTGCTATGGATACGTTTTTCTTCCATGCTGGCGGCAAATCTTGCTTGTGCGTTCAAGGCCTCTAATTTGAAGACCTGGTGATCTGAAAAGGTGTTGGGGAAGATGCCGAGATTGAGGGCCTTGAGTGTCACCACCACATCCGTATGTAGGGATATAGGAGACCGCGTCGTAGATTCGTCAGTCTGTGGCTTTCGAGAGCTAATGTGCTGCATAGATGGCTGGCTTGTCAAAGACTTCCGCTTCATGTACTTTTCTATATCTTGCAAAGACGTCTCATAGCTCGTCTTCCTTTCTTGTATGAGCTTCTGGATAGCTTGCCACAGTGCAACGGTCTGGGCCGCTGATGTAGTAGTGCCAAAAATTTGGACCGCTTCTCCGTCGAGGATAGCTACGAGCCTATCGCCAGACGCCTGTCTCTCATGACGTACGTTGTACATGAGGAACTCCATCTTTGTGATATCGGCGACGAGAAACGCTTGATAGTCAAAGGCCGCTTTTAATCTAAACTGGCTGAAACTAAGGGATGCTTGTATCCTCGGCGTTTCGTTTAGTGCCTGTTCACGTTCTGGCCATTCAATCGAGGTGCGCAGTTTGAAGCTTTGAAGAGCCACGAATCCGCTGAGTCGACCGGTACAATCCACGCCAATTTTTTCGAATCCCAAGCAGAGGTTTTGCTCCCAGTCCGATGTTTTCTTGGAGGAGACCCAGAATTCGTTTATAGCGAACTTGGATTTGCCAAGGGACTGCCCAAGGTCAACGACGACATCTAGGGCCGCAATAGAGATAGTTGCAGTCCAGGGGAATGCTGCCGTAGCGGCAACTTGTTGGTACCTTTGCACCAGATGGCCTTGTGCTATCGAGTCTGCCGTGGTCGGTGCAACAGGCGCCGCTGCACCCTGTCTGATTTCCCCGGGGATCCAGATTTCCCGGAAGAGCAAGAAGTCCTGTAGTTGTTTGGCATTGATCATGACTTCCATTGGACTGACTTTGAGGATGGCAGATACGCCACTCGTACCGCTAACGTGCTTGCTATTCATCATCGAGAGCACGATCGAGTCTACTCCAAAACTTCCCGTAGATTCTCGAGAGTATACGTGTTGCACCGAGGTATAAAACCCGCTAAATGTACCCGAGATTGCAAAGAAGTTGCCGTGATCTGCTCCGTGAACTGTGTTCATCGTGATGTAGATATCTTCGAATCGGGCCGTAGCCGCAACTCTACCAATAGGCTGGCAACTAAGAATGAATTCCTGCTTGCAAATACGTAGGCCCATGTTCAGCTTTACACGTCCCAAGACCGCGCTCGGATCGGCAGTCAGAATATTCTCTTCATCAATATGCTTCGGCTTATTTATGTCTTGATTGGGCACCGTAGGAGTGAGCGGCGTTTCGGGTGTATCGTCGCCGACAACCTCTTTAATGCTGGATGTAATATCTAGGATCAGAGGAACAATGGTTGGATACACAACGTTGCGTGATGGGTCGACCTTGATTTCTCCGTATAGAGTTGGGTCCTCTTTACCGTCATCTTTATACTCCGTCTTCCAAGCTAAGCCAGGTGTACGTAGTACCATACTGTTGCCAGCTTCATCTGCGCTGAACTGACCGTATTTGCCAGCTAACGTAGGTCGATTCTGTTTCGACCCGGCCAAGGTAGCGGATCCATCGGCCGACCTTTTCCCGGAGAGGTATACCACGGCTCCGGCAAAGTCAGCGTCGATCAATAACGACTCCAGTCTTCTACTTCCAAATAATGAACGCCTAGTCTCCGTTGTCTCTTTGGCTGGCTCTGGGACTGATTTCTCTGGCATTATAATTGGCGCCCAATGCTCTGAAGCTTGCTGGGCGTTCTGTGCTGACAAGCTGATCGAATCTTTGAGATGTGCTGCTGGAACGATGAAAGCAGAAGTTAATCGTAAGTCTAATGACTTGCCCACTGCCTGGAAGGCTAGCCGACGGGCATCTGCCGTCGAAACGAAGGCAATATTGAAGATCACTTCTGGTAAAAGGGCCGAGTTTGCTGAACGACGAGACTTGTCTTGGCCCGGTGGGACCATTTGAAGTTGAAAATCCTCGATTGTTAATTTTGCCGAGTTCTTTTTCCGGGTTGCAAACTCGATTCGTTGGAATGATAGGACTAGATCCTCTTGGCCTATCGTCGGCTGGTTGAGTGTAGAAACAAGCCAACAGAGTTGAATGTTCCGTATCTCAAAAGAATACATAACTGAAGACAGGAACGAATCTAGGATATCGCTTTCTCCTTCTTCCTCTTTATCATTTATAGCAATCCGGGGTTTCGATTGCCTCAGTTTTCGTAGATATTCTAGTTCGCGTGATGTGTCGAGGTCCTTGAACTTGTCTCCCATATAACCAAGAACGTCTACTAACGTTGACACAGTATCTGGCGAGAGGTTCACCTCAAATCCATCAGATCTAAAGTCGAACGACCGTAGCTCGTTCCCGTCCTCTGATTCACGAGTTGTGGCAGTAACTAAAACACCAAACGCGAGATTACCGCAAGATCTCATCTCTTCAACTGAGCCTTTCTCAATGTTGAACAGGATCTGGCGAAGATTGATATGTATCTCTGGGTTTTCCAGTATAGCCCCCCCATCCATCTTGTTTGCAAGTTGTATTTGCACCGTATCCAAACGGAATGACAAACGCGCAAAGGGTTCTTCAGCCGATTTGATAGGCGCGTTACCCCAGATCTCGAGTCCAGCAAGACTACCATGAACAGCATAGGTCAGCTTAGAGTCACTGGACTTTGTAGGCTTTGGTGACGCTGGTTTTGCCGACTCGTCCTCAACGGAAACGAAAACTTCGTCAACATGCTCTTTAATGATTTTCCACTGTTCTTGAAGGTCATTGATTGAGTTAGAGATCTCAGGCCGGTTCAGCGCCGTCAGCAGGCTATAAACGGCCGAGGCGTCGAGCTGAATGAGCTCTATGGAGGTCAACACCGTGACTGAATGCTCCCCTGGGGTTGTGTGGCTAGTTATACGGCCATTTATAGGGGGGATCTGCAACAGGGAAAGGCTGCGAGGCTTGTTGTTGACTTCGATTTGCATGTCGTGGGCGTTCTCCTTTATATCAAAATCAAGGATCACTTCTTTTCCAAAGTTGGCTGCCATGTTTGCCCGCGCAACCATCCCAGATATAGAATATGTGAGAGAACGAAGTAACGGTATCGTGATTTTATATGAGTCTAAGAACATTGCTAGATTGACTTGGACCGTAGATAGTCGTTCCACTCCTCTATGCTTATGAGGTTCAGGGGAGGGATTCGAGGGCAATCTCTGTCCTAACGCGTAGAGTTGCGCGACCTCATCCTTTACGAGTAGGTCTAGGACTTCGGCTAAGACGATTGGATCTTGCTTCACGACAAACTCAAGGTCTTGGCTGCTAGCGGCTGACCTGAAAATATGTGTAGAGCATTGCTTGTCAATTTGAACCTCATGTGCCACAATAACGCTTGGGTATTGTAGTCGTGAGATAGCGAGCACCTGCGAGTGACTCTTGATCCTCGCCGAGGCCGAATCACAGCCTAAAATGAGATTTGCGTTGGTGGTACCTTTCGGTCCATTAGTCGTAAGCATAGACAACTTGAGATTGGTGCTTTGGAGTTTGCTGCTTAGATTGATGGTTTCAATTGAGATAGCACCCTCCCCTAACACGAATATCATATGAATCGGACGAGATGGCATGCTGTCGACCGTATCCTGCTGTTTCGGACGCGGTTCCTCAGATACCGAAGAAGACTCCGCCTTCTTGTAAAGCCGGAGTATGTCATCCGCAAGTTCACAGAGTTCCCAGTTGGTCCTTATCCCAGCCTCGTTGCAATACACATTGACGAGCATCAAGGAATCTCCGGTATCAGTAGGGTTCTCGGTTTCACTACTGCTTCTTCTGTCCTGCATTCTTGCGGTTAGATCTATCAGAACGATCTCGTTCTGCTTCGGGCCAGGATCGAGCACCAGTTGCATATATTGTACTCTGACCACGGCTAACATAGGAATTCGGTGGGACGTTTTCTGAATAGGCCCAGGTGCTTTCCCAAATATGTTGTTTAAGAGCACTGCATGGGAAGGATCGTCTAGGTCCCAGCTCCGCCATCGCTCAAAAGCTGCAGTAACCTGTCGCCTCATATCGCTAGGTTGGTGCGCAAACCCAAACATACAATCTCGTCTCAAGTTTTCCTTGGACTCGGGATTTAGAGAGGACCACATTTGGCGCAATCTCGTAACAAGCTTCCACGAATCATATGTTCTGAGATGGTGCGATGCCGTTCGTAGGACAGCTGAAGGACGGACAACAAAAGACGCATCGTTTGCCTGATGCCCTTCGGTTATAACACGGTGTGTGAATTGTTTTAAACGCTCATCCGCAACTGAAAATGTATTCGAGAAAAGTTTCCCAGTCTCCGATGCCAGTATGTTTGTTCTGTGGATCAGTGAAGCTAGATACTCGACTTTCCCCGAAGACGAAGAGACGCGAATAGCACCAATATCCGCATCAACATAATCAACTTCTTTTGAGCCCAAAGAAACCATCACTCTCTCTATTCTAGCTAATACGGCAGCTTGAGTCTCGTCCAAATTCGCGAGCCTCTCGGCGGCAGATACCTGCATAGAGGCGAGTCGGAAGTGAAATGATAGCCGGGACTCACCAGTAATAGAAACACCATCAGCCGGGTCGACTCGTAGTCCAGACCGAGTAGCAAGTACCAGCGATTTGAGCGACATATCATACTGGTCTTGCGGCTCCTGTGATGGTTCGGTGGGATCCAAACTGGAACAATTCACGAAGCGTAGATTTGCCTGGGGTAGCCGCACGACAAAGTCTGTGACCGTCCCGTGTACTTCTGTCTGCTTTTGTGTGTCGAAGATATTCGTCACTGCTTCAATTTGGAGAGTATCAAGGATGTCTTCGGGGCTGGAAGGGGGCAACGATCGTATTAAGGATGCTATGCACTGAAGAGAAGAAGCATTGAGGAACGCTGTGATGCCAGATGGGAGCTCGAATAGGAGACTCTGGTGAGCAGAGTCCTGGTTTAAGTGGTTGGGGTCGATGTCATCTAAATTGAAATCTGAAGAGCTTCGCGGACTACCATCTTCGTCCTCCTCAATGCCATGCAAGACAGCCTCTTGCGTATCAGGACGAACATTATGCAGGGGAAAAGAAGGAGGACAGTATTGGCTTGAAAAAGATATACTGCTGTGGACTAAGTCTTTTCTGTCCGCTGAATCGGGATAGGCAGTGAATGGTGTCGAATCACGCTTGGTGGAAGCATGTTGTGTACGAGACTGGGTCGCTCGCTTAGTGTCGTTGCCCTTGACTACGATCGGGCTTGAGGTAGCATAGCCAGGAGTTTTGGAGCGCTGGGTAGTTCTCACTGAGCTTGATCGTACAATGCCATCGCTGCTCGAGTTAGCTAACGAAAGGAACGAGTTCTTGTGGCGAAGTCCTTGAGGGCGGTGTGCAGCAACCAAAGATGATATCGACGATTTATCAGCTACAGCCTTGGACAAAGTTGGCCGAGGGACGGTTGGGAAACTCTGCGCAGGATTATCAACAGGATCAGGTGTAATATCCTCCAAGAGACCTGGAAGTAACAAAAATTCAGCCCGATGCGTCCGTTGATCATGGCGGCGTATAAGCTCCTGCTGTAGTCGCCTCTCTTGCGCAAAGTCATACTTCCGTCCAATGAGGGCGAAATGTATACTAGTTTTAAGAAATACATCAGTGTCAACACGAGAGTAAAGCTGTGATCTACGCCGCGTAGCAGATTCTGAGTTTACGCAAGCAATCTCAAGATCAGGTACGCTGATATCCGCCCGCCTGGAGTAATGCGTTCTAGCCCAGTCATTAAAAATAACGTCAATCGTTCCCGTAGAGAATAAAAAGGCAGATTCATCCACGTGCACCCAAATCTTGACTGATTCGACGAAAGCTCGTAGAAACGTCACGTCATACACCACGACAGATGAAAATGGAATCAATGCGTTCTCGTCATCGTCGAGAGAGAAGCCAAAGGCTTTTCCTGCTCTTGAAAGGGTGGTGAGAAAATCAGTTGAGCAATCTCCAGTGATAGACCCGATTTTCATATCCCAATTACAAAGGTACGTAGGCTCGGTTGGTGGTAGGCCGAACAAACGATGTCCATATATAGTGACACCATCTATAAATAGTTGTGTACTCGACACAGCGCTCATTGGGCTAGTAGCACCTCCATCTTCGTCTCCGAGGGAAAGGCTCAAGGGACTCAAGCAAAATTCGAGATCCATATAATAGTTCGTAAAACGGAGATCGATAGCCAAGGTAGCGGCTTCGATTGGAATATTACGTCTTGCAGAATACATGTTGGCGGGAAGAAAAATCTTGGGGTCGTCGACATGTATGCTTAGGATTACATCGAAATCGTTAGATTTCTTGAGTGGAGGACGATCTGTAGGTTCGGCGTTTGGATCGGCCTCCTGAATACGAAGTGCCTCTTGATACTCATCCAAAGTCTTAAAATGTACAGTGTCTCCTAAATAATTGTCCTTCAGCTGTAAAAAGTACCGGAGAAGGAATCCATAAAGATATATTGTGGGAGACTGGGCGGAAACGTTAAGAACGAGCGTGTCAGTGTTTGCAGGCGAGGTCGTTGCATTATAATGGTATTTTCCGTCGATGGTTACATTTTCAAGTTGTCCTATCTCTTTTGAAGCTAGAAACGTCGCCTGGGTATTCCATGGCGGTACGTGTAAGCCAAGGCGCAAGGGGTCAATGGTAATGCGAAAGGCCACCGCGTTACTAGGCGGACAGAACTTGTCTAACGATATGCAAGTTTCCGCTAGAAGGCAAGGGCTAGAAAATATTAGGAATGTGTTTTCCTCCCAGTTGATGGGATCATTGACGATGTTCACATCGTTGACATTGAGATACATCTTGAGGTTTCGAAACTGTAGGTTGAGCAGATATTTGAAAGGGGTGAAAAGCAGGTAATCGGGAGGCGGCCCGTTCCCCCAATCGTCGATAATATCAACAATCAAGAAGATGTGATCTCGTAGAATGAACAGCTCGAGTGCGTCTCCATCGATATCAAAACGCCAGGTCCGTAGGGCATTCCACTTGAGAGGGGCAGACAAATCACATGAGACCCGTAGGTGTCCAGATTTCCACAGAAGTCCATGATTGACACTAGTCGAGACCTCTGTCGCAGGCAAATCGATTTTCAGCGTGTTGGTAAAACCAGTAGATTTTGCCAACATATCCATGGTATACGAAATAGTAGCATTCGGTGAGATTTTTATGTCGAGCCACCCGTAAGGACGCTGCTCTGCCCCTGTAGCCGCAGGAGACTTTTGGTTAGAACCCCGTTCTCGCTGATTCCCTTGCTTGCCATGCTGTTTTATTGTAAGCGCCTCCTTTTTCCATTTCCAATTCTTCGAGTCCTCGCGTGTCGGTACCCGAAGAATAACTTCTTGATCGAATTCGATGTAAAAGTTGAACCGTGTAGGAACCCGGTCTGCACCGGGAGGTAGTTTCTGTGCAGGCGTGGCATCCTTGCACAGGCCGGGGAAGAATACCCTTTGCAGTTCAGCTCGCTGTCTGTCCGCCCATGGACCGTAGTTGATGGTGCCGCCCTTCAAAGCCAGGCTGATAGCCCATGCTGGTGCTATAGTTCCATTAACATCATCAGGGGAGCTTTCGAACACCCTTGACGAATGTGATAGGCCACCTGGTAAAACCTTTCCAGGCACATCCCATAGTATTGTAAATGTAGCCTCGGGACAGTCAGCAACTGTATTCACGCTAGCATATTCGACCGAGGACCATCTAAGTTTGTCATCCTCGTCATCATCGTTGAGATATCGGGAAAGTCCCTGCCATTGGTTGGAGCCTGGTATGCGGTCTTCTGAAGTTTCCTCCCCGCTATCTTGTGAATTCACCGAGAAGGACTCCACGGATGTTCTCCAATAAGGGACCAGGTTCCGCAACTGGCCGAGCACCTGCCGGCGATGCCTCCGGAAAAATGACCGGTGTTGAACGGGAGTAGAACCCTTTGCGGCCTGTCTGTCCCTGACCGCTTTAGCAAGCTGGTCTTCTTTATAGCCAGCATTTTCCCTCATCTCAACAACCGGATTATCAAAATGAATCTTGATGACCTGCCGGTATGGATCAGGAGTCTGACAATTTGTTGCGTCGATTTCCCCAGACAAATATTTAGTCTTTACAATAAGGATGGCTTTTGTGTTATCATTTCCCATGACCACAGCCGCTTTGTCACACTTGAAATTTATTGGAAATAACTGCAGCATTGGAGGGAGATCGTTCTTGTCTGGCTTTTCAATACCGCCATCAGACACGGAGGCTGAGCTGAAGGTTCTCTGCTGCTGTCCTCGGGGAGCACCCTTCTCGTCGAAACCTATGTGGGTGTCTTCGCCTTTAGAATCCGCACTTTTCTCGGAGGACTTTTGAAGTCGTTGCCGTGATTTGACCGGGCTATTCGCCAAGCCTTCCGTTCCACCTGGCGGATCGCGAATCTCCTGCTGGGGAACCTGGGTCATGGCATCGAGTATGGAGTCGTATGCAGCGCCACGGTTATAAACAAACCACTCAAGTCCAGAAATGACAATATTTATACGGCAGGGGAGGTCTGATTGTTTACCGGCATCCGATGCGATCCCAGCGTCTCCGGACTTCTCATTCTTATTTCCCACGCTTAGTCCAACATTTCGTACTCTGCGCAGCCAATATGACCATGTGATGTGCCCATTCTGTATAAGAATCGTTTCGTTATTCCCGTGATATCGAAGACCGGTGAAGAAGATACGACCACCGAGAAAGGACCATTGCAAGGCTTGAATATCGATGTAGACCCGATACGCGTGCCAAGTGTAGGCGCGGATAATATACGAGACGATGGAGGCGAATGCTCTATTGAAGTACAACAGAAATAGAACGGCACTGTAGGCATAGTGTGTTAGGCATGTATGATAGCCATGGTATATAACTATAGGATGTATAATAGGTAGATAGCTTACAGGACACCACAGACTATGATATAAGCTAGGAAGTGACTTTGATGAACGAACTTGTTAGCGAGCGCCGGGATATTTTTTTATTTTTATTTTTTTGCATATTATTTATTTCTGGCGGATATAGATATCAACTTACGTGTTGAAGTTTTGCCAGTTCGGCACGCCGCCGCCGTTGCTAGCCATGGCACCTCTGAGCCTCCCCTCCCCCCAAGCTCCCCCTACCGACGGATCGTGGTTCCTCCTAAGACCTATTCAGAATTGCATTTACGCAAGGCATTTGATCCTCGTGTTGCGATTTCTTCAAGACAGGTGTTGGTGCCTCCTAATTGGAGAATAAATTCGCGATGGGATAGATGTCGAATGGTACTCGTAGCTCGACGACGCTTACAAGTTACAGAGTTGCGAATAGGATCGGATTGGTTGGAGAGTTGAGAGAGTGGATATGCATCAACTACTATGTACATATTTAAGTTTAAAGTTTAACGTTCAATAATTGAAGATACAAGTGCTACTACATAGTATGTATGTATTCTGCATAGTATGTAGGTATACTAGGTAATAAGGCTAGATCGCTGCATGACGCGTGAAGAACCAGGGTACAATGTCGGGATTTAGTTAGCCGAGGGTAGCGTTGCAGTACCTATCAGTAGCATTTTCACTAGTGGTTCCACGCTTTTTATTCCTAACATGAACGCTTACATATATCTACCTATATAACTCCACAATATAATTTGATACCTACCACTTACACTTACATATGCTTAGCAGCTTAGGTAGGTAGTTACACTTACACTCACACTTACATCTACATACCAAACTATCTACTATACTATTAGGTAGATACATACCTCACACAACCTCATAGGCTCATACCATACATCCACCTCTGCCTGTCGCTCTCTTCATATTCCATATATTTCGCTGCGGCACCGCACCATCTTTCAATCATGTGCCTTCTTGATCCTTCCGTCGATTGAACAGACACCCAAGTGCACCCCTCCCTCCCCCTTTCTAAGCTCTGGTTGCTTTGCAGCTTCAGATCCGAAAATATGGCTGGAGGAACAGGTCAGAAGTTTACTACGGCCACAACCATCGTTGCCGGTGTTGGTTCGTTGGCAGCCACCCTATTGTCTATTGTGTAAGACACAACCCTCTATCTATTCCATGGCTCAATACTGATATCCTACTGGAATAGTTCAATATGGCTTCAACTGTGTGTCCACCCAAATCTTCGAGCCCTGTCGTGCAACGAGTTAAACATGTATACAGAAAGAATTATCGGAAGCCCCTCTTACAGCGATATGTCGTACGAATATTGTTAATGTGCGAATACCCCGAGACCTGTCTTGCCTATCCTCTAACTCTTCTAGGGTTCCAATTTATTCCATCAGTTCATGGGTCAGCATGGTGTCTTCCGTGGCCGCAGCATTTCTTGATCCTATACGAGATATCTACGAGGTACAGCGACGATCCTGATATTCATGTTCAAAAACTCCCGCCGTATTAACTGACATCTCTTGGCAAAAAGGCCTTTACCATCTACACTTTCTTCCAACTTCTAATCAACTATCTCGATGGCGAACGAGCCCTCATAATCATGACCCACGGCCGTGCCCCGGTACACCATTTGTGGCCGTTAAATCATGCCCTACCGAAAGTCGATATCTCCGATCCATATACGTTCCTGGCTATAAAACGTGGTATACTTCAGTACGCCTGGCTCAAGCCCATCCTAGCCATCGCGGCAACTATTATGAAAGCGACAGGTATTTATCAGGAGGGTTATATCGGGGTTACGTCAGGCTACCTATGGAGTGGCATCATATATAACATCAGCGTTACGCTCAGTTTATACTCGCTTGGTCTATTCTGGGTCTGTATGCACAATGACCTGTTACCCTATCGCCCGGTACCAAAGTTCTTGTGCATAAAACTCGTCATCTTCGCTTCCTACTGGCAGGGCTTCTTCCTCTCGATTCTGGTTTGGCTTGGGGCTATCCCAGATGATGTTCAAGGGTATACTCCGGACAATCTTGCAGCTGCCATTCAAGATGCCCTTATCTGTTGCGAGATGCCAGCATTTGCCGTGGCTCATTGGTATGCATTCTCTTGGCATGATTACGCCGACAACACCGTTTCGTCTGCTAGGTTGCCCGTCAAGTACGCCGTAAGGGATGCCTTCGGCGTCCTTGACCTTATCGAGGATTCCAAGCAGACCTTCCGGGGCGACCAATACAGTTACAGGATATTCGATTCAAGCGGGAAAGTTATGGCACACGAAGACTCGAGTTCCCGATTTGCTAGATTGAAGGATGGGATGAGATACAAACGAGGCGGCGAGGCGAAATATTGGATTCCCAAACCGGGCGAGGTTAGGGGAGAAATGAGCGCTAATACGCCGCTCCTAAATCCCGACGGGGGCCCTAGCGGAAACACACCAAAGTATAGTGAAGGCTCTACTGATGAGACCCCACTAGACCCCGATGATGAGAGGTTTTATGTCAAGGCCCGAGATCTAGAGTTTGGAGACTGGAATGTGAGGTTAACTGGCCCTTCTACTAATGCTTTCTCGCTGATGATTTCTTAGTATCCCGTTATCACAGCAAATGTTCCCTCAAGGGAGCACTGGAGATCTAGACAACCAACTGTATATCAAGCCAATACGGGGGCTTGGCATGCGAGCCGGTCTAACTCATCTAAAAGTATCAGCAACAGGCCGGCATCTGTGACAACCCCTAGTGCCGAGGTCGTGACCAGCAAGCGGAAGAAGGGCAAGCAAAAGCAGAGCAAGCCTGTCCCTGGCCCTGTCCCTGAACCCACAGTTGTCGCTGGTAAAGAATCACAGTCTCAAGGCCCACTCGGCGCCCCTGTTCTCTCGACATCCGATCCCCAGATCTTAGAGGAAGAAGCCGAAGAGGAAGACCCGACATTCCAAGTGGGGGAGATGACGCCGGACGCGGTAACTCCAGGACAGCAGGGAGATGGAACCTGGGATAACAATGAGGTGGGACAGAGTGAAACGAGTCCACTTTTCAGTCCCGACAACGAAGAAGAGTTCCGGAATGTATGGGGTGGTGACGGCTTATAATTTGGAATTATTGTAGTCTTTGGTGACGTTATTAGATACCCTGGGTTTCGCATACGGCTAGTCCACATTCAAAAATAATGCGTAGTGGCGTGTTTTAAGCTTGCACCAAGTTTCGACGACGACTGCGATGAAGTGACTAAATTATATCTGCCTAATGATTGTGATAATTAAAATTGAATGACGACTAATAACCAAAGACATCCCAAAACTCCGGAAAAATGCTCATGCTTCTTAACTCATCATCGTCCAAGCATATATAATCGTTGATCGTACCCGAGTACAAACATTTATAAGGAATGACCTTTCACCCTTTCTATAATCACCCTCCCAAATCCTCCCTTACCCCCCCTTTTTCCCTTCAAACTCGAATTATGCCCTCGCTCTCTCGCCACACTACCTAGTTCTTAGGAATCTTGCAATCCATAAGGCACTTCTCAACACCAAGCGCAACATTGGTGCTGATGAACTGGCGGAACTTATCGACGTCGGCACCGCTGACATGGTTGCCGGCGGCGGCGCGGATGGTGTCGTCCTCGAGGGCGAAGTAGGCCTGGGCGATGGTGTTGGCGCCGAAGTCGTCGCTGGAGAGGGGCGCGACGAAGGTGACGTTGTCGCAGGTGGGGTTGAACTGGGTGTGCAGCGCGCCCATGTAGTACGGCGTGGCCTGCAGCTCCGTGAGGGTGTTCATCACGTTGCGCGGCTGCTTCGCCTCGTTCTCCACGCCGTTCTCGACCACCATCTCGGACACCACGGTGCCTTTCGTCACGATGAGCAGCTCGGTGGCCCGGTTGTGCACGTGCGGCGTGTTGAAGCCGCAGGGGCCCAGGAACCCGACCGCCATGCCGATCCCGGTCCCGGTCAGCGCCGGGAAGGCCTTGCGCGTCGCTTGCACGATCTCGCCGCCGGCGCCGGGGCCGAACTTCCGCGCGGTGTTGAAGTCGAAGAGGAAGTCTTTGTCGTCTTTTAGCACGTTGTTGATGGCGTCTGCGCGGGTGTCCGAGAGCAGGATCTGCTGGACTTTGCTCAGGCCGGTTGGGGTGGCGGGAGGGGTGGCGGTAGCTGAGGTTTTGTCTATATGTTAGTGGGGAGAAATACATATTTTAGGGGGGGGGTAGTCAGTTCATAGCTGGGGAAACTCGTACCGGCGGCGGTCTCGGTGACGCTGGCTGGCGGCATCGCGTCCGTAGGAGCAGGGGCAGGGGCTGCTAGGGAGACAGAGCAGATGGCTAGGACAGCCGCGAGGATCTCGGTTTTAAACATGGTGATGGTGGTTTGTAGGTAGGTAAGTAGGTACCTGGGTATTAGATGACTAAGATGAGAAGGAGTTTGAAGATCGGAATCGTTCCAAGGAAATAACTACTATGATGGCAGTAGGAAAAACTAGGAGACTTGAAGGAAACAAGGAAACCCAGAAAAGGAATCAGAGAAGATAGGAAACAAGAAAACTTGATATGTTTTCTTAGTTGATGAGATGGTGATACTGGAGGGAAGAGACTCTTATTACAAGATTCACTCGAGTCTTTATATCTTCTTCAGCGACGAACCTCTCATGAGGACGACGATACCGACGTAAGGGGGCCAACGCATCTAGCCATCTTCTGCATCCTGCTGATGATTGACCCAGTCATCCATCTCATGGAACTTGTTGTTTCCGCCAGGCTGAGCATGAGGGGATATCTAGATCCGGGCCCGACCCTAGGCAATTTTGGGGAGGCACGCAAAATCGTGAGCAAACAATGAGATCTCGCTAGCTGAACAAGATCAAAGATCGTTGAAGAGAAGATCCAAAAATAAACCATGACATATCTCTAGACTCTAGAGCATGCCAGGGTACCGATTCGACCCAGCCAATGGTAAGGGTCAGATGGCCAAAGTTGGGCGCTCAGCTAAGATTCTTTAGTCCCGTCATTCTGGCAGTGCCACGAAGTTAAGTCCATAGTATCATTCTCCCTCACATGGGATTTTCAAAACTCGATACCGAATCACGTCCAACATAACCAACAGTATTTTGTCGGAATTTTAAAAATGTTGAAGTACGGGGATCTCTTCTGGCCTCAGGATTTCGGCGGTAGAAGTTCCCGTGCAAGAGGATGAGCTAAACAAACGCTAGAACGTACAGCGCATATTATCAATCGATTTCATTATGATAAGATGGATATCGTTATAGACACCGCGCCACATAGTCCATAATAGCCCTTCATCACTCTTGGAACTTGGGGAATGTTCTGACCGACTTAAGTCAACGACTACTATGTAAGGAGTACATTAGGTAGTGTCTGCGGTCTGAAGCCGCATGAGAAGATATATCAATACCCTACCTTGATGGTTAAGTGGGTTAGCACCAGGTATTCAGGCCATGACAAGCACTTACATTGATCTGATATTTAAATGATTTTGTTAAATTATACACCGCTAATTTATTTATATGGAGTAGACCTATATTTGTTGGGTGAGTTCATTCTTACACGATTTGAAGTTATCTCGTAATGCCTATGTTACGGCGTAGTAGATGCTAAAGTGAAATATGTAGATACCATGGTACATGGAAATGATAGTTGCCATTAGTTGGATCTCGTGACAGCAGAGAGTTGCTATTAAAAGCTGGTCATTGTGATTGGTAGGCATGGGCCAGCTCAAATTCTTTACAGAAGCAAAGAACTTCGGGAATCCTTTTCGTTGGTTACCCGTAGTTGACCAAAACGCCTCGAGATCTACCTTTATATCAGCTGTCCCACTTGCCCTACCTAATTTTGTACCGACTTAGAAAGTTCGAATATTGCAAATGTATTCAACTTCATGCTTTCCATGATAAAACTTTGCTTTGGGCATTCTATCCCTAGGTATGTAGTTATGTAGAAGGGCAAAAAAAATAAAAAAAAATAAGGGATAACTATTCACGGTCGGGTATTTCTCTACTACATGTGTTTGTTTGTAACTAGGGATAACCTTGAAAAGACCTCGGGACGATTTCGATGAATATTGATATCCAGGCCATCTAATTGGATACCTACTAAAGGTTAGATTGATATCACATTTATCCGCGTGACGCCGACCATGCTGTAGCTGGAGATTTATGTTGTGTTACCTGCTGTACTTGCCTAACCCTAGCTTAGGTAAGACTGGTAACTTGTAAGTGACTTCAAAGTCAATTTGGAGAATGGTCCAATGTGCCTTGCAGCACTTTGCAGCGTTACAATACATAAGTTAAAGGGTGACATTCTCCCGCTTTGATAGCTTAGATATTCCGGTTTTTCGTTCAGTGCCTAACCCACATGTAAGGTTCTCTTCAAATCGCGTTTTTCGCGTCGAAATTGCATAAACATTAATGTCAGGTACATGTACTGATGGAGGTATGCAATGAATGTGCTGTCATCTGTCATCACACACTTCAATGATGTGCAGTCTACAGTTGTATGTACGTGTAGTTAACGTGGACATGCATTTCAATAAACACGTTTACCCCAGTTGCCCTGTTGACATTATCGTGGGCGATCGATCTGTTGAAGAAGGGGGAAAAGAAGTAAGGACGTCCTTCATCTTTACGCCTTAAACCGCCTTAACATCTTTGATCTTTGGAACCACTATGATATGTCGATATATCAGGACCGCACATCGGGCACGTTTCGACGTGTGTCATGATCGTATCGCCGCGTGGGTTGCGGTGTCGAAGCTTTCGTCTGTGGGCGTCGGTTCCTTGCATTAGTGTTGAGACCGGTCCGGTGTTGACAAGTGATCGTAGGGAGGAATTGCGATAAAGGGAAATTGGGAAATTAGAAAATTGTAAAATTGTTTAAAAAAAAAATGGAAAAATGGGCGTCCCGGTAGTTGCAGCATGCGGTCTGGCATCATAAGCACGCCTACTTATGTATGTAGTATTGTGTGGTATTGTGTGGTATTATGTAGCATACACTTAGTAATCCCTGTAAACTTGACCAATCTTAGCAAATGGGCTGGTACCTGCTTTTAATTCATTTCCAGCCGCCTTGGCCATTGGTCAGCGTTCTTAACAAATTTCAATAAGCTTCAGGATAAACAGCCAATGATGTCGTTAATCGATTACGCTAACCACCAGATAGGTATACCTCGTCTCCAGATGCCCCCTGGAAGAGATTCATGTAGGAAGAGCAACGGGGGAATAGAAGGAGCCTAATGCGCCATTCCTGGAGCCACTTCCCTAATAAGTTGTATTGTGTTGTACATACAATGCTTCCGCTCTTCCACTTTTCCACTCTAAGGCAAAGTTGGCAGGGCTAGTTGCCTCCCCCCAGTCCCCGCCGTTTACTTAGTAACTGCTACATATGTACCTACTATTATGTAGTAGTACCAACTATGGATGTTACTATGTATGTAGAATGTAGTATGTAGTGTGTACCTGCATACTCCTACTCCTCCTACTCCTCCTCCTCCTCTGGTCCTCCTTAACCCTTTTTTGTTCGAGTTATCTCTCCATCCTTTTCATCTTGGGCATCGTGGTCAAAATCCCTCCTTCTTTTTTGCTTTTTCCACCCTCGTTCTTTTGCAGTTTATCTGCTGTCACTCGCTCATTATCGTGAAGATTTATCTTCCAGTCACTCATTTAAAGCAAATATCAAATATCACTCTCGCTCTCAAAGGTTCTTCAAGATCGTCAGTTGCTAAAATAAACCTGATTTCTTGCTCATCTTGCGACTAAACCTCGAACATTGATAGATCGTCATCTCCGTTGTTGATCTTGTTGTTGATCACTCGACACCCTAACAGAGGGGCATATGCCTTTAGCTTGACATATTTGATCCAGACACTCGTTTGAAACGAAACTATGAAGATTACAACGATACAAGCCGCCCTCGGGTCGGCACTCCTCCTCTGGAATGCTCAGCCTTGCGCCGCTACTGCCCAGCACCGACATCACCATCTTCACCTGGAGAAGAAGCATGCCCACAGTCATGTCCACAGTCAGATTCAGGATAGCTACAATCCTAACTATATGGCGCGAAACACCTCGGCGCTAGTGTCGCGAGACGGCAAGAAGAAATGCGCCTTCCCACTGGATAAAGGCCTACAGGCCGTGACTCCGACTGGCATGAATGGTGGATGGGCTATGGCCCCTGATCAAGAGTGTGTATCCGGGACCTGGTGTCCTATTGCCTGCCCCTCAGGCAAAGTCAGTACACAATGGAAGCCGGATACTCATTACCGATTTCCCGAATCGACCGTCAGTCATCATCGATATCCCTAGGACTTTTTGCGATAGAGAACTAACTTGAGTACAGTACGGTGGCGTTTATTGCAACGACAATGGTGAGATCGATGTGCCTTTCAAAAACAAGCCTTGGTGTGTGGATGGCACAGGCTCTGTGAAGGCAGTAAATAAAGCCGGCAATATTGTTTCATTCTGCCAGACTTGCTTGCCGGGCTACGAAGATATGATTATTCCTACCGATGTCATTGATAGTGTAACTCTAGCTGTTCCGGATACGTCTTATTGGGACTCAACCGCAGCTCACTATTACATCAATGCGCCAGGTGTTAATGGCGACCGAGGATGCCATTGGGGAAATGAGAACGAACCGATAGGTAACTGGTCCCCTTACGTCGCTGGAGCAAATACGGATGCGGAGGGCCGAACGTTCGTCAAGCTTGGATTAAATCCGGTATGGCAATCTTCGCCATTATTCAACAACAAACCAAGCTTCGGGTTAAGAATCGAATGCCCAGGGGGGGACTGCCAAGGCATACCTTGCAAAATGGATGGTAATGGTGTCACGAGCAATACCAAAGCGAACGGTGCTGGTGGATCGGACTTCTGTGTTGTCACGGTTCCCAAAGGTTCCAAAGCCAACATTGTCGTGGAGGCCGTGGGTGGCCCCGTAGGGGGTGTGCCAGCGGGTGCGCCAGGGTATTCTCGGTCCGAGCCCGAGCCTACTTCTTCCGCCGAGGCCTCTCCTACACCTGATGCCACTACAACAAGTTCCGCGCCGTCGTCGACGTCAACGTCCTCCAGCGTTGTATCTACATCTACATCGGCATCGGCATCATCTATTTCGTCTACTTCTTCCGAGGAGTCTACTACCAGCTCATCGACGAGCAGCACTGCTGCCACTAGTAATTCGCCATCTTCAAGCAGTAGTCAAGGCTTGGTAGTAAGCTTGGGCGGAATTTTCCAGGAAAATGTAACATCTAGTACCAGCTTTTCTCAGGGCGGGCCGTCGGCGACACCTGGCTCCGTCTCCGTTTCCAACACTGGAGCCGAATCCGGAGCCGAGTCCGCTTCCAGTGACACAGCCGCGAATGAAGGAGCGGCTCAACCACAAGGCGGCGCTGCTATCGCAGGCCTCATAGTCGCTTTCGTGGCCGCTGGCTATTTGCTATAGAGCAGGCAAATAATGAATCGTGTCAGGGATTCTGACATGTTATCCCCATGGGGATAATGATTTTATTCGCCACGTTTGGAATAATCTCTGGCGACCTTGTCGATATGTATATTGCCATCTTGGTACGGCAACGCACGGTTCCTATTTCCATATATCTCATAGTCTCAGGGAGACCTTGAATGTCTCCATCACGAGCTAGTCGCATATAACGAATTATCTATTGAATAGTGTTTATTGTTTCCATTCATCATACATAACCGCTCATATATCCTCCGCAGTTATGGAGTACCTTTTTTGGATATTTTTGCTCCTGCACATTTTTTCTCCATTTCTATTCTATGTATACCCCCTTTTTGGAGAGGGCCCGCGCCTGGGTGGTTTGGAGCTAATTTATATTCTTCGTGGTATCGCGAACTCTGCGTCAGGAAAGCAGAATCAAAATATCAGCACACGGAGGGAGGGAACTTTTTCTCTTTGAGCCCTGAGGTTGCTTCAAGAGAAAAAAAAACGAGGGTTTGAAAGCTTTAGCTGAGAGATACACGACCAAGACGAGACGCGAATCTGAAATTTTTACACTTTTTTTTTTCGAACAAACGACACGACACAGGACACAGATATCTGAAAAACTCGGGGGCGCCGCGGTCTTTCTTGGGAGGGAGGGTTTTCTCTGGATTATAGGAAAAACTATTATCTTCGATTATATTGGATATATATACATATGTAACTATACATATATTATTCTGTTTCGATATGGAGGGGCAGGAAATAACTGGAGCTGGAGCTGGAGCCCGAATGTGGTTGAGATCTAGACATCTGGACCGCCCGCCCCATTTTTTACTTTCCTGTAGATACTATGTACCTATTTTTTACCTTCTGCCACAATCAAGATGGCATTTGCTTGCTTGCTGCCAACCTGGGTGCCTAGGTACATTTGTGGGGAGGAGTAGGTGGCTACATTGCATTGTCTCGGGCACTCGCTGGTGTTGAATATAAGTTCAGTTTGACTCGGTAGATATTTTTGATCAGGTGTGGTGACTTTGCATGTACTGTCGCACCACATTGGAACTAAAGATGTGAGATCATTTTGATATCTAGGTAGTTATTAGGTAGGTACAATAGAAAAACCACTTGAGATGTACCTAGTTAGTTAGATGGATGTTATTTGTTGCGGAATCTTACCTATCGAAAAGGGGGTTCGATTAACCCTAAATACCGAGCGGAGTTCTATTGTCATAGGTTCTTGATCCAAGAAGCAGGCAGTAACTACATAATTAATAGCACATAACTATGTACCAAACATGCATACCGGTACCTAAGTGCATATAGGGGTATCATTCGTGATTTCGTTATATACCTAGGCACTGCACTATACTTACTAGGTTACTATACTAGGGAACTTTTTCTTTTCTTTTTCTTTTCTATCTCAAATTATCCATCCTTTACTCTCCATATCCTGCTCCGTAACGGTCTATATCCAGTCCAGTCTCACCTACTCCTCCTCTTTCACCCACCCCGGCACCACGAGCTCGATGGAGCGCTGGTCGATGATCTCGCCGACGTTGGGCCAGCCGGCGGCGACCGCGCTACCCTTCTGCTTCGCGCCCATAATGGCGAAGACACCCATGGAGTGCGCGATGTATCCGTGCAGCAGGTCCTGCGCGATGAGCGAGGCGACGACGGACTCGACGTGGTGCGCCGTGACGGGCCGGTTGCCGTACAGGACGCCCTCCTCGGGCGACAGTTGCTTGGGCCCGCCGGGAGGGGGGGCGAGCGTCGAGGTCTCGTTGCCGGGGCCGATGCTGTTGGAGACGGCCTTGAGAAACATAGAGTTGACCTGAGACTGCCGGCCCCTGGATGTCGGGCGCGCCGGGAGATAGCCTTCGAGTCGCTTCTGCACGAAGGCCATGGCGGTTTCGAAGTGCGCGAGATCGAGGGTGATGGCTTTGCGCGAGTCACCTTCCGCGGGCGGGATGTACGTGAGGACGAACGTGCGTCGTGAGAGCGAGCGCCAGAGCAGTGGCCGTAGGCGGTATTGGAGCGTGGTGAGTAAACGCAGGCCTTTGCTGCGTAGCCAATCTTCGTGCTGTTTGATGGTATGTTGAAAGAGAATGTAGTTGCCGGTGCGGATCGACTGGGCGATCTGGGAGTACACCTGGGCCATGGACTGCGCCTCTGGTCGCTGGAGCAAGGCCTGAGAGGGCAGGCGGCCTAGGACAAGCTTGCATGGGATCAGGTATGTGAGGATGAGCCGGCGGTGCTTCTGGAAGTGCGAGGGCGTTTGCAAGTAAGCTTCTTCGAAACATTGCGCAGCCCGCCAGTAGTGCGTATGGTTGAAGTGAAAGCGGCCGAGGAAGTACAAGAACGTCACCCTTTGACTAGCTGGATAGAACGAAAGAGGCGGCGACTTGGCCATGATATTGGTCAAGAGCTGCGCTGCCAAGTAAGACTTGTGATTCTACAAATTGCGAATATCAGCCTGGAATCGGATAAAGGTCGTCATGTGATTCAAATTACCATAGTCAAAAGCTTCAAGGTTTTGTTAGCGAAGATGTAGATTCCCACTTTCTTCCCCGTGGGCTCTGCAAAACGTGTGCTCGACCGGTCAGTGAGACATGTGGTGAAGAACTTTTGCATAATTTCTGCCGTGACCTCGATTACCGATTTTCGTTCCTCGTCGCCGGCGTGCAAAGCTGCTAGCTTCATCGTGAGATCAGGTCGTTTATTCAGCGTCATGGACAGGGTGGATAGTGAGGCGCAAAGTGATATGCTCGTCTGCAACATGATGGTTCCATATGTGGGATTATTAAGCGCCGTAGCACATGAGCTACCTTTGTTAGCGGAGGTCGACGTGGGATCGAGATAGGCGAAGGGTTGGTGTACTTTGTCAAGGCAGTAAGCAATTGATGGGCTCCTAGGAGGTCCTCGAAATCGACGTCTCTCCAGTACTCGAAGTAATCCTTCATGAAGGAGAGGAATCCGGGCCATGTCGTCCCTTGGCCCTCTGGGACGTCATCTTCCTCGGGTAGACATGACTCCATGAGCTTCTCAAGTGCGCCATCCTCTTGGTAGCGACTCTTGAGCTCAGCTGCAAGGTCATAATAATCTTTTGGCAGAGGCGGCTCTACCTTCAGCCAGTCACGTAGTGATTCTCCATCAAGAGATTTCAATATACCGCGAATACTCGAAAGGAACTTAGTTGCCAAGGCCATTGTGAGAGATTGGTGAGGGTTGAGATGGGAGATGTTGGGTTTCCCTCAGATCATGGCGTTCAATGCCTGTGAAGATGTAGTCGATAGAGCTAGGGGAGTAAATATATAGCGATTGGATGTGTTCCAGAGGTCATTGAAACGAGAGTGAATCAGAATATATCACATGATATGTGGTAGAGGATCCTCCATGATGAGTGATGTGATACTCTGTATATGCACAAGGTATAGTTCAATAGTTGTGAGGTTCAAATGTTCAATGCACATGTGCTAAAGTGTTCAATGATTACCACAGTACGTACTGTATACTTCCTACTTGATCAATGCGATATCGATAAGATTCGCTACTAGGTAGCATGGTACCTGGCACTTTATTCATAATATATCTATTTAAGAGAGGCCCCATTTTAAATTCCCCCCCTCAATTCTATAAATACTACTAGTAGTATAACCCTCATTGTTACATAAAGTTGTTTTTGCATGTGAAATGCACTATAACATCCTCCAGATGGATACTAGATAAATATCATCATATTTTGAAAACCACAAAGTCACATTATCATATGTTGAATTATTGGTCGTAATATGGCTATTTTCAAATTGTTGAATCCTTATGATACAGAGTTGACTCGTTGAACGACTATAGCGGTAGCCGCACCGCCCCCGTTGCAGATAGCGGCAACACCATACTCCCCTGGCTGGAGCTGATGTAGCAATGTTGTGAGAATTCGGGATCCCGAGCTCCCTAGTGCGTGCCCTAAAGAAATCGCACCACCTAGAGGGTTGACTCTCGCCCCTTCGAGACCAAGGATCTGTCATCCCTTGTTAGCATTTTTGATACTCAATGCAAGTTCGTGAATGCTCACCTGTTCGTTGGCTTTGATGACTGCAGCAAAAGCCTCATTGAATTCCCAGACCGCAACTTGGTCTTTTGTGATGCCTGCGCGCTTCAATGCTATTGGTACTGCCTGGGCTGGAGCGATGGGAAAGTCTACTGGGTCGACAGCAGCGTCGGCATAGCCGCATATCCTCGAGAGGACCCTAGAAACACCTCCAAAATTCTCTGCGATCTCCTTACTTCCCAGAACCAGCGCACTAGCACCATCGTTAAGTGTAGAGGAACTCGCTGCTGTGACCGTACCAGTGCCATCACGAATGAAAGCTGGCTTTAGCGTGGGAATTTTTTCAAAGTTGACGTCTGAGTATCCCTCGTCAGTGTCAACGATAGTGTCGCCTCGCCGACCTTTTACAGCCACGGGCACGATTTCATCGGCAAACGCGTTGATATCCCACGCAGCTTGCGCTCGCTGGTACGACTGAATAGCATACTCGTCTTGTGCCTCCCGAGTAATTCCGTACTTCTCGGCGGTTTTTTCGGCGCAGATCCCCATATGAAATTGGTCATATACATCTGTTAGCCCGTCCTTGAGAATGCCATCTTCCATCTTAACGTGGCCGAATGGAGGGAAGGCACTTGGACGACGAACGTAGTATGGGACTTGCGACATGTTCTCCATACCACCAGCTATTTGTGCCTCACTTAGGCCAAGCTGAATGTTTTGGGCTGCAAAGATTACAGCCTTTAAGCCCGAGGCACAGACCTTGTTAATGGTAACGGCCTCGACGCTCTTGGGAAGGCCGGCGAAAATGACCGCCTGTCTAGCAGGAGCTTGGCCAACGGAGGCTTGTAAAACATTTCCCAAATAGACATCGGTTATTTTCTTAACTGGGACTTTGGACTTTTCTAGGGCTGACTTGATAGCAACGGAGGCGAGCTGTGGCGCAGACACCGTCAAGAAAGCACCATTAAACTAAATAGCATATTAGCTCTCATGCCGTTGTAACAATAATGCTACTTGGGTAGTTTTATTCCAAGCATTTGCCCACCTTTCCAGTCGGGGTCCTCGATGCACTTAATATGTATGCATCACGAACTTCTTGTCTTTGAGCTGACTGTATAGAGAAGTATCGAGACGACACGAAAGCTCGAGGGCCCGCGTGAAGGGGGGAGATCTTAGCAGCAGATCTAACTGTACCTAGCCGAAGTACCATGTTGACGCTGTTGAATAAATCACCAATGATAAGACTGGTATGGTAGTATGACTTAAATAGGGCAATAAGTGAAGACAAGAGGAATTAAAAGAAACCAAGACAAGATTAACGTCATGGAGGTTGTAAATGTCAAGGGTGAAAGGTAAATGGTCACAGGCCCGACCTTTTCCTTTTTGATATGTTGTATTGACTAACGCCTCGGCTTACCGCGGAACATTTATATATGCATTATTATTGTTTAGTTCCTTCCTATTCCCTTCAAAGGGATTCGATGTTCTGCCCCTCCATCTGCTATGTACATACATAAATACAAATGAATAGACCGAGGCACCCCATCCTGGGCAAATCTGGGGAAGTACGTACATAACATCCATAGTATATGTACCTTCAAGTTGTGTATCTTTCAAGTTCTAGAAAACAGTTGATATTTGAATTTTGAACAATATACTAACCTAGGTATGTACATATATACATAACCTACACTACATATACTACTATTGTACATCACTGGGCAATGATATCGTAGAGAGTATCATTGCTTGTTGTGTAGTATAACTATTGGTATTTGCATATTTTTCTCTAACTTGAATATGTATATACCTATTACATACATATATATACATATAGCAAGGTAGTGTCTGCTAATTGCTCCGACAATCCACTTAACCTACGTGCCTGTAGTGACCAGGCGGGGTGCCATGCATATGTGCCGATAAACTACACACTACAGTAAACTACACTAGCTCCTACCGTTTCAGTGACATTCCTCTAATAAATGGTGCTGCTGGGTTGAGATTCATCACGTGAGACAACACAGTCGAGTCCACTTTTGCTTATGTACATGTACAGTTGCAGGGCTAGTCGGTCGCTCAAACCTTCAATTGGATAACTAACTGTCAAGAAGTACCTAGGTACCGTTTGCTATCACGTCAATTCCTTTCCCATCAGCACTTTCTTCTCTGTTGGGAACAATCGCCGCCCGAAAGAACCATCTTATCGCCCATTACACATTTGTCTATATCGCCGCCGACTTACCTCATTTGTATCCTTTTTCAACATCTTCATCTTTCAACAATCAACAACCTTGCGAATCACTTCCAATCCACTTTCGACTCGATTATTGACAAATCAATCACCCTCTTCGAAACAATTTATCTCTACCTAAGTCATTAGGTAGTAGGTATCGAAGAATATCACAGGAACCATTATTACTTCGTAGACCGCCGTCTTTTACCAAATTCAACATGTCGACCGCCGCCCGCCGCCGCTTGATGCGAGACTTCAAGGTTAGATAGGTCCTCGCCTTCAGCATATCCGCAGATCCGGAGCATGCTAACTTTAGAACTCAACCACGTAGCGCATGCAGACTGACCCCCCCGCCGGAGTGTCTGCATCCCCGGTCCCCGACAACGTTATGACTTGGTAAGATCACAAAGGGCTACTCACGCTTCATCGCTTCGGTATTTACAACTAACCTTCTACGCAAAAAGGAATGCGGTTATCATAGGACCGGCTGACACACCTTTTGAAGATGGCACGTTTCGACTCGTAATGCATTTCGAGGAGCAATACCCGAACAAGCCTCCGGCAGTCAAATTCATCAGCCAGATGTTTCACCCCAATGTCTATGCTACGGGCGAGTTGTGCCTTGATATTCTCCAGAATCGCTGGAGCCCCACATACGACGTTGCCGCCGTCCTGACGAGCATTCAAAGGTGAGAGAAAGAATGGTTGGAATCCATTAGCACATGTCTCCGATACTGACCCCTTTTGTCCTAGTCTGCTCAATGACCCCAATACCGGCTCCCCCGCGAATGTTGAAGCCTCTAATCTCTACAAGGACAATCGTAAGGAGTACACTAAGAGGGTTCGTGAGACCGTAGAGAAGAGCTGGGAGGACTAAGCTCGTTCCATCCTTTATTAAACCGATATAAACCCGAACCCGGACTTATGGCTCGAAAGGTATGGAACATAGCTCGATAGAGATCTATGAGAGCCAGAGCAAGATGGAAGAGTTTACGATGGGAGCTTAGGACTTTTGCGCGAGCATTTTAGCAACATATTAGCATGGCGCCGCTTCGGCTCTAGGCAAGAATCATCCGCAAGGGGAGTAATGGCTCGGCGTTTCGGTAGGCGCCGAATAGGAGGAAGTATCATAGGTTATGGTGTTAAGGAGAATCATGTTCCTTGATGCCTGGATGACCAGGTATCTTCCAAGTAGTACTTTACGAACCACTACTCTACCGTAGTACTCTATGGTGATGATTTCTGAATATCCTCGCATTGGCTCTGGCGTTTCGTTTCCCTTTCTAAGCTAGGAATGCTGCATGCCTAGGTAGGCCTAGGCAGTTAGCATTAGTGCTTAGGTAGTTACTGAATTCGCAACGAAATCCATGGTTACAAAATGATAATAAAATGATGGCGATCACTGTACCAGCGGCTAGCCCGCGTTCTTGGGTTTCAGGGGATACTACATAAGTTGTGTTCGATTTGATGCATGAACTACATAACTATAAGTCACAGTAGACATCATTTAAATCGATAGACATGTTCAATTTCCAGGTCCTTGGGTCCAGAGCTATTTTTAATATGATACCTACTACACTACATAATGATTATATATATATCGGATGGGGCGTACCACACACATGAAGCTCCAGGATCTGTATGTAGATATCATTGATCCATGGATGCGGACTTAAATAATAATTGCTACGCTCATACCAGGTCTTGTGACGCGTTCCCTTCCGAAAAGTGGGATGAATCGCCCGGGTGGTTTGATCCAACACTTGCATTCAAGTTGCAAGGCAATGCTACTAGGTTAGGTATTAGATAAAGGACAATTGAGGTGAAATCGTGCGTGTAGGATACAGGAATTATAGCATACTTCCCAGTCATGTGTATATATTGAGGTCACTAGTATATATTCTCAGGGCTGCATGTGCATTATTCAATGTTACATAACATCCATACATCCATGATATGTACATCCATGATATGTACATAGTACTACATACTAGTAGCATTAATAAATTCGATGCTGTCAAGAAGTTAAAACTAACATTAAACAATAAAACCTTGGAACTCTAAATACCCCCTCGCATAAACTGTACTAAATAACTGTTACCACCAAGTACCCTAGAGTCTAGACAGGTAGGTACTAGGTTAGGTAGGTAGTCGCAGCTGGATAATTCTTGTCAGTCTTGAAATGTCTGAATTGACTGCCGCTTCCTTGCAGGTTCCGCACAGCTGGCAGTTACTAACCCCCCCACCCCTGGCTTTTTAGGTGCATTTTCCAAACTCCAAACTCCAAACTTCAGGCACAAGCCGAATCCCGTTACCTAGTACACAATCGTCAACGCAACCTTTTCTTCCCAATACAAACCACCTTACTCCTCCCCCCCAACTCGACGCGACCCTTCTCGACACTATACAGCTCATATTTAAGCTTATTAAAGGACTTTACAAGACACATTCGACTTTTATTGTTACCTATTTGACTATTCTTTGACCTGTTCGCCGTTTTGTCGGCCGAGCTGTGTCTGTGTTACCTACAAGGCCTATTTTCTTAATATGAAATAGGCCTTTTCTCCTCGTACATATTCCCCTGCGCGTAGCCGTCTCCACCTGTCAACCTCATCATGGCCGCAAATAGTATCAAGGTCGTTGCCCGTTTCCGGCCGCAGAATAAGGTCGAGTTGGCATCTGGCGGAGAGCCTATCGTTACTTTCGATGGCCTCGACACCTGTGCCCTCAACGTACGTCTATCCCCTTCACTTCCCCCTTTTCCTTCCTCTCTTTCCCCTCTTCTTTCCACCATTGCATCTGCCGTTGTTGATACTGAGACTGTATCTTCAAATAGTCGGGAGAAGCTACGGGCACTTTCACCTTTGATCGTGTGTTTGGAATGCAAGGTAGACAACACGAAATATTCGATTACTCTATCAAACCCACCGTCGACGATATCCTTAACGGTTACAATGGAACGGTGTTTGCATATGGCCAGACTGGTGCAGGAAAGTCCTATACCATGATGGGGACGAGTATAGAGGACGACGAAGGCAAAGGTATCACTCCTCGTATTGTCGAACAAATCTTCAGCAGTATCATGTCCAGCCCACCTACTATCGAATATACTGTTCGGGTCAGCTATATGGAAATCTACATGGAACGTATCCGCGATCTCTTAGCGCCGCAGAATGATAACCTGCCTGTCCACGAGGAGAAGAATCGGGGTGTGTATGTCAAGGGTCTCTTGGAGATCTACGTCTCGAGCGTGGAAGAAGTTTTTGAAGTAATGAAGAGGGGTGGAAATGCAAGAGCTGTCGCTGCCACCAACATGAATCAGGAGTCATCACGTTCACACTCCATTTTCGTCATCACCATATCTCAGAAAAATCTTGAAACGGGTTCCATGAAGAGCGGTCAATTATTCTTGGTCGATCTGGCTGGAAGTGAGAAAGTTGGCAAGACCGGTGCTAGCGGCCAGACTTTGGAGGAAGCGAAGAAGATCAACAAGAGTTTGAGTGCCTTGGGTATGGTCATTAACGCTCTCACTGACGGCAAATCCTCCCACGTCCCCTATCGAGATTCCAAGTTGACGAGGATTCTACAAGAGTCTCTCGGAGGAAACAGTAGGACGACACTCATTATAAATTGCTCTCCAAGTAGTTATAACGATGCTGAAACGCTAAGCACGCTACGATTTGGTATGAGAGCGAAATCGATTAAGAACAAGGCCAAGGTCAATGCCGAGCTCAGTCCCTCAGAGCTCAAGGCTATGCTTGCTAAAGCCAAGTCCAACATCACCACCTTCGAAGGCTATATCTCAAACTTGGAAGGGGAACTCCAGCTGTGGCGTGGCGGCGAAACTGTCCCCAAAGAGAAATGGGTTCAGTCAATGCTTTCTGATAGCGTGTCCAGCACAAGACAAGATACGAGGTCTCACCGGCCTTCGACTCCGTCGCGGCTCATGACCGAAAGTCGAGCTGAAACGCCAGCACTGACGGATCGTTCTGGGACCCCAAGTCTCCCTCTGGATAAGGATGAGAGAGAGGAATTCCTCCGAAGAGAGAATGAGCTGCAAGATCAGTTAGCAGAGAAGGAGTCGGCCGTTGCTGCAGCTGAGAAGTCCCTTCAAGAGTCTAGGGAGGAGCTATCTTTCTTGAAGGACCACGATAGCAAGATGGGCAAAGAGAATGAACGATTAACAACAGAGGTCAACGAGGCCAAGATGCAGCTCGAACGCCTAACCTTCGAAAGCAAGGAAGCCCAGATTACCATGGATGCATTGAAAGAGGCGAACTCCGAGCTTACGACAGAGCTTGACGAAGTTAAACAACAACTCTTAGATATCAAGATGAGCGCCAAGGAGACCAGTGCCGTTCTGGATGATAAGGAGAAGAAGAAGGCCGAGAAGATGGCTAAGATGATGGCAGGATTTGACTTGGGTGGAGAGGTATTTAGTGCCAACGAGCAGTCGATTGCCAATGCCATCCAGCAGGTCGAAGCACTATTCGAGCAATGCTCATCAGGCGACCCCATCCCACCAGATGATCTACAGGAACTCAAGGCCAAGTTAGTAGAGACACAAGGCATCGTCCGACAAGCGGAGTTGTCTTTGCACAGCGGCGTGCCCGGCCTAGCAAATGGCAAGACAATGCAACAACAAATCGCCGAGTTCGACGTTATGAAGAAGAGTTTGATGCGAGATTTGCAGAACAGGTGTGAAAGAGTGGTGGAACTCGAGATCTCTCTCGACGAGACTCGCGAGCAGTACAACAATGTGTTGCGGTCGTCCAATAACCGCGCCCAGCAAAAGAAGATGGCTTTCCTTGAACGCAACCTTGAGCAGTTAACTCAAGTGCAACGTCAACTTGTTGAACAAAACAGTAGCCTGAAGAAGGAGGTGGCTATCGCCGAGAGGAAACTCATTGCAAGAAATGAGCGTATCTCTAGCTTGGAGAGCTTGTTGCAGGATAGCCAGGAGAAATTGACAGCTGCGAATCACCGGTTCGTCATGCGCTTCCCACGTATCTAATTAACCTCTACTAACTAGGTGACAGATTCGAGTCCCAACTTACTGCCGTCAAGGAGCGTCTTGAGGCAGCCAAGGCTGGCTCGACTCGTGGCCTAAATGCATCGTCGGGTGGTTTCAGCTTCGCTAATGCCGGAAGCCGCATCGCGAAACCGCTCCGTGGTGGAGGTGCTGCCGGTGATGCGCCCGCTCAAGTTCCCACTATCGCCAACCTACAAAACGAAGGCAATGCTGGTAAGAGAAGCAGCTGGTTCTTCCAGAAGTAGATGGAGGGATATGCATGAGAAGACCACAGATAACCACTACTACGACCCGGTAAACGGATGAAACTAGAATGTAAAGGAATATCCCCCAATACTCTAGAGGACACGCGAGGAGCCCGGTTTCATTTTGTGGCACAGATAGAGGATTATACCCCAGCACCGGTCCCCGAATTTCTTCCATTTCGACGCTATCCAGCTCTGCTCGAGCTATGATGGACAGTTTTCGAGGATGAAATATTGAACCTCTTTATACGGGCTTGTATGGGTGGGACCCAACCTCCCAGGTGTCTGATCCGATGCCAAGGGGGAGGCAAATCATCCTTGTATACAAGGTGAAGTCCATAGAGAGGAGATGGGAACTTGGTGTTGTTGACGAAACTGTGTTTTTTTGCACGGGTTTATGAGAACAGGACACGATGCGATATGCCCAGCCCCTATTTATTTTATTTTATTTTTCTCTGATCCTCCCCCTCTACTGCTACTACTAGTCATTGTTCTTGTGCAAAGCCAATTACCTATCTGCATAATACCTAGATGCCCTTCTACCTATATGTCTATCTATCTACCTGCCTTGGAACGGGATGGCGCGGAGTTTTGAGTATACACTGTGGTTGTTGTTGTTGTTGTTGCTACTGTTGCTGTTGTGGTCGTAGCTACCTAGGTGCCTCCACAACTTAGCTGTATTGATGGTCAAGTCATTTTTAGATGCGTACATCCTCGTAGGTAGTCAAGCCAGCCAGCCAGCCAGCTAGTTAGTTACGAACCTTAGATGGCAAAGTAAGCAAGATATTACATACATACATACAATATGAAGACACTCAACTTTGTCTATAACTTGCAAGGTACCTACTTAACGGAAAATGTGATTTCGCGATTTGGGTGCTTATGACGTTTTAATTGCCTACCTAGGCACCTAGATACTCACTTACTCTCGCAAGGAGTTTGCTTTCTTTCAATGACTGATATTTCTCTATCTAGGCGTTGGACGTGATGAGCTCCTTTTTTTTTTTTTCCTTGGAGAGTTCGAGAGGTGTATATAATGTCTTCCTCCCTAGGTAGCTAGATTAATACCTATGGATATCCTGATTGGGTGGGGAGGTACATAGGTATGTATATACGTCGTATGTACTTTCTTCACGGGCTTCAACAACAACATTGAAAGTTCACGGGTTGGGAGCTTGAGTTGGGGGTGTAGGTATTGTACTATGTACAGATACCTACCTAGCTAGGTACGTACCTAGTATACACCAAAGGGAAAAAAGAAATTCACTAGTTAGGTATTCACTTCCGGGCTTTGGGGAGATGGGGATTATAGAAGTTCGGGAGTGCGCTGCTGCTGCTGCTGTTGTATGATGACGATATGAAAGAGAAATCGGCTCGGGTCTGTGTCGTGATAACAATGCTAATGGATATAGTCGCCGATCTGGGGTGTCTCAACTATGCTTATGAGAGCCTAAGCTACCTACCCTCCTTTGCTTACTCGCTCGCTCACTCACTCGTGTAGCAGTCCAACGCCATGCCGCCTTGCCTGGGTGCTGGGTAGGTATGTAGGCTGTAAGATAGCTATAGGTAGCACATTATATACGGGGTCCGTATGACTAGGTAGGTACCAATGAATGAATGAGGCTGGTGATGCGTTGCGTTGGAAATACATCAATCGATCGATACTGCTTACTGCCCTCTATCATGGATTGTGTGTGTTTCCCGGTGTTGTGGATGTTGCCCGTATATCTCCGGGGCGAACGGGAGTCCGAAGGAGATAGTTACATAGATGTGCTGCTTGCCTCTGAGTGAGTCAGGCTCTGTCCGCTTGGGGGGGCCAAAGAGGGCCCTCTGGAAAATATGTGAGGATTAACTATTGTGAGATGAAAAAAAAAAAAAACTTTGTACGTATAGTCCCATGAGCAGTGGAAGTGAAGAGGAGTTCTTTCCTGGGAGGCAAGTCCTAAGCCATCATTGAAAAAGACGAACACGAAAGACAGAAAGTCATGTGCGCTGCAAAATAGGGTCTAGCTCTCTCTCTCTCTCCGGACTGTCGTATATAATCCGAAGCCACCGCCGCCGCCGCTATTTTCGCCAGCAGCAGCGCCAATTAAAGCCTCTCTATTCAATGTTTAGGTAAGGTAAGGCACGCACGCAAACCGCGGCTTACGATAGCTCGTATATTATTATTTTTTGTTGTTATGTCATGTGCGCGAGCCGGCGCCAGATATGTATGAGCATAGGTATATAAAAATTATTTCAAGATTGTTTGCTCGTGCCAAGCCCCCGATTGTCCGGAAACTAAGGTCGTCCAAGGTGTGTCTGGTGAGCCTCGACGCTACATACATACGGGGTAGCAATATGTAGCTCTTTGTACATATGTAGGTTAGTAGATAGAGAGGGAGAAAGAGCGAGGGAGCTATGTACAGTAGGACATGGACATGGAGACGGGATGTTAGGGAAGTCAAGTGATTGGCAGGATTTTCTTTTTCTCAAAGCGAACGGAGATTAATGAAATGAGAGAGAGCAACAAAAGCTTAGGTTAGGCGCGTCTTGGCGGAATCACGAATCCAGAAAATATCCGCAGGTTAATGCTTCCCGAGGGTCGGATATATTTATCCCTAACTCCCTTTTCCTTTCTTTGCGTGGTGCCATTTACATGCACTGTAGGTATGTATTCCTTTCGGATATGGATGGATCCACGTGGTAGCTAGGTAGGTAAGAGATAGGTAGCAGCAAGCAAGCAAGGAAGCGCTCTCAGCTCCTAAGCTATATCGGCTAGGTAGTAGTATGTAGGCAACTTCATCGTGACGAGATTAGGTACTCGCGTTGGTAGGGCACGAAAGGAAGAGGGAAGGGAAAGGATATCATAGGGTATCATTGGCTTGGCCGCATATCAGCTTCGTTCTGTAGGATTTTGGTATGGGGCTTTGGAAAAAGAAAAGAAAAAGCTTGTTTTCTTTCCTTGAGCCACTCGTATCTAGAGATTCCATGGTCGTGGGAAAGAAAAAACGTTAGCCGCCGTGGGTCAAGAGACACATGAGTGAGTGCTTGGTGATACAACAGCTTGGCGTAAGCCAAACGCCGTGGCTCGTTAAGCTTTCACGGTTTCTTTTTTTTTTCTCACTTCTTTTTCCATCTAATGATTAATCAATACTTCTTTTTTCTTTGTTCGAGATAAAAACCTCAGCTACCGAGGCACATATGTAAGTAAGGCATGTCGAGACTAGTTTCATACATAGTAGGATAATATAGAGGATACTGATTCGGGTTTAAGCAAACCGAATAATCGGCGCCTAGCAGTTAGCAAACTGAAGCTTTATGACACGCTAACCTATTATATAGCTACATACATAGTATGAGCCTATGAGGTCTGGGTTGCTGTTTTTTTTTTTTTTGGCCGTACCTAGTAGGCAAGGGGGGTTCGGGGTTGGTTAGTATGGATGAACGATCTAGGTTAGGTAGGTAGGACTAGGTACTAATATGTAGGTGCCACTTTTGGTTCGTTCCAAAGATTCGGTAACGGGATGGTCCCCATCAAATATGGTATGTAGCAAGCTCGAAATTGGGGAAATCTGGGGGTGGTGGCGATCAACTCGTGGCCGATGTATGTAGCTCGGCCGGATCTATTCCCACAAGTTGAATTCGTGCTACAAAGCCTAGGTACTATACTATGTATGTATGATAGTTTAATGCTCGTGATCAATATTCCTATGTATGACAGGTGTACTAGGCAAGTTACCAAGGTGTGTACTCGACGCTAACACCTGAACTAAACAGCCCCCTTATTGACTGGAGACCGGGGAAAGATGCCGTCAGGCTTGGACGACTGATGAATGTTTGTATCAACGGCGGGTTAGCTAGGCATCTAAGGGAAACCAGGGAAACTAGGCATCGTGACCTTACAGACATCAATGTAGGTAGATAGCCGGCTAGGGTTGAGTAGGGCTGGAAGCCTTTTCCGATATGTTAGGTTCTAATAAGGTTAAACATTGAGTCATGTTGTGGAATTCCTATGCTGAACACATACCTGTACGCTGTAGTACATGCCTACATGTATGTATGTAATTATGTAGTAGGCTGAATGAAGAAAAAGAGTGTTTGAATGTTGAAGTTGTTCCTTTGTATGTAGGTAGGTACCCTAGTAAATACATAACTACCTAGTACTAGTAGTCTACTAGGTATGTAGGTGCACACGATGTATACTATGTAGTATGTATTCGGGCCGACCAGTTAGACTGAAGCTTTTTTCTAATTCACTCCGGGGTCCTTCCTAGTAGCGATTTCTTTTTTTCTTTCTTTAAAGTGATTTTAGCAGCGCGGGGCTCCAGCTTCTAGTGGTTGGGGTAAAGTAGGGTAAAGTGCTTTTGGGCTTTAGGGTTACTAGACTTTACCGGATTGGTAGTAGTAAGTTTGCAGGATCTGGGCAGCTAATCTTTGTAACTTCGGTGCTTTCTCCCGCTTTGGTTCTTTATTCCAGGTACTTAGCATTATTGGATTTTCTAGAATTCTTCTCTTCTTTTTTTTAACCTACTGAGATCATCTGAATGCAAAAACTGCCAATTGCACATGTGTCTAAGATCTTTATCTGTACTATTTCCGTGATCCGATCTCTCAAGATTGGCGATAATGCCTTGTTACATAGGTACCTACACCTGGTACCTGTTCACTTTTCACATCTCCAAATCCTTACAATCTCGTCATCCGAGCCGTGTTGGCTTCGATTCGGCATGGATGATTTAGTGATTTGGAATACTGTCCGTCTATTAGCGCGGTAACGGTAAAACCTGCGACATTCGCCTTTCGTCCTGCCTAAAGAGCCAAAGGATGGACGCTGCATGTGTCACCAATGTGTGACTTTATAATCCTCTACCTTACCTAGGGTAGGTAATGATACAAGAGATATATCTACCTATACTAAATAAATACTAGGTACGCTAGGTATAGGTCTCCCCTCCTTATGATAGGTGCCTAAACTAGAACCTTGGAATAACATTTGGATCTCCAGCAGCACAACAAGGTATGTATGTATGTACATACACAGTAACTACTGATTTGATCTATACTTCGTACTTTCGTTAAAGTATGTAACGTCGCTTGTATGTATTATGGCCGAGCAGACCGCTCCTCCATCTCCCATTGGAAGCGCTTATGAAATTAATGGGAGAGAGAGGGATATAGAGAACACGATGAAGGCAGGTGGTTTAATCCTGTTTCCTTCCAACGTGTCGTGTGTTTCGTCCGTCCCACACCCTCCCCCCTCAGCCGGCTTGCTTTTTGATTAGGTAGGTATATATTCGAGCGCGTTTGAGCGTCCACTGGAGCCATTTGGTCCTAGGATATACGAAGGTACCGATCAAGTAATTGGTCGGCTGGCCCCTGTTTTTACGCCTTCTATCTAATTACACCAATATGAACGAGATTGATGGCTTCTGCGCCGTACGTGGGGAAAATCCAGCATCGTTCATTCGACTGACCCTCGTACAAGACCTCCCTCCTCACAGCGGTCCCGGCTACCCACACCAGGTGCTAGGGTCGACATGGAGTCTGCGTGCTTGCATACCTACTGCCTACCCTAGGCACTTATGTAGATACTACATACATATGTATGTATAGTATTAGCTATCTCCATATGATCTCTCAACAGTTGCCCAGTGGCTAATGTTATGATAGGTACATGATATGTAAGATACATCATTGATGTATACTTATACTTACTTACCTACCTACATGTAATAGGTATTAGGCACTGCACGTGTATACACAACATCATCTTTCTACCATTATTGATGTACATACATTGATGATCTACATGATATTACATTGTATCTACACATGTAGTCCAAAAAGAGCCAGCCTACATAGGTACCTACACTTGGCACATACACTACATACCTACATATGTATAACTTATCTAGCTCCTAGAAGCCTAGGACTATATGTATGTATAAGTGGCGTCTTATGGCCTGTTGTTATTTAGGCGTCGCTTAAGTTAGCTAGGCTAATTTGACACTAACATCGTCTTCTCCATCTTCCCCATCCTCGCCTCTCCCTTCTCTCCATCTTCTCAAAACTGGAGATTTGGGGATCCCTCTTGAGCTAGGGATCTCTGCATCTATGTGGATCAGATCCAAATGCATGTCGGCGAAACCCCGAACAAGAGTCGACCTCGAGACGGCCCTTTTAACCCCCCTGCCCCCATAATCTGATTCTAGACCCGACATCTGCGCAGGAGACCCCGACTAATCTTCCACCCCTGCAGCTGTAAAGTACTAGGTATCCATCGCCAGTCTTTGTGTCCTACTGACATGGAGAACAAAGAATCGTGGTGGCGTGTCACAAGTTTACTATAGCGATGAAAGCAGCCTCTCGTCATGCATGTTGGAAATCTCCTGCGTTGGCCTGCCTGGGTCACCACGTTCCCCCCCAGTAGGCTAAGGTATCCACCGTCGAGTTGCCTGAAGGGGTTGTCCTGGTAATGTTGTCCTAGCTTACAGCTTACAGCTCGAGGGTTGCTTCCCGTGCATAGTACTGCATACCCTACCCACCGGTACAGCTATATAATATCTGGCAAAATCTCCCTGATGCTACCGTTTCTGTCTTCCCTTGTTCTTGCTACCTCCGCTTCAGATGCGCCATCTTCCGCCATAAAGCTTCACCTAATACCATCTTCTAAGGAGTGACAATAAGAATACACAAGATGGCTGGAGGTGTTGTTATCACGGGCACCACCGACGTGTCCCGCGTCGAAGCGCCCGTCACCGTCAAGGCCTATTTGATCTGTGCCTTCGCTGCCTTTGGTGGTATCTTCTTCGGATATGATACCGGTAAGTTCTGAAAATTCAAGCCCGCGGCGTACCTCGTTTCGGTAGCTGACCGCCACAGGTTGGATGGGTGGCGTTCTTGCCATGCCTTACTTTATCTCTCTATACACCGGAATCCCCTACGATTACAACCTCGTTAATAGCGATGGTACAATTGGTGGCCCCATCGGAGCTACCAAGGAAGAATTCGTGCTCCCTGCGGCGACGCAATCTCTGTTCACATCTATCTTGTCTTGCGGTACTTTCTTCGGCGCTCTTGTAGGTGGTGATATTGCAGACTTCATCGGCCGTCGACCTACCATTATCATGGGATGCTTCCTCTTCAGCGCCGGTTGCATCATGCAGATTGCCAGCTCCAACCAGGAGGTCCTATTCGTCTTCGGTCGTTTGATTGCTGGTGGAGGTGTCGGTTTTATCTCCGCCGTCGTCATTCTGTACATGTCCGAGATTGCACCCAAGAAGGTTCGCGGAGCTATGGTCTCAGGATATCAGTTCTGCATCACCATTGGTATCCTGCTTGCCAACTGCGTCGTCTACAGCACCCAAAACCGCCCCGACTCAGGCTCGTACAGAATTCCCATTGGTGTTCAGTTCCTCTGGGCTCTCGTTCTCGGTGTCGGTCTCTTCATCCTCCCCGAGTCTCCCCGTTACTTTGTGAAGAAGGGCAGAATCGAAGACGCTGCCAAGGCTCTCGCCTACGTCCGTGGCCAGCCCCTGGAATCCGAGTACGTCAAGGACGAACTTGCCGAGATCGTGGCCAACAACGAATTCGAGATGCTGCACCTCCCCCAGACGTCGTACCTTGGATCTTGGTCTGCCTGCTTCAAGGGCTCTATCATGACTGGTAACAGCAGTCTGCGAAGAACCGTTCTCGGCATTGCTCTTCAGGCGTTCCAACAGTTGACGGGTATCAATTTCATCGTAAGTGACCTCCTCCTGCAAGTAGCACCAGATTATCGTCTATTCTTCCCCTTTCTAGCCCTGTCTCGGGAGCCGGCTCTCCTAAACGAGCTGGCTTAGGGGTTCTCTACTCCTGAGACATGCTTGATCTCCTCGTCTCTTTACTCTAAGAGTCTATCAGATACTAATTCTCGTGGCTATAGTTCTATTTCGGACCTCCCTTCTTGAAGCAACTCGGAACGATCTCCAACCCCTTCCTTATCTCCCTCATCACGACCCTCGTCAACGTCTTGTCGACCCCCATCGCTTTCTACACCATTGAGAAGTTCGGCCGTCGCGCTCTGCTACTTACCGGTGCCAGCGGTATGATCATCGCTCAATTCATCGTCGGTGCCGTCGGTGTCACTCAGGGACAGGTTGAGGCCCACAACAACGCGGCCGTCCAAGCCATGGTTGCCTTCATCTGCATCAACATCGCCTTCTTCGCCACCACCTGGGGCCCCGTCGCCTGGGTCGTTGTCGGCGAGATCTTCCCTCTGCCCATCCGATCCCGCGGTGTCGGTATGTCCACCGCCTCCAACTGGTTCTGGAACACCATCATTGCCGTCATCACCCCCTACCTCGTCGGCGCCGATGAGGCCAACCTCGGCTCCAAGGTCTTCTTCCTGTGGGGCTCCCTGTGCACCCTCTCCCTGACCTTCGCCTACTTCTTCGTGCCCGAGCTCAAGGGTCTCTCCCTCGAGCAGGCCGATATGTGCATGGCAGAAGTCAGCCCCCGCAACTCCGCCAAGTGGAAGCCCAGCCACACTTTCGCCGCCGAGATGCACCACGTCGACGACGAGGCTGCCCTGGTCAACGAGCGGGTCGAGGAGAAGGTCTAAGAAGATGGCCCTGTACTGTACCAGTCCCGCAGGTCTCGTCGCATAGTTATTGCTATCTATAATCTACCTGCATACTATGTACGTGAGAGCCTAGCTAGCAAGCAAGCTTCATCGGTTTGCTATGCAGATGCGGGTTTGTTGTTGGTCAGGCCTCTTTTTTTTTAATATAAAAAACTAGACTAGACTAGGTTATAGAAATGAAAGAAAACATGTTAAAATATCTTTTTAACATAAATCTTTTTTGGACAATATGTATATCGCGTCTGCTAGGTTCTCGTTTGTATGTGACCTACCTATACTAATTACAATATGATACCTTGGATTTAGATGATCCTTGCATTATAATATATACATCACTAGGTACCCCTTGAATTGTTGAATTTCTAACCAATGTCGAGGAAAAATTGTAGGAGCCTAGGAGGTTAGAAGACTTGTGCCAGAACCCCCTTGTCTCACCGGGATTCACGTGACCCGCTGTGCCTTAAGCTAACATTTCGAGATAAGATCGCAAAATCTGATTAGGTACAAGACAAATGTATAACTTATCACTCGAGAGCTTAAGAACAATAAAGCAAGAATAGCCTTTCCGATCAGTTCGGTTATATGAGTGCAGCTGTAACGACTGGATACCTAAGTACTAGAAGCCGTAGGCAGGGGGGGCAAAGTCACGTGGGCACTCCGAGGTGCATACCTATACCCCTAGGTAAGGTAGACTAGGCTACCGCATAAGTCTAACCGCCAGACCAGGAACGCGATCCAACACGCACACGCACACGCACACACGCACACCTCACTTACCCCCTTCCCCCTCCCCTCCCTCTCCCCCCTCCACACCCCCCAGATTCGCCCCATCAGACGGAACCCCCAGCACCCGTCCCCCCCCCTCCCGCCACCACCTCTCCGTCGCGCTCCTGATCCCCCTGCTCCCCCACCTCCTCACATTTACGTAAAACTCCTGCCCCTCCCCCCCCTCCTCCCGCGTAACTCGGTCGTCGCTGAACGGGTACGGGACGGGACTCTCTAGCCCTCGTCGGAAGCCGGGGCGGGCGAGGAGGCGGTCGCGCCAGGTGGCTATGTGGGGGAACTCCGAGGGTGAGGGGGGAGGCAGGCCGATCCAGGCGGAGGAGTGGGCGTAGATGAAGGTGGCGATGTCGGCGATGGTGGGGTGGGGGCCGGTTAGGTAGGGGGTTTTGGACTGGCGGGGGTGGTTAGGGGGGAGGTAGGTAGGTAGGTAGGTAGGTGGTAAAGTAAAGGGGGCGAGTGAAAAGGGGTAGAAGGGAGGAGAGAGGGGGGGGGAGACAGGGGCTTACCAGTTGCTTATCCAGCACAGTATGCAGCCGCCTTGCCTCCGCCGTGTACCGCCACGAGCCGTACGGCACCGGCTCGGGGGCGTACCGGTTGAAGTGGGCAGCCTGGCCCAGCATCGGGCCCTGGCCGGAGATCTGCCACGAGAGCTTGCTCCCTGTTACTACGCCGTCAAAATTGACCCGCGACTTAGGCACTCACCCAGGACAGCTGGGCCCAGTACTCCGGCGTGCCGACGGGGTGGGAGATCTTGTGCTCCTTGTCGAACTCGGCGGCGATGTAGAGCAGGCAGGCGCCGCTCTCGAACACGGTCGCGGAGGTCCCGTCGTCTTTGACGTGCACGATGGCGGGCACGCGGCCGTTCGGGTTGATGGAGAGGTACCACTCGGACTCGAGCTCGGTTCTGATGTTTACGGTGATGTAGTTGTATGGGATGCTAGCAGGGGGCGGGGCATTAGTAGGATAGCCATAAGCTTTCTGGCGATAGGGGAGGTAAGGTAAGTTGTGGTGGGAGAGGAAGTTACTTACCCCAGCTCTTCGGCCGCGATGGTCAGCTTGTACGGGTTTACGGCCGGGTAGCCGTAGATGTTCAGGCCCGGCTTGGGGGCTTTCTCGGGCGGGAATGTGGTCATTTTATCCGGGCGACGGGGCAATGGGCAACGGGGTAGTTACTACTTAGGTAATCAAATCACTTAATTCTGTGCGCTCAAGTTGGGAGTTGAAAGAATGGGCCTAAGTTGGAGGGCTGGCTCCTTTATAGGAGCTGACGCAATAGGCCTTTCCAGCCCAAACGGCACAGGCATCTACAAAAGTCCTACCTACCTATCTAGGTAGGTACGTGCTTTTCAGAGGTTGGAAGGACATCACTCAGGGCTACAGCATGCAGCTGTTCGCTGACCTTACGGGCTGTCTACCCAGGCTTACAAATCAGTAGTATGCAGTAACGTTACCCATGTTGATTGGTTGAGTCCAGTCTCTTGGCCATCCGTCCATTCCGGTGTCTGAAACCTGCATATGTCCGCGGTGTGCCGAGCGAGCCGGGATGCGCGGAAGCCGGTCTCGCTCAAGTGGGCCGTCTTTCGTTCCGCTTCGCTAACAGCTATGTAACTAGTTGGGCTAGGCATCGCATACACTACAAGACTTCGCCAGATGATCTCTCGCATATATGAGGAAGGGGATGGTTAAGAGGCTCCCCAACCATGTTAGCACCACTACCCTATAGTGCTCGAAGATGAAGGCGTCGTTGGTGAGAATTTTCTTTGATTTTCTTTTCGTGGCAAGACATAAGAGATATAGCTCGCTTCTGTGGTTGGATATGGTGAATCAGGCAATGGAATTGAATGGGTGTCTAAATTCATAATAGATGTATAAAATATACCTACTGTTGCCTAATATAGGGGATGTTTCGATATGGAGTCACATGACACCCTTCGATTCGTACTAACATGCTTCCACATAACCGGTACAACTTACACGACTTCAACTTTGAATTCTTCAAACCCGGCATTATTTGAGCTCGTCAGGTTGAAATAACTATTTTGTCAGATATATGCTCTTGATATGTCCCGAATGCTGATATACCGCATCAGCTCTGTAAGCCATGTGACCTTCCCAGATATTGCTCGTGTATGGGTCCGTGACAAAAGAGGGGCGGTAGATTTCAAGCTGGTTTTGTAATTTAGGTATTAAAAGTGATAGATGGATAACATCATTATCGTCAATGTCCGAGTGGTTATGTGCTCTGGTGTCGCTAATAAGTTGTACCTAGAAATTGCCATGATAGACCAATTGCCAGTTACATCCCGATACTAAAGGCACTCAGATTGTTACTATGATCTTTGAACGTTATAGTTTCGATACTCCTAAAGGGAAGGACTAGTGTTATATATACCAGATAGCTGTCCTAAAGTCACTTTGTTTGATCTTACTAGATCTACAACCAAGTATAAGGTGAATTCGAGGCTTTATATTGAATGTTGCCTAGATTTTGTAATCATGGGATAATTCACACCCTAGATATTTGTACGGGTGTCCCCGAGATACCCGACTACCCAGACAGCGTGTCGTGGCCCTTAAAGGCCTAGTACCTACATAGGTGTCTAGAAAAGTAGTCCAATATTTCGATGTCGGCACCCGTATCCCCCAATCCTAACGCCTCTCTTAGATAAACCCGAGCAAAGACCCCCCCGCAGCCCCCTCCATTCAAGAGAGGACGAATTGCCTCATCCTATACCGGTCCTGCATCGACAGCGGCAGCGTAGAATTGTCCGCAACACAAGCTACCCTAACCTGCGGCTGCGGCGGCCTCACCACGGCGGTCTTCTCGCGGCTGTTAACGACCGTGAAGCTGCGATCCACACCGGCTGCAGCACAGTACACGCCGTCTGCGGCGTACGAGACGATCTGAGCTATGCTCGCGGAGCCTCCCAAGGCGTATACTTGCGCGTCGACGGGCACGCAGATGCTGTAGGTGCCTGTGGTGATTGCGCCCTGGAAGGTGAGGAGGGCGTTGCGGAGGGGGTTGCATATGTCGTTTGGGGAAAGGGGGGCGGCGGGAGTGGTGGTGATGAGGAAGAGGAGGACGGTGGTGAGGATGAGGGTTAAATGCCGCATTGTGTTGTTGTTCGATGCGTTTGTAGAAGGGGTAGTTCTTTGATTGTATGGAATACATTTTATTGTATGTATTTGCGTAGGTGTGTGGGAAGACCGCCTACTTAGTACCTAGGCAGGCAACTCATGCCATCAAGGGCATATTTGGGATTTTATACTACGGTGGCCACCAGCTCTTTGTAGTAAATATAATCGTGTTTCAACCTACCTATGTAACCTAGGTGTATATCCAAGTGTTTCCTAAAGTTATTTTGGTTCTTGTATGGCCGGGTCTGGGAACAGGCTACTGAAGTCGAAACCGAGTTAGCACCCAACCATATCGAGCAGCGCCATCGAATAGGCGCGAGTTGAAACATCCCCCAACTTGAAGGCCTCTGGCTGGCCGTAGCGACCTAATGACGGTCAAAGGAAAGACCAACGCAAGAGAATTAGTAAAGGCAACTAACAAATTGATTTAGTATTGTTTGAGTGACTGTGAGGGTTCGAATGAATAAGCGCCACCACTTTTTGTTTCATTCAGTTTTGTATTTAGGTACCACCCCCACCATCGATCTTCCCCCTTTTTTCTTCTTTTTTTTTGAAAGTTTCCATACATGATCTTCAGCGACTGAAAGCTGAATGCCATTTTACATAAAAGGTAACTTACGCCACCAACGCCGCCAACGTGCATACCAGTCATTTATGGGTGATATTTCTCATTGGTACAATAAATACCTGGTATCGACAGCCATAGGCCGTATGCTACGGTTATGGCAAGTATGTATGTACTAAGCAAGTAACCTAGGCATGTACCTACATACGAAGCGTTGATGGGAACGGGAAGCTGACGTTACACGGCAGCTAAATCGAGATTCCCTAGATACCTAATAAGTCCCGTCATCTTCCATTTGTTCTCGCCTTATGCAGGATCGACCCGGTGGATTGGGTTCTTAGTAGAGGTTTGGGACAATCGGGTCGAATGAGAGACCGTGTGATATACATATTAGGTAGGTAGGCACTATAGTATGTAGGTCGCTATAGCATCTAAGCATGTAGGATGTAAGATGTAAGTAGGTACTTGTATATACCCTGGGCTGCCTGCGTGAGAGCTAGCGGCCCGGCCGGCACTATCGGAAATCTCGTTGGACCCCCACGTTAAGGGTGGGGCGGCCTGTCCCGTAGGGCTGAACCAGCTTACAAGGTTCAATGTTATCAATGTTATTACGGCGTATCACTTACCTAGTACTAGGTACATAAGTGGGCGATAGTAACGGCTGTTATGAATATTCTGACTACTTACATACACAGTCAAATGTCTACACAGATGAAGGTATGTAGTACTTTGCATGGAATATTGAACACCAAAGCAGGAGAGAACAAACATATAGTAACTTCATGTGTATAGCATTGGAGTTATCTACCTAGGTACCTACCTACATATGATTCTACAAGAGTTTGAATATCAAACAGCTTAGGTTCAACACTCACCCTAGTCGCGTATACCTACTACTATTTCATCAGATCTGACTTTTAAGGTTGATGTCCAGTTGCAACGTTGACATCAATTAACGAATGACATAAACAAGACCCCCACGTAATAGGCACGTGGTAATGTAATGTTGGGGATAAGCAACTAGTATGCAAGGCACCTTATGACGTTGTCTTGGTTGCCTGCCATGTTTGACTCTTCCCCCCAATCATATCAATTATCTCCGTTACATAGTAGGTATATGTTTCTCACTGCGAAAGCCAAACCTTCCAATATACTCTGCTTAGGTACCACATAGAAGTACTCAGAACCAATTTGCCATCATGGAGCGAAAATCATGGATGGTGCTAGGTAAGATACAAAATTTCCTTGGCTACCTATCCGTTCATATCGGAGATATCTCCGTTTGCTAACAGTGGCCAGAGAACAACCCTGAAGTGATGAATCGTTTAGCGGCAAAGTTAGGATTGTCATCTGACTTATCCTTCTACGATGTCTGGTCTCTCGATGAACCCGAGCTGTTGGCCCACATTCCTCGTCCTGCCCTTGCCCTGCTCGTCATCCTGCCTCGCACCCCAGCTTGGGAAAAGGACCGCAATACAGAGGACGCCGAAAAGGGTGAGTATGAAGGCTACGGACCCGAGGAGCCTATAATATGGTTCCAGCAGACAATCGGTAATGCATGCGGGTCCATCGGGTTCCTACATTGTGCTATCAATGGGCCGACCGCTCAATTCATTCAGTCGGGTTCAGATTTGGACAAGCTTCGCCGTGACGCAATCCCTCTAAAGATGAAGGAGCGAGCTGATATGCTGTACAACAGCGTTCCTTTCGAGGAAGCTCACAAATCATGCGAACAATTGGGAGATACCCCACCAAGCAACGAGGACCATATGGGCCAGCATTTTGTTGCATTCGTCAAAGTGAATGGTCGGCTTTGGGAGCTGGAGGGGTCAAGGAAAGGCCCGTTGGACCGGGGTGCGCTGGAGGACAACGAGGACGTGTTGAGCCCAAAAGCGCTTGATCTGGGCTTCAAGAGGGTTATTCGACTTGAACAGGAGGCTGGTGGCAAAGATCTACGATTTAGCTGCATCGCTCTGTCCCACAAGGCATGATTTGCGCCGGAGCTAGAAGCCAGAGGCTTCATATTCCCCACGAGTACCAGGTACCAGCGTGTTTCACAAGTGTAGGTGGGCTGGCATGTTCCAGTGCTAGATAGACACGGCATTTGCCTACAACTAAGAGGAGCTTTGCTCAACCGGCCTTATGCACTAGTTTTACGTACCAACGTGTCACATATTGATAGTCCAGTTGCTACTGACACTTGTGCTGATAGATAACTGAAGTGGTTTCGTGATTGCTGATGGAGGAGACTGAGTTTCGGCGGTGGGCGATTTACGTACAAGATACTGACGGTACTTATCGCTGTCAGTAAGAATGCCATCCAATTGAATGGGAATGAGCAATTGGTGATGATAGAACCCCCCTTTTCTTCTTCTTCTTCTCAATGATCGTCTCTCGGACATTTGTAACGTAGGATAGTCCGAACAATAGTAGAAGCGGATAGCTTAAGAACAACTATAATTGTCACACCGTTCCCCCCTAACTAGCGTGAGATGAACTGTCTGGCATTTCATTCGAACAGACGTGCAGTAGCAATGTCGTCGCCCGGACTCCGCTGCGGCTCAAGCGAGGGCCACTGAAAAAGGCGATGATCTTCTGTTACTCGAAATATGCGTTCTCCAATGAAGTTTCTAGGGGATCTCAGCGGTAGGCTTGGTTGGAGACGGGCCAGGCCGGCAAGATATAATCAAATATTTATGATAGATAATTCGATAGGCCTAGACCCATCTGGCAGGCGTTCGTCAGAACTACGTAATTTCTATGTCATCGTTTGCGACATTAAGTAGTTTCGGGTTCAAATTGTAAGCCTCCAGAGATAGATAAAATGACGCCAGTGTTAAGCAGCAGAAGATGATTTATTTCCTGGGGGTTTCTGTATTGAAAAGGTCGACATTTTGAAGCATTCCAAGGTTTAATCAGATTTACCTTTTCATTTCTTGGTAAGAAGCAACAGAACAATACCAGGCAGGACCTGGCAGGTTCAGGGATATGTATGTACAAATGGATCGATCCATCGTGTTAGCTTCTTGCTAAGCAGTACCTAGCAAGGTACCTGATTAGATACCTTTGTACATGTAAAGCACTCCAGATGTCACAGGAGCTGCTTACAATTCGATGGTAATCCCATAACCCGACATCCATTGATACAGGTACTACTATGTACATAGTAGGTACATGTACCTATTGATGGATGCAAGACTCCAGAACTAAAAGCTTCCAAAGTTGCCCTTGCCCCCACAGGCCTATGATTGGGGACGGGTATCCTTGGCCCCATGGATGCTTTACCAGGTACGTGCGCTTGGAGCCGTTAGCGCAAAAGCATGACCCCCAATTAACTACATATTCCAACACTTTCCGCTAACTTATTGCTTTACCCAGGTCTCTTATGCTGATTTAGGTATTTGCTGAAGGTTTATGGGTACAATTAAAGGAGCCCTGCAGGTGTGTCATCACCAATTGGGACAAACTTTGAATTATGGATGATCATCCATCAATCCATCAATGATCAATGTTTCTTTCTGTTTTACGTTTCTACGGTTCAATGTTCTACCCCGTCAATCCTGCCCAGTGCCGACCCTGCCACCTTACCTACATAGTAGTAGTTAATTCTTTTCCCATATTCGCAGTGACTTTCCCTTTTGTTTTTCCTCCTTTTTTTTCCTTTTATCTCTCAAATCCATCTTAATCTATTGCTATTATTGCAATTGTTATAATTTCTAATTCTAGTTCTGGTATCCACTTCATCAATACTGCCACTTCACAGTTATTCTATTATGCATGCCATTAGTTTTATTTCGAACTTGTGACCTCTTGCGCGGCCCCAATCAGAGCTTCCGTCACAGATCTACCCAGCTAAGCTGCCTAAGCTACCTGGGGGCTGACTGTCCCTGAGCACAGGATTAACAGGTCTCGGTTCTTTTCCGTTTATGCCGCTCTATATATGATATCTTATAAAATCCGGCAAGGGGCGGCATGACGTTGAGCTTAGCCCTTTTTTACGGCAGCCAAGCCTGTCGTCCCATCATCAACGCTTAACCCTTTTCGATGCCTCACGATGGCTTCTGAGTGGGTGTCGACGTCCGAATCAACAAAATACTGTGGGCCTGGAGACCACCACCGCAAAAAACCCTTTCGTCTTCCCAGGCCGGTCTCATTATGAATCCATAGACTTCACGGAGCCGGCGTGGGATTGCTACTGGAGAACCCAGCAAGTCCCCGGCGCAAAGTGCGGTTCCTACATTTATTTCCATATTAGCATGCACACGTGGTAGGTTGGCGGGCGAGACAGAAGGGGATTGAGGTAGGTAAGGTACCTACCTATTCGCATGTCTGGACCGTTTGAAGCATATGTAGCCTCCAGACCCTGAAGTCTGTCCACTTTATCTTGCATATCCATTCATTCAAATGGATTTTTTTGATTTTTTTTCTTTGCAAGTGCAGCCACATTTAATTATTTTTTCCCTCCTCCTCAGCCAGCATTGCATCGTGGCATCAACCACCACGAAGAAAATCGCAGTCCTCTCAAGAGGCAAGATAGGTATTCGCTGGTGTGTGAGCAATCCAACTCTGCTATACTGGTCCTGTTATAGATTGGTGTCAAGCTTGACATAAGAAAAATAGATGGACAGAGAGAGTAACCCTTTTCTACCACGAGCGCGCCCGTTAAAAAATAAAATAAAAAATCGAAATAAAAATAAAGGCCCTGTATTCCCTTTCTTTAGTGAGGCGGCCAGCGGAGCCGGGCATTTTCTCCGTGAGAACCGCCCTCCACAGTCATCAAAACATTCCTTTTTGCTTGCCTTAATCCTAAAGTCTCCAAAAATTTACAAAATCTCAATCATTTTGCCCTCGTGCCATTCTAAAGACCCTCCTACTGCATGCCGCCTGTTGGTAGAGCGGGATACTTGACATAGGCCGGCCAGTTGCCCTTATCCCAGTATACCTACATAGGGTTTCTGTTGTATAATCGACTTTATACTCCTGCCGTCTCACGCGTTGCGGTCCGGGCCCGGCGTCTGTCTTTCAACACTTAGACGGCAAGTATACCGCGCTTGATCCGCATCGGCTCGGCTTTTTAGATTTATTTGTACCTCTATTTAGGGATGGTCGTGTCTAGGCACAACCGTAACACCAACTCCGTGTCGTTTGTCATGTGCCCCGTCGTTACAAATCTTTTTCGACTAACCTCAAACTTGAGGCTATTCCTTCGACTTTCGCCTACTCTTCGGCTTGCTTATTGATTGTAGAGAATGAATCCCGAGAGTACTTCGAACAACTCGAGCTCTGCTGGCCCAGCGACACCGACAAACAACAGAAAGGAGCGGGGTGCTATAGCGGCTCAGGTATTATCGTCTTCCAAAACTTTCTCGTGACGAGTTTTGACAGAACCCCTAGGCTTGTGAGTCTTGCAGAGCGCGTAAGCAAAGATGTAGCGAAGAGAGACCAAAATGCGCTACTTGCCAGGTCAGTACTCGAAGTCTTCTATATCTATTTCGAACATGTTTAGAGAGCAGTTGACCCCAGGGAGTAATAAGAAGAAAAAGCCTCCAGAGGTCTCACAGCCTCTTGTCTATGTACTTGATGATGCTTAATAACACGTCGAAACCGCAAAACCCGCAAAGAAACCCAATGACTAACTCTGCAACGTGAAATAGCGAATGAATGTGAGGATGAGTTTGTCTTGTCTATACATGATTTCTACTAACCAAAATTAGCTGGAATGCAAATATCGAGAGCCTCAACCGACAAAGTACGTATCCGTTCGAAAGCATTTTCATGCCTTTTTTCGGATGTATTCGACCAAGTTTTCGAGCCGAGTGGTGATGCATAGATGGGTTTAAAATTTAACTAACGCGTTGCAGGAAAGACAAGACCCTTGTTGAAATATTAGAGCGACTAAAAAGCCTTGAGGGAGGGCTAAGAAATCTTGACGGGAAGGTCGATAGCCTCAATGTTCGAGGTACTCTTCCTCTATCTATATATGGCCCTATTCAGCCCAATCCTCCCGCGACACTAGGTGCTAGCCGGCCCGGTTCGTGGCCTGCCTCAAATCTTCACATTCAGAGCCCAGCAATCTCTCCAGCATCGCCTCGAGATGTTCAATATGTTTCCGCCACTCATAAAATGCTATCCTGGCCTGTAATGCAACAAGTTCTCGAGAATAAAGTGCCGAATCTCGACCTAGGAAGTTTAGAAAAGGATGGGGCGTCAATGTTGTTGGGCCTACAAGGCCGGAGGATGTCTCTACCAACCGATATATACGAACCATCCCACCTTGGTAGCGAAAGGGGGACTCTCCCGTTGCAAGTATCTTCCAGAAGTCAGGTCGACGGGATGCAGGGTAGTGGACTCAATATGAGCTGGGACTCGATGCAGCGACTCGCCAAAGCGTACTTCGATACATTCAATTTGTTATATCCGATCATGGACCGGCATGTCTTTCAAACAGAAGACCTGCCATCTATCGCAAGTCACGGTTTTGATGATAGTAGCTCTTCGACGTTGGCGTGTTTGGTATTTGCACTCGGCGATGTTGCCATTTCCGCTGTTCAGGGTGCTCCTATTGGGGTAAGTTGAGTTTTGAACATCTTACCACCTTACGATTTATTTACACGCATCACACAGTCCTCTGGGTGCATCGCATGATTGTAACATGGACGGATCACTATCACGTTCAATTATCTACGATTTTAGCACGCTGCTAATCTATGGCCCACAGACATACAAAGGCCGCCCCAGTGGTATCAGGGGAGGAACCGTGGAGAGGCCACCAGGATTGCAGTTTTTCAACGAAGCCAGGAAACGAATGGGATTCAATCTTACCGAGTGCAGTCTGGAGAATGTGCAGATGTTTTCATTGGCAGCGTGAGTACCATGCCATGTGTATGTCCGGCCCAAAAACCGTACCGTCATTAACCATATTCGATATGTAGTATATACTACGGAACGTGCTGCCATCATCTGGTAACCAAACCCCATTTTAGGTTTTACTTAAATATCAGTTACTGACTGAAGCAGGAATTTTGGCGCATGGCTACGTCGGCGTCGTTGGCATGTCAAGCATTGCTAACAAGGTATGTAATTTGTACTGAAGGGGGCTGAGACTCGGCTTATATTTTAACATGGTCTCTAGTAACCCGGAAGAGTTGACAAGTCATCGAGGCGACTTAGTCCGGAGAGCATTCTGGCATTGCTCTATAATGGAGACGTACTTAACCAGCCCGCTAATAACTCTCTGAGTGATTGTGACTAACTTATTGCAGGTTTCTAAACATGGAATTAAATCTCCCTCAAACTGGGCTCGATAAACTCGAGGTATTAGTTGGATTACCAGACTTTAGTGGCTCATTTTCCGAGGAGGATTACATTGGGAATCAAGCGTCCCATTTCCAAGAGCATTTTGCGTCACAGATCGTGCTTCGGAGACTTTCCGTGGAGTTTCATACCACGCTGACCAATGGTAAGCTGTATTCCCCATCCTACAGACTTGTCGTTGTTTCCCGTTGCCCTCAAGCCTTAATAAAAAAGAAGAAACTAACTGGGTATACAAAGCCTTCGGCCCCACACATCTTCCAGTCGAATCGTCAGTATCTCCAGCCGCCACGGTGAAACAAATGGCCGCGCAGCTAGATCAGTGGAGAGGACTACTACCTGTATATCTGCGCTGGGAGGAAGAGAACCCGGGCGCGTTCTCGGGTTCAGCGGAAGATTTATATGACGACCAGTCGATGTATCCGCCCCCCATCCCGGATCTCCATACCAACTTCATGTTCACGGCAGACCTGGATAATACGCCAATGAGTTACCCATACAGCGCAGATGTACAAGCCGCGAGCCTCCGGGCGCGGTATTATTATGTCAAATATATCATCTATCGGCCGTTCATTTTCAAAGCCCTCCACCACCCGGAACACGTGACACGAGACGACGCCGAGGGCATTGCGGAGTGTCTGAAGGCCATGCTGAAGTGGCCCATTACAATGTCGCCCACCTGCTTCCACAAAAGGCTGATTCCGTGCTTGTTCTTTTGGTCGCAGAACCTGCTCGGTATCCTCCTCATATTGCACCTGACGCAACAAGTGCCCATTCTAGTGCGCATACGCACGTCGATAATGGGGAGTAAATTCGACCAGGACGCCAATGAGACGGCCGTGCTCTGCATCGACTGGATACGCGATCTCAAGGACACGGACGCTACGGCCCTCTGGTGCTGGGAGATACTGAAAGGCATCTATTCACTAGAGGACACGTGACCTAATTATCAATCTACCTATCTATATATTATCTATCTATCTACCTAGAATTCTATCTTTTCTCATCCTCGGTCTTTTCCATCGTGGGAATCTTTTTTCTTTCTCTTTAGGTTGGAATTTATATGCCGCGAGGCATGCGGATAGGCAAGGAATGCAGTTTGGAAACAAGCTAGGTATTTTTTTTATTCATGAAAAGGGGGATTGGTTGGTGGTTTGATTGGCTGGCTAGCTGGTTGGTTGGTTGGTTGGTTGGTTAGGGAGGCCTACTGTTAGGGAGTCACATTGACATATATCATCATCGTCATCATCATTATCATCATCTTCGTTCATATCCACCATATATCATGGAGGCACTGGCGCTAGGAGCTTTTAGGATTATTCTTCCATCCTTCCTTTCTCCCTTTTCTTCTCCTTTTCTCTCGCGAGATATACTCCAATCTCTTGTTGCTGTTGTTTCTGTCTTTGTTTTTGTTTTCCCAACCACGAGGTTGTGAAATTCGATTTATCTGCATTGCCGGCGAAGGAACAATTGGCTGTTCTGGTTTCGAAGCATTTACAATAGACAAACAAAATTTACCCTCCCTGACAATCTATCTTATATCCTCCTCCCTCCTGCATGTGTGTTCAATTGACTAGTGCCTCTTATTCCCCTTTTTTGACTTGCTTATTTCTCCTTGTTGGGATTCGTTTGTGTTAATGGAGATGCTACATCGGGATTATGGTCCTATTCCAGGCTGTAAACAGAGTTGAAGTTGCAGAAAACTCTAGTTGGGTGATTACAGTACCAGGGACGTAGGTTTATAGGTATATGGGAGCAGTCAACGGCCTGATATCAGGAGGGTGTCATGGGTCCATATTGACCCCAAATCCTGTTCGATAGGAGATTGATTGTAGTATACCTATACTGTCGATTGTCTTGTGTGTTTTTGAGGTCTAATCGTATTAGCAGGATAAGACTTTGTCCCTTAAACTAATGTACTTGCGGCGGTTGGTAGAAAATTCACATAAGCGGTAACATCTACACAGGGATTTTTTAGGATAGGTAGTTTGAATTTCAAAGAGTCTCATGATCCTAGAGGCTTATATTGAACACATTTTGGCTATTTGTCCCTTAACTGCGAGCACTAGGTAGCTTCGACATAGAAGTCTACCCAGTAGACCTTCTTTCATCCACCTCAACTTCGCTGAACGATACTCCCGACGATGATGGCATTTTTCGTCACTAACAAACAAACAAACAAACAAACAAACAAGCAACGTACTTGCCAACGAAGCTACGAAAGTGGCTTTCCTGAAGCTATACCCCGGCCTTGATGATACCAGGTTTGGCGGTTTCGTAGCCGCTTCAGCCCTACTGGCGGGCACGGATGGACCCTGAACCTTTGGCGATCTGGGTTTGCCTTATTCTAACCTAAAATTGAAGGTTGATGGCCACGTGGGCAACAGCATCAATCTCAAGTCTCATCTTTGAGTTTCGTGTGCTGTTGTGTCTGTGTTGGTGGATAACGGTTTATTTTGCCCGTCTGCCGGCGTGAAAAGCCGCGTGGTTCTTTGACATATGTTTCTAGTGAAGCTAGTAGGCTCGACGGACTGCATAACCTAGAAGTGACTACCTACTGCTAGTCGTAAGGTGCCTTGGCTACCTGACTAGTTAGGTAGATAGGTACTACGCAAGCAATATAGCAACTTCTCTCTCCGTATAAACGCGAATGCTTCAGGGGTCACTAGGGATCATCATGGCCAACACGCGAGAATGGTTACTGGCGTTGAGGAAGAATAGGAGTTCGTCAAGTCTTACTAATCGGCCTGGCCGTGACCGCCTCTGCTACCTTGAGGGACCTTGAAGGAACACTAAAACCCGTAAGAGAGCCGTGCTGGATAGGGAAGGGTTGCACTGCATTGAAGACAGCAGCTATCGGAATTTTATTAGGGTGGTTTTATTGAAGGGCATCGCACGCACCTTCGGGTATGCGATGCGGTACCTATAATGTGGGTTCCAACGTCGTGTGTCTAATAAGTTAGCATGTGCGCATCGAAGGTTGAGCTTTGATATAGGGCCAGAAAGATTATAGTGGGAATTCAATTCACAATGGATTTGAAGAAAAAGAAAGAGATAGAAAGAAAAACAGGGGATCAGACGAACGCTTTGACCTGGACGAAACTCAACTTTTGCGCTTTGACGCTTAAACTCGGTCTTTTTCGGGGTGCCCATAACCAGATCGATAAGGTCTAAGCGCGTCGGAGGAAAATAAGGAATTCGATCAAAATGAGATGGATGGTACTGTAAGTTGGATACATGTAAGTGAAAGGAACATTTGAAGGTATTGACTACCTACTACCTAGGGTAGGTAGATGTACTTTAGATCTCGATTGGTTTATACCCTGAATACATATGTAGGGAATGTATATGAACTTTATGAAACATGTATAGGTACTACTATTAGTATATGTATGTACCTACACTTTATACTGCATACACTAATACATACTAGGTATGAAGGTGCTATCACTGCTATCAGTGCTATGTATGTAGTGTAGGTAGCACAAGCTAGGGTAGCTTTTATAAGGCCCCGCCTAGCTGTTTCAACTTGATGAGCTCTGTACTACTTTCGGATATCTCTCTCGGCCTTTGTTATGTACCGTTGACGCTTTTCTTCACAGTAACTACATCATTATTACTACATGTATGTATCAACACAAACATACATGTAAGAAACAGAAAGAAGAAAAGCCCAAAAAGATTCGGGAAACGTACGTTTGCACATCGTGGTGCGATTCCGAAAGGCTTGCTTCAGATTTCTTGGCAGATGGATTGCTTCGAGAACATTGAAACATTTTTTGAAGATTCCTCCCCACACATGTGCATTGTGCAGTTGTTAGCTTATTGCTTGTATACCGACCTACCGACCAACCTACCTGGTAGCTACCGACATGATAGCTTATGTAGGTAGCCAGGCCCCCTGACACAAACCAACTTCAAATGCTAAGAGCCTAAGCTAGGTATCTACATATGCACTTGTAAGTTGTCACTCTGACGATAGCATCATAATTCTTTCACCGATTTCACTTTTTCATTCACCGCTACCTGGTGCCAACCTACCTTGATCTCCTCGGCTTTGGCTAGCCGATGGATGTGTCTTGAATCTACCCACCACCTCCCTAACTACCGGGTTTCCCTATCATATCAATGTCACCTTTGTCTTGGTATTGTTGCAGTTGTACCCGTCTGTCCTCCTAATGTCCACCTTCAATGTGCCTCCAATGCCAGTCAAACGTGTGTATGTTACATTTTAAATGACCATCTGAGCTAACAAGGCGTCTTGGCATCTTCAGATATCGGATACTTATGCGAGCTTTCCTCCAGTTCAGACTTCAGCTGGTGGATTCCTGTTTCTTCTTCGACAGGTTTTTGTTTTTCCTTTCAGCTGGGTCCCTATCATCATCTACCCAAAACGCCTTCTCTGGCTTGCATATTCAGCCTTGCAAGTCATAATTAATCATAGTCGATCACTGTTTCTATCAACTTGAAACGTGATCTACGGACGGCGAGAGCTAGGCGCATATGATTCCTTGTCCGCCTGTCTATTAGTATCTACCCACATGCAGGTATTTACATATGTCGGTATTGTACAACACATACCCGCCTGCCCACCTCGTCGGAGACTGGAGTAAAGAAAAAGGCCCGGTAATAACTTGAGTTATGTCGTCGGGTTTAACCAGCCAAGCTTGCCTTTCTTTCCCTGCCTAGCTAGTAGCTACTTGCAAAGGAACGCTGCTATGTATAGCCACCTAACTTTCCTAACCATTCCAAGGTTTCTACGCCAATCGCTGTCTGCCGAGAATAAATCGTGGGGGCTGAGTTATATAATCTGAATTTGGATCTTGGGTGGTATACATATGAACCTGGCAAGTTAGGGTCAGATCCATATGCATCCAACGAAGAAAAGGGAATTATACACAACATCGAAGCTACTTAACTGAGAGTATTAAGTAGTTTCTAACCTACCTAAAGTATAATAGCTCTGAGGCATTTTGGGTCGTCACCTTTTGTGCCTGGAAAAGCTCCAAAGCATCTTCATGGTATGTAGCGCTAGAGCAGGGGTTGAGGAGTGACGTCCTTGGCTGATGGACCAATCACACGAATTCAAGATCTAAAAGTTCGACGATGTCACACACATATGCGCGCGCGCATATAATCGCCATACCATGACCTAGCAACTCTGCGTCTGTTATCAATACATGGTTTTTTTCGGCACCTACACTTCAGCCAGCAACCAGTTTAACGTTACGTACATCAACGATATCTTCTGTATAACCTGGCAGCACGGAAGCCCCATATAAAAGGAGCAGGGCAGACCCTTATTAATTCATGCAAGCTCACCACACCGTCGGGCCGCCGCTAACATCTTCAAACGAGACTAGGTAGCGGCGTCGAGTAGCTATTCCCCAGTTTTCGGATTTTAGCCATAGCTTGCCCCATGTCTAGGGGTTCGGACTTAGCCGCAGCACGGAGGCTTAAAGATCCTGTTATGTGCAGTGATGCCCTCTTGTATACCGGTATACACTACCTACCTACCTACCTATGTAGGTAGTTACTAGCAAGATGGAACCTTACATATGTAGTATTTGCTCTTCGTACTTTTTTACCTACCCAAGCATTTGCCAAGTAAACATCAAGATGATCAAATAGACAGTCATGTACCTACCTATAATATGTAATATGTCGACGCTTTTCCAAACCATTGTGGACCTATATAATTATTGCGTGACCGGAAAAAGAAGCTCGCTTGCCAACTTTGTCCGAAATGCTTCATCTTGACCGGGGAATGGATATCACATCCTGTATCACCACGAGAATCCCAACGATACCGAGATAAGTACCGCCGGTTTGCATGAAGTCAAGGGTTGAATCTAAGATGACGAAATTGCAAACTCGTCATAGATATTTACCTACTTAGGCACCTACTTAAGCGCAACTTCTTGCTACTTCTTATGAGGAA